ATATCTAGAGAAAAGGTTAACTAAAGATACTATTATTATTCCTATAAATTCCTCAGTAAATTTATCTGCTATTAGGGGTATATTTATATCTTGCTTAGTTACTTTGTTGATTAATATAGCTGTATTGACTAATTAATATTTACCGGTTTGTTTCTTGCTGATAAGAAACAAGGGGTTTTGATATAGGCCATTGTAAGGTTTAAAAATACCTTTCTGTAGTTGATTATACAGTATTTTGATAACTATAGTATTTAGGGTATAAGGAATCTTAAATCCTGGGTATTGCTATGCTTTATAAGGAATAGTCTTAATATATTGCAGAGGTATTACTTTATTATATATTCTCTGAATATACTCCTATTCCTAGGCTAGTACTCCTTCTCTTTTAAATAAGAGTTCTCGAAAAAGTACTCTCTTATATGGCAGTAGGTCTTTTCCTATTAGTAGGGTAATCTCTTACTTAGGGGTAAGATAAGCTTCTCTTATAATTACAGAGATACAGGGCTTTAACAAATAATCGAATTCTGTCTGGATATCTGACGTATGATACTATATATGATACTTCTTAAGACATTTGTGCTGCTAATCAGGATAACCAACCGGGATTGTTCTATCAGAATTAGTTAAGTTTACGGGGTAAATCTTATCTGCTTTCCTCTTGTAGAGTATACTGACTTATGCTCGGTAATAAAACTGGTATTCTGGACGATTATTCTACGGTAGTTGTATATCAGATATATTATTAAGAGAGAAGGCTGTATGATATTCCTGGGTAACTATTTGGTAGCGGGCAATATATAAAGGTTGGGTATATTAGGGAGATGGTTTTCCTGTAGGAAAACCCCGGAGCGGTAGTGCGTAGAATTTATTATAATTTATATATTTTTATAGGGTTTTGTTATTTTTAATTATTTTTGGTTGGGAATTATTGCTTTTCTGAGAATGTAGGGGATACTGAGAATAGGATATAATTAATTCGGAAGGCAGTGATTTGCAGCGGAGGATTAAAGCCTCAGTATACAGCACCAGAACAGGGGATAATATGATGCCTATATACCCTGCTTGTTATTTAAAGAAGGGAAATCCTAAGGCTATAGCTGGTTTTTGAAGATAGACCTGCTGTTACTAGGACGATATACAACGAACAAAGCTTACTGTATACGGCCTTTGTTAAAAATAGTGTATATAATGTGGCTATCTGCTATTTCCTTAGTTTGCAACCCTGTATTTTTTGCCTATAGTTGACCGAGAAGTAAGTCATTAGTGGTATAATCTGTTACTATTATATAAGAATTAACTGTAACGCCGCTGATAGTGATCGGTAGGTGCTTAAGATATGCTGAAATACTGATTCTATAACCTCCGTCTACTAGGGTAAGTTGGAGATATAGCTTAAGTCTTATATCTGGTAGAGTATTTATATGCTTAATTACCTTATAGTAAATAATATTGACTGTGCTTCCGGTATTGATTAAGGCTTTGATAATCTGGTTACTAATAACTGCCGTTGTATATATAAAACCTTGTATGTATTCCTGGCGGGACTTTATAGGTTTATTGGTAACTTGTGTAGTTTAGAAGTTGACTGAAGAACTAACAGCCTTAGGAATAGGAACGCTATAATTAGGTCCGAATGATATAAAATAGGAGAGTGCTGTTTTCTGGATATCCTGTATTTGGGCCTTGATGTATTGAGAGAGCTCTATAATAATAGTATTGATAGGAACTTGGTTAATAACCTTAGTAAGTTTCTGACTTATGGTATTAGTGCTAATATCTTTTCCTACTCCTGCTTAAATATAAGGAGTAGCACTAAGCAGTTTACTAATAGAGATTATAACGCTAGTTTCCTAAACTTTCTGCAGTATTAGGTCAGTAATTATAGACCTTTTCTCAGCTATAGCAGGATCCTATGGTCCTCTGACACAATGCGGAATGTTATCTGGAGATAGATTTTCTGCCGGAAAACCTTGCAGTGTTTGTCTCTGAGAAGTTCCCTGTATGTTATCTGGTATATATATTGGTTTATCCTCGTCCTTATTAGTATCCTTAATGTATGGCTGAAAGCAGCCTTGCTGAGTATTTTGGGTGTGTGTATAATCAGACGCTTGCTGCTTTTCTTTTCTGACGTAACTATCCTGGATCTGACCTCTGATAGCATTGACTGGACCTGCCTAATATTCCTCTCTATACTCTTCCTCTTTCTCTGATAGTTTTTTCTATATAGGCTGAGATCTGAGAAGAGATACGGCAATATATCGTACTGGAGCAGAGTAATACTTATTGTTTCCTGGAATACTATTAAGCGATGTGCCTAAGAACTGTGCAGGTGCTGAAGGTATTGATTGGATATAATTACTTCCAGACTGCTGTACGTTTTGATTTACCTATACAGTATATTGTTCTGGAATTAAGTCCTTTCTTAGAATACCTATTTGCAGCCTTAGTTTAGGACCGGGATAAGCCTTTATTCCTAGGGTTGTTCTCCCTGTGGTCTTATTATAGTGAATTATTCCTTTTTTCTTGAAGTCCTGGATAGTGTTGTATTGTTCTGGTATGCTGTTGTGTGGACCTCTATATATCTAGTATTCCCTAGGAGGATTGATTCCTATGCTATTCGACGGTACTCCTCGGTTTTGCTTATATAAAGGATTATTCTGGTGATCAGCCCTAGTATCTAGTTTTAATATGAGTGCTTCTAACTTCTAAGCTATATTATTAATTGTTCTTGATATATGGTTCTTAGTCTGTTGATTATTAGCTATCGTAATAGGAATCGGTTGAACAGCAGGAATAGGAGGAGCAGGGCGCAGGGTTGCTGAGGAAAACTATCTCTTGCCTGACAATATATTCTTGACTTCTTTCCTTTTAACCTTTCGATAAATATTGGCTTCGATATGTAGGTTTGTCTGAACTTACTTATACGCCTTATCGTAAGAGATCTTATCGCTGTAGGAACGTGCTTTTAGGGTATAATGTTTTAAGATCTTTGCTTGCTATTTCTTAGGAAGACCTTTGATCAGCAGATTAGCTTGTTCCCTATCGCTTAGACAACCAAATAAGAATACCTCTGTAGAAACCTTATAAAATTCGCTCAGATAGCGCCTGATTTCATCGTTTGTTGATCGATCACTATTTGTAAGCTTGTTAAGATACTGTTTATTATATCTTAATTATTTATTATCCTAGTTATAATAGTGGTCTAGGAAGTCCTTGCGGAACGTCTGCTAATCTCTTACTTTCTAAGTATCCTGACTCTCAACCTAGATATACGGCGGTCTTTCACAATATTGGGGAAGAAGGTCTATGATTGCAGTATATTAAATAATACTACTCTGTCGGCAGGTATCCTCTATTTTTCTTAGGAATTCAGATATATTAGTCTTATCGAAAGTAGGAGCTCCCTGAGATCCCGGGGCTGGTATAGCGCTGTATATTATCTGGTATATTGGCTGTGGAGGCGGAATGGTATAATAGGGTATATATAGTGTATGATCTCTCGGGGGTATAGCCGATGGGGGATATGGAGGTAGTCTTACAGTAGCTTTAGGACTTATAGGATGAGAGGGTTCGCTAATAGTCGATCTAGAAGCTTTAGGAAGCGGTTTGCGAAACTGAGTGAATTGATCCGCGGCGGTAATAGGGGCAGCTATATCGCCAGGAAGTTTACTATTATTTCCGCCGTTATTGATAGCTATGGTTTCGAGAGATCGTTTTCCTGTAGGAAAACGAGGTACTGAAGAACAAGAATAAACAGATGTTATATCAGAGAATAAATTAGCCTGACAAAACGATTCTGAAGTAGAAACAGAAACGGAGGAAGATGTAGATAAAGAAGGGGATACAGAACGGGGAACAGAAGACTCAGTACTCAATGGTAATAATGATAACAATACAGTAGTTGACGATTGATACTGTTCCGACAGCGATCCTTTTAGTGATAACTTAGATAATAATCCTTCGCTTCCTGACGAAGAATCATATGCCTTTTTTAATAAATAACGTAATGTAAATGATAATAGAGTATTATATAGTGTTGAGTGCCAGATATAGCCAATACCAGGATATCCTCGAGCCGCTGTCTTATATAGTTGATCTGGTGTTATTTGTAATATTGCTTTTAGTGCTGTAGCATCTCCTGTATGCTAATCAGCAAGCATTGATCATAGAAACTGTGTATATTCAGCCGTCGGTGGTATTATGGTAACCTCTTCCTTAGATATTTCGAACATTTGATTGGCTGATCCGACGCAGGATTAAACCTTCCCTTATCCTTTGTAATATATCCTAATTGCTGTCGAATTCTCTCAGGGTCAAATGCAGTGCCTACTTTTTTACGATAGGATTGCTCTTGCTTTTAGCCACCCTTGGTTAAATGAGCCTTCCCGGGGACGCCATATATAAGATGGGAACGCTCAATTGCAGTCTGTCAAGCAGACGGGTCGATTACAAGGAGACAAAACCAACACACTTGCAGAGTACAGGAGAGTAGTAGACAGAGTGTGACGCTATGGAGATGCGACTAATAAGATATTCGAGTGTTCATGGACATGCGAAACACCGATACCGTAACCTCAGCCTCAGTAGACTTCGCAGAAAGAGTAATTCATAAGGGGGAACATGTATGTTGTTATTGATACTATCGAACGAACGCTACTTATTCTTCCGAAACGATATGGCTGCCTTGTTACTAAGGCCCCAATCACCTGACTATGGGATACCGGTGTTGAGAGCGGAATTCCCCATTACACTAACTAGTTACTAGTAGCGTCCTCAAAATCGGGTTTCCTGGTACTAGCTAGTAACTAGGATTTAATTTCAGCGAGACTATAGAGCCAATTGCCAATCGTATCAAATGAGGAGCTACTATATGGATTTACCAGAGGGCGTTCGAGATATTTGCTTGACTGTTTTGTGAACTTGATTGAATCGTTGTGTATTGAAAATTGCGAATCAGCTATCCGTCTTAAGACTCCATGAGTCCGGGTATCTCAAAAAAATCAAGCCGATGCAGGCTTAGCACTCTTGCGAAGGGTAAGCACAGTCTGTACATGCTCAAAGTTGAGGTGCTTCTTCTGTGACCAAGCCAAAAGACCCGCAGTCTTGAGCATATTCTTAATCTGCCTTCCATTCAGCTCCACTGCGGCGAGACGATCCAGCTCTTCCTCCGAAAAGACCTCAGTATTCGCAGATCGGGCAAGGAACTGGCACCAAACATGGCGACGCGATGTGAAATCAAGATTCTGGTATGCCAGAGAGACATGAATTCGAGACTCGAAGGCCGGATCGATCTCGTCGGCACGGTTGGTGGTTAGGAAGAGGATACCCTCGTAGTATTCCAGCATACGAAGGAAAATAGAGACCAGCTCGTTACGCTGCAGGTCAGCTGAGGTACGAGCCTCCATGAATACGTCCGCTTCGTCAAGAAGAAGGACGGCGCCCCATTTGGGAATCATGCGGAGGATATCCTTGAGGTTATTTTCAACCTTATAGGCATCGCTACCTAGATCGCCGGCGCTCATCGCGTACAGAGGAACTTGCATGACCTCTGCGACACTCTCGGCAGTCATAGTCTTGCCAACGCCAGGGGGCCCGCTCAGCTGCATGATAATACCGCGACCCTTGCCCTGAACGACATCATCGAAGGACGACATGGAGTGGGACTTGGCGAATGCGAGGATGAGGCCCTTGAGGTTCTCCTGCTCTTTGGGGAGGACGAGGGACTCAAAGGCAGCCGAGTTCCATTCAATTTCCGACGTGCTATCCAGGTGGAACCGCAGCCACTCCTTGTCCCGCAGAGAGTATCCCCAGACTGAAGAAGACGCGACGAGCCGGTGTTCATCACTTAGCTCCTCAGGAAGCTCACCCCAGACCCAAATGCTCTTGTGAGGGTGGAAAACGTTGAAAGCCTCGGTATCAATAATTATACGGCTTTTGACATGGAACTTCTTGGTTTTATCGTCATCCAGGAATCCAGTGGCAGTGCCCTCATATTGCTTGTAGTGGTACCCCTTGTGCTGCTCCCAGACCTTTCCACGTGCGATCAAGCTCTCGCGAATAGTCTCCTTGTCAGGGTGGTAGCGCAAGGGGAAGGCAGGCAGAGATGTGATTGGAGTAGTGCCGATGAAGACAGGAACTTCGAATCTATCGTCGCTGTATCCGAAGTCATCACCATCAAACTCAATAAATTTGACTTCGAGAATTATCGCCTTGGTTCGGCAGTTAATTGCATCGTCGGTGAAGAGGTATGCGTTCCGGCGACCTCCTACGGTGGCAATTACCACATCATCTGGCTCAAAGAGAGTCCACAGTAGAGAGTGAGTAATGACCCCATTCCGAATCAGGTCCTTCTTTCGTGCCAGGATGTCGCGCAGCTCCTCCTCTAGAATTTTGTGCAAAAGATCCACATGCTCCTTCGTAGTCTCGTCCAGTTCCTCTTCTTCACGAGCCTTTAAGAAGTCCTCCCATCTGTGGACCAAGGGCTTGAAAGGAGCGGTAAACTCCAGGCGCTCCAGTGTAACTGTGATTCCAGGGTAGCCTTCCAAGACCTTGCCGAGGAAAGTCTTCAAGAATTCACTTTGGATGACGATGGAGTGGATGGATAAACTCTTCCGGCCATCGTAGCACTTGACATTTCGCACGATCAGGGCATACTGAGCCGACTCCGCATCTTCTGCAGGGTCGACGATAGTTTCCGGCAGTTCTTTCGACCATGACGTCTCCTCATTCTCGTCGGGTTTGGTCTGGTAGACATTGTGCACGCCGCAGAGCGTGCCGGGGTTCGCGTACTTGATATCCTCGTCTTCGGAATCAGCTTGAAGTTCACGCATGTTAGACTTGTGTACCTTGTTCGTAAACCCTTTTTTCTGTCTGCTCAATGAGAAACGTACTTGGAGTATTTGAGTCCTTCACGATGGGCTTTTTAGCTGTGTCCGAGGCCGCCCCCAGGGTGGGTGCATCCGAGTCGATCGCCATTGTGAAAATATGCCTGACGCTTGTTCGAGGAGTACTGTATTTGGAAGAATGTAAGAGAGAAGGAAAAAGACGATGAGATCGAAGTGAGGGTATGAATTGAAGACCCAGCTGTCGGCAGTGAATTTGTTGAGCTCCAGAAAGCAGGAGGATCTGAGCTCTTCTTATACCCGGAGGGACGAGGGATCTCGCAAATATCAGCCTGCGATGCATCGATGCCTAGAATTCTGCATGAACCTTGGAAGCGGGGAGCCAAAATAGTGTCCGACGTTGAGATCACCAGTCAGCTCACCCGCTCGATGTATGAATGCACATGAATGCATACATTCGACGTGGCACTGGGACCCACTCCATCAGCCTCTTCGAAAGCCTTATTCTTCCATCTCTCGCTACAAGCCTTACGGTCTTGTGAGTCAATAACTCTTGGTGTCTACTAGCCTTTCCAATCCACTGTCCCTATAGGGTGCCCGAGGGCTGTCGGTCTTGTTGATGGCCGATCGCCACTGTACTTTCAACACTTGACGGCAAGTTTGGCCCCCACCAGCCCCGCTGGTGACTCAAATCTAGATGAGGCTGACACTGCAGAAACAAAACAGCAATGGACATCCAATGGATGACATGCGGTCAGATTTACCCGCTTTCGCAGCCCAACAAACCATGTAGGCCCCCGTAGTCACCCGTAGGGAGGTGAAATATGAAAAACTCCGACGCAGAGCCTCAATGAAAGAGTAAAAAACGTCCTAGTCTGATTCAAAATAATATCTCTCTAGGTCGCAGTCCCAGAACTGAACATTCGTTAAAAAAATAAATAAAGAAGAGTTTAATTTATATACTACTACTACTACTACTACTACTACTACTACTACTACTACTACTACTACTACTACTAGTATTTACTAGTATAGAATCTGCAGTCACCGATCGAACCTTCCAAAACCTCCAAATTTGAGGCCAAAACAGATTGCACTGGCACTCGCAGGTGCCCACAATTTACAGGATTGGCCGCAGCTACAAACATGCAGGGATTCTTTAATTCTTCAGTATACTAGGTACACACCAGATTCAGCAGGTGCGAACCTTCTAAGTTCTACGGCCTACCTGGTACCAGTACAGACTCGGAGTATTTAGTCTTAGAAACAGACCTCCCGATGTTTGCCACCACCACAACTTCAATCGCCATCGATATTATCCACACATTCCACACCGTGCGAGCGTCGACTAAGCCACCAGGAACATGGAAAAGGTGCTGATAGGCCTTTGGGACTTGCTCTTTTCGGCTGTCCGGGTCGGTTCGCCTACTCCAACTGGAAGGAGAAGGAGAAGAAGAAGCCGGAGAAAAAGGGATACCACGTAAGCTAGACACCACGATCCCTTGAATGATCCTTTGGTGCCTTTCTGGGGCTGTTTTACGGGCATTAACTGGCATTTCGTGGCATTGTACCAACATGATAAAAGCAATCAAGCTATTTCCCCTGGGCGGCCCTCGCGAACGAATGGCTGCAAGACAAGCGAGAATAGGTAAGTTATAGCTTGAGAGCCTCATGGTTTACGCTATGCTCTGGAATATTAATCACTAATAATACTGAATCATGCAAGACAAAAACAGTCGCCTTCAATCTTGGTGGTGTTTACCAGAACTGATATCGAACCATTGAAGTCAAGTTCATTCCCGTTCCGAAAGGAAACACTGTCCTCCCTCCTGCCCACTCCATCACCACCTATCTTGTTTACCCCGAGAACCATAGCGAGGTGAGATGAATGGAAAAGGGATACTTTACATCTCTGAGGTATTCCTCCGAGCTTTTTGACCGTTTTTGCTTCTCTCCGAGAACCTCAGAGGTGAGATGCAGGAATAAAAATGGCTGCCCTGTGTTTTCTCTACTTGCTCTACTTGCTCCTGGTCGACTGGTCCTCTTCTGAGACTGCCGTGTCTAAATGAATGATTTGGTCGCCTCGAGGAATATCTTCATGGTATTTTCAATGAGATGATGCGTCTATAATCGACAGTCTCCTTGGGCATGCGAACTCCGAACAAAGATACCACCATTCTTGGCCACCCGGTTCTAAAGGGCACTGAGTTATACATGGTCCAGGGCAAGATATAGACCAGTTGGATGCTGACTGAGGGACCGCTCGGAGCTTGTCCCGGGTTTGACGATGCTCGGGGAAGATATATGCATACCCTAGGGCTATTATTCTACAAATTTATAGGGTCAGTGAATGTACACACAGGAGGTAGAGGAGAGGAAAATGTAGAATGTCCTATTCTAGCCAATGGTATTTTACCTTCACCGCTGCCCAAAGGCTTGAATACATCGTCAACGCCAGGGTTCGACTGGGTACCCGAAGGTACTAGATATCTGAAAGGACATTTAAGTTCCTGAGGATCTAAGGATTCCTCAAAGAACATTCAAGTCTAGCACGTTAGACCACTGCACCACACTGGCAGTTGCTGTATGTAAATTAAAGATTACGAACCTAGTACCTTTTGAGTTGTACCGGGGCAAATTACTAGTAGCCTCGGAGGATCTTACCGGATGATCTTCCACTTCTTGAAACAGAAGTGGTAATATTTCTCAGCGCCGTTAAATAATGGCTAAGGCGATCGCCATACAGTCAGCCCAACCTTCACCATTAAAAAGCCACCAGTAGTACTCCGTAAGAAGGCGATTAATGAAATACTCCGGCGCGGAGCCTCCATGAAGGGGAAAAAATATTTGTTCAAAACAATATCTCGCTAGATCGCGTCTCCAGAACTAAACACCGCCTGTCTTTGTCGTAAATTCATCGGTCCCAAGCTGCAAAACACCAAAAGCATCATATGGCCTATGCTCTCTTCCCAATGTGCACCAACTCTCCTCTTTTCACTGTTCATTCGCCCTTCTCTTCCCTCATGGGAGAAGAGTTTCAAGTTTACTCGGTCTTGAAGGCGAGGAGACGGTGCTTGAGGGAGTCCTCGGTCTCCTGAATGTCCAACTCACGAAGAACACCGGAGGCCACATCGTAGACAAGACCGTGGACCTGGAGGCCGCGCTCCTGGATGGCGTTCAGGACGGCACTCTTCTGAGTGACGACACTGAGACCCTCACGGACGTTCAGCTCAACCAGCTTGAGAGCGGCCTCCTCGTCCGACAGGGACTGCAGCAGGGACAGGTTGCGCTCGCGCACCTGGCGCAGAGGTAGCAGCCACGGGTCCAAGATTCCCAGCTCCTTGTTGCCCATTGCGGCGGCGACGCCACCACAGGAAGTGTGGCCGCAGACGACGATGTGCTTGACGCCGAGGTACTTGACGGCGTACTCGATGACGGCGCCCGAGCTGAGATCACCGGGGTGCATGATGTTGGCGATATTGCGGTGGACGAAGACATCGCCGGGCTGGAGGCCCAGCATGCTGGTCTCGGGGCATCGGGAGTCGGAGCATCCCAGCCAGAGGATCTGAGGTTTCTGACCGGTCGCGAGGGTCGGGAAGAGTTCAGGGTGATCGCGCGCGGTGTTGGCGGCCCAGTCTTTGTTCAGGCGCAGGCCATCGGTGTACTTGTCTGCTCGCAAGCCAGCCCTGTTAGTCTCGGGATCGGAGGCATCAACAGCGGCACCGGAGGGCTTGTGACTTTTGCAGGAAAGGGGGGCGGAGGTCGCAAAGGGAGAGGCGCGAGGCAGGGACAAGGTCAAGGGTCGACTGGCAGCGTTGTGCGCCAGGACACTTCGAGCCATGAGGCCGGGTCGAGCGGCCAATCCTGCAAGATTCATGACGAACGGTGGGGGGAGGGGAAACATGTGATGTGTTCGGGGTAGGGGCCCAATTATATTAAATTAATTTGGGAGTATGTCTCACCAACCACCAAAGTACAGAGTAGAAAGATCGATATCTCTCCTCCTATTCTCTGGACTTTGGGGGGGAGGGGGATGGATGTGCGAGAATAACCGAAGAGCGTGCGGGAATCCCCAAAAAAATGTTGGGGAGGAGAAGAAAAGGGCAGAGCACAAAAACAAACCAAGCCAAACCAAATCAAACCGGGGGGGACTCCCGCTAAGGTTCACGAGGGTCTTGTTTCAACTGGACGTACCTGAATCCATTGCGCAGGGGAGAACCGGGAACGTTGGGAAATGGATATGGAGTGTGGAGGGGATAAGATGAGAGGAGAGGAAAGAAGGTAAATAGTATTGCTGGGAGGAGGAGTCCGTCCACGGACTTGCTGGCCGTCGCAGGTTTGGTTTTGGAGGGGCGAGTCTTCCCGAGGGAAGGCGAGATCGGCACCGTCTTTTTCGTTGACCGGCGAGTTTGGGTTGACTGGCTGGGGCTGGGCTGGGCTGGGGGTTTACACTCGACTCGTCATTTTATCTTATGATACCTGTCTTTTCTTTTTCTAGGCATTCTCATGCTTCTTGCATTGCTCGTCGTACATCCTAAACTATCCATATATGCTTTTTCACCATCGCGGTGCGCAAAAAACTCTATCAAAATCATTTATCCATCTTATATTTACCATTCAACCCTACGCGGTTCCACCACGGCCACCAACCCCTAGGAGCGTCTTCTTCTGCTCCTCGGTAATACCTGCCGCCGGTAGGGGGCGAGCTCCGGCAATAGTCGGAGGAGGTAGGAATCCAATCTCAACCAGGTAAGAGGCATACTTGCCAACCAGCTCCTCCGTCACACCAGCACCGGCAGACACATCGACGCCAGACCAAACCGCATCGGACTTGAGAGCAGCGGCCGCGCTACGGTCATCTAACTCAGGGGCCTTGGTGTTCGCCGGCAGATCGTTCGTGACGAAGTGGTAAAGCGGCATCCTGAATTGCGAGAGTTAGTTTGGATTAAGCCTGCATCGGGTGGTAGTACAAGTTGGTGATACTTACAAGGCGTGCTGAGAATCCTTGTCATCATGCTTGCCGTCGTTGACGTACTGCTCAAGGGACAGAGCCCAGGGAACATAATCAACCTGTGGAACATCGTAGCCGTAGAGCTCGAGCGCGCCCAGGAACTGGTTAAAGCGGAGGCGAGGGTGGCCTGTAACATGGGCGACTCCAACAGGGTCGCGAGGAGGATGGAACGCAGTGGCAATGACAATTCTCGCCACATGATCGCATGGCACCATGTTGACACTGTTGTTGACTAGAAGGAACATCAGAATATAAGCGCATTGCGTCAATGCGTGGATTGTGATACTTACTGTTGGGACGGGCAGAGAGCTGGATGCATCCACGGAGCATGCGAACAAGGAAGTCGTCTGTGTTGGTAACAGCCGTGTTGGAATCACCTAGGACGTACCCGGAACGGATGATGGTAGCCCTCAGACCACGGCGGCCGGCTTCGCGGACAAGGTATTCACCAGCCCACTTGCTTTGACCGTAGCCCGTACCGAGACCGACGGCACTACCCTCCATATCATCCTCTTCGCTGACACCATTTCCACCCTCGGCAATGCTGCGCTCAGAGAGTTCCACGTAATGATCCTTGTCCAGGGCACTAGTAGAACTGACGAAAGCAAGTTGTTTAGCCTTGCCCGTAGCGCACAGCTTCAAAGCATCAATGGTACCCAGGACGTTGGCAGGTCGCAGGGTCGAGTAAGGGTAGACCCAATGCACAAGGGCACCGTTGTGAATAACCGCATCAACACGGTTAGCCAAGTCATCCCACGTAGCCTGGGGAAGACCGAATTGGGGATTTCCAAGGTCACCGGAGACGGCCTGGAGTCTGCTGGTCCAGGTCTCATCCCAGAATCCATATGCGCGGCAGGTAGAGCGGACTCGCTCCAGGGCTTGCTCGTCGCTCTTGGCGCGAACCAGGGTGACAACCTTGGCACTAGGGGACTTGCGAGTAATCAGGTCGCGCAAGATATGAGCGCCCAGAAAACCGGTTGCACCAGTGAGGAAAATGGTCGGCTCGCTGGCGAGCATAGGTTCACTACGGGTGGGGAAGCTCGCAGGCAGCTCGTTGACCAATTGCTTCGCATCCTTAGAGTACTCGTCGTTGGGCGCCTCGGCCGTGGCGCTGGCGTTATCGCTTGTGGCGAAGGACTCCGAGTCAAGCAGCTTGTCGATCTCACCAGCGAAGCCCTTGAGTGTTGGGCTGCGGAAGATAGCGCTCATACTAATATCGAGAGCACGCCACTGACGGCGCAGGTCGAAGAACATTTGCTGGGCGAGGATACTATGGCCACCCAGATCGAAGAACGAGTCATCGGGTCCAATCATTCGAGAAGTAACATTCGGAATACGCTTGGCCCAGATCTTAGCAAGAGCCTGCTCGGTCTCACTCAGAGCCTGCATCGCAGAAGAGCGACGGCGCGGGGCGGCGGCACTCAATTCTGCGGTGTCGGGGTAGGGGAGGGCAGGCTTGTCAATCTTGCCATTGGGGTTCAACGGCATGCGTTTGAGAGGAATGATGACAGTCGGGACGGCATACGCTGGGAGCTTGCTACGCAGGTGATCCCGAGCGTCGTCGCGGAGGGGACGGAAGCGACGGAGTAAACCGACCATGCCATCCGCGGAATCGTCATCCTGGAGGCCCTTGCTTTCAAGCCACTGGGGCCATTTGCTCATGTCGGGCACGAAATAGCTGACCAGGGTGGGCTCCTCGAACTTGTCACGTCGAACCAGAGTCACATTCTCACGGACCAGAGGATGGCGAGAAAGATGGGTGTCAATTTCACCGAGCTCAATTCGGAAACCTCTGATCTTGACCTGGCTATCAGCTCGACCAGAACATTCCACGTCACCAGAAGGAGTGTAACGACCCAAGTCACCACTGCGGTAAAGACGGTCTCGAGGACCAACGTAGAATTCCCTCCAGGGCTCGTTCTTGGACTCCGCCTTATCCTTCTCGATCCAAACCTCGGGCTTCACGAACCAGTTTGTCAGGAACTTGGTGGCATTGAGGTCCGGAGTTCCCAGGTAGCCCTCGGCGAGACCAGCAGCACGGACATAGATCTCTCCAACCTCACCAATTGCGCAAATGCGGGTGGGGTCGTAACGGTTGACGACGAGCATCTGGACGTCGAGCATACCGTGACCGGCGGGGATAACCTCCTTCATGGTATCGAGGAATCCTTCTTGGTTGGAGTAGCTAGGGATCTCGTAGTAACTGACAGCACGCTGGGTCTCAGTGGTTCCGTACATGTTGACAATCGCAGTGTTAGGTGCAAGGCCTTGCAGGGCCTTGCAATCTCTCTTGATCAAAACGTCTCCGACGAAGAAAGCATGATGAAGAGCGGGGAATTGCGCGGAGGCACCACCGACCAGAATTTGGCCCATGGCTGGTGTAAGATGGGTGATCGTAGCCCCATAATTTCGCATCCACTCGGCAAGTTTCTCGTTTTGAATATCCTCCTTGGCAGGGACCAGCAGCTGAGCACCCAAGAACAGAGGAGTGAAAATATCACGCTGAATTGGGTCGTGGGCAATTCCACTCAGCATAGTGAACTTCTCATCGGGGGTAAGCTTGAAGGTCTCAGACATCCAAGGGAAATAGTAGGCCAGGGAGAAGTGGCGGCCACGGACACCCTTTGGACGACCCTCAGAACCAGAAGTAAAAGACAGAGTGGGAGTTGAATCAGGTCCAACAACAACACCGACGGGCTTGGACTTCAACCCAACCTCCTTGGTGAAAACATCCTGGCCGTTGATAGATCCACCAGTCAGGGTTCCGTCATCGTGAAGAGCAAGAGCCGGCACCTCAGTGCGGAGTTCTAAGGTCTCAGTGATAAAAGATCGAACAATGCCCGAAAGTTCGCCAGCATCCTTGGTAGCCTTGGCGATGTTGATCAAAGCACGGGGGCGAGCAACATCCAAATAGATGTTCTGACGCTCAGGCGGATATGCCGGGTCGATGACTGAGAATGTGGCACCGGCCTTCAAGATACCCATGACAGCAACCACAAGGTCCACACCACGGTAGGCATAGACCATAACGACCTCTCCTCTCTGGATTCCAGATTGAACGAGGTGATGACCCAAGATATTGGAAGCCTCGTTGATCTGCTTATATGTGAATTCACGGTGGGCTTGGGAGCTCGACTTGGTCTCCACCACGCAAAGCTTCTCGGGGTGCTTCTCGGCATTCGCAGAGAAGATGTCATGGATAGCACCACGAAATTTGGACCAGTTCAGGTCCCTTGTGGGGTCTGGAAGGAGAGCTAGCTGATCATCGCTCATGAGATCAATGCGGCCGACCGCCTCCTCAGCGCTGGCAGTGCTGGCAATTTGGGCCAGCTGCTGAAGGATGGTGGCTATCCGAGCACTAGAGAACAAACGCTGGTTGTAGTAGGCTCCGAGTTCAAGCTCCGATGCAGATCCGGTTGTGGCGATGTTGATCACTAGATCGGTGTTATCGAATGTGTTGGCAGGGTACTCCTGAGAGGCAGCAGGGGCATCATATGCGGCGAAACGGAACAGAATTGGAGTGTGTTCGGACTTCGACTTGTCCTGGATATAGGAGCGAAGGCTACCGAGAGGGACTATTTCGGAGGCACCTTCTTGGAATGCCTATGGGATCATGATATTAGTGATGGAACATGAGTTATGTCCTACTTGAAGATATACTACATACCTTGTCGACCTTAGAATAGAGCTGGGCAAAGGTCTCAGATGCCTCGTAGGGCACACGAAGGACAAATGGACGACCATCGTCGCCAACGCTTGTGCCCACCGCGATATCTTCGTCACCGGTCAAACGAGCCACCAGGATAACCAGAGCAGTCAGAAAAACGGTGAAGTCCGAAGAAGATGAGCCAGAAAGCTTTTTTAGAGCCAATTGAGCTTCCTGGGGCAGTTTGATAGATTCAAAGGCCTCGATGGCCCGCTTCCCAATGCCATCCTGTTGGGTATCTGGGTAATCGCGAGTCAATGGCGACACCGTGAGATTGCTGAGGCGCTGGGACCACCTTTCCAGGCGATCCTGTAACGAAGCCGTTCCCACAGCCATGATTGATAGCTGTGTTCAATTGCTTCGAGAGGAATGACAGAAAGAAAGATGAGTCAAGTACCTCCGGCGGCCGGGGGGGGGGGCACACTGAGAAAATCCGCTTTCGCCGCGATCGGCCCGCAGTGATTGGTCAGTCGCTCTTTCCCCCACACAATTTTGGACCTCTCACCGCCTTTACACATTGACGCCGCTTCGTGCGTCACACAAAGTACTAAACAAAGTTGGTACTAGTTTTAAGTATACAGCTGGTGGCATATACCAGCTGATAACTTTTCTTTCAATTAATTGGTTGGTTACCTCCACCACTCAACACCTCTCATCTGTAATATCGCGACCTTCCTTCGATCCGTGCTGAGGAAACAAGAGTGATGATGGAATAGATGAGTCAGCACTGGTGCCTCAGGCGACAGATCACTCCTGAAGAAGATTGGCATCAGGAGAGCTGGTCTTTGCATCTGACATCATTGGATCTTCCCAAGTCAGGAGGCCAAGGCGATTCCATCCGATCGCATTGATTTCATCCGATGGAATAACTTTTTTCTCGTTTTTTTGTTCTGCAACTGCGCTGCCTCCTTACCAAGTTTGGAGCGCGTCACTAATCCCGTTGTATTCTACAACGCATACCAACCAACCCCAGGAGAAAGCAGTATTGCGGGCGAGACTGCACATTTCTCTCAACCTTCTCTCCATTGCACCTCCACGACATTTGCCCAGATCTAATTACGTGCAATCAACGAGTGAAAGATGATTCCGCATCGAAGCACAGGCCTTCTGGCCATCATTGTTTTTGTCGCCCTGTTACTCTTCATCTTCTCCTCGTCCCCTGTTCCCGACCTTGACCCTGAACCCACTGCCGAAGGAGAAAAAGAAAAACAAGAACCTGCCGGACCGCGAAAGTTCCTCACAGTTCCGCAGCTCCCATCGCTACCTGAATTCCACCTGCCGTCGTTCCGTCCCCCTTCGCACGAGGCGCCCCCAGAGCAAACAAACAGTACGAGCGGCGAGTCAAAGTGGTTCTCCAACTGGGAATGGCTGAACCCATTCTCCTCGACTATTACCCTGGATGAGGATCGATCAGTACTTCCGCCCTTGCCTGAACGCCGCGCAATCTATACCTATTATAATCCGAAATACAACCCAAAAAAATACTCCGCCAATGATTTGAAGAAGAACCAAAATTCCGATGGGGAGCTTCTCCTATCCTGGCGCCGGGCGTGGTACGCGCAAGGATTCCGCCCCGTCGTATTGGGGCCTGGAGATGCCATGAAAAATCCCCACTATGAGTTGGTGCAGAAGCTTCAATTGACTCCGGAAATGGAAAATGAAGTGTTCCGTTGGTTGGCATGGGGCCACATGGGTAGCGGTCTACTTTCTGACTTTACCTGCTTCCCTATGGCACGCTACGACGATCCTCTTCTTATTTCATTGCGACGAGGCACCGAGCCCGATTTCATTGTACGATTCGAGAACTTCCAGGGCGGTCTATTTTCTGCAGAGAAGCATCGCATCGACGAAGCGATCGATGTCAGTGTGAAGAACTTGGCCGACAAATCTACATCTCTCTCAGAATTGATGCCTGTGGAATTGTTCAAGGTCCAGCAGCCAAATTCTCTGGCATACTATAAGGGTTCCAGCATTAACTCCCGCTACCCAGAGGTGCATGAGAAGATTGGTCAAAACCCTGCAGAAGGTCGACTTCAGCTTGTGAAACTTATCAATGCCCATCTCCATAACACCTTCCAGAATGCATATCCTGCTGGGTTAGCTGTGCTCAAGCCTTTCCCACAGCACACTACCGCCTTGGTGGAACCAGCTCTCCGACTGGCGAAAACCCTGATCGAATGCCCCGAGTCCCCGGCGCCCAGTTCTTGCCCGCCCAACCTGCCAGAATGCCGTCCTTGTGGCTCTGCGAAGCAACCTATGCGCATTAGCCAGCCTACCAGCTTCAAAAATACACCTTTCCTCTTCACTATCGGCACTCTACCTCACCCTTACACACTTGTTACTCTACAAAAAAGTTCCGAAGAGGTTACCGTGCGACAGATCCGCCGTGAAACTGAAAGAGACCCTTGGTTGACAGATGTCACTCAGGATAATCTTGGCGAGGATGGACATGAGCTGAGTGCCTCATACCGAGGGGTGATGTTCAAGCAATTCGTTGCAGGTGACCAGGCCATCTCGAACTCCCTTTGGATGACTGTCGAGTCCTTGCCCGCCGAGGCAGGCCAAAGTCTTCCCTCGGAGCTCTTGGACGAATTCGAGTGGCAATTTGGCTTTAAAATTCCCCGCGGAAGCACAATTGATCCTAACACCGCCGGCGACAAGGAAAGCGTTCAGAACAAGACCCCCAGCCAACAGGGTGTCTCTCGCGAGTACGAACTGATCAAAAGGGCTCGTGAGGCAATCAAGAGCCAAGATCCTAACCGAGTCAATATCAAGGCTGTCTCCGAAGCCTGGAATATGGCGGACACCGAGGTGTGGCGATTTGTGAAAGCGTATCGGTAAGTTGCGAAGTCGTGTCCAAGCAACAACCTGTTCTTGTACCTGCCTATACTAACACATCTTATTCTAGTGCCCGCAGCGTGGTCGAGCGCAAACAGTGGCAAGAGGAGGAGCGGAAATTCGCAAGTTCCTCACAGTGATCCTGGTGAGCATGTTGGATGTTCTGTACTACTTGCTATAACCCCATTTTCAAGTGGAACCTGTGTTTTTTTTTCTTTTTCTTTCTCTACTTCTTCCCCTCCCCCTTAGTTGAGAACTCGAGCATATTTGGCGCAATCGGAATAGAAATCAATGTCTCTTTTTTTTATTTGATTTGGTCAATCCCACCCGATGTTAGTAATCTCGGATCGCTATGGGCCTACATACGCCTTTTTTCTTCTGGCTTCTTGTATCGGACGGTGGCGATCCCCGCAGTTGAGGTCACGACGGTGCCATGGTGGAGTGCGGTGGGGACGCGTTTGGGCGTTTGTTCCTATCACGCGGCGGGGATTGCACAGCGGCCCAGTTGGTCGACCCTCGGGGAGTGTCATACCGGCGGCTCTGATAGCTGATCTCACCCGCAACTCACCCCTCTTTGTTACCCTTTTTAATGGCGGCCTGTGACTATCCTCGTTTATCGTGGCGATAACATTAGGAAGGTCTTTGCGGTCTCGATATATATGAGCTGCAGTATGATCCAGCTTCACCGCTCGTGATAACTCTCACATTTGCTTTGTTTGCTGTCTACTGATTGCCACGTCCTGTCGCGATGGCACCTGGCAGCAGCATCGATACTGACTCCGCGCGGTCTACTGGCGAAATCGAAAAGCCATCAACCCTGTTCGAACTGACCGAAGATTGGGATGACACTATTCGCTTCTACCTGAACGGCACCAAGGTCGCCCTTGACACCGTCAATCCAGAGGTCACGCTTCTGGAATATCTACGAGGAATAGGTCTGACGGGAACGAAGCTTGGATGCGCTGAGGGAGGATGTGGTGCTTGTACAGTGGTGGGTACACATTTCGGCATCCCGGTCGATCCTCTTGGGGATGGTGATCAGCGCGCTAATTTCACTTTGCGTTGGCTCATTAGGTCGTTTCCCACTTCAACACCACGACAAATAAGATCTACCATGCCTCCGTCAACGCGTGCCTCGCCCCCTTGGTTAGCGTTGACGGAAAGCATGTCATTACGGTGGAAGGACTTGGCGACGTGAAGAATCCCCACGCAATTCAGCAGCGGATCGCGATTGGCAACGGTAGCCAATGTGGCTTCTGTACTCCAGGAATTGTCATGGTGCGCTCCTTTCAACCCGAAGAACTGCAAATATATCTTTACTAACCCCGCGAAAGAGCCTTTACGCCTTACTACGCAATGATCCGACCCCCGATGAGCATGCCGTGGAGGAAGCCTTCGATGGTAACCTGTGTCGCTGCACCGGCTACCGACCGATTCTCGATGCCGCCCAAAGTTTCAACTCGCGAAATAACTGTGGCAAGGCTTCTGCAAACGGCGGATCTGGTTGCTGCATGGAGAAGAAAGAGGGTGGCGGTGGTTGTTGCAAGGGGTCCTCAACTGAAGGCGACAAGCTTGGCCCCGACGAGCCGACATTCCCCAGGCCCGACTTCAAAGCATACAGCCCCGATGCAGAGCTAATCTTCCCGAATGCTTTGCGGAAACATGAGTTCAAGCCACTTGTGTTTGGTAACAAGAGGAAGAAGTGGTATCGACCTGTGACGGTGGATGAATTGCTCAGAATCAAGAATATCCACCCCGAGGCTAAATTGATTGGCGGAAGTACCGAGACTCAGATCGAAATCAAGTTCAAGGCCATGCTCTACAAAGCCTCAGTCTATCTTGGCGACATTCCTGAGCTGAGGACATTCAAATTTCATGATGACTACCTGGAGATTGGCGCCAATATATCACTGACGGACTTGGAAGCCATTTGCGAGCAGGCTGTCGAAAAGTACGGACCAATCCGCTCCCAGCCCTTCAAAGCTATCAAGAAACAGCTGCACTATTTTGCGGGAAGACAAATTCGAAACGTCGCATCCCCGGCAGGTAACTTGGCTACAGCTTCGCCTATCTCAGATCTGAACCCCGTGCTCGTGGCAACGAACACTATCTTAGTGGCCAGGTCCCTCTCGGGCGAAAAAGAAATCCCGATGACCGAATTCTTCCAAGGTTATCGCAAGACAGCTCTGGCCCCAGATGCGATCATTGCCAGTCTTCGCATTCCGGCTGCCACCGAGAAAGGCGAGCACATGCGTGCTTATAAGCAATCTAAGCGAAAGGATGATGATATTGCCATTGTTAACGCTGCCCTTCGCGTTTCCCTGTCCGACACCAACGATGTGACCAGCTGCAACTTGGTATTTGGTGGTATGGCCCCATTGACGGTATCTGCGAAGAATGCCGAGGCTGCTTTGATTGGCCAGAAATTCACCAACCCGGCAACTCTTGAGGCTGTGATGAGTGCATTGGAGAAAGATTTCAACCTTCCATTCGGCGTTCCTGGTGGCATGGCCACTTACCGCAAGTCTCTGGCGATGGGCTTCTTCTACCGTTTCTACCACGATGTGCTCTCTGGGATGGAAGTCAAGGCCGAAGACATGGACGAGGACGTGGTTGCAGAGATTGAACGTGCTATTTCGTCTGGAAAGCAAGATGGCGAAGCCTCGGTTGCCTATCAAAAAAAGATTCTTGGTCAAGCTAGACCTCATGTTGCTGCACTCAAGCAGTCAACTGGCCAGGCACAATACACCGACGATATCCCTGTTCAACAGAACGAGCTGTTCGCCTGCATGGTTCTTTCTACAAAGGCCCACGCGAAGATTTTGAGCGTCGATGCCTCAGAAGCACTGGAGATTCCTGGAGTGGCTCATTACATCGATCACACGGATATGCCCAGCCCCGAGGCAAACTGGTGGGGAGCTCCTGTGTCAGACGAACAATTCTTCGCCGTGGATGAAGTTAGAACTGCTGGTCAACCAATTGGTGTTATCCTGGCAAATACAGCCAAGGTTGCAGAACTTGGAATGAGAGCCGTCAAGGTTGAATATGAAGATTTGCCTGCAATCTTGAGTATCGAGGAGGCTATTGAGGCCGAGTCCTTCTACGGCCATTACCGCTTCATCAAATGCGGTGACACCGAGGAGGCATTTAAGAATGCCGATCATGTCTTCGAAGGTATTTCTCGCATGGGAGGACAGGAGCATTTCTATCTGGAGACAAATGCTTGCTTGGCGATCCCCAAGCCGGAGGATGGTGAAATGGAGGTTTGGAGCGGCACTCAGAACCCCACTGAAACGTAAGTTGCCGGATCATATCATGGTGTATATCGAAGCTGACAAGCCCGCTATAGACAAGCATACGTTGCTCAAGTCACTGGTGCAGCCGCAAACAAGATTGTGTCTCGCGTGAAGCGCCTTGGTGGTGGTTTCGGTGGCAAGGAATCGCGATCGGTCCAGCTGGCTGGAATTTGCGCTCTTGCCGCCCACAAGACCCGACGACCAGTGCGTTGCATGCTCAATCGCGACGAGGATATTATAACTTCGGGCCAGCGCCACCCATTCTACTGCAAGTGGAAGGTCGGTGTGACAAAGGAAGGAAAGCTTCTGGCTCTTGACGCCGATGTCTATGCCAACGGTGGCCACACACAAGATCTGTCGGGCGCCGTTGTGGAGCGAAGCTTGTCGCATATCGATGGTGTGTACAAAATTCCGAACATGTTTGTCCGTGGCCGGATCTGCAAGACAAATACCGTTTCGAATACTGCATTCCGTGGCTTCGGTGGTCCTCAAGGTCTGTTCTTTGCCGAATGCTACGTCTCGGAAGTTGCAGATCATCTTGGAATTTCAGCGGAGAAGATGCGTGAGATCAACATCTACGAGCCAGGTGAAACCACGCACTTCAACCAGGAACTCAAGGATTGGTACGTGCCATTGATGTACAAGCAAGTCCTGGACGAGAGCAACTACTACGAGAGACGGAAGGCCGTGGAGAAATACAATGCATCTCATAAATGGTCCAAGCGCGGCATGGCTATCGTCCCAACCAAGTTTGGTATCTCATTCACAGCTCTCTTCCTGAACCAAGCAGGAGCTTTGGTACACATCTATCACGATGGCAGTGTGCTTGTTGCCCACGGTGGTGTTGAGATGGGCCAAGGCCTTCACACCAAGATGGTAATGATTGCTGCTGAGGCTCTTCAAGTGCCTCAGGACAGTGTTTTCATTGCCGAGACCGCCACTAACACTGTCGCCAATACATCTGCTACGGCCGCATCGGCCAGCTCGGATCTCAACGGCTACGCCATTTTTAACGCCTGTGAGCAGATCAATGAGCGACTGCGTCCTTACCGCGAGAAGATGCCGGGTGCTAGCATGAAGGAGCTCGCCCACACAGCATACTTCGACCGAGTTAACCTCTCTGCGCAAGGCTACTATCGCACACCCGATATTGGCTACGTATGGGGCGAGAACTCTGGGCAGATGTTCTTCTACTTCACTCAAGGTGTTACCGCCTCAGAGGTTCAGATCGACACACTGACCGGAGACTGGACTTGCCTGCGTTCCGATATCAAAATGGATGTTGGACGCACTATCAATCCATCCATCGACTATGGTCAGATAGAGGGCGCCTATGTTCAGGGACAAGGTCTTTTCACCACTGAAGAGAGTCTCTGGCATCGTGGATCCGGTCAGGTCTTCACCCGCGGTCCGGGTAACTACAAGATTCCCGGTTTCCGTGATATCCCACAGATATTCAATGTCAGTCTACTCAAGGATGTTGAATGGGAGAATCTGCGCACTATCCAACGTTCTCGCGGAATCGGCGAGCCGCCCCTGTTCATGGGAAGTGCTGTATTCTTTGCTATCCGGGATGCCCTGAAGGCCGCACGAAAGCAGTGGGGCAACGAAGAGGTTCTTAGCTTGGTCAGTCCGGCTACCCCAGAGCGCATTCGTGTTAGCTGCGCAGACCCTATTTTGGAGCGTGCTCGAGTTCATCCGAAGGATGGAGAAAAGAGCTTCTTTGTGGCTATTTAAAGACCAGATTGTTCGTTTTATGATTCATGTTTGTATGACAATAAACCCATTAGGGGAGTGTTTTATATAGGCAATCAAATTGCATTGATGATTTATACCATCTACTTTTTCCTTAAATTTCACAGATGGAAGACCTTTACACAGGTGTCATTTAGATTCAAACTGTAATATTTTCATGTAGTATTTTGATTCTTTGAAAGATGCTATAGATCAACTTGAACGCCGATAGATGTGCAATTCTAAAGCAAACTCCCGAGGTCGCCGATACCTCATGCTCCTGGTACAAAAGAAAAGAAATTAGAGTCCATGCGACTCAGGAACATCACCTCTTTACATCATATTCAACATAGTTACTCTTTCTCATAGAAGCCGAGTCAACATGATAACTTCTGTGCCCTGCAAATCCTAGCTTCTCATTAGGGAATTCAGATCCACTTCGCGCCACGGAGCTCTCCGCTGGGGTCTCATATTGCGGCATCGTATTGATAGAGCCAAGGTTACCCTTCGGAACAGCAGTGAGTGGTACATCTGTGAAGCCAGCTCCGAATGAAGTTGGAGCTGGTGCAGGATGGTTGGGTATCGCGTCCAATGCATGGCCGCCGCCCTCACCACGGTTTCGATCATGACCCCACCAGAGCGCCATGGCGCGCACGACACCGATCAGGACAATTATCACCCAGAGGAGAAGAATACAGGTGGCAATAATGGCTTCAACTCGGAGACCGGCGTAAAGCTTGTTGATTACAGATGTCACGACTTCGCTGATCTTGTTGGAGGTCTCATCGCCGGCATCAGCTAGGAAACTTTCTGATGGATCCGAGCCGTCGGAAATACTGCTCTGTGCGCCGCGAGAAAAAGTGTCGTTTGGTAGCAGGGGGAAGTTAATGTGAGCATGGTCGCTGACCCACGTTAGACCCTGCTGCACGCTCTCGACTTTCATTTCGATGAGACAATCGAAGATGCCCTTAATGGGCACGTAGAGAAGAGTGTCGCCGAAAGCGTCACTCAGGACGCCGTTTGTCTTATTAATGAAAGCCTCGAGGGTATCATTAATTGCACCGGTAGTCGTATTCACCCAGCCCAGCACGTTATGATTTAGATCATCATCAAAATCAGTGATCACCTTGTTGGCGCCGTTTGACCAGTCCGCTGAAGCATTTTGAAGTGAGTCGACAACTTTATCAGCAAAAGCACCGACCTCTGTAGTCAGTGCTGGGACTGTCTTTGCAACTGCCCTGAGCAATATGTATTGACACAAGCAGGCGAAAAGGGCGGCGAGGGCGAGGGCCAGAACTAGGAGTGCAGTTGGTGATGTAGCATAGGCTATTGCCCAGCGAACCAGAATTTGCCGACGACTGTTGCTGAAACGGCTGGCAGCCTTGATACCTGCAGCTGCAGAGTAAGGCCTTGAAACGATATAAACGACATCCATCGGGTCGTGGGTGTCCTTGCGCACCAGCTGTGAGCGTTCATTCATATGTCGCCAACGTCGGATTTCTTGCCATGCCACAGGAACGCAGGCCAGGATAGCAGCCACGACCAGCACGGCAATAAAGATTTTTTTGGCGGTGGAGACTACGTCCCCTACCCCATCAAAGAATCCGTTGATACCATCATTATCATTGCAGAATGTCAACTGCTTCTTTTGGGGAACGGGAAGACCCGAGCGGTCGAATGTGTAGTTTCCGAGGTGGAGATTGAGCAGCTTCTTGACTTCTTCAAAGGGAAACCGAATGATCTTTTCGGTCTCGTTTTGAACTTGGTCGAAAGTGGGGATCGAGCTGTTGAGTTTGTCGAGCTTCTCATCTATTCCTGATGGGATAGAAAGGTCGATATCTTTTATTGAATCGATAGTGCCGGTCAGATTCACTGCGGGGAGGTCGTCACCCAGGAGTGTGGCAGCTTTGTTGACTTTGCTGATAATTCCTTCGAGTGCAGTCTCAAATTTGTCCGCTGATTTCGTGAGACCGCTGCTGATATCGTGTAGAGTGCTGTTTAATCCATCGAGCACATCTTCAATAAGCCCGGTTGTCACCGATACAGTTGCGCGCACAGCCAGAGTGATAAGGCACAAATATGTCTGATACATCATTTTGATGACGAACAGAATAAGCTCTTCGACGCCTGTTATGGTCAACAGCAGCATTGATCGCAGACCGTGGACCGCCTCCTCGATACCCGAAGCGGTAAGTTCATTGACGCCCTTGGAAAGGTAATGCGGCATCGACGCCATCGCACTGCCCATCGATTCCACCGACGTACAAGCAGACAGAGCTTCTCTTTTTGCGCTCGACATATCACTATTCACACCTGAGGTTGCTATGAGTACTCGGACAAGCACAAGTAACAACAAAATCGTCCAGCGATTGATCCATACTTGTGACAGTCGAGCTCGCAAGCCGAGATAAGGAGTGAGTCCGTCCGGGTGTGATGGGACTACCCGTCCGTCATTCGGATCGTGTGCCCCGTATGGGGGGAGAAGGGGAAAGACTGATCGCCCTGATCGTGAGAATATCATCTTGTCGAGTAGCCGTAAATGAGTCGTATCTTTTGCGCCAGCGCTTTGAATGGGAAGGGAAAGGAAAGGAAAAGAGTCGGTGTCTCGGAGAATATTTGAAAGATAGAACACAATCAGGTTAGTGAAAAAGAAAAGTAGAGAGTAGAGAGCTAGGCTGGAGGCTTCTATTCAAAGCCCATGTTGTATAGTGTCAAGGTTGATTAGGTATGGATAGTGAATGGTAAGCGGATTCACTAGAATGTAAGTCGCAAGGAAAAGGATATATGCAATGTGACGGCACTAGAGAGGATGAATAAGAGATCAAATACAAGGCCATCGACGGCTTCTCTGAAAGAATCTTTGAGTAAGCTCGGCGCCAACAGTATCTACAAAATGCCCAATCTTTTTATAGAGAGGGTCCATCGGTAGCAACTCGCAACCACGCGACTCACAGCAGCCAATCAGGGAGGGAGACACCAACCCTGTCAACACAAAGGATGAGTAAAAATAAAGCCTGCAGACAGGTGACCGGGGTAGGGTTTGTTTCATCATCTTGAAGAAAGGCGCGTAGGTTTGTGTTGTTGCAGACAGCGCCGGCTGCCAAATATAGCCCCACCCGGCGCTTAGCCCCTGTCGACGAGAGCCAATCATTTGCAACCTCGAAGGCAACGCTCAAACAAAATCCTCTTTGATGATTTTATCCTCTGGTCTACAAACATGCTCATTGGTCGGAAACTAGGCAGCTGTTCTTTGTTGAGATGAGACCCGTGGTTTGACAGTCTTTGTCATTGTTTCGGAGTCTAGCTGTCGTATACCCAGGCAACTAACCCCAAACAGTCAACAACCAACCTTGCAACACTAGACCCCCATGCGAGTGAAATGCTTAAGAATTATTTGTAAGGGTTATCCCTTCTGCCTTGTAATGCCATATAAGCTGAGACTCAGCGAGCGCGCCGGGGAGGCCATGGCGGGTGGGAGATCGGCAGTGGGGCGCACGCGAGATGCGAGAAACATATTAACTAGTCCTGTACTGCAAATGTAGTAACATCTCGACAATACCTAGAGAAGCCCCGGAGGTCCCGTTGATGGTGTAATCTGATCATTCCATTCATCGAGCGACCATAGCCAGTTGAATGACGAAAACAGATGGTCTGTATTTCCGGGCTCCACGAGTTCTGTCCACTGTTCTTCATCTTGAGGCAAACCATAATCTGCCATGTCCACGCATGGTGCAAGATCGTCCATGCCGGGGATTTCAGATGTATGTGGTCTGTATTCGGGGAGCTGCTGTTGGCGGTTCCTGACGCCTAAATTGGCAGGCTGGACCGACGCGCCTCTCGAATAGCTGGAATTTTCTCGGCTCCGAGAGTCATCGAGTAACATTTCATCATGAGTAACGCTGATCGCGTTGAATTTCCCAGCGAGTTGGCTCAATCGTTCTAATTTCGCTCCTCGGTGGTCGCGAAAATCGAATTCTGCGGCGTCCTGACCAATTAAGGGATGTTTGCTGCATCGTATATTGTATGTTAGCTACGTCCAGCTGTTATGCAGTACTCTATCAGGACCAACCTGTGGATGAGTTCCAGGTCACTCGGGTCGAGGAGGTGCATGCAGTCACAGTTTATGAGCCGATGGATTGCTTCAAGATACTACAAAGTTGTTAAAGTGAGACTTCACAGTCAAGACCATCACACTTACTAGATGTTTAGCAGTTGTTGAACGGATCGAGATGTCTCGTATGACTGTCAGGCAATGAACAATGCCTGCTGTCAGCGTTGGGGTGTTGAAGTCGTTCGAATCATCGACACTGGCCAACCGACGAGGCTCAAAAAGGAGAACTGTAGAATTATAGTAAGTAGATATCCTTGGCGTTGTTTGCTAATACGGTGACTTTACTTTCAAGAGCAACGTAGGCCTGTACGCCAATATGTGGATCGAATATGAGCCTCTCGTTGAGTCCTGCAGAGATCAAGTTTGAAACGGAGAGAGCCTGAGAAATTCTACTACACCGGACTTCGTTTATTAGATCGGTCTTGGTAGGATCTCGCAGATAGATAGTTAGTGCCGCTCGACCCAGAATCATGAACAGATTGTGTCGCAAAACGTGCAGCATGATAAATGTTGGTAACCGGTCCCGATGCAAGAGCAGACTGTTATCATTGAACTGAAACCGACGTGGTAAGTCAACAAAAACAGCCTCCAAATCCTTTTGAATCACTAATAGACCTGCAGTCAGATGTTCAACTGTGTTCTCCTGGTACGAGGCACGGAATGCAAAGTGCAGGCCGCGGCGACGAGCCGCCGCGGTGCGTAAAAGATAGGCCGACATATCGAGGGATGCATGCGGGAGGCTATCGCCTGTTCGCTGCGCAGTGATCATACCATCTGGAATCAACGGTTCGGTAACGACGTGGTCGTCAAACAGGAAGCTCTCTTGGTCACAGGGTAGCTGGACACGGTAAGCGCGTTCGTCAATTGTTTGGGATCCATATCGCCCCCCGTCAGTCATTGAGTCGAGGTAGAACGTAGACCACGCGATCCGACGGAGTGATTCACGCGACAGAAGAGGTGACAGGCGTTGGTGTGATGGGAAGTCTGCAGGGAATGCGCGATCGAAGATGTGCAGAGACATCATTTGCATCATGCTGCAGTGGATTAGTTACTTCTTGGCGGATCTCATGGAGAAACACGCAGCGAGACAAGCTTACCGTGTACAGCTAGCTCCCAAGAGCCATGCAGATGTAAAATGTCCGCGATGAAAGTCATAGTGTTGCGCGAGGAGTACTGTCTGATAACAGGTCGAAGTCAGTCTTTGCTAGTGAATTGGACTGCATTAGACAAATCCGGCACTTACCATGAGTTGAACGGCTCCAAATCCTTTATATATGCGCGGAAGAAGAGCACTGATTGCTGCATCGGCCCACCCATCGGCTCGGGCCAGGGTCTCGGTGGTGATTGGGGCGCCGAACCTGCAGAACATCAACGATGGTTTCCGACGATACTGCACTGCAAGTGGGGGGGCTTTGGAATTTTTTTACCGACAAGCACTGGCAATCATCATTAGAGTTAGTTCACGCGGGGCTTCCCCATTGACCAAGAGTCGTTGAAAATGGAGAGGGTGGACAAAAGCGAAGAAGCCGAAATCTGGAGCGATATTAGTCAACATCACACCTTTCACGGACTAAAACGCATAGCATACGGTGCACGGATGAGAAGTATAACTGGACAATATCCTGGAGCTCTTTGCCCTCTGGTAGCTGGCCTAGTCGCGCGCGCTGCGACGATGAGCTGTCCGAGAGATCCGGTGACACAGGGTCAGCAAGCGGTCGAGACCTCATGCACTCAATGCCCTGTGTCCGACATCTCTCACATATATTACCGAAATCATCGGTGCATTTTAACTAGGAGTGATGGTGTCGGAGATATGTTTCAATCATGATGGTAGCTTGAACGGGGACCGACCTTCTTGGCGCGACATCCGTCACACGCCGTCGCGTTGGCTCTGCGAGAAGTCCTTGTGCGTTTTGGCTCCTCTTTGAACCAAGTACATGTACGGTTTCCTCTGTAGCATTGGGTGCAGTAAGGCTTCTTTTCATCGCATTTAATCTGTTGTTGGAGGTCAGATCATGCTCGTTCACCTACGAACGTGAAGCACTAACCTTCCGAGATCGGCATGTTTGACAACCCGTGCGCGTCCGCTGAATTCGTGCTCTTCTCGACTCAATATTTCCAGACATGTGCACTGCGATGGGCGGTGTTAGGCTGTCCATTCGGAGGACAAAGTTTGTAGGAATCAAAATTGGGAAAATGGGAAAACTGGAGGTGGTGGCGGGGAAAGGCCAAATCAGATCACTTCATTGGATACCCGCCAGTCTAATGATAGTACTGCAACATCGTGATATTGGTAACTTCAACCTATTCCACCCTTTTCAATTTGGCCTGAATCCAGTGTCTTGGCTATGTACTTTATGAATTTCACCTACGACTCGTAGCGTAGTCTAACTAAGAAGGATACAGTGTCTACTGGTTAATACTACCAGTACTAGCAACTAGGCCGAGCTCCCCCACGAGCCTCCATCCAGCACTTTTGCAGCTCCATTTCATCCTCCCACAGCTCTGGTGCTTCATCTTCGCCCAACCCTGGCGCCACAGCCTTTTCCCCCCAAACAATCCCACACTCGATCACGTACTCATCCCAGCAATCTAATAGTTCCTGGAACTTTTCTGGCTCTTCCTGCGCTAAATCATTCGTCTCTCCCGGGTCCCGTGAGATATTAAATAATTCCCATCCATCATCCCCCTCTCCAGCACCTCCTTGTGCCTTCGCAAAATGCACAATCTTCCAGTCACCTTTGCGCAATGCTCCACGAGCAGAGAGCTCCCATCCAATAGGCTCTGAAGAAGAATGAATTGCCCAGTTCACATTGTCCTCAACGCTTTCCCCACGATCGAAAAATGGTACCCACGAAGTGCCTCGGACGGCGTGCACATCCCTGTCGCGGAATTTGGTCATCGCTCGAGTGCCGTTGGTAACCGGTGGCGGTAAAGATACACCCGCCAAATCAAGAAATGTGGGAACAAAATCCATGACCGTTGTAAAGGATCGACTTAACGAGCCTGGTGATAATTGGGGAAAGCTACTTGCGGGAGGCTTGATTACACAGGGAACTAAAATACCTCCCTGGGATGGGAAACATTTGAAGAGCCTCGAGGGTGCGGTCGATGCCTGGGCCCATAGAGGACCAAGCCTATTACAGTTAGCTGCTCTTCTTTCATAACTTGCCAGCGCGACGTACCACGTGTATGAGTTGTAAGCACCGATGTTCTCGTATGAATTGTCATAATATTTGTGGATCGCAGACTTGATATCTGTACCTAAGACAGCTAAAATCGAGGTTAATTTTTGGCATTCAGTCGTTTAAGAGTGAACGATACTTACGGGCAGCTTCCAATCTAATTATCGAAAATATCAATTAACGGAAAAAAGTCAAAGATGTACGGGGTGGGACTTACGCCGCTCCTTCTGCCCCATTGTCGCTCATGAAAACGACAAAGGTGTTGTCGTACTCGCCTGTCATCTTCAGATATTCGATGACTTTGCCAATATTCACATCGATAGAGTCGACCATGCCTGCGTATGTCTCCATCGCACGGATTGAGAGCTTTTTTTCTTCTGGGGTGAAGGCATCCCATTCTTCGGCCCCTACTTTACTCGTCTCTACTTTATGCGGAACGATCGCTTCGTCGATAATGCCCATTTCGACGAGCTTCTCAAGTCGGCGCTCACGAAGGGCGTATGGGCCATCATCATAGACTCCCTTGTATCTTGCCGATAGATTAGCAAAACAATACTGGATTTGCGGGTTGCGTATATTCACTTATCACGCTGTGCGCGGGAGCACTGCAGAGGCCAATGGGGCGCAGTGTATGGTAGGAACGAGAAGAATGGTTTCGACTTCTCATCCTCCGTTCGCTCTTCGAAATACTTAATCAACTGGTTGGTATAATAGTCTGTCGAATAAAAACCTTCAGGGTCTTCGGTCTTGTTCGGTGTTCTGCATTGTAATACTGGTCAGTACTGGTAGAGTTGGGGCAATAATGTAATAAGCCCACTCACAAATCTACTTTCTGCCCTAGCTCAGCATGGATAGGTCGTCCACCAATGGGGAATTTCTCCTGAACCGGCTCCCATCCGTAATGATTGCAGCATCCAGGGAGCATTGCAAATGCCTTCTGGAAGCCGCGCTCCCATGGGCCTTGTGACGTCCGCATACCTAGATGCCACTGTGATAAAATAAGTATCGATAGTATAGCCAGACTTTAGCAGTAACCTGACATAATACACACCTTTCCAGACATCACAGTAAAGTATCCGTTGTCCTGTAGTATCTCAGGCAAGACAGCCACATCGCGATTGAGAAACCCCTCGTAGCCGGCTTTGCCTGACCACCGCTCCGCGCCCTTCGCGTTTTGCTTGAATTCGATCAGAGTGCCTAGTCCACCGAGATGGGCATCTGTCCCGCTCAGTAGCATTGCTCGTGTCGGCGAGCAAGCGGCTGCAGCATGGTGGTTGATCATTCTTGCACCTTGCGCTGCGAGCTCATCAATATTTGGCGTGTGTATCTCGGATCCATAGCAGCCTATATCGGAGAACCCCTATCGTAACCGTTTAGCAAATATAATTCATTAAGACAACTATAATGGACTTACTAGATCATCTGCGAGAATGAAGAGAAAGTTTGGCTGTTTCAGAGAGCTATCCATGCTGGACGGGAGTGTAGAGGATCGCCAAAAGGACAGAGTATTTTACGGATCATTAATACAATTGCTTCTCACGAAAGAGAAAAGAATTGTTTGTTATAACGACAGAGTGGACACTGAATTGCGACAGCCAATTTATTCGAGTCACGGAGGAAACAATAAAGGAATAAGGGATTGTTGAACTCCATGCGTCCTCGCTCGGAATGCACCCACCTCGCTCGGAACAAAGACAGCTCGCTCGGAAGACTGGACCCATATCGCTCGGGAATGTTCGATGGAACTCCGAGCGAGAAGAGCCAGATCGACCGGCACAGTAATGGTGCAGCCGCGCTGGTTGGTTTTCAATTACCCCAGGTTGTGGGGTAATTATGCCATCGCAGCTAACGTCGGTAGGATATCCAATGGATTCTTTCTGTCGCTCTGGACCCTGGAGACCTCACCAAAATTTATCATATAAGCCCACCGCCGTCCATCGTCCTTTTATTAAAATAACTTGCAGTTTTACCTGCCATTCTTCTTTTTTCAAGCCGACTCCGGTGAAGCTTTACTGGCCCTTTTGAAGGTCATTACGCCGCAGCAAAATGACGACTCTACGTTCTTTCCGGTCCATGGCGGCCCCTATGCTGCTGTTCTCTTGTTTCTGTCTGCTCACAGGCGACATGTTGTTTGGGTTTGACACCGGGAGCTTTGGTGGGATTCTTGGTAATCCGGTATAGTAAAGACAATGATTGACACTATGCCGTTAGGCAGATTATGTAGCTGACTGATTGTAGGGCTTCGTCAATCAATTTGGTACCTATCAACCGGAAACGCAGACCTATAAAATCAGTTCTCTCAACACGTCCCTTTTGTCATCTCTGGCATTTATTGGAAAGTTTTTTGGTTGCTTGGCTGCGGGCCCCGCGATAGAGAAGTACGGACACCGCATGGTGCTCTATGCTCTCTCCGTTATTTCGATCATTGGTGTCATCGGTGAGTTCACTGCTCTCCCGAGGGCCGTCATAGTTCTGATTGGGTACTACCATAGTTGAAATCACCGCCGCTGATATTGGGCCCGGGACTGGACGCCTTGTACAGTTTATTGTGGGCCGAATTATTGTATACATCTCTATTGGTTTAGTAGAGGTTGATGTGACGTGAGTTCCTCTTCTCAGAATGAAGTCAGCATGCTATTATTTAGCTAATATAAGAATCTTTCTACAGAACATATCAGTCGGAGATTGTCCCAGCCTCATTCCGCGGTCTTGTTGTGGTCTCCTTGCAGCTCTTCCTTGTAGCAGGTAGTCTCGTTGCCAGTGGTGCCAACAAGGCTTATGAGACTGAATCGAGCGGAGTAGGCTGGAAGACAATAACAGGAATTCAGCTTATATTTCCTGTGTGTATGTAAATTCACTTCCCCTGGGTATACTCTGATCGTCACTCATATTTCCCTGCCCTACAGTGATCATTATATGCAGCATCTTCATACCGAACTCTCCCCGGTGGCTACTTTCTAAAGACCGAGATGAGGATGCTATTGCATCTCTACGTCGACTACGCCCCGAGGAAGATGCATCAAACGGCAAGTGCGAAGCAGAAATCAGTGAGATTCGAGAGGGTCTACGCGAAGTAGTACACAAAAGCGCGTGGATAGACTTGATCCGAGGAAGCAACCTCCGCCGCACCTCCATCGTCATTGTCTTCTACTTTTTTCAACAGGTAGGCCACAAAATTCCGACTCCGTTACAAATATTTAATCAAATAGGCCACTGGACAAGCATTCGTATCAACCTACCAGACAAAATTCTACCAGCAGAACGGGTATGCAGAATACGCCTACACCTATCCCCTTGCCAGTAGCGTTCTTGGTGTCGTCGCTGTGCTCGTGGCTATGTGTTTTATTGACAAGTTGGGGTAAGTATATAAGTTCTTCACCCAAGGCCATTCTAATTTCCTATCTGCAGCCGGCGGTATACACTCTTCATGAGCTACGCCTTTCAAGCCCTTTGGATGTATGTACTCGCAGGCCTGGGAGGGGTAGCCCATCCGACCGCTGCTTCTCGAGATGCCATCGTAGCAGCCTTTATGCTATACCAGCTATTCTATAATGTAAGCCCCCCATTGTTGTATATATGACAATTGTTGTATATATGAGAGGTCCTTCACTAATTCTCTGCCTAGGCTGGTGGGGCCTCAATCCCATACCTATTAGGAGCAGAAATTCCAAATGCCGCAGTCCGTGAAAAGACACAGTCGGTCGGAACTGCATGGAACGTCATTTGGGCGTTCGTGATGAACTTCATTATCCCGTATATGATGGAGCACATCCACTTCGGTATCGGGTGGGTATTTGGCAGTGTCTCGCTTGTGGCCTTGCTGTATACATTCTTTTTTCTTCCAGAGACCAAGGTCAGTTCTTTCTCCGCGCCCGGGCCATCGCTACTGGCTAACGTATTGTTTTCCTTTCGAACAGGGCCGTACCCTTGAGGAACTGGACGCTGTCTTTGCCCATACGTATGATCCTTTCCGCAGGTCCAACGCGTATTATACCGACAATGAAGGAGACTCCGTATCTCCCAAATGCTCCGAGGCGCCCATTTACGTCAACCCAGTCTCCGTAAATAAGTGAGGGAAATAAGAAATAACGCATTTTATAGTGTCTACATTGGCATCATGTTTAGCTGTGTAGTAATAACGAGGACTAGTATTGGCAAGGAAATTACTCTCAATAAAAAAGCACTACAGTGCCTGATACTCTCTCGAAACCCCCCTAGACTATGTTTTATATTTTATTTTTTCTTATTTAAAGTTACCTATCAGTAAAAGCCACTTGGGCATTATGTTGAGTCCTACGATAAATTAATATATTTCCCTCGATTTTTCTCGTTCTAAGGCACCAGTATAGGGCACTGTTTCACACGTGATTGCCCAAGTCATCTATCAGAATATTATGATACTAGTATATCAAAACAAAATTAGGGGAATATGCTGTTAGGCATATTAGTATTATTCATCACTCTGAAGCTGACAGTGCGCAGCTAGGTTGGGCTCACGACTCGGAGTGATTCAAGTTGCCCACTTGTTGCCGTCGACCCGACATCAACATTCACCGCTAGTGAATTATCCGACACAGAAAGTTCTAACAAACTTAGAATTTGGAACAATCAAGATTGAAAGCCCACCCTAAAAGATCTAGAATATCGATTTGTTGAGCGAATGAAAGAAATGAAAGAAAATAATCCGAGGATAAACATGGAAGTGTGGGGGGGGGGGGGCGGGTCTGATGCCTGAGCCTGAGGTCGCATTGCGCGAACATCCAACAAACTAGACAAACGACTACCTACCAGGCACCAGTAACGAGCCGATGTCACTCAATAGATTTGCAATCTTTTATCTCTTCGTCGCTCCACCTCGTATTACTCAACTTTCCACTCCCGGAGTTTCCCATCTGCATTGGCCCAGATCTCTCTTTTCTCTCACTCCATCCCCAATGCACACTCTCGGAGATATGAGCACCACTACGGCAAAGGTCCTCGAGGGGAGTGAGAATACAACCCCTGAATCACCCGGAATTTGCGCAATGAGACTGACCGTCAGGAATTGGCTCTCGCACGAGCGATCGTTCCAGCTGGATCCCTACTCAAACCTAGAACCATTGGACTCTGACTTCGATTACCAGATTGATTGGGTAATGGACCTTGTGGAATTCTCGTTCAAGCTCCCTCATGACTACCCTGATACACGAGAGGGGCTCCTTCGCAAAACCCAGCAGCTCATTCAAGGAGCCAATATCCTCGGCATGCGAACAACATACACGGGAGAGTCGGAAGTGACCATGGTCAAACAGGACTTGAAACGGAAAATTCACCCGAGGAACTTGAAGAAATGTCGAAATCGCAAATCCTATAGTTTCGGGTGCAACCTCAACTGGATTCGGCGTGCGGGACTTTGCTATCTCCAGTTTGAAGTTGACTCCGAAGACCACTTGATCGTGACGGTCGATGAAAATGATGCTGAATACCAAGGCACTGGATTGGATCCTGTCAGAGCTCTTGGTCCCCTCTTTCAAAGACTTACGACTAACTTTTAATAGGTCAAGTTCTCAAAAATCATGGTCCTCCCTGTTCGGATATGGCTACGGTTTCAATATTGGACTACCCTGTATCGGAGAAAGAATCCATTTAGCATACCAAACCTTACCACCACACTTCCGATGGCATGGATCTCCGGTGACCTTCTCGCTGGAATCATTGCGAGCCGATTTCAAAGAGCGCATCCGGATATAACTTTCCATCGCAGGAAAACGAAAGGCAAGGGGCGAGTGAAATCACAAAACCAAGAAGAACATGGAGACATTGCCAGTCCTGGAATAGAAAGAGGAAATTTGAGCCGAAAGCCCAATCCGCTTTCTGTAGTGCATACGCCACGGAGTAAAAATGCACAGAAGAAAGCTCGCCAAAAGAAGCGACACCAGACTCAGAAGCGAGAAGAGACAGCAGCAACATATTCCCAGCAGCAGGAGAAGCTTGAAACCTCGCTCATGGCAAGTGGCCCAGCCATTGAGATTTCTCCTCTCCCTTCGCTCTTATCCGCTGGAGGTGTTCTCATCTCACCTGCTGTGGGGACTCCGTTCCCTATATCGACACCAGGCACCTCTGACCCCCCAACTACATGTCCCCCCAGCGCACTTTCGGTATTTCTCTCCAACAATATTTCAATCGAACTTCAGGCTCGCCGTAGCATCTACGAAGAATTTGTAGATCTTGAATTATTGAGCGACGAAAAACAAATGGTTCAGATGGCAGGCATCCACGGCAAGGAGCGCATGGCAAACTACGGCAAGGACTGCGAATCTCAGCAACACTTCTTACGCGGAGTCAGTGCAAAAACTACGAAAGGAGGGAAATCTCCAGTGCAAAATTCATCCTCGCTTATCGATAAAGCTTCCGCGTTTGTTGGTGTAGTCCAACCCAGTGCACGTCCTACAACTTCTTTCACTCCACCACTTCAATCCACCACCCACACTCAACCCATCACACAGACACCTTTGAAAAATCGCTCGAGTTCATCGAACTCAACCTTTACAGAAATGAAAAATGACAGCTCAACAGATCCCTTTTGCACAGGACGGACGGCTTCAAGCCCTCCGAACCTGGCAGCAAGCTCTCAAAGTTTCCCAGGTCCTGTCGCTTCGGCTCTCACTTACATCCCTCGGTCTATTCCAGCAAACCGAGAAATGGTCCAGGACCCCAAGAGATATCAAGTGCTAGCAAAGCCAACAGATGGGAGCTTCTTTATTGACTTGATGTTCCATCCCCTAACATGCCGGAAAAGCGGATGTCAAAAGGTATGCAATCTGTACGATGGATCAACGGTAATCTGCCCATGCTGTGGGCCATATTCAAAAACCAGATACTGCTGCCAAGATCACCTAGTTCTCGATCTTCAGAGCCACTGGGGCTCCGAAAAGCTGACCTTCAGACACTATTGCGTTCCAGATTCTATCCCACACGACGTCCGCGAAGGCATCCCCTTGCTGATCAACATCCATGGCTGGGACACACCTCAACGCCACCGACAGGCTGTTTGTTTCAATACCTCACATAAAGCAGCTGACTATATCGTTTTTGATTACAGCAACCCCAACGCCACGGATCAGGAGAACCCCTACGCACAGCAGGAGATATCTGTCCTGCCTCTCTATCCTCTCAAGTTCGACGACCCCGAGGAGAAAGACCGATTCCGCAGATGTCTGGCCATCAGTCTCTTTGCTCCCGTGACAAATTCTAGATTGGTCGAGTACTTCTTTCGCCTGGTAAGGGACAAGATGAAGAGTCTTAATCAATGGGATTACTACAACGCAGCCCTTGTGCAGGACCAGATCTTCCGAGAAACCGGCCTCGACTTCCCTCCAAATACCGTGGGGCCCAAACACGCCTGTCAGACAGAATGGAACGGCAAAAACCCCAACCACTGCCAGAATGCAATCTGTTCCAGTGAACGTCTACAATATCTGCTGGGGGACCAAAGCACGAGAGTTTTTCACCGATTGGAATGCGAACGATTGGAATCTCTGCACTGGATCTTGCGTGTCAACCGAACTACTCATCCAAAAGTGAGTAAGGCACAAGATCGAATGCGCGGTGTAGGCTTTGACGAAGTGTTACCCAAACACCAGCGCCTTTTCCGACGCGGTGAGCAGTTTGAAGGGGCAGGATCTGGGCCGATTGAACTTGAAGGGGTCAATTGCTGAGGATATGAAGGTGGTGGTAAGGCTTTTATTATTTCGCGGTGATACTCACAATCTCAAAATTGAAATCAATACATGGGTCTTGCATGGAATAGTTATGAGCCTCTGTAGGATTTAAGTAAGTTCGAATTAAAACGATCCGTGGACATTGGAATAGAGTTTCCCACATGGACCTTGGTACTACTGTAGTAGTAAAAACAAGTGGAAAGACAAGATTATCATGAACTTTAGGGACAATTATCAAATCCGAATGCGATAACGGATAGCCAGAATTATATCAAGCTATTTAAAAGAGATTCGTTCGATGATGTTGGATTGGGCCACTCTCTACGCTATATGCCTCCACCTCTTTATCCATCTATAAGTAAGCATAAACACCTCTTTCTCTAGGAGATATACTTTTTGAGACCCCGGAGTCTCTCCTTGGCAGTCTCAAGAATGTCATCATTCTTGCAAACGGCAAAACGGAGGTAGTCCTCCGCGATATGTGCGTTTGCATCGGTGTAGAACTCTGTGGGAGGGATAGCAGCCACTCCGACCTCATGAATGAGGAACCAGCAGAGCTTGAAGTCACGAGGGCGGTTAGCGACATGAGCCGGGAAGGGATAATCGGCTGGCAATTTGACAGAGGCCATGTTAGCGAGGACGAAATAGCCACCTTCGGGCTCGGAGTACTAAATGCTCGTTAGCGGCGTTCTTCTCTGAAATGATACACAAAAGGACACATACGGGGATCTCCAGTTCATCAAAGATCTCGCAAAATAGCTTCATCTTCTGCTGCATCTCATTCTTGCTCTCTTCCCAGAAACCCTGCTTGTCTGCCTGCTCAAAGGCGACTGCGGCCGCCTCTTGAAGAGGCGACACACTGCTGTAACATATACGGGTGTGCGCAGCAGCGACGTACTTGATCAGATGCTCGGGTCCGATCAAGTAGCCGACGCGCCATCCAGTGGCGTAGAAGGCCTTACCCGCCGATCCCACGGTAAGGGTGCGCTCGTAAAGTTCGGGGGAAAGAGTCGCGATTCGGGTATAGGGGACATAGAACAGACGGTCGTATACCTCATCAGACAAGATGATGAGATTATACTTCACGCACAGATCACCAATGCGTTGGAGCTCCTCTCGGGAAAAGACCTTGCCTACGGGATTGTGCGGTGAGTTCAATACCTTTTTTCATCACCAAGTTAGCATTCGGGTTATAGACGAACGGTATAGGTTGAGAAACTCACAATCATTTTGGTCTTGGGGTTGATGGTGTTTTCCAGCTCCTGGAAATCAATCTTCCACTCCGACGCGGGCGAAGTCTTGGTCGCACCATCCTTTGGTGGGTGGAGGGGCACATATCGGATCGTCCCGCCGGGCATTTCAATGTTGCTGATATATCTATTTCCCACTTGTTGAGTACCCCGATAGACCTCGGAAAGAATGCCGAAACTTACTGGTCGAAGAAGGGCTCGAAGATGATGACCTCGTCGCCAGGCTCAATGAAGCCCATGAAAGCACTGAGCATTCCTGGTCATATGATATCCCTCGTCAGCTGAATATTCTGGGATCACACTTATGACTATTGCATAGTCTCACCCTCGTTAGCTCCAGTCGTGATGGAGACCTCGGTCTCGGGGTTGATGGTCTTGCCGAAAAAGGGCGAGTATGCATCTGCAATAGCCTGCTTGAGGCGAGGACGACCCTAGTTGACTGTGAACAAGGTTGTTCTGCGGTTTCGACATGTTCGGCACGTGCTCACCTTCGTCGGTGAATATTGGTTGCATTCTACCCGGTCCAGGGCATCCTTTGCAGCATCGATTGCGAATTGGGGAGGGTTGTAGCCACTGTAGAGAAGAAGAGAGAAGAAGAGCTTATGTTAGGGCAATTCAATTGACAAACGACCAGGGTTATGTATATCATATTCCCGATTACTCACAAGAACCCTTGACCCATGTTCACGATCGGCTGAACTGGCGAAGCGGCAGCGGCTTCATTGACAATCGACCTGTATGCGCAAGATTAGCGGGGCCTGCAGGGTGTGCGCTTTGTCAATTGATGGGCGCACCAAACATCCTGGCGTTGGCCAGCCACTCTCGCAGCTGGCTTGAAAGGGTCGGGCCGCGCAGCGGTTGCCGACATTGTTCTTGCGCCGTAATCGGAGATGCGGGGTAGAGGGGAAATGGAGGCAAATTGTCGAGAAGGGCGCGTAGATCGAACAAGGGAGAGAAGAGGATATCGAGCAGCAAGCATGGAGGAAGGTAAGTGCGGGGGAGAGAGCAGAGCAAATTGACAATGGAGTCACGGATTACGGAGTCACGGAGTCACGGCGGATTGCGTGCTAGCTTTCCGAGGTCGGGACAGTTTTCTCCGCAGAGTAGGAGTACTGTATTCAGGGAATATCTAGTGTTGAGCTGTTCCATGAATTATTATTTATTATTTATTATTTATTAATTAATTCTTCATTAATTCCATTTAATCCTACTATGGAATTATTGACTGCTCTTTTTCTTCTCCTTTGTATCCATGTCTTTTTTAGCTCTTCCTCTTCCTCTTCCTCTTAGCTATGAGATAGTCAGGCACTCAGGCAGCAACCCCGGATCACGAGCTGACTAATCCACGCGTCGCGTCGCTTCAGCCAATCAGCCATCAGCCATCAGCCATCAGCCATCCATCACTTTACTTGGATTGAGCTGTGTCAACACAACTGTGCCAGTTCAACCTGGCCTCGCAGTACAACTCCCTTGCACTACCCAGTCCTAATATACCATGGTGTCCTGTCCGATTTGCAGCAAGTCTGTTCCACAATTAAAGATCAACGATCATATCGATTCCGATTGTCAGAACTTCTTGGAAGACTCATCGTCCTCTCCCGGAGATCAGCCCTCGTCCCAAAAAGGCCCAGTTCCCAGTATCTTCCAACCGCCCTCTGCTCGGAAAGCATCCACTCAACCCAACATCACCAAAGAGTCCCCCTCTCGCTCTACTGTACAGACACCGCACTCTCTCAATGGCAAGAGATCGTTTATGCAAGAGACACCGCCTCGAGATAAGGATACAACAACACAACCAAATGGAAACGGTGCTGAACCACAAGCCAAGCGTCCGAAGGTGAACGCCTTCTATAAAGCAGCTCCGCTTGCTGAGCGAATGCGACCTAAAAATCTGGATGAAGTCTGCGGCCAGGAGCTTGTCGGGGAGAATGGCGTTCTTCGAGGACTCATTGAGCAGGACCGAGTTCCTAGCATGATCTTGTGGGGAGGTGCTGGGACCGGAAAGACCACTATCGCTCGGGTGATTGCTTCGCTGGTCGGGAGTCGCTTTGTCGAGATTAACAGCACAAGCAGTGGCGTTGCGGAGTGCAAGAAGATCTTCTCCGAAGCTCGTAGCGAACTGGGCTTGACAGGTCGGAAGACCATTATCTTCTGTGACGAAATTCACAGATTTTCGAGGAGCCAACAAGATTGCTTCCTTCCAAGTGTCGAGTCGGGACAAGTAACTTTGATCGGTGCGACCACCGAGAATCCATCCTTCAAGCTTCAAAATGCTCTCCTTTCTCGCTGCAGGACATTCACCCTGGCCAAACTTACCGACGAGAACATCGAAGCGATTCTGCAACGCGCAGTGAAGGTTGAAGGTCCAAACTACAATCCTACGGGGCTGGTAGACGACGAGCTGATCCGCTATCTTGCCCGATTTGCCGATGGGGATGCCCGAACTTCCCTCAACCTCCTAGAGCTGGCTATGGATCTTTCCAAGCGACGAGGAATGACAAAGGAAGATCTAAAAGGCTCTTTAACTAAGACTCTTGTCTATGATCGGGCCGGGGATCAACATTATGATACGATATCCGCTTTCCACAAATCCATCCGAGGAAGTGATCCAGATGCAGCTTTATACTATCTAGCACGTATGATCCAGTCTGGAGAGGATCCACTATACATTGCACGACGTCTCATTGTAGTGGCATCCGAGGATATTGGTCTTGCAGACAATTCCATGTTGACTCTGGCCACTTCGACACATGCCGCCGTGGAGAAGATCGGTCTACCAGAGGCACGCATCAATCTTGCACATGCGACTGTTGCTATGGCACTCTCGAAGAAGAGCACTCGGGCTTATAGAGGGTTAAACAATGCCTTTGCTGCTCTCGGCGAGCCAGGTGTGGCAGGACTGCCAATTCCAATTCACCTGAGAAACGCCCCCACAAAACTGATGAAGGAGCTCGGCTATGGGAAGGAGTACAAGTACAACCCTCATTACGTCGACGGTCAGGTGGAACAGGACTATCTACCTGAACAAATCCTTGGACGAACGTTCCTTGAGGATCTGGACCTAGGCACGCGACGAGACCCTGCTCGATGGTCTACGTAGCAGTGATGACTGGCATGTTCCGATACCGCCCCCAAGTCACCTTCACCTAAAGTTCATATACCGGGGATTTGGATTGCTTTACAAATATCTACTTATGGCCAAGTTTCAACATGCTTCCGAATTACAATGAATATCAAAAGGCGTGATGAGAACTTGGGGCATACCACAACATGAGGATCCCGGTTATTCTAGTATCTCGCCCGCAACAGTCAATTGCCCGCGTCCATTTTAAGCCAGACTCGTCAACGGAAGCCACTACTAAGCCGGACTTGAACGACGACGACTTCCTCTTTAGGAAAGCTGGCACGCCAGGGCAATCATACTTTCCTATCCTCGCCCACTCGTTCCTGCTGAAAATGTTCTTGAGGATATTCAGATCGACTCAAGGATTTTCTTGAACCCTTATCACTCTCCTCCCCACAATATATCCCCCATTATTCAAACTGTGGGGGGGTTGGCCTAGCCCAGGTATATCAGAGATACGACGCGACCTGACTTACCTTGACTCTCATTACGGTACAACTCCTACGCCCAATATCATTTTCTACACCTGTCTTCTTTCTCATCGCTTCTCGGTCAGCAACTTTCCCAAATATCGATAGAGAGGTTCACCGAGATGTCTCTCCCAACCACCATCCAGTCTGACTCGGGGTTGGTGAAGACATCGGCATCATTTCGACTGGGAAGGGCCAAGCAGAATCGAGACCGCTCCAACAGATATACAGGCTGGGCATTTCGGCTCGTATCTTGGTTCTCAGGGGACCCCTGTGGATTTTGCCCGTCTGCTCATCACCTTACACCCGAATACGCGACCACCTTCCAACAATATTCGATGGAAAGACCCTACGACAGCAGAAAACTATCAAGCGCTGGAGACATCGTCACCATCAATATTACCCGGAGCGTTCGCCCCTGCCCCCCCCATCTTTCGACTGATCCAAATCCACATCTTCAGTCTATCAACGGCCATGCATTTCACCTCCCTCGTCCCGGCAGCGTCGTGGAATATCGAGGGTACGGATTTGCGACCACCCCTGCCACTTCGCGTCGATATAGCAGAGAGCCATCCCCCGAGTGCAACCTCACGATCATCATGGAAGATCCGCCCAATTCAAAGTCTTACCGCGAGAAGCTGATACGAACTGACGAGGAACGAGCGCAGCAGAAGGAAGACGGTCGACGCTTGAAAGAAATCGGAGGGGCATGTATTGCATGTTACCAGAGCAAGAAGAAATGTGGACTGGGTAATCCTTGCCCACTGTGTAAACGAAGTGGCAAAGAGTGCGTCCGAAAATACCCTGGCAGCTCTAGTCCCTCTCCGAGTCGATCCGGCAGTGCGCAACCATCTACGCCTGAGTCTTTTGGTGAAGGTTGTTCTCACCTGAAACTGCCTAGCAAAGACAACCCGGCGGACCTCCCGTTCTTTCCAGTTCCTCTAGACAATCTATCCACCATGGATCCGAGTATCCCCTCGGTACAGTGGGGGCAATGGATGACCTCGAATGATGATCTTGGCAGAATTTCTCCTCTTGGCTTCACCCTTGACGGCGCTTTTGAAGAGAACGACTTCGGTGACTACTCTCCCCAGTTCGAGCAATTATTTAGAGCCACCTACGACGCTTGATCCTTGAAAGGAATCGATCGTTTGTTTTCTTCTTTGGGTGTGTATAATCACATGCGATGTTGTTATCAAAGCACTGTTAATAATGTTATGGTCCAAAGCACAGGGGCAGGCTGAGGCTGCACTTACACTCTTTTGTTTACCCTTTCGGATTGCAGGTTGTTTCACCGCTGCTACAGTTCGCTGCCAACATATTAGCTTAGAAAATGGCAATTATTAACAAGCTACCCATAAGTAGTAAGTAGATGCATGCATATCAACATCTACAACCAGCGCCTTGTAGATCAGTGGTCGATATTGCCGGACATTGAACGAGAAATAACCAAGGAGATGTCATGTAGAATACAAGTATTGGGAAATATTCCAGGTTTGAGATAGGCTTTCAAAAGACTCGGAAGCAGGCTTTATTATAACTTAAGATAAGTGGGAACATACTACTACGTAGTAGTTAACTAGTTAGTACGAGGTTAACTTGAACTGTGCTGGCCCACCCACACACTCCACGTCGGTCCTCTCATTCCGCGTCCCGCGCGTCTCAAGAATCTCTCCACCGCCAACACCTCAACTCCACATCGGGCCGCGAGCCCCAATTCTCCCAGAAGCTATCTGCGATTAACATTCTTGAAACCCTTGCCAAACCCCCGACCCATCTCCCATAATGGCCTCCGGCCAACCTTTCGCCTCGCGCTCATACGCCGGGACCAAACTTCCAGATCGCTCTACCAACGCAAACGCCATGCCTTTCAGCGCCTCTTCGTTCTCCAGGCACCGTCCCTTGGGAGGCACCGGTCCGGCCGACTACCCTGGTGTTGAAGGCCCGAAGCCACCTCAACAGTCTTCTGGCCCCGCGGTTGCGGCGCAGTCTCATGGACCGGCGCAGGATGCGAACCCGTTGAACCGCTTGACGGAGGAGCAGAGAGAGGAGATCAACGAAGCTGTAAGAACCCCGACTCAATACCCCCAAGATTCAAGGCAGAATAATTACATGCCGTGTATTCTCTCGCATGAGCCAAAGATGATGAAACAGCGTACCAAGCGGGCGCGGCGCAATTCCCATATTCAGAATGAAGAAAAAGCAGTAACGGCTAACACCTGAAAAAAAATAACAAATAGTTCACTCTCTTCGACCTCGACCGTGACCGCCACCTCGACTACCACGAGCTCCGTGTCGCCTTCCGAGCCCTAGGCTTCACCCTCTCAAAACAAGAACTCATCTCCCTCCTCACAACATATGGCGTGCCACGCCCGCAAGTCCAACAACAACAAAACAACGCCAACCCCCAAGCGCCAAAGGGCAACGCAGGCGCAAACCCACAACACCCTTCCAACCTCCTCATGCCCCTCTCCTCCTTCCAAGCCGTGACAGCGCTGAAGATCCTCGAGCGGGACCCGCGCGACGAGATCCTGCGCGCCTTCGAGCTGTTCGATGAAGGACAGAAGGGATTTATTGACCTCGAAGATCTGCGGCGCGTGGCGAGGGAACTTGGTGAGACTGGGCTCGAGGAGGAGGAGCTTAGAGCTATGATTGAGGAGTTTGATTTGGAGGGTGCTGGTGGTGTTACCCGGGAAGCATTTGTTGGCATTTGTTGGCAGTAGCGTGGGAGTTTGTTTATTACTTTTCTTTTGTATGAGATATATGCATTTGTTTTTACGTTTTGTTTTTGTCAGGCTGGTCAGATTGATTGATGGGCTTACATGGGATTCTATTTTTGTGCTTTCACTGGTGTTGGGTCCTTCGTTTTCTTATTGTTTAGTGTGAATTCTTTCTCTTACTGCGCTGAGCCTACCTACAACTTTGATATTGAAGATGAACCTAATTCCCGATGGAGGAACGTCAAACAAAGATACGTCTAGTCTGATGAATTTGTAGTTGAGAATCCTTTCTCTCTAGAATAATAAATTGTTTCAAGAACGAACATTAGACACATCCACAAGAAGAGAAGCCTAATAATGCAAAAAGGAAGGAGATGAAGAAATCTCCAACCCCATCGACCAGTTATCGTTAACGCCAAAGACAGTGCCAGGCATTTTTCAAGGCACTTCCAATAGAATCCATATTATCCAAATAATGCAAGAAAAGGAAGGTTTATCGTTAAGGTGGAGAAAGTAAGGCAATCATCAAGCGTAGCGGGGTGGAGGCCCAGGTGGCCCGGGTGGTGGGACATTTTGATATCCATAATTAGAGTTTCCATACCACTGGCCCTGCGGAGGGCCACGAGGAGGCGGAGGGCCTGCATAGCGACCCATAGGGGGTGCCCCTGGCGGGGGCCTCTTCGCTAGACGGCTCTTGGCCTTGGCCATGCGACACCTGTTGATCAAGCAGAAGAATATGGCAAGGAGGATGAGGCTGCCGACGCCAACACAGATGCCAATGACAAGGTTCTTGTGATCCTTGATCCAACCCGCAGCTGATGAGCCCTTGCATTGGCCGGAGTCGCAAGTGCCACCAGATTCACAAGGCGTCCCATCGAGATAGTTTTGATTCATCTCAATACAGGTGCCATAGGGATATTGGGTGAAAGATTTCGGCGCGCCACAGACGAGAGAGCACGAGGGCTGGTCAGTGTTGTCGCAAGCCCAGGTGTCGTTGCTGTTCAGCAATGTACCCATCACAGAGCGACATTGACGGTTTCGGCTCGTACACTGGCCACTAGCACATTTGAGGCCGTCACCGCAGGAACTTCCATCCTTTTCATATGCATCTTCCGGGCAAGAGCTAGATTTCCCGTCACACTTCTCCTCCTTGTCACATTCACTGGTACTGGCCCGGCAAACAGTGTTGGCAGAGGAAAACTGGCATTTATTGCAACAGTTGTCGTTGGAGTCATCACAGACGGCGTTGTCTTTGAATTTGCATGTTTTGGCATCGCAGCAATTATTGTCACCGCAGCCGGATTCTCCTCCACAATCGCAATCTTCCCCGGACTCCACGATACCATTGCCGCATTGGCTGCCGCTGATGGTCACAACACCCTTGTTATCTGAGAGACAAGTTGACTTGATGCTGTTGCGGCCGATGGCTGCACAGATGTTGCCGATCGTGCACGGAGAGAACTTGGTCATTTTGTCATCGGCATAAGGGTTCATTATGTAATTGGCATCGGCATCGCAGGTTGACGACGAGAGCGGACAACACTGGGATGACTCGTTAAGATCATCCTTGCATGTTTGCGAGTCACAGTCATGCACGGCACCAAAAGTGTGTCCAGATTCGTGTGCGAAGATTTGCCAAGTAGACCCTGAATTGCCAACTACAACGTTGGCACCAGTGACTGAGCTGCCTCCACTACTGCTGAGGCTTGATGAACATAGTCGACTCATCCATGAGACGCCGACCTCCTGTCCTGTTGGGCAGCCGGTCATCAAGGTCCAGTATGCATTATCGTCCTCATGATCAGAACGCCATTTGGAGAACTCGTTCAGGCGCCAAGTGATGTTCCCGCTATCACAACCCATATTCCAAGGTGTCGCATCGTTGGCCGTGGTGGGGCACGAAGCGTCGCTGATGGTTAGGTTCCGCAGACCGATAGACACGTTGAAAGAGTCTTCATAGAGGCTAGACGCGGTATTCACCAGGTTGATAACCCACTCCTTGGCAGCATCCTTGGGGGTGGAGTTGGACTTAAACTGATTGGTCATTTGACAATCGGTAGCCACGCCAATCAACGCGACTTTCTTTGTCTTGGGGCATCCTGATGTATCTCCGATTGTTGATTTGAGATTCACGCCACCGGAGCTACCGGACACTCCTCCAACATCATTACGTTTGCTCATGCCAAACATAGAATTCAGTGGGCTAAATCCCCATTGGCCATCGGGCATGTCGATGCCGACCGGAAAAAGAGAGCTTGTCAATTCGGAATTATAGTCGAGTTTATCCGCTTGGCAGCCGGTGGGATCATCGAGGGATCGCTTGAGCTCGACGTGGCCGCGGATCATATCGGTGTCTCGGTATACCAACATGTAGTCGTACGCGCGGTCCTCCACGTCGGCGTCAATCGCTCGCTGCTTGGCGGAGTAGGTCGAGTGCAGTTCGACGTGATGTTTGTTCTCATCAACACTGAATACACCCTCAAACAGCGGTTCAGGGCCATCCCTTCGGATGTTGACTCTTGCCCAGCCGGTAGGAGTCCATCTTCCCTTGCCCGATCCCACAAGGGCCCGACCACGAAAGACCTTATGGGCACTCCTTTCAAAGGGCTCATCCTTCCAGTTGCCGTCATTGTCCATGTATCGCACATTCGCATCATCGGCGAGAATGTCGAGGTTAGGCTCGAGCTCCAACTTTATCCGCTTGCCATCGCGATGTAGCTCGAAAGTGAGATCGAAGTGGGAGGTGTGCTCTATTTGGTGGGAGGGTGTGTGAATCACGGCATTATCGATCGGTGTAAGTTGACGAATCGCTTGTGAAGCGCGAGATCTCGCTAGGTAGGCTATGAGCAGACGTTCGGTGGTACGGAAACAAGACGAGGCATACCTTGAATAGGCGCGATCAGAGCGAATAATGCACCGATCACGGGCAGAAAAGCCCTGGAAAACTTCATGGCCCAGGTGGTTGAAAATATTCAACCAGAGGGGATGGGTGGACTTAGTCTCGATAAACTTCAAGGGACCAGGCAACCATGGGGAAACAGATTCAGGGTCTCGGAGATGTCGGGATCGGCACAGCCACACCCAAAGAGGGGCTGGAATTATGCACGCAAGTATTTTGTTCGGGAAAGAATTGGAAGGAGTATTCAACGAAGGTGGTAATGAAGGAGTCAATGAGTGAGATGTTAATAACGAGTGGTGCTGAAATAGACGTGAGGTAGACCGAGAGAAAGAGAGAGACAGAAAGACCGAAAGGCCGCCAAGCGAGGAATCCGCCAGCCTTGGGCCTTGGCAAGCCTTACGTGAGTTGGAACTATTCTTGGTTCTCTCCGTTTCAGAGATCGATCACTTGCATTAATTTCCCCGTTGGCATTGGTAGATGCACTCTGTACTCTGTACTCTGTGCCCCGTGCTCTGGATTCACATATACAGAGCATTCCCTCATCTATCACCTCCCATCTCCCATCTCCCACTCGCTTGCCGCCCATGCCCTGCCCATAACCACCTCCCCATCTTCTCTGTGGTGGCGCATTCATAATCGCTGGGGGCTGAGCTGGTCCATTCTGCTGCTCCACCGACCCACTCAGTGTCACCTCTTGCCAAAATCCCCGCTTCCACTATCATCTGCCAAGGCCGAGTCTTCCGGAAGGCCCGATTGATTATCCCCCCTATACATTTAGACTACCCTATGTACTATCATTATTTACTCCTTATCCATCCCAGGAATGCGACTGCCTGCTGGGCTTGCTGGAATCGTCGCGCTAAAAATACTTTCATATGTGATGTATACCATCACTAATCAGATTCCAATCCATTCGAGATTCCGCTTGATCTAGACCCGCGCAGTAGAAGATCATAAATTTAAAATGCTACTATTTTCATGAGTATATTCTCAGCTGAAGTTAGTACCCGATCCCAAATGCTCATTTGTGTATTTTCAAATTCCCCTTAATTGCAACCCCATTTCTTGTACATCATATCATAGATCTGAAGATCCTTCTTAGCATCCTCCGCAGTCGTCTTGATATCTTTGCCGTTGGCAAAAGCATCGTACATGACCTGTAACTCGGCCGTGTAGGCATCCTCATAAGAGGAGAGCACATTGCGTCGTTGAATTTCACCCTGCTCGTTGACCTCCTCCACTTCGACGTAAATGGGCAAGCCCTTGACATATGGGCTATCATATTTGATTGTAACCCGCTTGGTGTCGCCGTACACAGTAATATGGGCATCGAATATGGGGACTCGGTCAATGCCACTCTCGTAGGTCGTGGAATAGGTTGACCCATCTTGGTTGCGGAAGGTCATGATGGCACTATAGAAAGGGTCGTTGGCGGAGACTCCGTCCACAGATTCTGGGAACCCGAGAGTCTCGCGCATAAGAGAGATGTCGTGGGATCCCAAGCTACCCAGAAATCGGCAGTATTTCTTCTTCTCATCTGTGATTTCCTGGTTGGGGAACGCCTCTTTGAAAAGCGCATCCAGGCGCTTGTTGCGCTCCTCTGTGGAACTGACAGGGTAGTCGGCATTTTTGACTTGGAATGTACCACTCTGGTCCACAAATTGCGCATTGGGGCCACTGAAGTCCCGTACTCGAGCATACAGGATTTTTGGAATAGTCGCAATTTCACGCTTGAATGCATTCAGGTACCCCGGGGCATACCGACGCATATAGCCCACAAAAACACGAGCGTTACCCGCAGCTTTCTTTTCGGCGTCAATGATGGACTGGACCGAAGGCAAGGAAAGAGAAACAGGCTTTTCGATGAAGACATTTTTGCCCGCTTGGAGGCTAGCGATGGCTAGTGGGACGTGACTATCGTCCGAAGTCAAAATAAAGACCACAGATACCTTGGGATGTTCAATCAGGTCCCGCGGCGTGGTGGTCTTGTGGGGGACAAAGAATTTGGTGGCGCAGTGATCGACTGTTGTGGGTGACAAGTCACAGATTGATTCGATTTTGAACAGGTGAGAGAGAAGTAGTAGGCAAGGCCCATGGCAAACTTGAAAGACCTCCTGGACTGTTCGTTAGCTCGAATGTATTGGCTTGAAAGAAAGTCTAGACGCACGCCAGCCCCGATAATCCCGACCCCCAATCGACGAGACGAAGACATTTTATTCGATTTCAAGAATGTCTAATTCAGAAGATGACAGGGTTGGAATTGATAAAGCAAACCGTTTAACGGACCTGGATGTTGAGCAGACCGTTAGACTTTGATCTTAATGTTTGAGGTGTCGAAGGTGCGTCATCGCGGGGCAACTCGCTTGGCGGTCACTTTGCGCTATTCTAGTATATCTATAGACCATAATACTAGAATTCTATTATAGAGCCCGGGCTCTCTTATAAATATAGCATTTTAGTGAGATACAATATCTTGAAGAGTATTTTGAAAGTGTCTTCAAAATATATGACTGTTGTCCGATACGGTAATCGAAGAGAATATATATGGTCTCGGTGGCCGTAATTATTCAACAGCGGGCATGGTGCGAAAGTAATAGTACACAGCCATGTTTCATTTTCAATGTTTATGCAGTATCACAACATTGCGTCAGGACCTTTAAGATCCTTCTGTATTCTTTCCCATGAATCTACCCCGCGGATAGCAGCGTCTTCCGGCCTGCTATTCTCATCGCGCATACGGCGGTCAAATGTTTCCATAGACACCCAGCCCTTATATCCCTTTTCGACAATCCAGGCACGCACAATTTCATTGACTGGCATGTATCCCCCCCAAATCGGCTTCACCAGGGAATGGTCGTGCATATTTTGACCATGTAAATTGGTGTGCCTCGCCCTCTGTATACCACGGGTGTCCCTTGGAGAATGGCGGATCGAATTTTTCCCCGTCAGATAGCTGGACATAAAAGACTTTGTCCATGGGACAACTTTTAACGAAACGATCTAGCGTATCTTGCAGAGCCTTCTCTGCGTCCGGAAACTTGCCCGACGAAACAAATGGATCGGCCCACAACTTCGTGATGATATGAAAGGTATCCAAACACAGTCCGAAATTGGATCGATTAACGTTTTCAGCCAGAGGCACTGTTGATTCCCATGTTGAATAGTATGTTCCCCATGATAATGCTTCGTATGCGATAGAAACAACCGGGCTCTCGGCAGTTCCAAGATCGGCCAGTTGTTGCAATTCCGAAACAATAAGAGATTCGTCCCCAAGAGCATCGGGTTTGAATTGAGATGGTACCTGAAGATAAGGCGCCCCAATTATTCTGGCTATTTGGATCCAGAGAGTGGCGGTTTGCAACCGTTGACTCAGCGGGGATCTGTTACCTTCGTAGTTTTCAAAGGGTGCTAGCGAGATGATTTCGATATTGAGGCTATCGCATAATTGTTTGATCTTTTTGGCCGCATTGAATATTGATAGTCCGTTGGTTCGAGAGTACCCTTCGAGGTCTGAGAAGACTAATTCGATTCCAGAATACCCAGCTAGAGCCGCTGCTTTGATTTTGCGATCGAGGGCATGGGAAGGGTGCTGACCCAGCGAAATGGTACTGATGGCCAGTTTGTGGGGAAACATCATGATTTTGTGTAAAAATAGAATGGATAAAAGACCAATTGGCTAATGAAGTTCTCTGCGCTGTATAAGTATCTGCGGGGTCGGAAAATCATCTCCGAAGATCTAAGAAACCTGAACCTCAAAACTTCAAAGTCTGTTTCCTTTCTTCTTTTCTTCACTTTTCCCAATGAAATGGGCTTCCTGTTGTTTTGTGCCGTGGTTCAACAACAATACTCTACTTTGATAGGTACATCGAAGTATGTTGGTCCAATGATATTGCTCAGTTGCCAAACTATAACCTTGGAAGAGTTTTGACTCTATGAGAGCCCTAGCCACAGTGGCAACCACCGAGGCAATATTGTGTGAAACTTGGGGGAAATACGTCCGAAAGACAGACTATTCGACTCTGGCTGAAGCTGTTGGAGCTAATACATCGCCGGTGGGGGTGGTCAACATGGAGGTGTCACTTTTCAGTTGATCCTGGTAGCATCATTTGGGCAAATGATTTGGAGCTCAGAGACGAAGGATAAATAACTTCAGTATATCGTACGGAGTGGGTAATGCCATTGCCAATGCAAAGAGACCATGCCATGCCTGATGCCTGAAATCGCGGTGTCACGACTGGAGCGAGGCTGCCGCCAAGAAGAGATGCGCTCCGCACCATCGATCGCCGCAGATCGAGGGGCAGCGGGGGCGCAACTCTGCTTTTCGCCTGGCGCATCCCTGAAAACGGAAGAAAAGTGTCTCTCCTGATCTCATCTTTTTCTCCGTTCTCCAACTTCCAATCTCACCCCATTGTTGATCTGCCTCTAGCATTGGAGACCCTTGGTCCCCTCCCCCACAATCCACCATGGTAGCCGAGCACCTTACCATTCGCAACAACACCAGTACGCCGATCGTCCTGAAGCGCATCGAGCGCTTCGCGGCCCCAGAACAAAACAAGGGCGTCGACGATATCACCTCTCTGGCCAGGAACTTCACTCGCGTTCTGACCAACCAAACTCGCACCGCTGAGCCGGTCAAGTCCATCAACGATGATACCCGTCCATTCGATGAGGTGAAGGGCATTGATTTGCGCATTGAGCCTTTCACGACTAAGAAGACCGAACGAAAGGCTTTCGTTCATTCGGACAAGGAGCGCATGCGTCTGGTCTTTGAAGTCGATGGCGAACGTCACCAGATCCAGACGCCTGTCCCTACCACCGAGTCCGCCACAATGAAGGCACTGACTGAGAACCCCAAGCACAAGTTTACAGGCGTCTACATAACGCCCGAATCATACCTGACAATTTTCTCGTCAGCCAACCTGGATGCCTGGATGGGTGAGCTTCGCGATGATACCCTCCTCTCCGCACTTTCCATCCCAGGCACGCACAACTCCCCCACCTGTCATCTCGCCCCGCCCTCGGTACGGTGCCAGGCTGTTAGCCCGCGCGAGCAACTGAAGAATGGCGTGCGTTTCTTTGACATTCGCGTGCAACCACAGTACCCCGATCGACCGGAGAGGGATGAGCTGATCCTGGTGCACAGCGTGTTCCCCATCGCACTGACAGGCAACAAGTACTTCAGTGACCTGATGCGCGAGGTCAACGAATTCCTTGAGCAAAATCCCTCTGAAACCCTCATTATCTCCCTCAAGCGTGAGGGTACAGGCAATGCCAAGGATGAACAGCTTGCGCATATTCTTCAAAAGCACTATGCCCATGCCGACAGCCACTGGTGGGTTCGACCCAAGATTCCAACCCTCGGCGAGGCTCGTGGCAAGGTCGTTCTCCTTCGTCGGTTCAACTTGCCCGAGGACCTGCAGAAGGAGCATGGTGGTACTGGATGGGGTATTGATGCTGCTGCGTGGGCGGATAACACCCCACACGCAAGCTGCCCCAGTGGCCAGCTTTGTATCCAGGACTTCTATGAAGTGCAGGAGTCCCTCAACATCGAAAAGAAGATCAAGTTTGTTACCGAGCAGATCGACCGAGCTGGTCACTGCCGCTATCCTTTCGGAATCCAGCAGAATGTGCAGGAAACGAAGAAGTACCCCTTCTTCATCAACTTCCTAAGCGCAAGCAACTTCTGGAAGACTGATACATGGCCTGAGAGGATTGCTGCCAAGGTGAACCCTGCTGCGGTGGATTATATCTGTCGCCAGCAGCAGCAAGGCGATGGTGACTGCGGTACTGGCATTTTGGTCACTGACTGGGTTGGCTTGGATGGTAACTGGGATCTTGCGCGTTGCATTGTCGGCATGAACGCTAAGTTGCGACTCCGACATGAGTGAACATAGAATGCGTTCGAGAAAGGTTCCAAGGTTGTCTGCGGGGACATTTGCTTTTCCATCACCGTTCTATACCGCCTCATGAGTCAATGAGATACGTAATCCCATTTCGAGTTGAGAAGAATTTCAATATTTTGATTCTCACGCAATATACACCTATCCTAGGCAAAAGATATAATAAAAATAAAACAAGGCTCGAGCCCTCTAGGATGCAAAACCAACAGTGTGACCTATTATACAAAAATCAATGCATATGGACGGAGCCATATTAGGACGACTCGTCCTTCTCACCCTCGCTCTTAGGGTTCTGCTCTTCCTCCAGGACGCTTCTCCGGCTCTCCATGGTGAAGTAAAGGCTCTTTCCAGCACCTTCCAGAGTGCTGGTAAGGCTGGAGCCCATGCTCTGCAAAGATATAACAAGCTGGGAGCGTAGGCCATCCATACCACCCTCAATGCTACCAACCCACTTAGTCTGATCGATATCAAAGACCTGGCCATCGACACGGGCAGCCAGAAGGTTGATCTTTCGTAGACCGTTCTGAACAATAGGGTCGTGGTAGTCAGGGTTACCTTTGCGGGTAGGCGCAGGGAAGCCAGCCTCCTTTGGCGTCAGAATCGACAAGGCAGCCTTCATGTGTTCGGGAGAAACGCTCGGAATGGAAAGAACGGCGATGGGTCCGACCAAAATTTCGGCAAGCTCGTGTCGACCTTTCATGTGCTTCACAGCAAGGTAAGCAGCACGAGACAAGTCATGAGTCAGGGAAGGATCATCCTTGGAGCCGGAGATCGCGGGGATTTCGGCGGAGGTCTGCGTAATAGGGTCGACGGCGCTAGGGGGGTTTGCCGGAAGCCTGGGCGGCATCATTGGGACGGAAGTATTCCACGATGCGCAGGGCAACCTCGAAGATGCTGGTTTGAACGGTCTGCACCTTAATATGAGGAGCCAGGGCTGGAGAGGTTCTACCCTCAGAAGCAATCTTCTCATCGACCTTCTGGAGGGCCTTGGTAAGTTCTCGGCGAATGGCAGCCCATTCCATAGACTTCAGGTTGTTGTGCTGGAACATGACCAGAAGGGGAGATGTGCGGAGGAGGGAGGTGTAGGCGCGGAGGAGCTGCGATCGGCGATACTCGGGGTTGCGGTGCGAGGGAGGCTGGGTAAGGGGAGTACGAGCAATTGGGGCTTTCGACTTTGTCATTTGTTCGATGGGAGCAGCTGGTGTGGTTGCCGGAGCCGCAGCGGTGCTGGCACTCCTGGCAGCGATGCGGAGTACATTATGGCATTGAAGGGCCGGTTGCCGAAATGTGGTAACACGTAGCCGGGGAGGCATTGCGACTTGAAATGTATGCGAAGATCACGTTGGAAGCAATTGGAGATGAACTTGGGGTGGACCGAGATGAAACTCCGACGGCGCGACATTTTTTGAGATCCAAATATAGCAGGCGGTGTTGAGGGCGGGTTCTGCCGGCAGCCGCGTCCGCGGCATGAGGGGCTTGAGTCATTCAGTGGGGTTGGCATCATCCATTTGCGCTGCTTTTTAAGAGACCCATTGAAACTCTTCTACGCAATAGATTGTCAATTGGATTCTCGAACTGGGAAATATGACCTCCAATCAATCGGCGCAGAGGGCCGAAAAGCCCGAGGTTATTTCAATCTCCCCTCTACTCCAACGCTTAGCATACCCCTCTACAGCTGAAATCCGCGTCAGCGCAGAGGACATTGCTTCAGCTTTTGCTCTGATTTTTGAAGACCGACTCTCGGATATTCAAACTGCAGCTCTTCTAACTCTATTGCACTCGACTGGTAAGGATAAGGATGCTGCCGTCATTGCGAAATGCTCCCACCGCATGAGAGAAGCTGCTTGCCAAATCGACAAAGCAGCGCTCAAGAAGGTTGTCAAAGCCCGGGGGATCCGCGAGGGTAACTACAAGGGTGGCTTGGTAAGAAATACCATTCAAACATTGCAGCTTAATTTGGTTGACATAATTTTCTTGCTTAGTGTGACATCGTTGGAACTGGAGGTGACTCTCATTCCACCTTCAACGTATCAACTACCTCCTCGATCATCGCCTCGCCATTTCTCATGACCGCTAAACACGGTAACCGCGCGCAGACATCCTTCTCTGGATCCGCCGATGTCCTCAATGCTGTTCAGCCGATTCCTCCAAACATCTCTGCAATTAATGCGGACAACGTGGCCAAGGTCTATGAGAAAACAAACTATTCATTCTTGTTTGCCCCGAACTTTCACCCTGGCATGATGTACGCGAACCCTGTTCGCCGCAGCCTCGGTCTTCGAACAATCTTCAACCTTATGGGCCCTCTCGCCAATCCTATTGAGTGGGCCATTGAGGCTCGTGTCGTTGGTGTTGCTTACCAGAGCCTCGGCCCTGTGTTCGCCGAAGCTCTCAAGCATGCTGGAGCCAAGAAGGCGCTGGTTGTGTGTGGTGCGGAGGATATGGATGAGATCAGTTGTGCCGGCCAAACGAACTGCTGGAGATTGTCGGAGTACCCCAACCCGGCCTACAAGGAGTCATCCAGTAACCAGGATGACGACTCAAGTGAAGACGAAGAAAACCCGCGCACGTTGGTAAAGATTGAACCTTTCTCGCTCCATCCCTCGGATTTCGGAATGCCGACTCATCCTTTGACCGAGGTCTATGGGCGAAAGATGCCCAAGGACAATGCTGCCAAGCTAATGAGCATTCTCCGCAATGAGTTGCCACGAGAGGATCCCATCTTGGAGTTCGTCCTTATGAACGTTGCTGCCCTTCTTGTCACCTCCGGTATTTGCGAGGCTGAGACGAGCAACCTGGGACACGGTGATGATGGAAAGGTCATCACTGAGCGTGGCCCTGGAGGTGGTCGCTGGAAGGAGGGTCTGCGCCGTGCGCGCTGGGCGATTGAGAGTGGCCAGGCCCTGAAATGCTTTGAGCAGTTCATCGAGGTCACCAACCAACTTTAAAACGTGCTGTGCACAACAAGTTGCATATTTTCGGACATATCCAACCTTCGGTCTTCTCTTCTTATCAATTAACGGGTTGACTTTCTATTTCTTTCTTGTTCTTATTTCAATATTTGAGCGTGAGCTCGGGTCCACTTTTATTTTCGACTCAGATATTCCAGACGTATACTGGCCATTCTGCTCGCAACTTGAAACAATAAAGTACCTCCAGAATTCGAGTTGATTGCAAGTAATGCTCAAACTCAACAGCTCCCCCATCCTACGATGATGGTTGAAGCAAGATAACACTTAGTGATACTCTTTGTAAATGCTTGTTTGAAGAGGACGTTCCCACGGAATCGTAGTCTCATGTGATTCATATTTAGTTCTGTATAAGAACCCCAAAAACGCCATTTGATGCATCATTCGTCGCAAGCGAGAACAGAAATAGAAGAAACAAAAAGATAAGTGACAGTTCGCCAGGTCGCGAGTCGCATCCCCCATCAACTCCACCATTTATCCCAAGGCCATCAGACCGGGATGATTATTATTCATCGGATTCGGATTCGATTTACCGGGCCTGGAACTGGACCATACTAGATAAAGCAAGGTGAGTCAGTGAATGCGCTCCGTGTCGTTGAATAGCTCGACCACAGCTGAAAGAGGATCTTACCGCTTGGTCCGCTCCTTGTATAGTACACGGTGACCACAGTCCTTGCAGCGAATCTGGTCGCCGCGCTTCAGAGGAACGCGCGCGGAGCACTCGCCGCAAAGGTAGACGACAGAGGGGCTATCGACAGCCATGGCGCTGAATCCGTTGTCGGCGCCGAAGCCGTTCTGACCGCCGCCCATCGAGGGGACCTGGTATGCTTCGCGGGACATTTTGGAGATGGTTCGGTTTCAACGGAAGCTGCGCAAAGGTTTGATAATCGTGTGTCGAGGATAACGGGGTTGGGAGAGGGAAGCGTGGATGCGGAGATGTCAAATGTCTCGCGAGATTCTTTTTTCGCGGCGGGATTTCTGCTTACCTCATCAAGGCCCCACTCACTTCCCTTTTTGGGACTCAATCTTCAGATATGGGGTTTACGAGCTTCACAGCTTCTATTGCCTTAACCAACTTTGAATCAAGGTTAATCTGGCCTACTTGCTCTTGATATACATTTCGAGTAGCTCCGGGGTTTCGATATTGAAATTTTTACTTAAATTTTGTATTCATCAAACGATCATTTACCACAGCCAACAGCTATGTATCTAATATGCCCCGAAGAATGGTATCTCCCCATAAATGCAATAAATAGCCATCCCAGCGCCATGCAATAAATAGAATGTGTATCATAGGATGGGAGGAATAGCAATATGCTTTACCACCCACCGCCAATCTTCCCAGCAAGTTCGACCACTCGACTGGTGTCATTGGATGCATTTTGTTCTTTTCCAACATCGCTTTCCACCTTGCGATAAGTGGTATAAACAAGTTTCGACAAAGGGATTCCCATGAACCGCGACCAATTTTCTAATCCTTCATGGATTTTACGTTCCTTATCTGCAGTTGAAAGGGGGTTCTTGACAATTTCCGGTTCGATCTCGGAATCGGATTCCATCGAAAAATATGCTTCGTCCACACGAGCGAGCCAGGCACGCTGTTCGTGAGGCGTCGGTTTCATAGCTCCTTCAGTACCCTCCAATTTTCCTGTGCTTTCTAGCGGATGCATGATCTCACGAGCATCTTCCACTCGAATTTGCCCTCCGCCATTGGTACAACCGCCGGGGCAGGCCATCACTTCCACATATGAATAATCTGAGCCGGAGTTTCCAGCAGCAGCATTGCGAGACACTGGCTGACGCCGGCTTGCAGGCAGAGGCTTTGCCCCAGGGAGTCTGGATACTCGCGCGGGTTTCAATTTTCGGACCAGGTTCTGAATGTTTCGGAAGCCATAGTAGCGGGCTGCCTTCATGATAGGTTGCCCGCCTTGAGAATTCAGCACGTACTCAACAACATCAGCATTGCGTCCACGATTTGTGACGAGCTCGCTGCCTGGGTTCCGGGCCTGGAATGTCCTCAGAACGTGGTGGAGGTAACCCCCGGAAGTAGACGTTTCCAGCGACTGTTCAGTTGCTGAATATTTAGAAGAAATAAAAGACTCAAGAGTCCTCTCCGGGAATGGTATATTGAAGAGCCCTGAAATCGGCTGAAGAGGCATGCTCGGCAGAGAGAGGCCCCGAGAGGAAGCCAATGAAAGGATTTCTCTGGTGGTGATAACACAATCAACATCACGAACAGGTTGAGAAGTTCCAAGTGCATCTTTGCCTGATTGCCATGATATATCGGTGAGCTCCTCTCGACTAGCTTCCAACTTTTTATCGAAGCATGGCATCACTGCCAGGTGCCAGATTTGAGATGCTGGAATGCCGAGAGATTTGCTCAAAACTGTTTTGAGAAAAGTCCCCGATAAAGCTTGTGGAGACTTCAGTCTAGACAAATGAGGCAGCACAAATGGGTGCGTCTTTTCAGCATAGCAAATCCATCCTGGGCATGCAGAAGATAAAATTGGCCGCTTGGGAAGAGGGAACTCTTGACCACCGGCTAGGGTAGACTCTGGCGCATTGATCGATTCCGACACCTCGTCAGCAGTGAGCACCAAGACTGCCTCACGCATGGTATTTGTGTCGACAACCCACGAAAATCCACTGCCTTGCTTCCCGCCACTGCGCAGTCCCTGCGGCCCGCGTAGGAACTGGTCGATCATATACCCGGCCTCCCTCTCGGAGATACCATAGGTAGCCGCCAAGCTGGCTCGTACCTGTGGGCTCACACTAGCAACGAAGACCCTTCCCTGGTTGGGTGCCTCGGCATTGCTAGACACCGTCGCATCGTTTGTCTGTCGCAGGGGGATCTCGGGGTGGGCGTCGAGGGTATTGAGGACCTCAGTATGGGACTGCAATGAGATCAAAACTGCTTCTGCGGATGTCACACATCCCGAGCAAGCAAGGCAGTCGGTCAAAGAAATTTGGGCGGGTGGAAGGTTCTCGGGCTCGATTTTGTCTTCAGTGGTAACTTCGTAAGGATTCTTTGAAAAGAATGGCAGTCAGTACCAATAAAAGAGATGTGTGGTCGGATGACAGTTCAACAAACCTCCTCCTTTGTGCTTTTTTGTGGAAGGGATTCCACTGGCTTTATACACGCGACCCCGGGCGAAATGAAATCGTTCAGATCGTCCGCCGACAGGATCGCGCTCATGGTGGCGGGGTACCGCTGCGGGCGAAACGAGACCACACAATCAGAGAATAGGCAATAAAGTATTGCAAGCCAGTTCTTCAAAAGACTGTTTGCTTGGTGGTATGGTTTAAAAGTAAAAGGAAGGAAGGAAGATAATGCAAAGTTACAAAAAAGTGCAAGAATCCAGCGAAAGCCCTCGAACCAACAAGGTTGGCCGTTTTGTCATCCAATCTGATGGCGACATCGGCGCACCGATAAGCACTGACCGCCTGCCGTGCGGGGGACGTGCAGATGCTGCCCTCTCATTGGCTGCTCGCGATCTATTCCTTCTTTCACCCTTTAAATCCGCCTACGATAGGGTCTTTGACATCAACTATCAAAGGATTGAAGGTTCTGGTAATTGACTCGTTCGTTACATCCGGCATAATTGGACATTCATGACCTTCTGTCTCTTAATGAAATCAGAACTCAAAGAAACCACCAAACATCCCATTTGCACTTCGTAGTCCAAGCAAGATTTCCTTTAAAGATGAGATCTGGTCTCCTTTGGGATTGATGCTTGAGGGGAAATTGTTTCATACTGAGCAGCGGCTACATGCTAGTGGACGACCAATTTTTATCTTTATTTTTATTTCATTTCTCAACCATATACCTCCAGCACCAGGTCGAAATAATCAAGACCATTTTCTTTAACGATGCCACCCCCGCCGCCGAAAAGGACGAGATCGGGAAACGATCCAGTCTTTGGGAACCCCCCCAAAAGACCACTCGAGGAAGGACCTAGTCAATGTCGCCAAAGACACACTTGAAGTCATTCCATATATCGTGAAATCTCTAGAAGCACTTGGTGAAGCCCCTCGGGCTAGTATGCTCTACGAGCAATCTGAAGAGAGCTGTCCTCGACTAGACAGGGAAAGCCCTTATTTTCCAGACCAAACAACAGATGTTAGAGTGGTACTAGAAGATACATTCGATGCCGCTCTTGCACTTGGAAACATGAATCAATACTTGGGTAGCCAAGATCGAACTCCCGTCTGTGTTTTAAACTTTGCGAACAAGACTCATATTGGAGGAGGGTTCTACACCGGATCTAAGGCCCAGGAAGAAGATCTTTGTCGCCGAAGTACCCTTATCGAGACGCTCCATCCTCACTTATACCCCATGGATGATGATGAGTGTATATACTCCCCAAGTGTCTTCGTGTTTCGAGAGAACGCCTCAAAGAACCATAAGATCATGTGGACCGACCGTGTTAATATTCTGCCTGAAGTCAGCGTCATTTCCATGGCTGCAGAGCATGGTCCTACTCTGAACCGGGCCAGAGATGACTACGCAAATGCATCGTCCCGCGAGTTGATGAAAAATAAGATGCGTTTGATCCTCCGTGTAGCTGCCAACTCCTACCATCGCAGACTAGTTCTCGGTGCCATTGGCTGTGGAGTGTTCGGTCATCCTTCGAAACGCGTAGCCGAGCTCTGGCTTGACGTGCTATCGGAGGAAGAATTTGGAGGATGGTTCGAGACAATCATGTTTGCTGTTTGGGACCCAAAGCCCCCTCATAAAGTCTTTAAGGATTTCTATGGTGTCCTTTCTGGTCAATCCCTATGGCAATATCATGATACTGAAGAGGAGAGTGAAAGCTCAGTGAATAGCCGCAGTGGTAGTGATAGTGATAATGGTAGTGATGATGATCTGGAGGAGGTACTTGAGACAGGCCATAAGAGAAAACTTGACGAAGTGGAGGGGGCAGATGAGTCAGACTCGGAGCAGGAGCAAGGTGAGCCCGTGCAGGAGGAGGAGGACTCCGAATCCGAGTTGGAGGATGATGATGATAGCAATTAGGTAGTAGCTAATAGTAAAGACAGTACTACTACTAGGTACTTCTAAAACCCTGGGGTGTTTGAGGAACCTTGGAAGTGACAAAATATTCCAATCAGTTCGCAAGGGTATGACTTGATATCATGATGTCTTTTTAATCATTTTCGCCATTGTACTGTTCTATATAGTTTCTACTTTGAAGACATATCAAAGAATATATATCTCTGATTCAAGTTCTTTGAGGCCAATGACCAATATCATGCTAGGTATCAATTAATACGATTTCAAATTTCTTAGGTCTCAATCAATCTCCGGACCAGCCTTATGCTGCCATTTTGAAGATTTGGGATTTTTGGGATTTTGAGGATATCTTATCATTCATTGAAGCACATGAGAAAGGCTAATAAACTTCAATAATGTTTTTCACTTGTGAACACTTGAAATTTAAATCAAGTCCCATGAGTATCAAAGCTGCCAGTGTTCAATCTCATCTGTGCTCTTAGCCTCTATGATGAGACTCAGCTATAAATTTTGCTCTTGATGAATGTCAAAGCCCGTGCGCCATATTCCGCACCATAGCCCTGGTGAGTTGCTGCATTGCTGCCATTGCAGCAATACGGGTCCGAGGCATCACAGTACGATTGGATCTTACTGGCGGATGGGCAAGTGAATCCCGCGGGACGTTCGTCGAACTATTTGATTGTCAGCTCCAGAATCGAGACAGAATGATCAAGGTCAAAAATACCCCTCCTGCACTGCAGGTTCCAACATCATATGATAAACCTGCCCTGAAAAGGGGATCTCCCATAAAAATAGCAGCCTTGACCATGTTCACGGCAGATGAAGAAAGCCGGACCGATGTATCAGTAACTCCTTGATTGGGAACACCCCCACCACACAAAGCAGCGTCCATAATCTCGCCTCCCTGACTTGGTCAGATTTCGCTCTCCTCTCTATTAATTTGAAGTACCAAGGCTTGACGAACCTGCGAGTACCCGACTAGGACCAAATTGGTACCAGGGCACTGTAAATTGAAGGAATTGACAGCAGAGGCAACGGCCTGGATTCCTTGCGCAACTGAGCTAGAATAGCTCACGCTCCCACATGAGGATTGGCCACCGCACGCAGGGTAACTGATAGCCTCAGCTGTCGATCCAGAATAAGCGCTTAGCACCTCGTTGACAACAGTGCTGGATGACCCGTAGCCTGGGGAGACAGTGGTTTCACGTGCACCAAAAACATGGACACCAGGACAGTTTGCACGCCTCTTGATACCTGCGTCGAGCGGAGTAGCATAGGTTCCGCCGACGAGAAAAGAGACTGCCAATAACTTGGACCACATGGTGTCAACAGAGAATAGGTGGGAAAAAGGTGGAAAGGACTTGCCAGCTAGCAAGAGTGAGAAGATCAGGATTTGGTTGTTTTGGGATTATTTGTATGAAACCAGGCTCGGATGAGGTCCTCTTCAAGTGAGCGGAGACCGCGCCCATTTATAGAAATAGTCCGAACTCCACTCCTCCTGGGCGATCATTGAGTCCAGAGCCCTGGAGAACCTCGTTTGCTTCCTCGACGCCATACATTCGCAGGTGTTGAAAAGCTCCTTTCGACCGAAGAAACAATTTTGCCTAATATCTCACCAAATATAGATATTTTGTCGATCAAGCGTGGATGTTCTCTGGACTTGTAATGTGGCATCTCAAGATTAGCCGTGAAGAAATGCATCCAGGATTCAGGCTGAATCAATGGGCGTGTCACTCTAAAAAGCCTAGCTTGGCGCCCCGCCAAAGTATAAAAAGGGTATATTAGTAGTTTTGGATTTGGAACATGTTTCAAGAGGTGTGCTCCCCCGCATCATTTATGGTAACTAAATGGTAGATCACTCGTCACGGAATAGCTTTCAATGCGCCTCTACACATACCAAATTCCATCAAAAAACCAGGAATAACTCGGCAAACATGTTCATCAGGCTGGCTTTCCTGTCATGATTCCAAATTGAGTCATTGCGGCAGCTGGGAGAATGAAGTCTTAACCGGCAAATCAAGGAGGCTTGGATATGGATGAAGTATTCACGAAGGATTAAGCCTCGCCAAAATAAAACAAGATGGGAAATAAATTTATAATGGCGTAGTTTAGACTTCTGCTAATTGAGGGGCTTTCTGGCCCAAACACGTCGTCTTTAAATGATTAGTTGACGCTTAGCAATGGCCAGATCTGGAAGGCGACTTACGCTTTTTGGTAGGCATGAACCCTAGGATTCTTCAGTTCAGATCGAATTTTTCCAACGTAGGTCTGGACCTGCTCTGGAGGCCACGGATTTGGTGCGCCAAATTTGGTAAGAAGCCACATCCCCCATCCTTCCAAACCAGCGGACCACATATGATAGTTCATTAGCCCTGCCTCCTTGAGCTGCCTATCTTTTGGCCAGGCGCCAATGGGCCACTTGTTGCTCTTCTCGTTTAGATCAACAAACCCAGCACGCTCGATTGAGGAGCTCATCGTATTAAGAGTGTCGATTCGGCGACCAGACCTTTCTGCGCAGCCAAATGTGGCATCTCCCCAACTCGCAGCCATACTATCTTCCGGGACACTTTTATCGTCGGCTTCGAGATGCGCGTCTAGCTCTAGTTGTTCGATCCAGCCACCCGGCTTGAGATTTCTGAATACCAAAATGAGAATTCAAGACAAAGAAAATTTTGATCTGGAAGCAGAAGCGTAACGTACTCGTAGCATTTTTGGTAGACAATGTCCCACTCTTTGTCTGTGAATGCCCCAAGCATGATACGCAGGTGGATAAAGTCGAACGGCTCACGCCAGGTCCACTCGCGCAAGACATCATCCACCTCCAAGATGCAGTTCGGTGGCATCCATGTCACAGGGGGTGGGAAAATATCTACACCACGAACGGTAGCTAGGAAAGCATTAGTGCCTGAAAAATGGGCTTGCGAATATCCGAGTCACCTTGAGGGAACATGTCTGCCACGTCGCTAAGATAAAAAAATATCAATTTGCGAACCAATATAAAGGGGAAGAACTCAACATACATAGCCCATAGGCCATTTCCAGTTCCGATATCAAGAATATTCTAGTGATTGGGGTGTTGAGGATATAGTTTTTTGGAGGAATTGATTCTGTTGATATACCTTCGCCGAACTTCCGACAGGGGCCCGGAATAGCGGATTTGGCGTATCGGATTCCAGAACCACGGCAACAGCATGACTGCTCATATTCTATCAGCTTTGTTCTTGGGGTTTGGGGGCTATAATGATATACCCTGCTTCTAAGCTCTCAAATTGCAAATCATCGGCTGGGCTCCTAGTGCAAGGTTAGAGCCAAGAACATTATTTTTCAATTCCTCTGTTTCCCTCCGTGAGGTGTTCTAACCAGTATTCATCTTCTCTCATGGTTTGGTATCTGACAAATTGTTAGACAACGTGGCTGATGAAAGCCTGCATAGCTTGCTTACCGCCGACCATTTTCGATAAGACCTCTATAGATTGAGGAAGAAACTGAAGTAGTTTCACTGCGGCGGAAAAAAAAAACGTTAGGAAGTCGGGCACTTGCAAAGGTACAGGTTGGAGCATACGATTGATTATCCTCTTCAGTGCTCGGTTTTGCTATATAGACATCGGGGTCCTTGCGTGAAAATCAGACGTTGTGCCATGAGTGCAAAAGCGACTTTCAATATCTCAGTCACTTACCACCGCGATCCTTTCATTGGCATCGGCTTCAGACATGATGGAGGCGATGGAATTACCTGGGCAAAGTACACTGAACAGGGTTGAGAAAATGCAATTTAAACGGAGGGGGAACGGGTACTTTTCCTGTTGTTGTTAAACCATGGGGCTGCAACTCTATGCATTCAATATGGGGCCTCGTGGTCTATTGGTCGAATTGGTCGACTCGTACCCATACTCCGTACATCAAACGTCCCATCCATGGCAAATAGACCAATCGTGTCACTATTTACTGCTGATCGTTTCTTCCTCTGTCAACCGAAGGAAGCGTTGAGGGGCCGCGCCGAGGGACCGCGCCGTTAGTTTCGGATTCCCTTTCCTCCGGAGAGCTCCACAGATGATGGATATGCCACCTCCATTGACTCGTTTCAGTCAATTCCGAATGCATCTCATCTGCATAGTGAAGTAACTTTGGGAGTAGCATCATCCATTCGACATTGTTTGAGTCACGTCCGTAAAGCTCATCGAGGTGTATTTCGGTATTAATGTGATGCCAGCCTCTAAATTGTGCCTTGCAACACGAAGGATCGCTTGCATGTGGGGCACGGGGCGTGTCGTTTAGATTGTTACATTGAATGATTTATGAAAGAATTTATGTGTCATGCATTATCTTCGTCACATGAATATCTGGTGTGCCCCTCGTGTGCCTGCTGGGGACACATCGAGAAGATCGACGAGAGAACTTGGATACAGATTTGGGAGAGGATTGAAGACAGAACTAAAATCAGACAGTCATTCATTTTCTGGAACGTGTTGAGCGACGTCGCTCCACAGGGTTAACGACGTATTTCTCTTCACCATCCTCCTCCTTAATAGCGGAGATGCTCTGCCTCTTGGACCCGCGGCTTTTAATTTCGGGCTTGGCCTTGTCCTCAACCTCAGAGTCGTCTTCCTGTTTGGTTGCCCTCTTCCGTTTTGATGCGCTCGAAGTTTTGTTCGAAGCTTCATTGCCGGTACCATTCGTGGCGAGACCGGTCTTCTTTTGGACTGCTGGAACAACAGCGCTTGTTCTGCCGCCGACTGTGATGAATGTTATCTTGTCGCCATTTGGAAGGGCCGACGATTGATTCTTCTTGCCCTTGCCCCATCTATGCTTGAATAGCCAATGCTCAGGAAACTTTTCAGAATCTGCAAGAACTTCAATTGCAGTAGAGCAAACATAATGCATTGCGGTGTGGAGCTCCTTGACCTGGTCAGTGGACAGTGTATTACTGTACTGTTCCGGATGGATCTTGGCGTGGTAAAGAATCTCGTCACTAGAGATTATAATGTCAGATGTTGCAAAAAGATATTAGTTGGGCATACTTGGCAGGACTTACCCCATCCAATTTCCGATCCCGCTGATATTCGCTTGGTCGAGCAAAAGTGCCTTTATGGGCACTTTCCTGCTCTTTAGCTTCTCTGCCAGCCAGACTTCCGTCACGATGTCTTTATCCGCAACAGGTTCCGGCCCATTTTCCTTAAGTGGAGTATATTTTCGGATTTCGTCAGCTGGGCAATCGACAAGACGAACTCGACTTAGCCTGCGCGCATCGACAAATGCCGCTTCGGCCTTCGGCTCGTCGCTTGTTTCCAACAAAAATTTCCAATATTTGGGCGGCCACTCCTGGTCAGCAGGCTTGTCCGAACGGTAATAATAGGTATCAGCGCCCTTGATCTTCAGCCAGCCAGCCATGCCAAAATGCATCACGGCATGTGGTGGAGAGGACATTGTGATCCAGAAGTATTTCCCTTGCTGCCCGGCACCTATGACCTGTTTACCCTGCAATGCCTTTTGAAATTCGGCCGCAGTGGTCCCAACCTTTCCATAGACGATATCATCGTGCTGAGCCTGGACCTTGGAAAGGGTCTTGCCAACCAGATGTTGCCGGATGAAATGCACGATACGTGCAACCTCTGCGAGCTCAGGCATCAATACACGTGTATTATTGAACAAGAGACAAATACAATGATATAAACAAGTTGATGCAACGTATGTATGAATCGTAATAGGGGATGTAGTCTCGCAACGACGTGTCGCGTTTCTGATCACGAGATCACCTGACTCGATCTACATTTAAGTGCAATTAGTCAGCCAATGCACTAGTCCAGATGGGGGCCCGCCATTCGATGACGAAGGCTGCGGCGAGCTACCAACCTCGCCGATAAATCAGTAAACTGATCTTTGACCGAGGCCCATTTATATGAAGATTACACTGTTGTTCCTGGCGTATTACTCCGTGTTTCGATCAATACCGATTCTTCCAGCCTTCGACAACTACCCTTAAGTACCGGGTGCATCATCCGTCTCCACTCAAGCTGGCGTTGTTCTGGGCTACAAAAACGACTCGAGGAAGCGGAGGCAGCGACGGTGAAAGTATGACTGAAGCATCGTCAACAGAGGCCCCAGCATTGACTCCCCAGTTTTGCTTCAATGAAAGTCTCCTCAGAGGTATGTTGACCGAGCAGGTCCCACGAATTCCACCCGGCTGACCCATGTCTTCCTTCGTCTAGACTTTTTGAGTCTTTCGCGGTCGACTATCGACGATTCGATTACGCAGAATCTCAATGCGTTAATAACCCCGGCCCGTGAAGGTTTCGATCCATCTTCTACCGCTGTGCGACAAATCGACTCCAAAGCCCGGAAAGCAATCGATCCAAAAAATTGCCAGGGTTTCAAGGACAATGTGCTATTCCCATCATGGCAGACTCGCTCCGATGTTTTAGCCTACTGCGCCGGTGTTGCGACAAGTCCGGACCCCGATGATCCTGACCTGATCCTACGGGAGACCGAATCTGCGAGGGATCGAGAGCGAGTTGTCAATGAACGATTGGACCCATATTCAGCACGTTTCTTTCCCCGGGAGGCTAGGACAGAATCACTCGCGAACTTAGTACGAAACCAACGGACCGTGGAAGATATCATCCGCGCGAGAACCTGGGGCATGGTGACCGAGAGATGTGGTGGCTCTACGTCATGGGAGGATGCTTTGAACAATTGGCGTCACAGCAACCAACGATGAATCAGTTGGTGGTAAAGTCAATCATTGGCGTCATGAATTGGCTGCTTTTATTATACGGCTTTATCGGCTCTGGTTAAGCTTCTTTTGGGCCCGGCTGCTCTGCCTCTTCACTTCCATGTACGATAAGTATTGAATACATCACAGCATACATAGCGTTGTCTTTACGAACCTGAACATGTGTACCTGAAAGTTTCCATCTAAACACGCCAAGTTCAAATTTGTCAGTTGGAGGAAGAGGGGCATGATATAGCAAGTAAGCCAGCTAGGCGGTAACTAGTAAGAGCTTGCCATGAAAAGCTTTACAAGAACAACCCCTGGTCGGTTACACGAAAGGGTGCCACTCTGGGTGAATGCATTTAAATTTCCTGGTCTCTGCATTTAAATGCAGACGTCAAATGTAGACGCGAACCCATCGACGAGATTGAAATTTCCCTTCAGCCTCCCTGTCGTTCTTGTACTATCTTATCGGCCCAGTTGATTCTGCCAAAGTCGGACTCGGAGACGCCGCTCCCCGCACACATCGATTCCTCACTCGCACAAGTCAATTCACTCCAGCCCCATCGCCCACCATGCCGCAACCATTGAACTCCAAGGACCAGTCCTTGTTCCGTCAAGTGGTTCGCAACTTTGAGCAGAAGCAATACAAGAAAGGTCCCGCCCCTCCCCGCCCCCCTCAATCGTCCAGCGTCAGCTAACACCGTTTTCATCACGATAGGCATTAAAACGGCAGACCAGGTTCTTCGGAAGAACCCCAAGCATGGCGATACACAGGCGATGAAGGCTCTTATCATGAGTCATCTGGGTCAGTTAGAAGAGGCTTTTGTGCTTGCCAAGGAGGCTCTGCGAAATGACATGAAGTCGCACATTTGCTGGCACGTGTACGGCCTGCTATACCGACAAGAGAAGAACTTCGATGAAGCGATCAAGGCCTACCGTTTTGCCTTGCGCCTGGATCCCGAATCCCAGCCCATCCAGCGGGATCTGGCACTCCTTCAGATGCAGATGCGCGATTTCCAGGGATATATCCAGAGCCGCAGTGCTATGCTTCAGGCGCGCCCGGGTTTGCGACAAAACTGGACCGCATTGGCTATCGCTCATCATCTGTCTGGAGACTTGGAGGAGGCCGAAAAGGTTTTGACCACCTACGAAGACACCCTGAAGGATGGCATCCCACCCGTTGCCGATATGGAGCACTCTGAGGCTTGCCTGTACAAGAACACAATCATCGCGGAGACAGGCAACCTGGAACGAGCCCTGGAGCACCTGGAGAAAATCGGCTACCGGTGTACCGATGTGCTTGCCGTGATGGAGTTGAAGGCAGACTATCTCTTGCGACTTGACCGCAAATCAGAGGCCGAAGAGGCATACACTGCTCTGTTGGAACGAAACCCCGAAAACTCAGTCTACTACAATGGCTTGATTCAAGCGAAGGGAATCCCGGAGACTGATCACAAGGCACTGAAGGCTCTGTATGATGAATGGGTGGAGAAGAACCCTCGCGGTGATGCGGCCCGTCGCATTCCCCTCGACTTCTTAGAAGGGGAAGATTTCAAACAGGCCGTCGATACCTATCTGCAGCGAATGCTGAAAAAAGGTGTTCCCTCGCTGTTTGCGAACATCAAGTTCTTGTACTCCAACCCTGCCAAGCGCGACGTAGTGCAGTCGTTGGTGGAGGGATATATCTCTGGCAAGGCTGGTTCGCAGGCGAACGGCTCCGCGGAAGGGAAACAAGATAACAACGAGTTCCTGACATCCACCTACTATTTCTTGGCCCAACATTACACCTACGACCTGAGCCGCAACCTCACAAAGGCCATGGAGAATGTTGACAAAGCCATCGAACTGTCACCCAAGGCTGTTGAGTATCAGTTGACCAAGGCGCGTGTCTGGAAGCACCATGGAAACCCTGTCAAGGCAGCAGAGGAAATGGAGAAGGCCCGACTTCTTGATGAGAAGGATCGGTATATCAACACAAAGGCCGCCAAGTACCGCCTTCGCAACAATGAAAATGAGAAGGGTCTGGATCTCATGAGCAAGTTCACCCGCAACGAAACCGTGGGAGGACCATTGGGTGATCTTCACGAAATGCAATGCGTTTGGTTCTTGACAGAGGATGCCGAAGCGTTCCTGCGTCAGAAGAAGCTGGGCCTTGCGCTCAAGCGTTTCCACTCGGTCTTTAACATTTTTGAAACTTGGCAAGAGGACCAGTTCGACTTCCACAGCTTCTCCCTTAGGAAGGGAATGGTCCGAGCCTATGTGGATATGGTTCGCTGGGAAGACCGCCTGCGTGAGCACCCCTTCTATACCAGAATCGCTCTTGGTGCCACCAAGGCATACTTGCTTCTCAATGACCAGCCCGATCTTGCCCATGGACCTATCGCAAATGGTCCCAGCGGTACCGAGGTTTCGGAGGAGGATCGCAAGAAGGCTCTCAAGAAGGCCAAGAAGGAACAGCAACGCCTCGAGAAAATCGAGTCTCACAAGCACGACGCCAGAAAGGCAGCCGCTGCCAATGCCAAGAGCCAAAGCGTGGACGGAGAGGTCAAGAAGGAGGACGCCGACCCCCTTGGAAACACTCTGGTGCAAACGAAGGATGCGCTCAAGGATACTATGAAGTTCTTGACGCCGTTGCTCGAGCTCAGTGCGCAGAATATTGAGGCTCAATGCCTAGGCTTCGAGGTCTACATCAGGAAAAGTATGTTTTAAACCCGCCCTCCCCAAATTCAACACATCTTACTAATTCGATGCGCCAACAGACAAATACCTACCCGCCCTGAAGTGCCTCTCAGCCGCTCATGCCATCGATCCCTCAAACCCTACTCTTCACCTCCAGCTCCTGCAATTCCGCAAGACAATTGACGGCCTTACCGATGCCCTGCCCGCTCAAGCCGCGGAAGTCATCGAAACGGAGTTTGAGAAGCTCCTTCCCAAGTCCCAGAACCTTGAGGAATGGAACGAGTCTTTCCTGTCAGCCAACAAGGACAGTGTTGCGCACATTCAGGCCGTTTTGTCAGGCCGTCAGCTCCTGAAGCCTGACTCGAAGGCTCAGTGTGAGAAGGACCTAGTGGCATCTCTGGATTCTCCTGCCGTCACCATTGAAGAGGCCGTTCCTGCTCTTGAGCTGCTGAGCAAATGGGGCAGCGACCCGACTGCATACGCTGAGAAGGCTAGCAAGAAGTGGCCCGAATCGTCAGTCTTTCGGCTGAACTGATGGCGCCTTGAGCTAGCAAATCTCTTGTTCTCAGACTTTCAACGCCGCTTTTTTGATCGGTCACTTGTTATAGCGACGTTGGCCCGAATGTAGCTACGTGGATGGAAGCAGTGGCAGGTATACACATACTCAGCTAGATATCGAATGATGGAGGACATCTCGTTGAAAAAGAGAAATACTAGAAACAGTCCTGAAATCTATACCTTTGATATGTATCTCAAAAAATTCCAAAATACACAAATGAATGAATGCAGGTGGCCAAAGTACAAGTATACTACGTATACTACGATACCTGAAAGTTCTAAGTATTCCAACTTGAATGTTCGTAGTAATTAGTAATTTTTTATAAATTCTCAGAATTTTTCCAAGTCTAGAATGCACATGTCATGTACACGCAAAGTAAAACAAAAAACAATAAAAGCGCCTCTAATATACAAACCGAGGAGGGAGGATGGAGATGCAAGTGACAGAAAACGTGAGATCTCCCCATGTAAGGGGAGTTTGGGACAAAAACACCCGCAACCTTCTATGTATACACATATAATTCAGACACCTTGATACTGTTTTCATGCATCATCTTCGCCATCAATGTTACCTAGGATGGGTTTGCGGCGGATGGTCTCATCGTCCTCACCATAGCCGTAGTTGATCCACATACTTCTCCAGAATGAAACAGGCACAGGACGCTCTTCGCCGAGAATGTATTCCTTCTGCTCGGCGATGCGCTGTGAGCGAGCCTCGTCTTCGGCAGAGAGGAGGGAGTGCTTCATGCGCGAAGAAATGCGCGAGTCCAGAGCAATGTCATTGATCCACACGCGCTCTCTGTCCTCGTCAATTGGGTTGTAGATAGATTTGTGCCATTCTTTCTCTTCCTTCGCCAGAACAGTCTGCAGCTCGTGGTTGCCGTGGGGCAATTCTGCGCTGGAGTCATCGGGCGAAGAGGAAGGAGTCGCATCGATAGAAGCTCCGCTGAGCTCGGAATCGAAGCCGAGGGTTTCATTGCGGTAGGGACGAGCGTCGGAGGCCAGGACAATGCTGGCAACATCACGGCCAATGCTCTCGGCGAGATGACGTTGGTTGAAGTAGCGATACATACGGATAGGGGTGTTCGTGAAGCCCAGGATGTGAGGGAACTCAATGGGGATAGAGCTGTCGAGGGACTGGGGGATAGTGGAGGGAAGTTGAGCAGTAGGGTAATCGGCGGTGGTGATGTAGGCGGGCTTAGGGCCGGTAGGCTTAGAGGGCTTTTCCTTCTCTTCCTGCTCGGCCTTTGGCTCTTCAGTCTTGGTGTCGTCAACCTTGATATCTTCGAGCTTGGTGACTTGGCCATTGTTAGCCTCATCGGGCTTGGTCTCGGGAGTTTCTTGCGTGTCGGTTGGCGACGGGCTAGGCTGGTCGCCCGTGGCAATGTCCTTCATAGTCTCCTCAGCACCCTCCGGAACAGCAACTGCCTCTTCGACAGGCGCGAGCGGCGGATCAAGAGGACCCAACCAACCCTCGTGCAATCCACGGACATATTCCTTCCAGGTGTGTCGGCCAATCACCAAATCACCCTTGGGGCCGGGTTCGTCGGTTACGCCGATCTTCTCTCGCGCCTCCAGAACAACGGTCTCCACGCTCGGCTCTTCCACAACGGTGGTTTGTTCGCCGGCCTTTCTCCGGATTTTGCGAATGTGCTCCGCGGCGCCAGCGCGCACTTCTCCTTCCCGGCGTCCCTCGATCACGTTGTAATCCAAAGCTGCGGCGGTCAAGATCGGCTTGACATATTCTTTGAAATGATCACGGGCGATACGCAGACCATCACCGGGGGGAGCCGCAAGGTAAACGGTCAATTTCCGGCGCATTTGATTCACCTCCAGAGGCTCGTTTGCAAGATGAGCCACGAGGTCACACCACTTCTGTTGGGCGCGTCGCTTCTCACGTCGGTCGTAGACGATTGCGCTGGTCAAGGATCCGGTGATGGTGAGGAAAATCATCCAGTTTCGAGAGGGGAGTTTGAAGCGGATGTTGGGCAGTCCTATTGCAATTGATCGTGTCAGCGGTCAGGATCATGGTCATGATTATTTTTATGGGCTTGATCAAGGATCTCAACATACCCATCATTTTGAAGACCGGGTTAGGCGGCTTGGGAGCAGCCGCAGGCTTGCCGCCTGCAGGGGCTGTTGAGCTTGAAGAGTCGGTCATTGTCAATTGAAAAGTGGCAATCACACACTCTTTTGGAGACTTTCAAGACTTTACAAGCTTCGGGGAGAGTCGCAGCATCCCGAAAAAAGTCGGGCCCAGGATGATCCGCGTCACGTGAGAGCACGGAGTATACTTGTGTACAAATATCAAGTAGAAAGTAGAATCAAAGAATATCAACTTAAGGTATACTCACATTTATTGATGCATGGGTCCTTGTAGCCCGGTTTCTCTCCTCATTGCCCATTGCCCCTCGTTCCTTGGTCTCTTCGGGCTAATTGAATTGACTTCTGTTTCCTCAGCCCACCCACTACAGTACTAGTAGTATGTACTATGATCCCGGTGTGAGAGTACCCCAGGACAAAAGTCCTACAAAAAAATAAAAATTTGCAGATCCAACTGGCTTGGAATGCACTCCCCTGGCTCCCACTCTGTACCAATAGAATCGTCAATATCTCCAGGATCGTTTTTGACAACACCCACAGAGCTCAGCACGACGGGTTCGCGGCTACGTGTATCCACTGGGGCCCAGGCGATCCAGGGCCGATCCGAGGGGACGGCATACAGAATACTTTCGATGTAAAAGGTCAAGCGCCTCTTTATGGCAACACCCTGGGAGAAAATAGTAGCAGGACGTAGCACACAAAGGACCACAGGCAATTTCAGCCTTCGTCCAGTAAACGTAAACACCAAGAGAAGTTTGACCAGGAGGGGGGGTGGGCATCGAAGAAGTGGATTGTCTTTGCCTCCTGAGACCGCTTCTTTGCTCCCCGCCTTCTCCTTTCCCTCTCCCACCTCCATTCCCATTTCCATTCCCATTCCATCATCTACTTTCTAGTTTCTCCAACAACCCCTCCACCTGTCTGTTGACTCCCCCACCCACCCCCGATTTATTGGGAGCTCAGACTGTCAAGATGGATCCCAATAACAACAACAATCGCCAGAATAACAACATGAATTACGGCTACAATGACCGCAACTACAATGCGGCCAACAGCCGCGCCTATCCCACTACCCCCTCCGCCTTTCCCCAACCCATCTATCAGACCCAGGGGGGTCAGGAATATGTTGACCCCGCCAATCCGGCCTATTCTCAAGGTTATTTCATGACCAACCCCTACCCTCCTCAGACACAGCAACAGCAGTACGCCCAGCAACAGCAGTATGCGCAGCAACAGCAACAGCAACAGCAGCAGCAGCAGCAAGGCCTGCAGTCGCCTCAACCCGCCTATCAAAATCGAATGGGCTACCCCGCAGCCGATGGGACCAATGGTCTCATTCAGCAATTTTCCAACCAGGATCTGAACGCCAATCGTGGCAATTTCTTCGGTCGGGGGAACTCCCCCGCCGCTGCTCAACGCCCTCGTACTGCGGGCGGTTCGCCTGCCGGTCTTGCGCAGGCGGCACACTTGGCCCCTCCGGTGCCTCGCAGCCCTCGGCCCCCGTCGGAGAATGAGGAGCTACAGCGTTTCTCGGATAGATACTCGGAGAATGTGCACAAGCGGGGCAAGGCCGCAAAGGAACTTGTGACCGTCTTCTTCCATGAGAACATCGAGCGTGCCCGTGATCGCAACATGCGGTACGTATTATACTCTAGCTTTTGTGAAGCCTCTGTTTGGTTTGAATAGCTGACATTGACTCTCTCTCTCTTCCTCGTATAGCTCCGTGGACCTTGACAAGACACTCCGTGACCCGGCCGTCGTGGGTGACAAGAAACGCCAGGACGCCGAGACAATCTCAAAGAGGGAATCGGATTTCCTTCGTTTCCTCCGAACCAAGGAGACCCCGCAGAACTTCCAGACCATCAAGATTATCGGAAAGGGTGCTTTTGGTGAGGTGAAGCTGGTGCAACGCAAGACCGATGGCAAGATCTATGCCCTGAAATCTTTAATCAAGACGGAAATGTTCAAGAAGGATCAGTTGGCGCACGTTCGTGCCGAGCGTGATATCTTGGCGGATTCAAAGGATAACCCTTGGTTGGTGAAGCTGCACGCTTCCTTCCAGGATACAGCCTACCTTTACTTGCTCATGGAGTTCTTGCCTGGTGGTGATCTAATGACCATGCTGATCAAATATGAAATCTTCTCGGAGGATATCACCCGATTTTACATGGCCGAGGTCGTGATGGCTATCGAAGCTGTCCACAAGCTTGGCTTCCTTCACCGGTACGTGGTTCGACTCACGTTCTCTGACGTTGCAAGAGAAACATGTCCACATTTTTGCAATCATCGTTCTTTTCATACTGACGAACCTTAATAGTGATATCAAACCTGACAACATCCTTCTCGACCGCGGCGGTCACGTCAAGCTTACAGATTTCGGTCTTTCAACCGGTGGAAAGAAGACCCACGACAATGCTTATTACCAAAACCTCTTGAAGAACTCGACATCGAAGGATCGCAACCGCAACTCCGGTTATTTCAACGATGCTATCAACTTGACAGTCTCCAACCGTGGTCAAATCAACACTTGGAGGAAGTCTCGTCGCGCGATGGCCTACTCTACCGTTGGAACTCCTGATTATATTGCTCCCGAGATCTTTAACGGACAAGGATACACATATCTTTGCGATTGGTGGTCTGTCGGTGCTATTATGTTCGAGTGTCTTGTTGGCTGGCCACCATTCTGCGCTGAGGACACCACCGATACTTACCGCAAGATTGTGAACTGGCGTGAATGCCTTTACTTCCCTGATGAGCTGGTTCTCTCCCGTGAATCCGAATCCTTAATTCGAAGGTATGTCTTTCCCCCTATCCGGAAATTGAATGGCTGAACCCGAACTCACTTTCTTTCAATAGCTTCTTGTGTGACCCCGAGCACCGTATCGGAAGCGACGGCGGCCAACACGGCGGCGCAAGTCAGATCAAGAACCACCCCTTCTTCCGAGGCGTTGTCTGGGAACAACTGCGTGCCATCCGTGCTCCGTTCGAACCCCGACTCAGCTCCAACATCGACGTTTCATACTTCCCGATCGACGAAATTCCCCAGGAAGACACCAGTGCTATTCACCGTGCCCAGGCTCGTGCCATGCCAGACTCGCAGGAGGCAGAGATGAGTTTGCCATTTATTGGATACACCTACAAGGCTTTCAATGCCTTCCAGGCCTCTTAAACTTTCAGTGTTTTGAGAATACCTAGCTGGTCAGCGCGTTGTATAGGAAGGTGCAAGAAACAGGCAGGGCTTGCATCTACTTCTGTACCAGCATGGACCCGGGCTGCTTGAGGCTTGGGCGTTTTCATCTCTCCGCCACGAATCGTCATTCAGCATATCAGCGCGATGTTTTCCGAGTCATGATCCCGAGCGCCGTCTTTTGATTTTAGTCTGGATATCTAGCCCATCTTCTTATCAGTTCGATATACCTCATGTCGGGGCCGAATGGGGCTTGTTAAGAAGTATCACATATTCGTCCTTATTCGCATTTCAGATCTCGATTTTTGCATCTCATAGTCTGGAAGAACAAAAAGATCTGCCCTTATTTACATATCACCGCTATAGTCATAGATCATGAAAAGCTGACCTGCCTACATGTTAGCGCTCCAGACTGGTTGGCATTTACCGAATTGGAATTCTCACTTGGAATGAAACGAAAATCAGTTTCGACGTACTCTCCATATCTAAATATTACCATCCATGGATGATGCTTAGTAGAAGATATTCGGGTTTGAGAATAGTTGTCATCAATCAAGATCAAATGGTATGCGGTTGCTCAAGTATCATAGAAATTATCAACAGGAATTATCCCCAAACGCCAGTTCTCCATATCCCACCACAGCCATGGCCAAATTCGGTTTTTGTGAAGCCAGATGGCAAAATAGACGCAAAAGATGAAAAGTCGTCCTCACATCTGCATAGGAGCCAAACCAGGCACGCCACTGAACCGCTCCTCGCGCTCAGTCTTAAACATAATCTGCACCCAGAATTGCTTGCTATCCTCATCGAACCAAGTCCAGTATCTTCCCGGCCGGCGATCAATCTCGCGAGCCTGCAACTTGAACCCGCAGGTCTGGTATGGCTCAGCAGCCACAACCAGGTATTGGTAGTCATTATTCGGCTCCTCGATCTTTTGTTCGTAGGCGGACATGAATCGCACGCGCGGCACAACACCCGGGGTAATCTCCTGGAACTGCAACTGGAAAAGCAGACCCATTTGGCGGGTCAATGGGTCGCGGACCTTGGTAATCTTGTATCCGGGTCGACCGATCTTGATAGTTTGTTTCTTGACCTGCACACCCATAGCGCCAGGCATGGAGGAAGGGTCTTGATTCTTGCCTTCGCGTTGTTCGCGTGCGGCTCGGCGGGCGAGGTTCGTCTGGTGCTTGCGCCCCTGCGTATGGGCAAGATAAGAGCCGTCATTTTGGTGGACGGTCAGACATAGTCGACACTCGAAGCTTCCGACGTGGTTTTTGAAGAAGTAGGGGTCTTTGTCGAGGTCGATTGATTCCAGCGCGAGCTTGCGCAGGCGCTCGCGACGGTCGGCGTTGGTAGCGGACTGAGAGGCGACACCTCCGCCGCCGAATTTGGAGCCTGCTCGGTTCTGGGAAACGTCAGTATCAGTAGTTTCGCGATGTTTATACTCGCATAGATCCAAGGCATAGAGCTGCAACATACCTGGTAATCCATTTTGGCGTGGCGTTCTCGTTGCGAAGAGTTGCAAAGGGTAAATCTGCGTGGATCGAGATAGACGTGGTTAGTAAGCGGGTTGCGGACCCAGGAGAGAGGTACACACCTCGCTGCTCTGTAATAGTTGACGGATCCGAAATTACGGCAAGCGGCTAGTAGTAGGACTTTACTTCCGAGTCAGATGGATCACTCGCTTGTGGGCCAGCGTCGGTCCTTTGATGGCCAGCTGTGCACCATCTGCTATGTGGGCAGTGTCCAGGGCACCGCTGGCGACTGGCTGGGCGTTGAATGGGACGACGCAACTCGAGGAAAACATGCGGGGGAACATAAAGGAGTCCGTTATTTCACATGTAAGTCTTTTCCTGCCTTCATAACTGAAAACATTGTATTCAACCTCCTATAGGCAAAAGCAAATACCCCACGGCGGGGTCTTTCGTCCGTCCCTCTAGGCCATCAGATCCGCCTAGAAGTTTTTTGGAGGGACTGCGTGAAAAATACGCTTCTGAGTCCGAGCAGGAGCTTTCACAGCAAGGCAATACAGATAGACCTTCGTCTAAAAAGCTGATTGAAATTAGTGGCAAGGTGGTTGAAGAAGTCGGCTTCGACAAGATCCGCAAACAGCTTGCAGAATTGCAAGAACTGCGGATTGTGCTACTAGATGGCCTACAAATTTCCGGAGTTCTGTCATCTTATGACCAACCGGAAGATCAAGTTGATCAGTCTATCGAAGATATTGCAGCCACTTGCCCGCGAATCACAGAGCTGGACCTCAGCCGCAGTTTATTGACAAGCTGGCGTAACGTTTGGCAGATCTGCAGCCAGCTTAAGAAGCTGAGAAAGTTGAAAGTGAAGTAAGTTTCGCTGTCTCCGCAGATACTATATGTCTATAGTTGATAGGAGCTGATTACTGTTACAGTGGCAACCGGTTTCATCCTTTGGAAGATGGCTTCGTCTTCGAGACGGTCACTGAGCTCCATCTGGAAGAGACATTATTAAGTTGGGACGAGGTACGGAGTTGAAAGTATCTTTCCACGTACAGAACCAGAACTCACCTTATGAATCTAGATTGTAGAAGTGGCATCACGATTCCCAGCCCTTAAATCACTCACGGCTTCTGGCAACCAACTCTCTACGATCACTCGGCCACTATCTGGCAACATCACCAAGCTCGTCCTCGAGAACAATGATTTCTCTTCTTTATCAGAAATCCGCAATCTAGCAGAATACTCGACCCTGGAACATCTATCGCTACGAGGAAACAACATCAATACCATCAATGGTGATAACGACACCATTGCAGACTTCCACTTCTCAAAATCCCTTCACTCATTGGACCTATCTCGCAACAACATTCCTTCATGGTCCTTCCTCAACAATCTCTCAATCATGTTTCCGGCTGTAGCAACCCTCCGCATATCTGGAAATCCTCTTTATGATCTCTCTCCGCTTCCACCCGCCGTCGCAGCAGCAACATCTACTATGAGCGCCTCCAAACCAATGACGGTCGACGAAGGCTTCATGCTCACCCTTTCCCGCTTCCCACCTTCCCTCTGCATTCTAAACTTCAGTGTCATCTCGCCGCAAGACCGCTCAAATGCAGAGATGTATTACCTTTCACTGATCGGAAAGGAATTATCCGCCACGACCGCCGCGGAAGAATCACCTGTCCTCGCCGCTCACCCACGGTACGCCGAGCTGTGCGATCTATACGGCGAGCCAACAATCACAAGGGCTGTCATTGGTGATGCTGCAGGGGGTAGAGTGATTCATCCGAGATCCGTAGCGGCAAGACTAGTCAAAATGGCATTCCGTTTGCATGGAAAGCCAGGTCAATCAGACACGGAGACTCAGGTGAAAGAGATCCCCACATCTCTCGATTCATACCAAGTGAAAGCTCTAGTATCCCGACTTTTTGGACTTGAGCCATACGGGTTCAAACTTATCTGGGAAACGGATGAATTCGACCCTGTGGAGAAAACGACAATGGATGATGGTGCGGTCAACTGGGAAGAGGATAGTGATGGCGAGATGCGTGTACCTGATCAGGCATCTGCCTCGCCTGATAGTACGAGCCGGTTCGTGCGAAGGGAAGTGGAATTGTCGGAATCAACAAGGGATATTGGCTTCTTGTTCCAAGGCGAAACGGGAGAAGTTAAGATTAGAGTAGAAGTGCCACATTCATAGTGCATCTTTGCACACTGGCCTCCATCGCGGGAGAAAACTACATTGGTATCAAATACGAGAGTTAGATTTCAGAGAATATGTTATTATCTTTTTCTATTCAAATAGGTAACCGTTAAGCATAGAGGCGTGGGCTATCTAACTGGATTGTTAGATGCCACGGGTATGAAGCTCCCCCGCTAGCGAGGGAGATATGCACGAAAAATACAAACCTTCGCCTGGGAAAGAAGCAAAGGTGAGAAAACGCCGAAGGACTTTGCTTGCTCATCGCCTATTTCCTCAAACCCTGATGTAAAAGCAACTGCAAAAATCACATCATCCAAAATCAAATCTGAAACGCCTGGGCCATGATGCTTTTTGAATCTCGAGTAGATTTCGAGCGTAGACGCAAAGGAAAAAAAGTACAAGAAAAGGCTCTATGTGGCTGTAGAGCTGCGTATGGACGTGGGTTCCCGCAAGAGAGGAGGGGGGGATTGGGAGAGACCACTGCATCAAAGTGATCATTCGCGAGCAGCCCACCAAGAACGGACTGCCATGCAGCAGATTCGCTTGTAGATCTGTGTGGTGCCCTTGCCTTCGGCTTCTTCCTCAATGAACTTTTGGGCAACGAAGAGTCTGGTGCCTGCCTCCTTCTCGGTTGTGTAGCCAACCTTAGGCAGGCTATTAGGGAAATCCGCCCATCGTTGGCCAAGGTGTCGTGCGATAGCGATGGAATAGATGATGTCTCGGTTTTCATATGTGTCCAGCAGTTGGCGGAGGCGTCCGAGTGTGTCGTCAATTTGCTTGGCAGAGCTCGCTTCGTTATCGTGGAGAGTGAGAAATTCGCCGAGCTCACCCCAGAAATCCAATTGGCGTTGCAAGAACTGATCTGGGGGGATTTGGCGGGGTGGCAGCATCCATTCCCATCGCTCTTGACAAGGAGTTTTGATCGAGGTGGCTCCAGCTCAAGAGGGCTTCCATTGCGTTGAGCCGAGCGGTCGTGGCGACCAAGTTCCAGTCCTGACCGTATTGACCATTCTCTGAATTCGGCACCTGGCGACATAGCACCATACTCCTCCAGATAATCGAAGCTTCGAAGCTCTCGAGACGAGCCACAGTATTTCCATCGCTGAGATTCCAGTCATTGAATGCGTTGATCAAAGCCGAATAATCGGCCATGAGCTGTGCATCGGTCATGAGAACAGGGAGTGCCTTTTCTGTGTACCAGCGAACCTCTAGGAGCTTGTCAATCGCAGGGGCGTACGTTGCGAGGAAGACGGCTTGGATTTCCTCGAGTCGGCCGGGAGGAAGCGACCCGATAGGATGAGGTGGGGGAGGTGCAATACCTCTCAAGGACATCAAGTCATTGAGGCTGAGGTTTTTGGCTGTTGAGATAACTTATGTTAGCTGCGTTTCAACGACACAGAGCGATCATTTTTGAGAGGGGAGGAAGAAAAATCGCATTGACAGTTCAAGCGCACCTTTGTATGTAGGCTCCGAGACCTGGTGGCCATGATCATTCGAGTTCTGCATATTGATTTGGGGTGGCGGATTGTTTGGTGGAAGAGAAGACTCAAGGGAAGCTCCGTGATCAGGTTGATCAGTTGAGGTGCTGGGTGATTCAGAGTGAAGAGAAGGAGCAAAGGGTTGTGAAGACGCTGGCATGTACCCCGGGGGCGCTGAAGGATACGAAGGTATCGAAGGGGCAGGAGGGCCTTGAGGATTGACGACCAGCGACGGGGGAGGATTCGGAGCTGGTTGGATGGCCGAGGGAGTGGATGCTTGAGGCCTGAAAACCGGGTCGTAGCCTAAACACTCGCGCTTGCTTTTCACGCAATTTCTGCACACTGGATGACCTTCGTCGCACTGTGGAAAATTAGTTGATGGTCTAGAAGGAACCGGCGCAAAAGGGGGGGGGGGGATTGAGTCGTGGGTTGGGCGGGAGATAAAATAGACGATGGCGGGGTCTGCGGGCACAAGCGAGACTTCCGCCCCGCGAACTGCGCGCAACGTGCAAAAACTCAACGCATCACATACCTTAATTCTTCGTTTGCGACAGGTCAAACATCCAGTTTTCGTCCGTCGCTTGACCTCCTTCTTGTGCCTCCCACCCGACAGAATCTTATTCGGATCCCCAGGCATTGAATATCCCATCTGGTTCGAGTTCATGCCCGGCTGCGGTACATTGGACGGATAGCCAGTCATGTACTGTCCCATAGATGCCATTGAAGGCATGTTGGAAGGCATTGGAGAGCCAATTGGTGCTTGCGGTACTTGTCCATGTTGGCCCTGGCCATTGTTTCCAGGGTTTGCGTTCACAGAAGAAAATCCCCCTTGATTATGATACATATCAGAACTCTGCTGCTGCTGATAATTCTGTGGCGGTTGAGATTGGAATTGGTGCTGAGCTTGAGCCTGGGATTGCTGGTGTCCATCGTATTGCTGTTGTGGTCCGGGGCTTTGTGTATACTGGTATGTGCCATTGGATTGTGTTTGGTAATGATTCGAGCCATTTGCCGAACCCGACTGCTGGGCCATATTGTGGTCGTGGTCCGTTGAGGGCTCAACAGTATGGTCGTGGTCGTGATCGTCAAAATGGCTGTCGTCAAACGTATGGTGCTCGTCCATGGTCGGGATATCGGTACCAATGGCGGGCAAAGAAGAGTCCAGCGATGGGAGAGTTGTGTCGATAGCTGGCAGCGATAGGTCTGGGGCCGCAGAAGATCCCACAGAAGGAAGGGCCGAATCGAAAGAAGGTAATCCGGTATCGTCAAAGGACTCCGTGCCATCCAGGCCCGTTGTGTCCATTGGTGGGAGTGACGATTCTATAGAAGAAGTGACATTCGAGACCTCCGTAGTCTGCCCAGTCTCTTCTTTGATGTTCTGGTTTGCGCTTGTATCCAACTGTGTGACTTCCACCTGGGACTCATTCACCGGGGCTGAATGCTGATCTTGTTCTTGCGGGGACGTTGTCTCCCCTTCAAACGGATTTTCAGCATGTGCGGCAGGTTGGCTGGTATCTGTAGTTGGCGCATTTGGTTCGGTCGGCGGATTGGCCGGGTCTCCAGTATTGGTCTCTGTCGGCTCTGCCATATTCGGCTGAATTATCCCCGCAGCGATGTAGCGGGTTCTCTCGTTGCGTTGCGCGCAAAATTGTAGGATGAAAGCCCCGTTCAAGACAGGCCAAGTTTCGAGGTCAAAGGTCAAGTGTTTTGTCGCTGAGCAAAGGCAGCACACCAATTCGATCGGGATGGGACGTAAGAATCATTTATCTGCTGTGGTCTTGCAAGGGCATTGTTAGCAAGATTCTTGTCTGGAACCTCTCGCGACGGGCAGTGTATGTCACTGTCAAGAGGCAGAGAGTAGAATATGGAGAAGCACGCGATCGTATCGGAAATGGGCAGAGTAATGGCGAGGGGAATCCTTGGGGCCTTGCAGGAATCATGCTTCGCAGTCCAGCGCCTATCGGTGGGTTGCGATGTGCCAGAATCCTCAATCTGCTGACACGGCCAAATTGCACCAACGGCTCCTAGGCTCTAATGTTTCCAGTAGGGCGAGTCTGAGCAGCAAGCAAGTGCCCTGCGAGGCCCATTTTCTCCCTTCGGAGTAATCATGCCGGCCGACCGAGTTTTGCCAGTCGCATTCTTTCCTGCGAAGACTCAGGCGAGGACCCCCCGCCCGCGCTTTACCCCCAACCGGAGACCCAATATGTAGGAGGCAGCGATGGGGGCAAAATGCACCAGCGATAGGATGGACTCGATCGCGAAACTGCCGAGGAGGGGAATCCGAGACACCTGCGCGGGTGGGAAAGAATGCGCTCCGAGGGACAAGATGGGGTTTGCTGGGGCTGGAGGAAAGCGCAACTGCTGTCAGATTGAACAAACTCACCGTATTTAATGCCCTCTGGGGGGTGGTGGTAGGGGTGGTAGGGGTATTATAAAGGAAAATGGAGGGGTGTTGCTGGGAAACTCGGCGAGTCCGGGGCTGGCAAGTAGGAAGAGATGCGCGCGAAGTTGGGATTGAACTAAAGGAGCTTTCCTTTCCGGCGATGAAAGACTCCGCTTCGACGCCGAAATAAAAAATTGGAGTGGCAAGTCTATAACCCCAGGTACATAGCATACACAATAATACTAGTACATAACATATGTAGAATAATCAGAGATTTACAATAAATACATCGAAGATATAGTATGTCAACTTTCTTTGGTTCTTTCATTTAAATATCATGTACGAGTAGTCTACCCACCCCTCACACTAGACAACGAGTTGACTGATCTATATGCTGTTTCTGCTCAAACACCCCAGGTACAATTCACCCTGTATTTCGTGCAGGGGCTGTCCTGGCCCACAAGCTTCCCAGGGGGTTTTAGATATCTGGAAGGCCAGATCAAATCGGCGATTGCCGATGTAACGACCCTCAAGTTGAGAGCCTCATTCCGATTTATGCCAGCCAATCTCTCGATCGATTTTATGATGGAATCTGCTCTTTCGAGGATAGACATGCTACTTTGACGGCACAGTCGCTATTAGTGGCACTAATGGGTCATCGCAGTACTGCAAACTGGCACATTTCCTAAGAAAGTGGGGTTGGGAGACAAGTGCAATCAAGCGCGTCAATACTTCCGACAATATCATTCGAAAGATGTTATTTTCTCATGACCTTGGGCTTGCGTTTTTTGAAAGCAAACCCGGTCATCTCTTCGCCTGGTGGTCTTTCGTCCTTTGGGGCCTCAGGACCGACCCCAGGCGTTTCGGTCTTCACATCTGATGACTTGTTGGCCTCGGGGCCAGCTGATTCTGACACCTCATCCTCTTGCTTTACGAGGGCAGGAGATTCCAGCTTTTCGTTTTCGGGGTCGGCATCGGCAGATGTAGTTTTAGGCTTTTTAAGTTCCTTGTTAGAGGAAAGCAAGGCATCCAGATCGTCGTCTTCCTCATCCTGTTCTCCAGGGTATGTTCTCAACTTTGAACCCCAGCCTAGGCTATTTGTCTTCCCGGGGGCATGCTCGTCGACCTCTTCCTCTTCCTCTTCACCCTCATGTTTGCGTTTGCGAACTCCAATAGACTTGCTAGCTCCCTCGAGGCTTTCGGCAGCGACATTTGTCTCTGAGAGTGTCTGCCACTCGCCAACCAAAGACAAGTCCGCACGGTACTCCTGAGGGATTAAAACGCCCATTTCTGCCAGTTGCGACATTTGTTTCTTCCGATCCTCTATGCTAGCCGATCTGTCGCTAGGTTTTGGCGCCGGCGGTGCTGTGTTTGTCGTGGCGGCATCTTTTGCCGCAGAGGATCCGGCCCCGACAGCTTGTCGTAATCTTTCAACCTCGCTCCTCGCCCGTTGGCTATCTCTTTCTTGAATTTCATTATTTTTATGGATATCTCGGAGGAATCGCTTCAAGCTGCCTTGGTGTTTCGGGCTAGCTTCATGTTGGGTCTTTTCGAAGGGCGTGTCGCGAATAAAGATCTTGCACTGCTTGCACCAGTGACGGGGCTATGGGGAGAAAACCTATCAGTAATTCACATAGATAGAGACAAGTTTGAGGTACTCACCGCGGACTTCCAGTATTCGGCCATGGCAGACTTGCTGTGGGTGGATGTTGTTGTTGGCGCAAAGTTGACCTCCGAATCCGAGCTGGAGGTGCGATAAGATCAGAAATCGATCTAGCCCCAATGCGGCAATCGCTGGTGCCACCATCAGGTTCGGTCTTTTCGCCTTGACATTAGTCTACTACTACCGCCAATTTAATTATAAATTTTCACTTATTTCCGGTGTTTTCAGTTTTTCAATTATTCAAATTTCAAAATCAAAAACGTTATACATACTAGTAGGATAGTTCTAGTATTTAGTCTTATTCAAGTTTGCCCCGTGACCCATCTATATATTCCGAGTCCGTTGCCCTGGGAGTAGTACACACCCGAGACACTCAGATCTATAATCGTCATTTTAATTTATCTTGCTCTGGAACTGGGCTCTTGAGCTTTCCTGTCTCAATACCAAGACGGACGTTTGCAATCGCCCACTCTTCCATTGCGGCCATGGTCTGCAATATCCATCGTTAGCATGTAAAGTTCCACATAAGAGGCATTGCTCAACTCACCTCGACAGTATAAGTACCCATATGAGGCACGAGCATAACATTTGGGTTACGAATGAGGCCAGGATGAACCTTAGGCTCTTCTTCAAATACATCGAGGCCGGCAGAAAGAACCTTGCCACTATCCAGGGCTTCAACAAGGGCCGTCTCATCCATGACAGGGCCGCGAGCAGAGTTCACGACAACAACCCCATCCTTCATCTTAGCAAACTCGGGCTTTCCAATGATATGGTGGGTGTTTTTCTTTGAGGAGTCAGTGGACATCTTTCGGAGCGCGAACCAAGGGCCTTGAATCACTCACATTCAGAGGAAGGTTCAAGCTCAGCACGTCGCTGGTCGACAGCAACTCATCAAACGTCACATATTGAGCTCCACCTGACAGTTCATCACTCAATGGACGACGATTGTGATAAACTACCTTCATCCCAAATGCTTCGGCCTTCTTTTTCAAATTGCGTCCGATGCCTCCCATGCCCAAAATACCCAATATCTTGCCTTCCGGATCATGGCCTAGGGCCGGGGCAGGCTTGCCAATCCATTTGCCCTCACGCAGAGCTTGCATGCCAGTGTTAAAATTTCGTAGGGCCCCAATGATGAGAAACATTGTCACGTCGGCGGTGGCATCATCCACCGCGGTGGGGACATTGGAAACATAAATAGGAGGACTGCGAGCGCTGCATGCATGGACATCGACTGAGTCGTAGCCAGCACCTAAATGAAGCAACATTTAGACAGATGATCACAAATGTTGCGCTTGAAGCCATTCAAAAGGACTTACCGCAATGCGAAAGATACTTTAGGGATTTTGGCAGCACATTCACAAGCTCTTCATCGATAAGCCCGGTGACTTTGGCTGAGGCGAAAGTACGATAGGCTGCCACAACTCCATCGAGCTTTCCATCGCGACATTCTTGAATGAATTCTGCGCGATTTTTGGCGATTGGTTGAATCAACTCACCCAATTCACTCAGTGATTCCCATGACTTTTGCGCGCTATTGTGGTTGTCGTCAGCTCTGGCTCTTTGAGAAAATTCCCTTCTAGGAGAAGGGCCTTCTTATATACGCACTGCGCGATCTGTCCTAAGAGAAGAATCTTGGGCTTGGTGTCATTAGATCCCATATTGACTAGGCGGTGCTGGAAAGGTCTTCATCAAGAGAGGTTAGCTTCTGCAAGGTACCAGTGTGGGATGTTCATTTCCCGGCCTCGGGCTCTGAGGCAGGGGACGGCCTTTATCAGCACCAGATAAGTCAATTGCTTATTCGTGCGAGAAAATGGGAAGCCAATGTTTCAGTCCACTGAGGCAGCAGAGAGTTTCAATAAAACGAATCACTGGGTTGCGCGCAACTCACCGGCGGAGGGGGGTAGATTGGGTACTATGTCTGACTGCACTTGAAGTGGAAAACAAGGTCGCCAGGCGCAGTCGTCTATTGAGTGAAATATATCTCGGCTGGTATACAGGGAGCTTGATAAGAGAGAGATTGCGCAGGGGAAATGAAACAATTCCAGCCATAAGAGTCATAAAAGATACGAGACATCGGCCGAGAAGAATTGCCCGACGCAGAGTTTATATCGGAGAGTTCCCCGCATGGTAATGGATTCCACTCGGAGTGATGCGCGCGAATGAGATGCCCTGCTTGGAGGCACTAGGACTAATGTGGCGAAATGACGGCGGCTCTTAAACACATATTTCTTGAACAGGTAGGCAAGGCAACGACTCGCAGTTGAACCCTATTATAAATGGCATTTACTAACTCGGTAGTGCGGTATATCACGATCCGAAATCCCATGGCAGCTATCAGGACAGCCTGAGAAACTCGACGTATATCTAAGGACACGAATCAAGGTTCTGAATGACATACTATAATCAAAAAGGAAGGTTGTTCCGGGCTGCATTGGTTTATTTAATACTGCAGAGCACGTCGAGTTCCGATCATAATGTACAAATCCAATAGAACATAATTATCGATCGCATTCATCCTTCAACGAGAACACGAGTCCAATCAAATTTCCTCCAGCGTTTTCTGAACCCATCCATTCTTCGATCACTGCCTCGCTGCCAGCGGCCTTGTCGCTTGATAACATCTGGGGCAACATCAAGCATACCTCCAATTACTTCACGAGCAAAAAGATCGCCACGAGGCCAACGGTTCTCATCTTCGACGATGTGACCTAGACCACCATCAAGCTCGAACCAGACATGGAAGTAGGGCATCTCCTTAACCAGGGTTCGACGGAATGCAGACCTTCCCAGGCCTTGCTTGGATTTTGCCAGAGTGTCGATAAGTTTGCGGTGCTGGGACCATTCGGACTCGGCGCTTAAAATAGCCTCTTTGAAGAACGCGGGTGATGTCTCGCCGAGGCTGTATGGCAGAGGAACCACCTCCATGGATGCATGACGCTTTCGCTGAGGCTGAGCGGCGTTTTCGTAAAAGATAACATCTCGGCCCTGGTCATGGTACATTCGTGTCAAACTCTTCATGAAATTACGGATCTCTTCCCATTCATCGTCGTCGCATTCCATCAAGTTCGTCCGGTGTTGAATCGGGACAATTGTGGCACCACCCTCGCTGATTTCGGGCTCCGTTGGAAGGGTGAGGAAAGCTCTGGTCGCTAGGGAAACGACGGGTGCAACAGGTGGCGTATTGGTGTCTTCGTGATGGCAGAGTGGGCAATTATCTAGGATCCGGTTCATCTTGCGGAAATCGTTGATAGTTGTGTTCTTGAGATCAATCTCAGATTTGTGCACCCTCTTTGCTAGCTTGGAAGCATTATCGTCCATATACTCAAGATCATTCTAAATAGACGTTAGAGAGATATCAAAAGGCAATGCAATTAATCATGTCACAACTTACCACAAACTTGGAATCACGCGAAATGCGATCCGCCAAACGCGAACCCTCTCCGCCAAATTGACCTCGGGTCTTGCGTTCCTCGCGAACCATGTCTTCAATGGTCATGTCATCATTTGCTTCCACTTGTCCTCTTTCACGCCCGCGTTTCGTATCGACCGCTTTGACTTCGTTTCTGGCACCAGCCAGCATGCGATTTTCCTTAACACCAAGAACCACCACGTCTGATTCTTTACGATTGGCCATAGCAGCTGCGGCGGTGTTGTATTGTTCTTCGAGTTCAGCTGCTTCTGGAGCTTTCTTCAACTTCGCTTTCATCATTTGGGCTTTCAGGCGGTTCAATGTCGTGGGGTCCAATGGTTGTGTGACGTTGGGCGGAAGCTCGGTCTCCATTTTTTGGACCTGTGATGGCGTCTCGAGTTCTTCCACTGGGCCATGCGCATGTCTGACTGGGTCACTTTGAGACTTTTTCTCGAGCTTTCGCTCTTGGAACAATTCTCCGCTTGGTTTCTCTTTGCCCACATAGGATTCGCCGTACATCTTACGGCGATCCACCTCGGTTTCTTCTTCTCTGGCATCGTCAAATGAGCGCAGATCCCCAAAACGTTCCACTGCAACTTCATCCACGGCCCTGCCGCTGGACTCAGCTTCTTTGTAGACGCCCTTGAGTTTGGTCATCCTCCATTGGGACCCCGAGTCCCCGAAGGTGTAGTCGACCTCATGCTGCGCAGGTTCCTCATTGATATCCTCGAGTGCCTTTCCTTCCTTGAGATCGCGGAGGTGATTGTTGAGCTCCTTGTCGTGAATCTTCAGCTCATAGTCCGCCGAGAGCATCTTCGGCTTCGTAGGTTCTTCTGCTTGTTTGGGGTCCGGTCGGTGAACATAATCGATATCAAGAGCTGAAGGCGCTTCCATCCAAGAGTCTCGCTTCAGTTGGTTAGGCTCATCCTCGGTGGCGGCGGTGGGCGCAGCAGATTCCTCACCATCCCTACTGGAGTCCTTGTGTCGACGCTTGTGGTCGCGGTCATGAGAATCTCCATGGTCAGTCGAGTGACGTGAACGCTTGCTCCGGTGGCCATCATCGCCTCCACGTCGAGATTCACGGTCGCGGGATCGAGATGAGTGTCGTCGATGGTGGTGGCTGGAACGATGGTGGTGTCTCGAGCGCTCTTTGCTGCGGTCGCGGTCATGATCATGGTCACGGTCACGGTCGCGATGATCGCGGTGACGTCGCTCCTTGTCGCTCTTTTCCCGACGTTTGCCTTGGTCCTGGGCCAGAGATTTCTCGAAATCTTCTAGCGTCATTGTGTTTTCTGGTGCTGTTGAAGAGGTTAGCAGAGAAAAAGAGAGCTCAGGTCGAATGACGTTTGGCCGCGCCGGGCGGTCCCAGCGCAGATCTTCCGGTTCCCCGCGACCAAAGAATTTCACAAGAAAAAAAAGTTCACCCACTTCACAACTTTTCTCTTTGCAAGCTTACGAACCTGATTCTCCACGACAAACTTCCCTACTGTCTCAAATTATCACTTCGGCAACCTCGAAATAAATATCGCTATACTATGGCGTCTCCGGCAGTCTCTGTCGTCTGCATAGGCATGGCAGGTAAGGCGATGAACTACCCCTCAAGCTACCTCATATGGGAACATCGGATAATTGATCCATCCTTATTCACTTAGGCTCGGGGAAGACAACATTTATGCAGAGAATCAACTCCCATTTACATTCCAAAAAGACGGTGCCATACGTTGTTAACCTTGACCCCGCCGTACATTCGGTTCCCTTCGAGAGCAACATCGATATTCGAGACTCGATCAACTACAAGGAGGTCATGAAGCAATACAATCTTGGTCCAAATGGCGGTATCTTGACTTCTTTGAATCTCTTCGCCACCAAGGTCGACCAGATCATCTCGCTGCTCGAAAAGCGCACCGCACCCAACCCCGAAAACCCCGCTGCAAAGCCAATCGAACACATATTGATCGATACACCAGGTCAAATCGAAGTATTTGTGTGGAGCGCATCGGGAAGCATTCTACTCGAGACCCTCGCTTCGTCCTTTCCAACTGTCATCGCATACATCATCGATACCCCGCGGGCCAGTTCGACAAGCACTTTTATGAGCAACATGCTGTATGCGTGCAGTATCCTTTACAAGACTAAACTACCCATGATTTTGGTATTTAACAAGACTGATGTTAAGGATGCTGAGTTTGCTAAGGAGTGGATGACCGACTTCGACAAATTCCAAGCGGCCTTGCGAAAGGAAGAGGAATCCGGCGCCTTCGGAACGGAAGGTGGTGTCGGTGGGTTTGGAGCTGGTAGTGGATACATGGGTTCGCTCTTGAACAGTATGAGCTTGATGCTGGAGGAGTTCTATCGACATCTGAGCGTTGTCGGTGTTAGCTCTATGACCGGCGATGGTGTCGACGAGTTCTTCGAGGCTGTGGAAACAAAGCGCCAAGAGTTCGAGCGTGACTATAAGCCCGAGCTTGAGCGCAAGAAGCAGGAACGGGAAGAAAGCAAGGCCAATCAACGGGACATCGAGTTGGGCAAGCTTATGAAAGACATGAATGTAAATAGCTCGGGTCGCAAAGAACGCAAGGGCCCGGAGACCGGACCGGAGACTGTTAGCGAGGCTGAGGATGAAGAAGAGGATGAGCTTATCAAGCGGGGTCTCGCCTATGGTGAAGATGACAGCGATGATGATTACGCTGAAGCTGCTGCTGGAGACGATGGTCTCTCCCAGCGCTACCAGGATGCTCTCTCGAACACTCAGAGTGCCCCCTCGGATCAAGACAACAGCTTCACCAGATATCTGCGGGCTAGCAACATGAATCAGCAGTAATTGTTTTTTTTTTTCAGGAGAGGAGTTACAATTGGTTTCGTTTTGGAGTTGGCGGCTGTCATGGGTGAACTCATTCTACTTTCTTTTTCATTATTTGTGCATCTCATATAAAAATCACGATGATCTATGGATCTTACCTTGTCGTTAAGGAGATACTATCGCTCGCGCACACCAATAAGAACCTAAAAGACAAGACTTCCAAGGTTCTATACAAATCTCCCCCCCAAATAATTCTGAGTCCCGGGCTAAAGCAGGAGTATACCTTGAAACTCTATTCCAATCCCCCAAACATCCATCCTCCTGGAGTTATTGTTCTGTATTGTAGAAGAGATAGCAAACCATTCAAAGCCACGTGTTTCTCCAATTTTGATGAGAATAGTTCCTGTATAGGTAGGCTGTTTTATCTCCGAATACGAGTAGATGAAAACATTGGGGCACCTTGACTGTTACAGTTCGGGGCTGCCAGTGAGGCAAGTCTGATGACGTCACTCGAATTATTCGTAAGTCACGGCAGCTTGTCGCCAGGCTGCAAATCTTCCGCCCTTGCACCAATATCAACACCCCCAAAATCCGTGCAAATCTCATCTTTCCCTCACAAATTATGGATGTAAGTTCTACCGGCTCTATCTCCGAACAATCTATGAGCCGAAGTATCGTTCGCCTTGATATACTTGCTGAGACGACATCTACAGGTCTTCCGTGTCTACACATATTCAACGGCCGCATGGCTTTCATTGCAGGGCCTGCCTTTGCTACTAGGCCCGAGTATGATAGTAGCCTTGCTACTAGATGAGGCCAGATCTGCATCCTGTACACTCTCAATCAAACAATCATCCCAACGTGAATCGCCCTGCTAATTCTCCGAAAGTGATCGAGGTCTACTTTGCTCGCTGCCTTGGAATGGGTCTTTTGACTATCGCAGTATTAACTGTGATGCTAACGGGCTCGATTCCGCTCAACGCCACCATTGCCGAACCCGTGTCAACAGAAGATTCGGATCCCAAGGCCCCGTATGCTCTACCAACTCTGATGGTTACTTCGGTGCTTCATGCTTCGTCGGCATTTTACGCGTACACATGGTATGCCACCGGGGGTCAAGGAGCATTTGCTTTAGCAGTTTTGGGGAATTCTATCCTTGCGGCCATCGGTTTGTGGTGTTTGCTCTTCGCTAGCAGTAATGGTAGGATTAGTCGGAGAACTGGAGCAGACAAGAGAACTACTGGCTTTCCGTTTGCCAATTCCGAGGCAGCCAAGAAACATGATGGCAAGAAAGGCCTTTAAATGGGCTTCCTATAACTATCCGCCTATGTTGGATAATCGGAATGTACTAGCGAGGCAAAATTGCATTAGGTGAATTTCAATGACAGTTATTTCTCTCATAAAGGGGTATCCAAATCAAATAAATCCGATCTCCATGTCCCTGAAGATCATTTTCTAAGGGACATCTTCGAACCTTTTGTCAGCGTAGAGTATTAGCTACAGTCTGCTTACTGACGCCCTCATCAGTCGGCGAAACCCTGCCTACCGTAGGTCAGAAATATTATCGGCCCAGATTTTGAAAGAAATACCAAATAATTAACTGTACAAATATTTTCTAATCAAAGCTGAGGTTGGGCTGGAAGGTTCAAATGATACTCTACTACTAACTAGTAGTCCGCACCTCACTCCTTGCTCGGGTACAACTCCCCGCCGCTTCAAACACACTCCCTTTCTTCTCCGCATCGCCAAAAGCAGCGTCCAACTCCCCCACAGCGCGTACGAAGTACACACCCAGGTTCATGGATTCCAACTTGCAGCAGACCCCCTCTGCTCGGGCCTTAGCGTCGATCGAAAGTATTGGTGAAACTCCAAACTTAGCTGGACAGCTAGGCTCTTTCCCCCAAAACGCGCAACCCTTTGCGTCATTCCGCAACATCGACAATGTCGCGGCGCGGCCTCATCTGCACAACTCCACTCGAACCCATGACACGATCACCTTAGAGAACAATGTACATGATAGTTCAAGTGATGACATTTCACTCTTGCCATCGGCGGATTCGTCCTTTCCGCAGTCCGGCTATGAAGGACTAGCACAAGACCCAATGGCCGCAAGTTTCGCAGGCCAATTGCAGGGTATGAGACTGGTACCAGAGCCGCCAAACTTGGAATATTGGAGAAATCGGTTATTCCATGTGGATGAAATGATTACGCTGAGCGAGGATGAGTATGTTGGCCATTCTTCATATCCAACCTCTGCAATTTCTTTCCTCATCATGGAAAAGAAACTACTAGCTGATAAGCCAGGCTAATTAACTGGATTAATAGGTTCCAAACCTACTTCCCACACGTCGACAATGTCTACTCTCATCGTTCAACACAACGATACAAACGCAGGCCATTCGTATCTCATTATTGGGACTGTCGCCTCAAAGGTCGCCCTCCAGGAACACCAAAGTCCGACGACCCAAACAAAAAGAAACGTAAACGCACCGCCAGAGAAAGAGATCTCTGTGATGTGAAGATAAAAATCACAGAATACTTACCAGGAGCTGCTACGGTTGATAGAGCCGGCGGGTTCGAATCTTTGCCTGCCGACCTATTGCCAGGAAGGCATACTTTATTTCCAGTCCAAGGCGACCAGCATTTTGGTGTACTTGCACCAAGCCCCAACCTCGCACCAAGCCCTCCAGGAACAGGTAGCAGAAGATATTATACTATACAGCGAGTGAATGGTAATGGTGCAAATGGGAAGAATGATGGCGTGAGCGGGGGTCATCGGCACACACTCGAAGAGAGTGATCGTGTCAAGAAGAACAGTGTACAGCGATATCTCTTGAAAGATAAAGGGAAGAAAAAAGGCTCGGTACGTTTGTCATTTAGTACAGAGTACGCTGCATTCGACAACAAGTTGGGGGCTTGGCACCCCGCAAATCTTACCTACGTCACAGTCGACCTCTGTTGCTTTCGCATGCTTTTTCTCTCCATGCCACCACTGGAGCCAAGTACAAATTTGGTTTGATTTTTGAGTAAAGTCTAACCCCCCCATCTATCACAGTTCCGAGTCATGTCTGCACAGCAGAAATCATACCACACGAAAGCGACAGGCCCAGCGGCTGTGACCGCAGTGAACCGTTCCGCCGAGACGAATCTTAAGTTATATGGGAGTTGCTTTTGGTAAGCAAGAATCGATGTTTAGAGATTCCCTTGCCGAGACGCATTGCTAAATGTTTGGTTGTCCATTTCAAGCCCCTTTGTCCAGCGAGTATGGATTTCTTTGGAATTGAAAGGTATTCCATACCAGTATATTGAGATCGACCCATATGAAAAACCCCAGTCTCTGTTAGAGATCAACCCGCGAGGGCTTGTTCCTGCATTGCAACATGATGACTGGGGTTGTTATGAAAGCAGTGTGATTATGGAATATGTAAGGAGCCCACAACCAGTATAAATTGTTTCTCACTTCTCAATGTGCTAATTCATTCACTAGCTCGAAGATCTGAAGCTTGGGACGAATCTTTTCCCCCTGGATCCGAAGTCGCGTGCTCATTGCCGTTTATGGGCGGACCACGTTAGTACCCAGCCTTCTTAATGAATGCGGAATTGACCGCTAATGGATCAACAGATCAACCGAAATATTGTGCCGAACTTCTATCGGGTGCTCCAGGAGCAGGACCCACAGAAACAAGTTGAAAATGCCCAGGAACTTCAAGATGCTTTCAATCTGCTCATCACAGCAGCGCATCCAAGCGGCCCGTATTTCATGGGAACCCAAATCTCCTTTGTGGATATCCAAGCCGCCCCATGGGTCATTCGGCTGGCTCGGGTGCTGAAGCCTTATCGGGGTTGGCCAGATCCCGAAGGGGGAAGCAGGTGGGCTTCGTGGGTGACTGCCATTGAGACCAATGAGCATGTTCTTGCAACAACCAGTAACGATGAGCTATACTTGGATAGTTATCAACGCTATGCAGGTGAGTCCGCCTATGTTTTGCATAGACTGGCCGGTATGCTAACTGCTAGATCTCGTGGTTGCAGAGAACCGCCCAAACACGTCCCAAGTCGCAAATGCGATCAATTCCGGACGTGGTCTCCCGTAGACTGTTGCTGGGGTTGGAGGATGGTTTAGATAGCCCGAGAGAAGAGACCGTAGTCTCAGTGCCATCGCCATTGGCGCGGGCACGGGAAAAAGGCACTGCCCTATGTACCTTAGCTTGCTCGTGCACCTCTGTTGGCAAATCCAAAACCACCTCTTCCACTTCCATCCGGGCCTCGTGGGTTGCGTAATGGTAGCTGGGGAGCGTTCTGCTTATCAGGGCTGTTCTGGTTGCCTGGTTGACGCTCGCGGCGTTGCTGCGATGACCCATTCGTCTTAGCTGAAGTAGAAGGGTCGAAGAGATGTCTCGACTTGGTCGAAGAAGCTGTAGAAGAATCCCTTTTCTCGCGATATTCCCGCCCCCCCACCTCCACCACGTCCCTTGCCCTTGCCTCGGCCTTCGCCAGACTGGGACTGGCGAGGCGGTGTTGTACTTCCCGGGGAAGAATTTCCTGATGTGTTTGCGGATGGGCTGCCGAAAAGCCTCTCGCGCACCTCTTCGTACTTTCGTTGCTTCTCTTCACGGTTCTTTAGTGCTATCGCTTGGCGTTCCTCTAGGGTCGGCTCGGCACGCTTGTTGGCGTCTTCATCTGAGTCCTCGTCGTCAAGACCAAGTTGCCCCAATCCAGCTGCTGCACCATCGATACCACCCGACGAAGCTGAATGTCGGGTCGCTATTTGGGGTCTCCGACTGAGTAATGTGACTGGGGGTTTGAAGTCTTGCTTGAGCGGTACTTCAGAGCGTGCTTCCACAAAGTGAAACGTCTGCGGGGTTTCTCTGCGAATGGTCGTCGTGTCAGGGCTCATGTATATCCAATCCAAAGGTTACTCTGATAACATACGCTTCTGCCCATAGCTGCCTGTTGAACTCAGCTTGTTGTGCTCTGCGTTGGGCCTTTGTGACCTTGGCTGAAACTTTTTTCTCAGACGGCGGGGTAGGCTGATCGGCTAGTTTCTGTAGAAAGATGCGAGATCAGTAGACAATTCGTAAAATATACTGCATATCGAAGCTGAGAAATTGTGAAACTCTCGTAATATGGCAGAGGATTCGAGATTTCCACACATACATCAGCTTGGGACTCCCAATCTTCCTCCCATGCGTCGGGCGCTTCATGTTTGGAGCTCATGGCTCTGAGCGGAATCGTGTGAAAGAATTTAGGTATGAAACAAAAAAGCCGAGTCGGCGAGACTATAAATCATGAGCAAAGCCCAGCAATATGTTCAGGGTGTATATAATGACTGAAAGGTGATGTGAAGGAGAAAATTCGCCGTGGAATGCCCAAAGAGGTGGACACCGCCTGGTCCGCCGTAATCTCCGCTCCGCCTTGCATTCATCCATTTCGATCTACTCCTACGAAGCTTGCCCCCCCGCCCAATACTAGTACTGTCTGCGACATGACTCATGGTTAGTCTTACTCTTGATCACTACTCCTAGGGGGTCAAGCTCGCGATTTGTTTCGATTTAAACCTTCGCTCCCCCCTCCGCTTTGCACTATCCTATGGTGGTCTTGGCCTTATCGTCGTCTCAGACCCCCGCTAACCCACCAATTCAACTACACAGATTCTAAGGATCCCGACGGCGACTCCGAGATGGCCTCTTCTGTCGATTCTGTCCACACCGACTCCGATGGCGCTGGTAATGGTGCACGTACTCCGACACGTCAAGTTCACGCATCGGCTGCCACCGCAGCAGCAGCCACGTCGGAACTCTCCCCTCCAGGCTCCCAACCCCAAACAATCCCAGGCCTATCCACAGTCGGTGCCTTGGGATCTCTAGGAGAGCCTGATTCTACACAACCGAATGGAAAAGGCTTTGATGCGCCCATCGCATCCTGGAAAAGCAAACGTGCCCAGGAAGAGTATCAGCGGGCTATGGAGAATGTGATCGATCAAGACTTCAATTTGAGTATGTATATCCAGTATCGGCATGTCTAAATACTGTCAGCTGACAACTTGCTTGCAGATGAATTCGGAGATCCATTTGATGAGCGTGATCTGGAACAAAAGCTACTGTGACCATTTGACGGAACGGCATCCGCGATCTCTCATCTGCATCTGCGGCACCGTATCATACGAATTATGAGAAACGAATTTATCCCCGCCCTCTCTCACTACCTACTCTGGATATGACCGTATCAAAGAGTAATCTAGCAGCGCCCGTTGATCATCCGGGCTACTATATTCTCTTCGCTGGCTTAGCATTGCCTACAATCCTTTGCATTATGCAAATGAAAGATCCATGTGGCATACTTTCAAGATATTCCGAATGGAATTTAGCCGTCTTGCTGCCGAATTTAGCATAGAACAAGCAGGTATGGAGTTTTTTTTTTTTTTTTCGAGAATATCCGGAATGTGACTGCCTAAATCAAAGGGCGTTGGCTTCGATCAACGAACTCGCTCAAAATCCGAAAGTGCTCCCGATGATTGTATGTTCTGACTCAAATCCAACTTGAAGGCTCTACACTCTAGTCCTACCTATGTCCCCGTAAATATAGTATCGAATACATAATCCATCATACCACTGCGATATGAACCAAACCACCTATCCCACATTTACCCCCCCTCCCATGTTGATCGACGGGTCTCCTTTATTCCATAGTATCTTGAAACAGAAAGCCCGCGCTCACCTGGGTAGGTGCAAGTTCCTAACAAGCCAAGGCTACACTTGAACTGACACGTTGGCATTATACACACCGTACTAGTAGTATGTACCACTTCATGGCCGTTGTGGCCCAGCAGAGACTAGCGGCCGTTGACAGGGCAACCGCGCCTCGTTGAAAGCAAACCCGTCGAACACATCAGAACCATCGCCCCTCAGCACCTTTATACGATCTTATGGATTAAGTGCTATTGATCCTCTCATCGGCACACTTTATAATTGTTACTTGTATCTCCAATTCGCTTCATTTACCCCACCAATACGAGGGCTTCCCGACTAGAATTCCGTCACCCGTTTGACACATTCCACACGCGTCCACACCAACAATGGGCACAGATCCTGCCCAGCCGCAGGCGCAAGCATGGTGGGTACCATTTTTCCTCAATAATTCCGTTGTCTTGTTCAGATACCTTCTCCCCTGGAAGCAAAGAATCGCAAACGCCCCTAGATTAGGGGCTGCTCCTCACATTTCATGTTTACCACGACATCGATCCCGATCTGCTAAACCTCTGGCGCATTGTCACATCACACAACTAACCTCAAGTGCCTTGGCGCACACTTCTCTACAGTGGCCTCGCCGACTCAACAGACGATAATTCCTTCAGATTTACCCCTATTAAAGCCATACGAGCTCTGCCCCGTCTGTGGGAGCGCAAACCCGCTACACCCTTTAAGGGCGGACTGAAACCACGGAAACTTTGGAAGCGCTTCCAAACATCGTTTTCCAACATGCAAACCCTCCAAGACACGACTGCTATTATCGAGAGCGACGCACTGCAAACCGCGATCAATACATCCCAGGATTCGAATTATGTCCGCGGAACGAAACGCATGCGTGTCGGTTCTGAAGAGACTCAGAATCACACCGAGGCCCCTCAGGCCGGGCGTTCATTCTTCGAGACCAAATGGGACTCAGAGGCTGCTCGGAAAAAACGTAAGTGTCTAAGATGGGTGCGTCGTACGCGTCGCATAACACCTTTCCGTGCTAAATTTGCGTAATAGGGAAATTGCCCGACTCGCTCTTCGATATTTTCGACGAGAAGAAACAAAATACACCCCTCTTTGCCGGAAGCCAATTTGATGGACCAGCGGAAAACACCAGCGCAAACGAAATCGGCAAGCATCTTGAAAACGTGAATATGGATTTTGCGACGGCCACATCTTCTCGGCCTCTCGAAATGCTGCAAGGCCCCTCGAGGACCCCTGTATACCAAGACGACGCCCATGCTGAAAGCTCGGAACCTTCAGGTTCTGAATCAATGGCCGCAGTCGGCGAAGCGTCCAGTTTAGCAGCCGAGGAACAATCTGCAGATGTCGTCGAGGACCTACAGAGCGAAAAAAACAGCCGAAGCGGCACCGACACCCACCAAGGCCGTGCGAGGTTTGACGCAAGAACAGAAGGGGAAACTAGTACGCTCCGCATTGCGGAGCTCGCTAGATGGGGAGGACGCAGAGCTTCTCAATGACTTCTTATCGAAAGCCAAAGCAAAGCGTGCGGCTAAGGCAACACTAATGAACGCCCAAGAACCACATGTGGATGCTACCGAGAAGTCTTCGAGCTCCGAAGATTCACCAGAAGCTGAATGCGTAACTCCACGATCACGCCGGGCCTTGGAGGATTTGGATACGAACTCACCATCGCCAGTCAAGGTCCAGGTCTCGCCCTCGAAGAAGGGAGAGACAGTCCATGACGACGAAACTCGAGAAATCGTTGCCAAGAAGGATCTTCAAGACGATGAGCAAGCTCCCGCCAGTCCTGCATACCGGCGCAGCAGTCGTGTCAAAGCTCCCCCAGCAGAGGCACCCGTCGCGCCTAACGCAATTTCTCTTCGACGCGCCAAAGGAACCGAATTCGTTTTCTTGCAACGGACCGAAACCCAGGAGCTGGCTTTGGCCACCAAGCGCAACACTCGCAACAACAGAGGCAAATCGGTCATGCCCAAATACGTGCTTGAGGCGATGTCGCAGCAAAATGAGCCGTCGGAAGCTACTGAAAGTGATCGACCTGGACGGAAAGACCGAAAGGACAACAGTTACCGCCAATCACGCAAAAATGTCTCTTGGAACGAGGAGCGCCTCGCAGAGTTTGAGGATGAAGTGCAGAGCTCGGAATCCCAGGAAGAAGAGGTGGGTGCCATCAGCAAAAACGACGTCGGCGGTACTTCTCGTGCACGATCTGGAGCAAAGAAAACAGAGAAGAAAGCAGTGTCCAGCAGCCGCAGCAGCCGAAGCCAAGTACAGCAAGAGACTCGGGATGATTGTGCGGATGCTGCAAGCGGCCCGACCACTTCGACTTCTGCAGCACCGCGATCACGACGGGTGCGGCGCCTCGGCGAGTCGACGATGACCTCGAGCACCCCTATGAAAACAGGCAGTGGGCGGATCAGCAAGCCTCCCGTCGCTTCGACCCCCGCGGTGGCTGCTGTAGGGCCCTCAACTCCTACTAAGGGTCGCCGGAAGCTCGTTCCAAAGTCTCCCAGTTCGTCAATGCTTCCCACCCCGGCTACGAAGAGCGCCGAACAGTCTTTTGCCAGTGGAATTCCAACACGAAGTCTCACCAGCGAGGGGCCGAAGCGAAAGAGCATGCTAGAGGCCAGCGCAGGGTGTACGCCTATGCCGAAGCGGGTGCGAGCTCGGACTTGATTATCTGCAGCCGTAACTTTTGCTACGTGCTCTGGTTTAGGAGTGGTGTTTTTTTTGGCGTTGGCCATGGCTGATCATACTTTGACTGATTATTGTCAAAGCGTATAGTCCTGCTTATCCTATGGTCAAGGGCGTTTTGCTTGTTTTTCGAAGATACCAATGGCGCATTTCTGTTTCTCTGTTTCTGTTTTTACAAAGCTAGTCTTTTTTTTGTGTTTGATATTTCAATGCACGGGCTTTGGAGTATGTTCTTTCTGCGTAGCTGCACATGTACTTGACAGAAGATGCACTGCACCACGCCATCTGCAAGCTGACGTCTGTGTCGCTTTCTATGCATGGCAGATTTTGACTCATGGTGCTCTTCGGGCTCACTACTGGTAGTATCTGATAACGAGAAGATACGAGGCCATATAGAATCATTAAAGATTGATCACCACGCCTATATGTATGCTGCCTAGATACCCCATCTGCGGGGTAAGTCGAATCCACCCCCGCGAGGCAGTCGGTTGAAACGAGACGCTACCCCGGAGATATGCCAATGACAACTTTGGAAGACGCTAAAGATGTTCGGGCCTTCGCTTTCCTCGTTGATCCAACTGGGGAAACTAGAGCGGACCATTTGCCCATGGAACCTTTGGACCTCCATCCAAATTCGGACATACTTCGATTTCCAAGAGGTCGTGGTACGCCTGTACGGTATCCCGCCAAGCACGCCAACAAGCCATCAAAAAGCCACTGTATCGCCCCGGTTTGAGAAGACGCTCCTTTTCAAACCGCAACCGGGATTTCAGCTCGGCTCTGGAGTCGGATTTTAGGTACTCCGTACAAGCATGGACCGATATACCCTTGATCCTTGGATCCCGAGGATGTATACTCCGTAGTATCACAGCTCTAAATATACTGGTAGTTGTCAGCAAACCCAAAACAAACTTCTTCTATATACGATGACTTCCATCAACTAATCCATTAGAGACTTATCCTCGAACAGGTAAACGACCGACTACCTGCCGTTCCATATCCTGCCCCTCCCCCGCTCATCACCAACCCAACCTGGTGGGATTGGGAGTGGGAGTGGGGTACCTGAACCATATGCGGAAATATGTGAGACTTCAGTACCGAGTACTGCTTATACGAGATGCCTGGGTCTGCGCAGAGTTAATGCACTCATAGAATCCTACCCACCATGGGTTTCAAGAGTTTGGAAGTGCCTGGGCACTCGCCAATGAACATGCGAGAAGATTCTTACTTGATACCACCGTCGCCATCTCACTTTAATCTGACACTAGGCTCGAGGTAGACGATGCCTCATTCGGATACTCGGTGTTAAATAGGAACCGCATACGGAGTACTTAGTACTAGTTACTACTAGAACTAGTTAGTCAACCTATTGAGGGCTACGGAGTACTAGTAGTATATCCTTCAAGTTTCCACCTTGACTGCCACTCCGGCAATACCCGGAGCTCGACAGACACGCTATACTATGTACGGCAAGGTGTTAACGCTAAGCCCTGAACCTCCGTGGCGCAGGAGGGCTCCGAGCCACACAGCGGGATGGCATTTTGTTGTCGGAGCACTCTGCTCCTGTCCGGCCTGTTAAATGGCCAGACGGTGCTGCATTGGATGGTGTAACCCTGCCAAGGGAAGTATTGTTTTTGGCTACATTAGTTGCTCGGCTCCGAGTCGTTCCTATGTACGCAGTACTTCAAGGTGAATCTCGTATGCCTTTCAATAGAGTTTGCCTTTGAGGGCTGAGGGCTGATTTGGCGTTGGCAATGGCGTTGGAAATGGCGTTGTTGGGCTAAGGAGGCTTTCCGCATTTGCGGGATAGTTTCCTTCCGAGGTCCTCCCCTGTCTCTTAGCAGGGGATCAATGCGGCATTTGCATTTGCGTTTGTATTTTGTCAAATTTACAACTCGTAGAATAATACATTGTTGTACTGTATGCGAACTCTGCAAATTTGCTCATTTTATCAAAACCTGTTGAATTGAAATAAGTCTCAGTTTGGGAGGGGGGATTTATCGCCGATCCTCCTGCGGGGTAAGTAGAAAAGCGGAACAGAGAGAGTGTGAGAGAGAGAGAGAGAGAGAGAGAGAGAGAGAGGGGAGGGAGAGTGAGAGTGAGTGGAAAGTAGCTGCTTGCTCATGGATCTCAATTGCAAACCGGTTTGTAAAGATCTACGAGGATTATCAAACACAAACCAGGGTTGTAGGAAAAACTCGGATATATCTTATTCATCTATTCGTTCGTGTTGGATTCATTACACGTTCCCATCCAAGAAACCCTTAAAACTTTTGGGTATCATCCTCACGCTCTTGCTCTTGTGTTCATAATTTCGCATGGATTCAAGCAGACAGGTTCTTGGCAGTCTCCTCGGGCCAGACATCGTAGCCGAAGGTGTCCTTCATGTTGACGAAACGGAAGTGACGGCCCTTGGCGACAGCGTTGATAGCGGCGAAGTCGGTATCGCTGAGCTCAATGCTCTTGAAGTTGGACTCAATGCGCGCGGGGTTGGAGCTCTTGGGGAGGACAACGTAGCCGCGGCGCAGACCCCAGGCAATGAGGACCTGGGCGAGGGTGTTGCCGCCCTTCTGGGCAACCTCGTTCAGAGTCTTATTCTCGCTGACCCGCTCACCGGTGGTGGGGACCTGGTTCTGCGAGCCCAGAGGCGAGTAGGCAACGGGCAGAATGTTCTTGTTGAAGCAGTACTGGACGAGCTCCTCGTTGGGCAGGAAGGGGTGAATCTCGACCTGGTTGACGTGAGGTGGCACCTTGGCGAACTTGGCCATCTTCTCGAGGTCGGGGATGGTCCAGTTGGAGACACCAATGGCCTTGGCCTTGCCCTGCTCATAAATCTTCTCCATAGCGCGCCATGTGGGCTCGGGGTTCTCGGTGAGATCCTTTAGGATGACGTACTATTTTCCAATATTAGTGGGGGGAATAGCTTCCACAAGCTCAAGGAGCTTATGCTCACCTTTCCGTCAGGGCCAATCTTGGGGGTCTCCTGGGTCTCCTTCTCAGCGGCAATGGGCCAGTGAATCAGGAAGAGATCAACGTAGTCCAGACCAAGACGCTCGAGGGAGTTGTTGATCGACCACTCAACATCCTCGGGGCGGTGGAGGTGGTTCCACACCTTGGTGCAGACGAAGATATCCTCACGCTTGACGGAGGGGTTGGCCTTCAGGAAGTCACGGATACCCTCGCCAACCTCACCCTCATTGAGGTAAAACCAGGCACAATCCAGGTGACGGTAGCCAGTGTTCAGAGCAGTGGTGACGGCTCTGTAGGTCTCGCCCTTGGATCCCTCACTGGCGAAGGTACCGAAGCCAACGCCGGGGATCTTGACGCCGTTGCTCAATGTGAAAGTTTTTCCGCTAGACATGATGGATGTGATTGTGAAGTCAATTGGGTAAATAGAATTATTGAAAGGGAAGAGAGGGAAGAGGAGGGAAGAGCAATTAATAAGGGAGAGGTAAAACGGCAGCAATGACGCTGTTAGCGGGCGAAGGTGGGGTGGTGGTGCTGGTGGTGGAGGGGTACTGCTGGGACAATGCAATAGAGAGAACCCCTCCTTAGCAACACTCATCAACACCCATCAACACCAAAAACAAACTGTCTGAACATCATCTATATTATCGATTTCTACATAACCCCGCGTCGATCGTGCCATACAGTTTCCCTGATAGCACCCTGTACACTGCCAACCTGAGGCTAGCCCACGCCGAGAATGTCAAAAATTCCACGCGTAATTTTCAGAAATCCAAAAAGCGCGCCATGACATCACCTTCACCCCAAAACGGTGTCGAAAGCGTTTGACCCGCCCGATCGTCATCGGCTCCATCGATCTCATGCGGTTCCACGGGCGAACTGTGCTCCTCGCCCAATGAGCCATTTGATACGGGTGGGAGAGCCTTCTTCGGCCTTACTCTGGCCACTCGGCGTGCTGAACGGCCTCTCGTCGGCCCACCGAGACCCGTCGACTACCATTTTTGACCAATCAATGACTCTCAATTCGACTTACCCGGAGCAGACCTGCCCAGCTCCTGCCCAGGCCCTTGCCCTGGATGTTCTGGGGAGGAGGTAGTACTCCGTACTCCGTACTGTGTATACTGAACGTGCCGTGTATACGGTACGCGGAGAAACATCAGGGCAGCCACCGTGACGCAGGTACCCTATACGGATTACAGCCCGCGAATTGACTCCAGACCACCACGGACCACCCGGCCGCAGCAGCATCGGCAAGACCCTGTTGTTAACATATGACGATAATTCTTAGGGAGTAATCATGTTTTCCCGCAAAGTGGATCCTCCCCCTCTTGTAACCATGCAGACAATAGCATCGATACCTGCGCCGCATCTTGTTTGCTAGGGAATTGAGTGGTATTAGAACCGGTATGAGATTGGGCCTCTCTCTGTATATATACGCGGCTGCCTTCTCCTGTTCAAGATTTCTCGTTTTCTCCTCTGTCTTTTCCTCTCTCTCTCTCTCTCTCTCTCCCCATATCTCTCTATACTATCTCTCTCTTTATATCTACCTTGATCCATCATCTAATTGGGTCCTGGTCTCTTATCCAGCGACTCTCTTCTTGCCCCAAAGATCAGCAGATCCCTCCTCCACTTCCCCGTCTCCACCTTCCTACCTTCAACCCCACTCAGTGTGCATATTATCACGATGCCTCGTTTTGACGATTCTGACTTCGCGGTTGTGTCTGCCCCAGGCACTCCTCGTGCTGAGGGCCCGAATCCCTTCGCGGCTCTCCGCCCTGGTGTCTCGAGAGGCAACAGTACTCTGGCCATCCCCGGTGGAAATGGAAACACTGTTGAGATTCCTGCCTCCCGCAGTTCGATCAGCGATGCCGCTGCGTTGATGCACAACTTGAGCCTGTCGCCCTCGATGAAGGAGCGTCGCGGTTCACGCAACTCATTTGGAACATCGCTCCCAATTCCTCGTTCTCCCCGTCACTCTCGACTATCGTCGAAGCGACCTGGCGTTTCTCAAGACATCCTGGCCTCTCAGGTCCAGGACATGTCCAAGGAGAAGGTTGCCGCCGCTAAGAATATGGCTTTCGCTTTTGATATCGATGGTGTGTTGGCACATGGCAACGAGCCTATCGAGGAGGCCAAGCTGGCGCTGAAGATGCTCAATGGCGATAATGAGCTAGGTATCAAGATTCCCTATATTTTGCTCACCAACGGTGGAGGTAAGACTGAGATTGCTCGTTGTGAGCAGCTAGCTGGGCTTTTGGAGAGCCCTATCTCCACCGACCAGTTTATCCAATCGCATACTCCTATGCAGGCCCTGGCTGAATATTACGAGACCGTTTTGGTGTGCGGTGGTGAGGACTTCAAGGTCCGTGAGGTCGCTGAAACTTATGGTTTCAAGAATGTTGTTCACCCTAAGGACATTCTGGCGTGGGACCCTACCGTTTCCCCGTGGGGTATCTTCTCTGAGAAGGATCGCGAGAACGCTAAACCTCGTGACTTCTCCAAGATGAAGTTCGACGCTATTCTGGTCTTTGCCGACTCGCGTGATTACGCCACCGATTTCCAGATCATCATGGATCTGCTCCTATCTGAGAACGGCAAGCTTCTCACCCGCGCTAAAGACCCTGTTGCCAGCCGCATTCCCATCTACTTCTCGCAGGGTGACTTGGTGTTCCCTACCAACCACAAGGGACCTCCCCGTTTGACTCAGGGTTCTTTCCGTATCGCCATCGAGGCCCAATACAAGGCCCTCACTGGTGTTGAGCTGGAGCGTGTCGTTTACGGCAAACCTGAACGTGCTACTTACACTTATGCCGATGAGGTACTCAAGAACTGGATGGAGCAGATCCATAACGAGAACACATTGCCCCAGAATGTCTACATGGTGGGTGATAACCCCCAGTCTGACATTATTGGAGGTAACATGTACGGCTGGAACACCTGCTTGGTCCGCACTGGTGTCTTCCAGGGCAAGGAGGGTGAAAATGACGCTCACAACCCTGCCAACTTTGGCGTCTTCGAGAACGTCCTTGAAGCTGTCAAGGCCGCCGTCCGCAAGGAGCTTGGCCAGGATTTCAAGTTGAAGTGGAACCCTAAAGTCAACCCTGTGCTTCACGGTGATGATTCTTCAGCCGTCGCATAAGCAGCTCAATATCGCCACTTGGAGCACAACACCTAAACAACACATTACGATATAACACGCCGAGCGACATTTGAGACCCATATCACCGGCGTGATTTGCGATACTGGAAGAGCTTCCCTTTTCTGGTGTTGTCTTTTTTGGCATTTTTAGACAGATAATTTACTTTCTCATTTGTGCCCCTCGTGTTCCTGGTTGAAATTGGGGTTCAAAGCTTGCTGATATCTACCTTCACATCTATGGTCGTCTTTTATTTCTTTGATCTTGCGTTTGAGCTCGAACTATCTTCATTTTGATTTCTCCATGAATACACTTGATGTGATTTAGACTGAATATTCCATTCTTCTTGTTAAATTATTATTGATGAGACTGCTGTAGCGAAAGAACTGTTGAGCAGTATCCGCAAACAGCCTCATCGGCCACTGGACATACAATTCAGGAGTATCTCTGATTCAAATCCTTCCACGCGTATGGTTTTCTACAGTTATCTGCTATCGCCCCTTTTCACTTCTCGTTTAGCTCTTTGTAGGGGGCATGATTGACGAGCTCGGGCAAACATGATCCAAGATAAAGAATGCATTTTCGAATACTCATCATAGTAGTACGTAACCACCAAGACTAGCGCCGGAATATGAAATGAAAGTTATTTTCAGTTTCCGTCAAGAAATCGCAAAGTGACTTCAATTTCCTACTTGGTCTTTCGCCATACACCCTTCCATTTTCTGCATCAAGACAACCCTAATTTCTCGGTGCGAAGCGCGAAACGAGAAAAGTTTTAACCAAGACATTGAACGTTCTAGAGCCTTCGAGCTGAGACGAAAACCTCAATACGGAGGGGAAACAAAGAACAATCCATGGATATAGGGATTCAGAGCATGTGGCAAACAACCGAGCTCAACCTGAGATAGTTCAAGTAGCCGTAATGGCCCGGTATCCAGTAGCCAGCAGCCAGTAACCAGTAACCAGTAAATAGTACTCATTATTCAGAAATTCCACTAGTTGTAGGATGGCTCCTTCCTTTCCGATCGTTGTTTGCTTGAAAAACACGGGATCGCGGAACCGCGGAAGAGCAATTGGGGAATCAAAACACGGGATCGGGAGGGCGGGAATCGGGTAGCTGCACGATGCTCTACCTGAGTTTCGGTGACGGTCTCGGAGTCTCTGTTTCTCGGGAATGGAGTAGTTCATGCGTAAAGGAGAACAAGGTTGTGGCGGGCTGTATGGTCAGGGGCTTTGGTTTTGGGTTACTGGGTGATGTGGGTTCGGTTAATACAAGAGTTGTATGAACGGCCAGGAATGAAATGAAAATTTACACCGTATTATTCTCTTAATATTTGAAAACTTGAGTATTGGTGGGTGCTTAGTAGACGCGTGCTGTTTCTCAGGTATAGGTGAAGGTATAGTTACTAGTACTTCCGTATCCACTTGTGGTCCACAATGGCTTTTTAGCGACTGGCTCCAAGGTTCTATACTTTCTGTAATTTTGTATCTAAGGCTTTATCTTTCCATTGGAAATTGTCCTTTTTGTGTGGTGGTATGTAAATTGTGTCAACTATATAGAGTCCTAGTATGATGCTTAATTTACTACATCAAGGACATTTCCCGACGGAAACTTGAAGAAATTACGCGGCGTCCGCAGCTTCAATTAAAACTCCTGTCAATCATGTTCAACTATAGTACTAGTTGAAATTGAAATTGGAACTAGGGTGTATGGAATACTATGCTAGCTAGTGGCCCAGTAAGGAGGCAACAGCACCCGGTAGCAAGGTAATGTGCACTTTCTATAAAATATTCTACTTTCACAACTTGAACTTATACTAGTTAATCCTCAACTCTTAAGCAGTAGGCTAGGAAAACATAGACTTGAACGCGCCTACAGATTCGCCTACTGTAAGTCTATCCAACCTATCCTCCCCAAGCAAGTAGATCTGCGGCAGACCGGGTACACTCCCTTCCCCAAGAGCCATTCGGGCTATTCCTTCACCACATAACCAAGCTTTGTCCATTCCATGTCCATTATATCCGGCTGCGATCCATTCTCCTTGGCCCTCCCGACCGGATATTGAGGATGGAATTCGACCAACAATTGGACAGCCATCAGAAGTGAAGGCCATTATCCCAGACCAGACCTGTCGCACTTGATGGGGCTCCACATTGGAAAATATACTTGGAAGCACTGTCGAGAGCTTTTGCTGTGTTGTTTCCCCAACGGCCGAGTCATCACTAGTAAGTAGCTCTGATAATTTCTGACATTCGCCTCCAATCCAGATCTCTCCTGTTTTCGCATTCTGCTGCACATAGTGATATTGAGTATCCCAGGCATCACTTTCCGGGCGGTAGGTAAATTCATTTACTGAGGACCAAGAGAAACGATCTCCCAACATAGGAAAGTCAGGGCCCGGTTTCTGCACTGACATGGTACCGCGAAGAGGGTATATGGCTCCCACCAGGTTCGGTACCAGATGACCCGCAAAGCCATTTGTGCAATGAAGGATTTTGTGCGCTCGAATAATGCCCCGGGGCGTGGCAATTGAATACGGCAGCGATTCCGCTTGATTGAATTTGATGGTTTGGACCGGCGTGTTTGTCTGTAATGTAAAACGACCCCCAAACTCCGTCAAAAGTTTTTCGAAAATTGCAGTGATCAGGCGATAGGGCCATACTGCGGCTGCACCGTGCTGCTCTACCAAACCAACAATGTCGTCTTGGAAGGAAAATTCCTGCCATCGATTGTTAGACACTAGCTGCATAAGGATTCTGTTAGACAATGAAAGAAATGACATACCTTTATCCGATCCTGATCTTCCACGAATCTGAATTTAATAATACTATCTGGATATTCTTTCACAAGTAATTTCACGGCAGCCTTGAGACGCTCCATAGTTTCAGCTTTGGATGTAGAAAGTCCTAGTACGACGTCCCGAAGCTCTGTTGCTTCGCGGTCGTTCTCGACCAGGCTCGCTGCAACCTCCCTCAGCCGGATAGCATTGGCTTCACTGAAACGGGCCGTCTCAAGAGCAGCTTCTAGGCCATGTGCATCCATATTGTGGGCAAAGCTCTCGAGAATATTGGAGCAGATGTGCCCACCGTTCCGACCAGTTGCCCCGCTGCATGTCTCTCGGGCTTCAAGAACAGTTATGCGCAGCTTGGTGGCGTCTGGGTGATGCAGTAAGGCATGGGCGGCACCACAGCCAGTGACGCCGGATCCAATGATGACAATATCTGCTTCCTTGGCGAGATCTGACTGTATGCTGGCAACTGTCGGATGAGGGGGCTGCTGCCATGATGATTGCGTTGGGTTTGGATTGGGCAAGCCTGGGGCCAAGGTGATTCGCTCTTTGACCTGAGCGGCTATGTCTGTTTACTCTTGGATTAGCCATTGGCGTTGAAATCATTTGCAGATCAAACCAAGTGAAGACAGCTGACTCGATAAGTTGCCGCTTTTTAGAGCTGGAAAGATGATAAGGAAATATGGGAGCGGGGTCATTGGCTTTGACGTACCAGTTATGTCCATGGTGATGAGCTGGGAAGCGCTGTTAGAAGAAGGTTCAAAAAATTAGTAGTGAACTGTCACTCAAACTGGCTTGCGATGGGACTTAAATATATGGGATTGGTATCTATTTGCCATGCGCGGGCTTGTATGTCAATCGAATCAAAAGTACCCACGATTCGAGCTTTAATAGAGATTCTGGCTCGAGTATCCAATCAAAACATGGAAAATATGCCGGTCGCTAGCCAGATCAAGCTACTACCAAGCCCACTCGCCATCTATTCCAGGAATCGACCAGTAACTTCGGAATGCGTTCTGATTGCCTGGATTTTAGTACACATTATTCACCAATTATGTGTCGAGAAAGAAGCCGGTTCCTTGACCACACTTTCTCCACGCTATGTGTGAGCAAAATGTTACATGGGTAACCTTCGTTTCCCTATGATAGAGTTAGAAAGGGTGGATCGGCTTGCCTCTTAAACTAAGGTCTGTGGACCACAACCTACCTAGAGCTCAGCACGGCAGATGAGAACCTTCAAGTATTAATAGCCCGTTGCCTGCATATATGGAGATGTCTTCGTTTTTCCTCATGGTAATCACCAGGAAAGACATTGTAGTCATTCAGTTCCAGATAGCACGCTCGATGAAGACCGTAGCATTGTACATGCTGTGACGCATGGGGAAACGAGTCAAGAGAAGTATAGGAGTGCCCGGGTGGTGATTCTCATGAAGAAGATCGACTAATATGGTGTGCTGACCACTCCATCAAGAATAAGTTGCCAACCCACCCATGTCTCTTTCAACCAACTATCCGCGATGTTACCATAGAATCATAGTTAGCCGTGCATAATTTGAATTTCGGGTGAAACGATGACACACTCATACTTTTTCAAGACTTGCTGCAGTGATGTGAGAATGAGCCAAGACGTCCACAAAGCAGCAAATTATAACACCATATGGTGAACCTGTTTGCTTAGCGAGTGAACAGCGAAAATGATCCTCATCCAATCAGTCTTCGTGGACTCAAATCATTTATCAATACTAATTTCGCGGGTTGTCCTTGCGAAGACTAGCACTGAAATCTCGCTCCTTCCGAACTGGTTCCATAATCAAGTAACTTACATGGAATATACGACTCCTTACTAATCAATACTGGTGACTGATGCAAAGAAATACAACTTGAAGCGAAAAGAAACAACTACAGTTCACGCTTCTATGATAAATATCTATTTTCCCATTGTAAAATAATCAATTTTCATAAAAGACCAGCTAACACATAGTTCAGCATGATATCACAGTACTATACATACATAAGGAGAGTGCTTGGGGGCCGTGGGGGATGATATACATGAATGGCTAGCTGGTCAGTATGCCCCATTGAAAGACATCATCTTGCATTGGGAATTCCTACCTGGTCGGGTACCCACCTGATTGACCACAAGATTACTCTAAGATCTTATGAACAGAAATAGGCTCAGAAATCTCTCAACTGCTACTTAGAGGCCGTTTATTATGAGACAACGGGCTGTCATGAAACTGACGAGCACATATTGGGAGTCGCTCATCATTTTGTGACACAAGGCTCAAATGCTCGCCTTACGGGGCCGGCACGCCAGGGTTGATAGCAGGGTAGGTGATCCGCGATGGGGCGATTCGAATACGATTCGAATCTTGCTGATGGTGTGTTACTACGGAGTACGGAGGACATAATTGCCTGACGAGTCGGCAGACCATTCTTACTTTGGAGATGAAGCGGAGGCTCTCGGTTGGGTGCTTGGGTGCTTGGGTGCTTGGGCTCCACCAAAATGCCGATGCGACGCATGCCGGGAGTGTTTCCGCGCGGGTCATGCGGACAGCGGGTTGATTATCCGAGCTCCTCCTGCAGGATCGAGATTATTCTTCGTTTCCTTCATTTTGAGAAAGATAAATAAAAGGAGTTCAGCAGGGGCACAAGGGGGCTATCAGGGGGTTGCAGGCCAAGACTCTCGGCGGCGCGCCGGCATTTGTAGAGGGTGAAACTATTGTCTTGTCGACATCACTCCGTACTGATGATCGAGATCGCCGGCGCTCCGTAGTTCTCCACGGAGAGTCAAGTATGTACTCCATACGAGTAGATAGAGTAAGAAGATGCAGATCCCGTGATCCACCCTGCAACAGTGTCTTTGGGGCCGCCCCTCCAAGCAATTTACTCCATAGTCCGCCGTCTTGGCGCGATTGGAGGCATTATGCCGACAGTCGGCGGGCGATGTGTCCTTGTGGATTTGATATGCAACGTACGGAATACGGAGTACGGAGTACTGCTTTAACAGTATTATTGGATGAAGTGGTTCTAGGAGTTCTGCGAGCTGGCATTGGCGCATAACGTCATCTAGCATGTTAGTCTCGCAGCCGACCGGGGCCAACTACCTATTGTACCTAGGGTATCCCCGATGACCCCGATAGCGCCGGAACTAAGCCTTTGCCAATGCAGCTTCATCGGTTGTACTCTGTACAGTGGACTGGAGACGCAGTGCTAGTCAGCATCGCGAGGATCATAAATTCAAGGACACATAACTAATGGGCCGGTTGTAATGTGAAGATGGGGAATTCCCGAGATCCCAGGTCCCGGGCTAAGACCGAGTCCGAGACAAGACAAGACAAGACCAAGACCAAGACCGGTGGAATGCAGGGCCAGGCTAGGCAGGGGTAGTATCCCAGAAGCTGGTTTGATTTGGCTTGAGAGCAAGAGAAAGTCAATGCCAGTCGGTAAATGCTAATGCTCGAGAGTGAGAGTGAGAGTGAGAGTGAGAGTGGGAGTGGGAGTAGGACTCGAGTAGTAAATTGGAGCGAAGCAATATGTGGACTAGTTTACTCTAGTTTACTTTTTTTGGAGGAGTATAGAGCAGATCAGGTGATTTCTATTTGGTAATGACAACCCTGGAACCGCCAAAGGTCCCACATGATCGGCCGCATTGACCAATCATTTGTAGAGAATCTAGTTAGCCTTACCTAACAAGAACTCAAACGTGGCCGGCTAGTCTGGGGTACATTTTCTTTTCTTTTTTTGATTATTTTTTACTTCCGTCCTCAATGATTACGAGTATACATCAATACTAAAGGTTGCACTACCCTCATACAGCTCGGAGCCACTCCCTCTAACCGAGTGGTCGCTGACCAGCGCATTGATCCTCAATGGAAGCTACCGGTGCACTGGAGGCGCCAACGGGGAAGGAGCACTATACCAAAAACGATGATTTTCCTTATGTCATAGATTGCTCTCCCGGGCGCAACCAGATCCGTTGGAAAGTGGAAATGGGAATGGGGCAGGTGATACCCAGAGATCCTTGGAACACCCATTTTGATCCCGTGCTTAGCATTTTTGTACTCCGTATGTATGTACGAGTATTCGGGAAGGAATCAAAGAGTCTACAGACACTGACCCTGACACTGACACGGATTCTATACACATCGACAAAGAACCCCAATGTCGACATGCTTTCGCTTACAGACTATAAAAATCGGCAGACTAGAAGAAAAGAGGAAAAGAAAGAAACCCTCCGAGGAAAGATAAAAATGATAAAAATAATACATAATAAATAATAAAAATAAAAAGACCCAAAAAAAGACAAAATCGGCTCTGCAGGGGTAGCTTGTTTAGTTAACCGCCGCTGGCCGAATGACTCTGCAGTACATCCGCCACCTTCGCCTCTTGACCCCAACACGGACATCTCTGTCTCTAACTCCTCCTACTTCTCCTCACTCCCGAATCTTCTTCCCATTCTGATTCCTCCTCCTTCGTATTCCTCTTTGATTCCTTGGTCCATTCATACTTCCCTTCAGATTACCTACTTGTCACTTTTAAGTGGCACCACCGGTGGACACTTGCCCACCCAGCCGTGCAACGCCGGTTCGCCCTTTTCCGTGACTAACAGCTTCGACTTTTCCTTCCCCGCCGCCCCTCTTCTTTCTTCTCTTTTTTTCTTCTCTCTTGAAGCCCTAACCTCCCCTTGTTCCCATTGACCGACTGCCTCTTTTCGTTAGGAATCCGGGGAAGCTTCTTCTAGTCTCGTTTAGTTTTGCACATTTTCTTTTTTTCTTCTGTTCCACTATTTCCCAAAGGTACCACTGAGCCGCGTGCCTAGGGCCCTTTATAGAGGGCCCGCTTTCACCATGGCCTCTCCCACCACTGCCACTGGCACTTCTCCCCCTTCGCACTCAAAGCCTTCTCTCCCACGCTTTACGATTCCCTGTGGTGACCACTTTCATTCGCGCGACTCCTCGCCCTCCTCGTGTGACACCCCGGACGGCTCGAGATCCAGCAGTCGCCGCCGCCCGTCCTTTGGCTCCATCAAAGAGGACGCCGACGACGGTACGTTTGTTTTGCCCTTTGTGTGCGAGGCTACCTACGAGGTCACTCGATGTACTTGACTTAGCCCCATACTGATGACTGCAGATATTGCGCAATCTTTCGTGGACACTCACCACCTCTCCTTCCCCCAAGGAGCACTGCAAGCCTGCGCATCGGGAGATGCAGCCAAGCCCCGACTTCTGTTGTCCTTGTGGTGGATTTCTAGGATGGAAGCAAATTCGTCTGGGCGGAAAGAGCCTGAGTCGTAGTTATGGAGACCTGCGCAACATCGGCAACAAGCAGGCGAAGGGTTGGGCGTGGGAGGATACCGAAACGGGAAGGGAGCTGATGCCTCCCAAAGCCCCCGCTGTGGTCGAACTATCCCAGCCGCCTCCTGGCACATCGGCTCTCGAGAGGCTACCCCCTGAGGTTCTTGGTACGAAATATCCGGGAGAGAAAAGAGGAAGAGAAAAAAAAAAAAAAACCAAGATTTATATGGCTAACCGATTATCAGATCAAATTATCTCGAACCTGGCTGTGGATTTGCCTCCCAATGGCTATACTCCCCGCAATGTTGACCTGATCTCATGCCTTCTGACCTCACACACCCTGCATGCAGCGACTCTAGGCGTCCTCTACCGCAACATGACCTTCCCGCACTCGATCATCTTTTCAAAGGCCCTTAACCACATGTCGCAGTACCCGGCACTGGGCACCTTGGTCCGCCGCCTCGACTTCTCACACTTTACTTCTGTCGGGTTGGGTCGTACTAAGCAGATGAACGCGGAGATTCAAAACTTGACCTCGCGCACGCTTTTGAAGTGCTTGGACCTTTTGCCCAATCTGAAGGAATGTCTGCTGCAGGAACATCTGGAGGGTGATCTTAGCGTGGAGGTTATTCGGAAGTTGTTTATGGGTTTGCCGAACTTACGTGCTGTGGATTTCTGTGGTTGCTCTACTCAGGCCTTTTCTCAAGTCTTCACCGAGGCTCTGTCCGCAGGCCCCCCTTTGCCCATGAGCCTACCTAGTATGAAACGTCTCTCGCTCCACGAATGTAGTACCATTCCAGCACCCATGTTCGATCAATTGCTTTCACGACTGATCAACCTGACGCACCTCGATTTGACCCACACCCAGGTCAACGACTCCGCCCTTGCGGCCATCCCGGAGACTGCTCGCATCAGCCACTTGGGCTTGTCCCGGTGCACACGTCTGCGTAGCTCCGCCTTGATCGAATTCCTGACCACTCACCCTGCCGTTTGCGAATCACTTGTCTACCTGAACCTCTTGAATGACCCGACGCGATTCCGTTTGCTTGAGGAGGAGGATGTCTCGGCATTGCTGCCCAAGCTCCCTTCGACTCTTCGGTCCATGAACCTGGGTGGCGCTAAGGTTACCTCTGAGCACGTGTCCCTCTTGATCCCTCTGACCAAGCACCTGCATGAATTGGGTCTCAGTTCGGCCGATCTCTCAGTCAAAGACGTGAATACCTTCTTTGCCAAGGACGACAACGCAGCTCCAAGCACACTCTGCTATCTCGACCTTGCCAAGGTGCCACAAATGACCATCGGTGCTATCTTCAACACAAGCTCATGCTTTCTACTATCCGAGCAGAGCTATCCTCTGCAGGTGATCGAGTTTAGTGATAAGATTATCACACCACTCCGTGAGCGTGCCAAGACCCAGCGTGTGTCTGTGGGCTGGACTGTTCGTGATCTAGGCCGCCGCGGTTGGTATGTTCGCGATCCCGCATCGCTGCCAAATGAGCCTTTGGACGACGGTTACCGCTACTGGAAGATGGGGGCGCGCTGGTGGGGCATGCGCAAGATCCCTATGGCCGTCGGCGATGTTGGCGGCATCTATGGACACTATATGTTCAAGAAATGATTCTGGCTGGCACTATGCTTCTTCTTTTTTGCCTTCGCAAAAGTACCGCTCACCGCCACTTGCATTTCCTCTCTGATCTGATTCTCTCTTGCTCTCTTATCGATGGCGTGGTGTCAATACCCTGGTTTTTGTCTGCTTTCTGCCTGCTTATCTCTTTTTTCTCCGCATCTTCTTTCACTCATGGTACTATCTCGGGCGGGTTCTCTTTGATTTTTATGAATGATGATATCCGGTCTATGCATGGCGGCGCGCAACATGGCTTACGAATTTCGGCATTCCAGCTCCTTGCTTCGGGTTCGTTCTCTCAATCGCGTTCTGCAGGTTTTGCATAGCATTCAGGATTTCCCTCAGCGTTTTCTGTTTTGTCAATCTGCTTTCTGGCGTTTTATGTGATCGATTGAATGGCGTACCCACATCAACTCTGCTCATACTCACTTTACCTATCCCAAAACTATTTACTGTTCAACGAAACATTGTAGCTTAGTAACAAGACCAATGGATAATAGTCCCTAGAAACGTTGTCTTGGCCTTTTAATATTCACTCAATCAGCATTGGTCATCACTTGAAAGGTTTAGGATATTATTCGCCAGGTGATATATCACGTGATGATTGGATAAAGAGCTGCGGCTCTTCTTTTGCCTAGTTGCATTTACTTCACCCGCTGTCTCTGCGCGTCGAAGGTCTCGGTCCTTCTTCTTTTCAGCTTCACCCCAGGGGACTGGCTTATCCCGATGGGTCGTTTCGCTGTCATTTCCCAGGACAGTGAGAGCCGTCGAGAAACGTGACGATGGCACCTCCCAGCGGAGCCGCTTCTTACAAAAAGAAGGATGGCATCTTGACGCTGACCGCAGATGAGCAGACGCTCACCTGGACCCCAGCAGTAGCTGGTGCTTCAGCTCTCTCGATCCCGGTGACTACCATCTCGAGTACGCAGTTGTCCTTGATCTCCCGTCGAGCAACCTTACGGGATTTGCGCTGACTCGAATGACTAGATTTACAGCAAACCCCCGCTTCAAACCCGAAAGTCATGCTGAAGATCTTCGTTTTGGCCACCAACGCTCCTCCGAACAGCACCGCCGAAGCATATGTCTTTCTTTTCACGGCCGGTCCGGAAGCCCGCCCGCAGGCTGATGCCCTCAAAGACACACTTAGCGCTCGAGTCAATGCGGGCAAACCGGGCACGCCTTCCCAAACGCCGACACCCGGGGGAAGTGGAGGGAGTATGTCGGCAGCCATGGCGATCGCGAATGCAGTTTCTTCGGCAGGATCGGCGAAGAACCCGTGGGATGACGACAATCGATTGAAGGGAGACGTGGAATTACAGCAGTCGCTGCTGAAGGCGGATTCAACGCTGCAGCGAATGTTCATGGACTCCTTGCACACAAAACCAGAAACACTAGGTTCGGCACAGTTCATGTCACAGTTCTGGTCGACTCGATTGCACCTTCTCCGGGCACATGCCATTGAGCGAGCGCAGACAAGAGGCTCGTACAACGTTTTATCGTCATTGAAACCGCGCGTCGAGGAAAATGTGACCCGATTGAATATCAGCAAGGAGCAAATCCAGCTCATTTTCACGCAACATCCTCTCGTCAAGCGTGTATACGACGAGAATGTGCCGAAGTTGAGCGAACAGCAATTTTGGTCGCGATTCTTTCAGAGCCGACTGTTTAAGAAGCTACGCGGCGAGCGCATCTCTGACGCAGATGCCACAGATCTTGTGCTAGATAAATACCTACGGGATGATATCGCGGACATGAACCGCGAGGCCAATATCCCCCACTTTTTGGATATGGCTGGCAATGAGAGCCACAACAGCCAGCGCCGTGGAAACCGACCAGATCTGGACATGCGACCTTCCGGCGTGGACAAAGTGCCCATTATCCGGACCCTCAATAACCTGAGCGAGAAAATCATGGCTAATGTCGCACCAGCTGATGGCGATTTGAGCGCTCCCATTGGTGTGAATGAAGAGGCTTGGAAGAAAATGCAACTACGCGATCTTCGTGGGGACGAGGAGCAATCTCGTATTGCTCTCAACATCAGTGATCAGAATCGCTTCTTCTCCCATACCCAGGAGGATGACCAGAAACGGGCACTCAAGCAACAAGACCCAGACAAGATCCTGAATAGTCTCCGCTCGGAGATTGCGCACAGTTTGCCACCGGGTGGAATAACGCCGCTGCAAAAGCTTGTGGACCCGGGAGATGATGAAGATGAGGAGATGGAGGATGCGCCTGCTAGCCGTCGACCCGCTGGGTCCTCGGCAGCTCTACACGATGCATTTGTCCAAATTTTGGGCGCAGTACGTGAAAGGCGCACCCAAATGAGTGAAGCATCCACATCCGATACCTGTGGCTTACCGATAGCACTCTACGACCGGTTAACGTTGACCCACGCGACATCCACGGAATTCTTGAATCAATTCTGGCAGGCCTTTCTCTCGGGCAACCCAGAGCGTGCTGGTGAAGTGACCTCTCTGACGGAGTCATTGCAGCGCGCAAAGGACCGTATTCAGGCTGTCGCAAATGACGCCGAGGCAGAGCGACAAATCGAGGTCAATCGCCTCAAGACTCATGCTCGCGAGGTCTATGAAAAATCCGGAAGGAAATTGAAGATGAATCTAGCGGGAGTGGAAGGAGGGCAGAAGGTTGTCAATCAGCTTCTAGGGCCTACATTAAACGCCTTAGACCTCGCATTGAATCGGTACAAGACAGCTCTGGCGGAAGAAACGAAAGAAGCCGCTTCGTTGGCTGTGTAGATGAGACGACGTTTGCAGCAGAAAAGGAGAGGCGTTGGTGGGATTGAAAGAATTGTATAATATATCACATACCATGGTTTACTTGCCCTTATTGCATTGATTATCTTCCATACTCATGTTTCCCTTGTTGTTCCTTAGCGCGCTCTTCAAAACTAGGTGTTAGTAGTAGATCGACTCGGCATGCCGAGGTACCCCAGACTTCCCGAGCTGCCAAGCTGGCCTCCCAACTTCCGCCCTCCATCCACTAGCACCCGTTGAACCCCAACTACACCCCCCGGCAACATCACCCTGCACGGATTACAATCGCCCCGTATGATCCATCCACCCTTGACTAGAAAATAAGACCCAATTCCTTGGCCACAGACTTGACCGTTCAAGATGCTTACGTCCGGCCTCACCAACACCCCGCTCACGAAATCCCTCCTCATCTACATCATCGCATCCTCAATCGCACTCTCAATCCTCGACATCAAGCATCTCGGCTCAATTTATGTCTCACCACACCTCTGGCCATATGCTCAATTTTGGCGCACTCTCATCTGGCAAGCCGCCGGCTTTGCCAACTCCACCGAAGCGCTCTTCGCCGCCATGTTGGTGTATCACCTTCGAGTCGTTGAGCGGGCATGGGGAAAGCGAAAGATGGCCGTAAGTCAACTTCTGCTCTTCTATTCTCTACAAGAAATAGAAAGGTGGCTACCAACCCATCAGCACGATACTAACTATTCCTACAGACCTTCCTCCTCACAACCCTTCCTTTTACCACCATCCTGCCACCCCTCCTCCTCGCCATCCTCGTCCGGCCACTCTCCCTAAACAACCTTAACTACCTCCCCTCCGGCCCAACGGCAATGATCTTTGCCCTGCTTGCCCAATACCACGCCACAATCCCACACACTTTCCGCTACCGCATCGGCACAACATCTTCCTCCAACACAGCAACCACAAGCACGACTTACAACAATACCCACAACAATACCGACAATAGAACTCCAACCCCCAAACCACCCCCACCAAGTCTAACTCTCCTTCTCTCCGACAAATCAACAACCTACCTAATCGCTGCCCAACTCGCCCTCTCCCAATTCCCCGCCTCGCTCCTCCCGGCTCTAACAGGATGGATCGTTGGCACAGCCTGGCGCGCCGAACTCCTTCCAGGCCTCTCGCCCACAAGCAACGGTTTCCGGGTCCCGGCGTGGCTGGTAGGTGAGCGTGAGCGAAGGGATGGAGGTGCTGCGAGTGCGGCGGCTGAAGGGGAGAGGGAGCGGTTTGAGGATATGAGGCGAAGGCTTGAAGGTGAAGCGGAAGCTTCTGGGTTGGAGGGGGCTGCGCCGGGACAGAGGCGGAGAAATGGGGGTAATGAGGGTGGTGGACTTGCGGAGAGATTGAGGGGTGCTTGGTGAAGTGCATCATGTATTCTTGTCTTTGGTTTATTTCCAGCTTATCATTTTGGAATGGAACCCATACTGGCGTTTGTATGCCAGGTGAATGAACTACTGACCGGTCTACTTGTAGCTAGCAGAGTACCACTAGTTGAGTGCCACACCGTGACGATATCCATGTTTACTAGTATACATCCAAGGAACTTCAGCCTTATAGATGTCAATGTCTACATAGGGTACCTGTAGGTACTACACTAGTAGTATGCGATGAAAGAAAAACACCGATAACAGTGGGTATGATTGTGCCAACTTGAACGCTAGTCTATGTTATCCTGAACCAATTTTACCTCATCGCCCACGCGTCGACCGCATGCCGGTCTTACATTCGTCACAATACCATTTTACTGCGTAGAGTTAGCATCATATCCAGCACCCACTTAGTATAAGCATTTATGGGATTGATCTTACCATTCTTGCCAGGCGGTTTTGTCATTCCGACACAAGACAGATGGAACCATTCGCGAGGACAAGCGTCGTTATCGCAAGCCACCATCTCGCCAAAGCTGATTTCATTACAGTAGCAGTATCGAGGCTCGCCCTCTTCGTCTTCGTCATCACCCTCATGAAGAGATTCCTCGTCGGAGGGAATAATAGGTGCAGGGGCTGGAGCCGTTTTCTTAGGATTTCGCTTCGGCGCTGGGTCTGTATTTCGTGTAGGTCGTGAACGGGATTGAGTAATTTCTGCAAACGCGGAAACGGGCGTGGTTGTCTTCGAGTTTCGTCCTTTGGCAAGCTCGGCCTCGGCTGATTCGGCTTTTCTTCCGTCTCCCTCATCGCGTCGGACTCCCGCAGTGGCTGTTCGTACGCCTGCCTCGCCATTGTAATCCCGGTTTCCATCTCCATTCGCGACTTCGTTTTTGACGGAAGACGTGTCGCGGGGCGTAGACTTGGCATCGGATGGCTTTGAAGCATTCCCTTGAGCAAGGCGGTTGGAAGTCGAGGACGGCGGTCGTTGGCGGGCATTGCTTGTTTGACCAGCATTCTGCTGAGCTCGTGACGACTGTGGCCGGGCTGTGCTGGGGCCTGGGCTTGCAGCTCCGCGTGGGGCATTGAATGTTCCGATAAGAGGTGAGGGGGCCAGGACGGGCGATCCAGCATTGGATGTGACATTCGGCCTGGGGAAGAAGAGACGCACAGTTAGCTCTATGTGTATTAGGGGTAACTTGGCCGGAAACATACTTCTTGCGCGCTGCCGCAGCATTGGAGTTTGGTGCACGAGATCGCTTTTTCTCCGTGCCATCCTTTGCGGACGCTCGCTGATTGCCTGGGCCGCTGGCGGAACGCTCCATTGGAGCGCCCATATCTATCGCCGTAGGCCGTTCTACCTTCCGCCGCTTAGGTGCCTGATCTGCAGGCGCATTATCTGCACGAGACTTTCCGGTATTTGTTTTGCGAGCAGCACCGCGGGGTTCCTCATAATCCGCGTCAACGTGGTTGCGACGTCTCCGCGCTTGGACAGCTTCGCGCCGAGCTTCACTACGGCTAGCAGCTTCGGCTTCGTGAATCGCGTAGGCAATGTCTTGTCGCTGGGATACTGCTTCCCGGCGGGGTCGTTCATTGGTGGCTGCTTTCGCAGTACTCTTGTTGGAGTATGCCCAGTGTGACAAGCTGCCAAGACGAGCCTCCTCGCTGATTTCCCCCGCGATGTACGGGAACACTGTATCCAACCGAATGATCTGGCGATCCAACTCTTCGTTCGCATTGGAAATCACATGGTTTTTTTCATCAGCTGTCATCATGAGATCGGAGAGACTCTGTCGTACGCGATCAAAGAGAAGTCGACGGCTTTGGCTGTCGGGTGTCTCGGGAGGCTGAGCAACGTCCTGAGGAGAGCAAGTCTATTAGTATGAGTCCTTCCCTCTTAAAAGTCTTTGGAGGGCACATTCGGATCGGCTTACTTTTGGCATGAAATCCTCACGAACGACACCCCCAACAATGGGCGTTGGGATTGGAGGGTGAGGGACGGGCTGTGATTCTGAGGAGTACTTTAGCAATTGCAGCAAGTTCTCCTCGAGCGCCCACGCCTTGGCGTCAACTTCCTTCAACAAGGAATTGTGTCGGCGAAACTCGCGAGGGAGCGCGGTGATTGCATCAGTGAAGTGGGTGAGGGCAGGATAGAAGCCATGAGGAATGGGGGCCGTCGCAGGACCCTCAGCATTTGAGGGTCTACCAAGGCCAAAAGAGGACCGTCCGGTGGTCTTGGAGGTCCGCGATGGATTTGTCCGTGTTTGGCGAGAGGATTGTCGGACGGCCGGGCCCTGAGGATTCATGGTTGTCGAGGAGATGGCAGACATGGTGAAGGGTAAGGTCAGGCCGGAAGTTGCAGCGCTAGAAAAGCTTGCGAGGCGGGCCTGGCCTGTTGAAAAGTGCACGGGAGGGGTATGAGATAGCAATGGTGGTATTTGAAAAGGAATACAGGCAAGCCTTGGACAAATTCCGGAAAAACAGCTGTAAGATGGCGAAGGAGGAGCAGTGGGAGTTTGCGTGCGGAGAAGAGCGCTGGGAATCAGGTGAGTTTCGGCCTGAACTGCCAGGCACAAATAAATTAGTCAGCAATCTACAATGATGTCATCCGACAGCATTCAGGTACATCCAGTGTATACTCCAGTGTATACTATAGACTACAGCTATATGTACAGAACTATATACTGTATCCTATACTTTTTAAAATGCACCCTGGCTTTGTCCCAGTCTCTAGGAGATACCATTAATTCGTATCTTCGGTATGGCCTGTAAAGAAATTTGAACTGTTGTTTATCAATATGAAAGCATGGATCATGCTGGCTTCAAGTTAATTTGGCACCGCAACCCCAAACGTCTACTTACTATTTCCTGTCCACCTGGTCAGGTACAGTGGAAACATTCCATCCGAGCCATATATCGATCGACCCTGGACCCAACTGACATAGAAGAGAGAACGCCATCTTTTCTTTTGCTGCCTCCCATACTAAGAGAACCCAAATTTAAAAGGGCTAACTATACCAGTACTACAAGTGGTATTGTCTTATTAAAACAATTGTGTGAGAGCAAAGAGAAAGTCCTTTCTTGCGGACTTCCCTAACCCACACTGCTTTCGTCTTCGTCTGCTTTCATGTTGCCTCTCGCTCTCGGTCTCCGGTTCTTCGCTCTTCCCTCCTCCCATCTATTTCCATTGCCTCTTCTTTTATCCTCTCGTCCTCGGCTTCATCATCCTCATCCCCATCCTCCTTGTCGTCGCTATCATATTTTTCAAGTCCGTTCTGTTGCATCAGTCGCTTTCACCCCGGGGCTGGTCTCAGCGCTCTGCTCCTCACAGCCCTGCGCACCACCATCTTGCGTGTCAGTTTCAACTCTCATCTTTCCTTCAAGCCTTTTCCCGCACAAGAACAGCTAACATGAAAACTCCAGCTAGCCCACCTAGTCTTCCGAGAATCCTGACCATGCAACACAAACGGCAAATCATGGTGGCCCTCTTCGCTCGCGAGGGCCATTGCTTCTCCCAAGACCGAAAGAATAACCGCCAACTCGAACATAACGACTTCCTCTGGAGTATCATAATTCGTCCCAAGAGACCGCAGGGTCACGACAGCGACTGTTTCGACGTCCGACACACAAGCTCAGAGCCAGTCCGTCGCAACCAACCCAAGCCAAAAGGACATTGGCAGTTCCGAGCCATCACTCAATACGAGCCATCAAAGGACCGCCGCTTGCTGGGACAGTTGATGATCGGCAAGATGCCTCATGAAGTCAGTTACAATGAGATTATGGAGCTTCTTAAATCGATTGATCATCCGCGCAAGGACGCTGAACATCATGAGAATGGTATCAACTGGATCAGAACTGCTATTCGGCATCTCCAGATGACTGGAATTGGGGAGGAGTTTGATGTCGACGAGTTCTTGGATCACGCGCGTGATCGTGCTATGGTCGCGAGTCACGACGGTCGACCTTTTACTATCAACTACACCTCCCGACCCATGTAAGGCCTGGCGGGCAGGCAGGCTGGCAGGGCCGAGGGCGCTGTCATGCCTCATTGAAGCTCTAATAGTAGAGCTACCGGGCCGCGGTCTTCTTTTGTCTCAAGACAGATGGATTGATTTCGTTAAGCAATGACAATCTACTACAAATAAACGCCAATTGACTTTCTACAAAGCAACAAGCTACACTAAACTACTTTTCAATACGCAGCAAAATCCTCGCTAACATACCAGTTTTACCACGCACAAACGACTAATTAACAGTACATGTCGCCTGCCGTCCTACAAGATCAAAGATTACATTGACTCAAACTAAAGCCTTAAAGTGGACCAAAGGACGTTTGAGTACCGTGAAGCCTGTTAAGACCGATAAAACCCTGAATGCAACACTAAATGAGATTTGTATTTTACAAAGACATAGGTCTATGTATAGACAGGTCTGTCTATCAGCAGGCAAGCCAACGACAAATAACGGGTCGTATACACAATGAACGAGAACACGATACAACCCATGCAAATAATAGGAAAGGTGTTACAAATGAAACAAGATGGATCGGACGCTAGCTCCCACGCGACCCAATGAACATAGCATTAGGAAAGCAACCAAATCGAACATTCAAATGCCATGACTCCCACGAGATACCCGTTGTTAAGGGGTCAATTCGCCGGGGCGCACATGCAATGAATTTACTCGCCCTTGAGGCGCTCCTGGTGGACGGAGAAAGCGTCCTCCAGGAACTCCTGCTCCTCCTTCAAGTGGACGGCCTTGAGACCGGTGGCCACGGAGGCACTGGGGGCACGGCCGGCGTACAGGACGTGGCGGCGGTTGTGGTGCTCAGTCGAGTTCAGAAGGGTCTCGAGACGGGGCTGGGCGTAAGACCAGGCACCGGCGTTCAGAGGCTCCTCCTGGCACCAGACGATGTCCTTGGCGTTGGGGTAGCTGTCGAGGTTCTCCTTCAGCTGAGCCCAGGGGAAGGGGTGCAGCTGCTCAACACGGGTGATGGCAGTGTTGCGGATACCCTGGGCCTCACGGTGCTTGGTGAGAGCGGCGTAGACCTGACCAGAGCACAGGACGACACGCTCGATCTTCTCGGGAGCCTCAATAGAGGCACCGTGCTCGGGGTCGGGGATGATGCACTGGAAGTGGGAGTCGCCAGTCATGCTCTCCAGGTCAGAGCGAGCGATGGGGTGACGCAGCAGAGACTTGGAGAAGAAGATGATGAGGGGCTTGCGGAACTGGCGGTGGATCTGGCGACGGAGAACGTGGAACAGGTTGGAGGGCTCAGTCATGTAGACAATCTGCATGTTGCAGTCCTGGTGTTGGCGGTCCAGTCTGTCGGCAACGGGGTACTGGCGAGGCTCCTCGTTGCAAAGCTGCAACCAACGCTCCATACGACCGGAGGAGTGCTCGGGACCCTGGCCATCATAACCGTGGGGCAGGGAGACAACCAGACCGGAACGTTGCAGCCACTTGGATTCACCAGCGGCGATGAACTGATCAATGATACACTGAGCGTTGTTGGCGAAGTCACCGAACTGGGCCTCCCACATGACAAGGGCCTCGGGGGAGGTCAGGGAGTAACCGTACTCGAAGCCAAGACTGTGGAAATAAATTAGCATTTTTATATCATTTAATTGACCAAGTTGTTTGGAACTTACGCGCCGAACTCGCTCAGAGAAGAGTTGGAGATGACGAAGCTGCCCTGCTTGTCGCTGATGTGCTGCAGAGGGGTGTAGGTGGTCTCGTTCTCCTGGTCGTGCACAACGGCGTGACGCTGGGAGAAGGTACCACGCTCGACATCCTGTCCGGAGATACGGACGTGGTAACCCTCATCGACGAGCGAACCGAAGGCAAGAGCCTCAGCAGTAGCCCAGTCAATGTTCTGGCCCTCCTCAACGGTCTTCTTGCGGTTGGTCAAGATACGCTTGAGGTTACGGTGGAGGGTGAAGCCATCGGGAGCGCCAGCGACCTTGCCGGCAATGTGCTTCAAGGAGCTTTCACTCACGGCAGTGGGCAGGTGAGGCAGAACCTCGGTGGCCAGCTCCTTGGGGGTCTTGAAGTTGTTCCAGGCCGAAGTCAGCCACTCCTTACCGGTGGGCTGGTAATCCTTGCTGCGGTCGAAGCTGTCACCCAGCATTCCCCAGACCCACTTCTTGTGCTCATCGATGTCCTCCTTTGTAAAGGTACCCTCGGCAATGAGCTTCTCGACGTACTTGTCGAGCTGCGCCTTCTGGGCAGCGATACGCTTGTACATCAAAGGCTGGGTGAACGAGGGCTGATCAGTCTCGTTGTGACCCTGCTTACGGTAGCAGACCATATCGATGACGACGTCGGTCTTGAACTCAGCACGCCAGTCAGCGGCAACCTGGCAGACGTAGTTGACAGCCTCAACATCGTCGGCGTTCACGTGGAAGACGGGAGCATCAATGGACTTGGCAATGTCCGAGCAGTAGGGAGTGGAACGGGAGAAACGGGGGTCGGTGGTGAAACCAATCTGGTTGTTGACAACGATGTGGATGGTACCGCCGGTGGAGTAAGCGGGCAGAGAGTGGAAGCCCATGGTCTCGTAGACAACACCCTGACCGGCGAAAGCAGCATCACCGTGAAGCAAAACACTCATGGCAGAGTCGTAGTTGGTCTCATCCTTGTTGTAGTGCTGGATAGCACGGGTCTTACCCAGGACGACGGGGTCCTCGGCCTCCAAGTGAGAGGGGTTGGCGACCAGAGACAGCTGGACACGCTTGCCAGAGGGAGTAGGGCGCTCGAAGTTCATACCAAGATGGTACTTGACATCACCGGAGCCCTCCTCGGACGGCTCAGTGGAGCCGGCGAACTCGCTGAAGATGGACTCGTTGGGCTTGCGAACGACGTTGGACAGGATGTTGAGACGACCACGGTGAGGCATACCAATAACAATGTCCTTGACGCCGTAGTCGACGCTGCGGTCAATGAGCGCCTTCATACCGGGCACAAGAGTCTCGCAACCTTCAAGACCGAAACGCTTGTCGTTGGGGAACTTGGTGGCCAGGAAGGACTCGAAGCTAGAACTCCAGATGAGACGGTCAAGGATGCGGCGCTTATCGTCGACAGAGTACTTGAAGGGCGCGGGGATCTCGAAGCGGTCGCGAATCCAGTCGCAAGGCTTACGGTCGGGGATGTGGATGTACTCGACGCCGTAGGAACCACAGTAGATCTTCTCGCAGGCAGCAATGATCTCGCGCAGGGTCATCTTCTTGCGCTCCTCAGTGAGGAAACGAGGCAAGATACCGGGTCCGAGAGCGAACTCTTGGTCCAGATCGCGCTCGGTGAAGCCGTAGTGGTCAAGCTCAAGCTCCTTGGGCTTGCTGTAGCCGAAGGCCTCGGCCTCGCCACGAATACCAAGAGGATCAATCTTGGCCTTGTGGTGACCGCGTGCCTGGTAGGCACGGCACAGCAGCTGAACCTTCAAGTGATTTGTCACATCAGCTCCAGCGGCCATACCGGCACCGGGCATATCTTGGGGAACACCACCAGTGGGTGTAGGGACGAGGGTCGGGGGAGGAGTGAAGGCCTGGGAGATGGGCATGTTGCCATCTTCCATGTTTTTGAAGTAGGTCTGCCAGGAGATGTGAACACTGGACGGATCCTGCTTCCACGCCAGATACATCTCATCAATGTAGTTGGCGGTGCTGCCAGAGAGGAAAGAATCGTTGGGATCCTATTTCGCAAAGTCGCACCATTACGTTAGTCAAGTGTCCGAGGGAGTTTATATGACGCTTTTCTCATCGCATGCTTTTATCAAGCTGGGAGCAACCAGGGGATTGATTGATTCACTTACCACTCCGACAGAGGAGGAGGCGTAGGGCCGCGCGCCATCGAAAGCGCGCTCGACGACGGCGAGAGGCCGGCGGGCAGTCAGGTTAAAACCAGAGCTCTTCGAGACATTGCGAGCGCTTGCCAGGAAGAAAGACCTCCGGGCAGTGGCGGAAGACACACCACGCATGTTGGTGGCCTTCAGGGCGGTGTTTCTGAACATTGCGGGATTTTTCCGTCAAGGACGTAGGAAGTATCGGATGGGAGAAAGAGAGAAAGAGATATGGGGGGAGGACACTGTGATTATCGTCTTAAAGCCGTAATGAGACCAAACTGAAGCAGTCTAGAACCAAACCTGGCAGAGATATACAGGTCAGCGTCAAGTTGCCAGATTGTTGTTCCTCCTGCCGAGAGTACCGAAACACGGAGGAAAGGAAGCTCAGGCAAAGGCAAAGGAGATGGAAGACGTACAGATCGAATAGCGCGAAAAGCAGGTGTCGACTAGTATTGCCGTAGCACCTGTATAAAAATGGAACTCATCAGAGAGCAGAAACACTGCTAACGACAAGGCAAACTGGAGATGGGAGTGGAGAGCAAGAGCAAGAGCAAGAGCAAGGAAAAGACGCTGGGCGCAAAGCAGAACCAGCCTGGCAACCGGGCCGGAGCGTGGCTGGTGCGCTGAGTCATCCCGAAGGATAGCCGACGTAGTACAGTACGAGTACTACTCCGTACATAGTACCACTACTACTCCGTAATACTAGTAATATTCCCCCGAATGAGCCACCACTCGCCACGGCCGGCTAAGCATTTCGGTGCTTCACGGGTGATTTCGGCCCAATCGGCCGGTTTTCAATTACGATGACGCTATAGTAACTATATACACAACCAGTCACAACCCACCACACTAAATGCCTCCAATACCTGTGTTCAATGGCTTTCGGGTCGATCAATAAAAAACAGATAATTTTGGGGTAATTGCCATCCAAATGCTCCAATTGCAAACGTGAGAAGAAAGAAAAGGGTTAAAACAATCGAACTCGAGACATGTCATTAAATCGTGAATGAATGACCAAATGAGCGCTTCCGTCCGTGAGCGCGATTCATGAGATGAAACCAATTATTATATCCAAGGCAAAAAAAGATGTTTTTACAAAAGATTGAGGCGTTGAGGTCCTTCGGTCGTCGGCAATTCACCATCGTCGTTCGCGCAACCTGGGCCGTCAGTTCCGCTTGACGGGAGATCGGCAGGATGCCCATGGTGACCCAGATGCGCGCCCTTGAGCGGTGAAGCTGTATAAGTATGACTCTCGTCAGGAGGATAATTATATGGTGAACTGATTCCGCCAATCCCTTCTTCGGCAATGGGTCGCGCATCAATCGGACTAGCTTCCGCGAAACTAGCACGGTTGGAGGAAGGTAAGGTATGTGGAGGCGGACTGCCGGCGCTGCTCCGCAGACTGCCATTGCTTCCGCCCCATGCCCCCCGACGCAGCTTCATCAGGGCACTCAATGTCATTTCATCATCCAGGTTACCCATATCGGCCAGCTGTGCTAATCCAGGGCTTGCCAGAGATGGGTTCGAGTGGGCTGCCCCGTGCGCTTTCAGCGATATCATCGAGTTGCGCGTGCTCCATTCACTTCGTTCCGTGATAGGAGTCAGACTGGGTTCTTGGAATTTGCCCCGGCTGCTGAAGCTGCGTGAGATGCCTTCAACTCCTCGCGGGCCGAAGTAGCCTCCATTTGTCAACTCGGAGGCGCCATGTGCTTGTGCGTAGAAGCCAAACTCCTGGCCGTAAAACCCTTCGTCGTCATTCTCGAGTGCCTCTGCATTGGCTGCCGCGACAATAGCATCGTCGTAGTAAGAGTCGTCGTCTTCGAAAGTCTGATCATCATAGGGATCGTCGTAAGCTGCCATGTCAACAACTTGGCTGTCATCCGATACCAGCCCTGGTTGTGATTCGCCTGTATGCGATGCCTGCGAGATACTTTCTTGTGCTTGAGAGCGCTCACTGGTACTGAACTTTCGTTCGAATTGGCTCTTTACGCTTGCTTTTGCTGCAAACGCCAGGGCATTATGCAAAAGATCCAGGTTCTGTTCCGTCAGAACTCCACCATGAGCCCGGGTAGGTCCCATGTTGGGTATCGGCTCGCCAAGTGGACCACGTTTAATTGAAGGCGCCCGATATTCACTTGCGACACTAGGCATGTGTTTAAGACCCTGGCTAGCCTGCTCCTCGAGTAGAATCTCCCTTTCTAGAACCTCGCCGCTGGGATCAGGTTTCTGCTGTGGAGGGGCGGCTGGGGGTGCAACTGATTTTCGTTCGTAGAGGTGGCTGGTCTCATCATCGAAGATAGACTCGTCGAATCCTCCATCTTGATCGTCACTATCCAGGTCTCCAAATTCACCATCGTCAAAGTACAATTCATCATCATCTTCGTCAATGATTTGATTGCTTTGATCTGGAGGACCCATACCAATACCCGACGACCGACGCAACTCAAGTGGCGGTGGAATGTCATCTTCTATCGGTTGCTCGATTTCATCCGAATCAGGCGATGGAGTCTTTTGGTCATCCGGCGGGATTGATGTAGGTGGTAGTCCAGGAGGCGCAGGAGTCATTGGGCTTGCAACCACGGGCGATAATCCTGGCGCAGTCCAAGACTTGATTTCGGCCATCGAGGGGGCAGAAAAGTAGTCTTCCTCAGCGTCTGCATTGACACCAGGAATTCTTTCTTCCAAGCCATCGATGTCGTCCATCATATCTTGATCGAAGTCCTCATCGAAATCATCAAAATACCCATCTTCCATTTTGCGCTCGGCCTCCTTCGCTTTATGTTTTTCTTCAAGGAGCTTTTCCTGAGTAGAAGACTCCACTCCCCCCCATGTCAAAGCTAAAGCGTGACGCATTGCTCTTTAGATGTTTGGGCAAACCGGCCGAAGAAGGCCGGGGTACGATCGGTATAATATCCTCATCCTGTTGTGGAGGTGGTGGGCTCGTCTTCGGCGGGGTTTCTGGGATATCGCCATATAGCTCTGCGAGGTGTTCTGCAGGCAGCTCAATCGGCGGAGAAACGCTTGGCTCAACGTTCTCAGGGCTTTGATCGGGTAACCGATAGGGCAAGTTTCTAGCAAACGGCGGCAAAGACTTCTCATTCCCGAGTTGAGTTTGATTCGTCAAAAGGCTTGACTGGAGATAGCCCTTGTTCTCGACCTGCAGCGCATTCTGGTCGTCCTCGAAGTGCTCCTTAAAAACCGGAGAGTGATCGCTATGCTTCCTCGTTTGATCACTGAGTCGACTCGCTGGGCTTTGAAGTGTGGGTTGCGATGGCGATGCATCCTGTGCGCTATAACTCGCCCCATCAGGCGGGCCACTCGGGGTGCCTGATACGTTTCGGCGAGGTCGTGGGGCTGAGAAGTCATGCACAATGCTTCCACGAATTCGAGGATCGTAGTCGTCCGGGATGGCAGGAACCAAGTTAGAAGACTTATGTTTCACCTCGTCTGTTCGATTGTTGCTCATTTGAGCGGATCGCCGGCGGGCAAGTAAAGACATCGGATTAAGAAGATGTAGCATCGCCTTGCCCGATTTGTGATGGGCATTATCCACATGAACATCACGCTCAGCTGTCCGACGAACCATTGCATTTTCCGATCTGATATCTCTCGGTGGCACAAATGATTTGTCTACCGGCAGGTCGTCGGGTGAAGGCATCATTCGGAAATGGTTCGTGCCCGGCCCCGCAGTTGGCGAACGTTTCTGAGTCTCACCGGTGGGTGTCTGCAAATTCCGTATACCTTTCCCACCGAAGGAAAGCCGGAAGGGCGAGGTTGGCTTGAAATTCGAATCAACGTCGCCCTCTGGCCGCTGCATCCCGCCTGACGGCTGTAAAGTGTTTTGTTGCGACGCCCACGCAGGCTCGGATTCGGGCTCAAGCACAGGACCATGTTCCCCTAGACTCGGGTGAGAGCTATCCTCTTCCTCCAGCAGCGGATGATGAACGGCAAGGCTAACGGAGGAAGACAACGGTGCGACAGAGGAGCTGAAGTTGAGTTTCGAGGCATCGCTCTCTAGTGGAGAGTCGGCCCAGGGCGGGGCATCATAGGATGACCGTTCATCGAAGGGTGTGGTGAAGATAGGAGTATCCGGGATCTGAGGGAGCTGAGGCGGGGTGCTGAGCGGGCTGTCTATGGGACCTTTGAGACCTGGAGACGACGCGGGCGACGATACGGGCGGCGCGGTGGAGCGGCGATGGTCTCGACGCCAGTATGAGAAGACGGTGGACGGGGGCATTGTAGCCGGTGATCGGACCCGTACGGCACCAGTGGATAGCGTATTTGCTGTTCAAGGAATATGCGACTCCATTGCTCTCTGGTATTCGCCTGTGGAGGCCACAGATTAGAGGTTGAAAGGAGGCGGGCCATCCAGTCTCACATACCAGACACCAGTGGGGCATGCAGCAGCCACTGGGCGTTGCGCTACCTAAAAGAGCCGCCTGCGGTGAGATGGGAAAGTGGCGAGTGAAACAAATATGATATGCAAATAAGTTGATGATCTAAAGCTTGAAAGCAAACAAGCAAACAAGAGAGAGATTCAAGTTCAACTTGAAGTTGTCCCATCCGTCAACAGCGGAAAAACAATCGGCCCCGCGGTCCACGAACCTTTGGAAGACGTAATCGGGCTGAAGCTCAACCACGGGACGGTTACGGGTTACACTTGGTTCAGGTGCCTGGACCGATCTATACTTAGTACAGTAACAGTAGCTACATACGCAGCTACATACCAGCTTGGAAGTTGAGTCAGGAAGACGTGAATTCCTCTCCTCAGATCATACACAGGAAATAACTCGCACTATTTTACATGGATATCCTTCAACAGCAAAACAAAATAAGAAAGGACGCCCCAAAATGACAACGCTATAACAACCGACAAATAAAAAATCAAAGAATGAAAGTATTTCAGACAGAAGAAATTCAGCCGTAGCGGATGCTCTGCCTCCAGCGATCAATGACATCTTGCTGCGCAGTCTCAAGGGGCTGTCGCAAAGTTGGACCGCAGGTGCTGGGGTAGGCCATGTTGTTGTAGGAATAAGGGGACGGATAAGGCATCCCATACCCAGCAGATTGGCCCATGGGATACCCTGCCATTCCCTGGGGTGCCATATTCACTGGTAACGAATACATCGAGGAGCGATGTCCAAGCTGGGGCCTAACGCCCTGCTGTTGGGGAAAGACATCGTACGACGGCTGGTGCGCGACATATGCAGGACGAGATTGGGGGAGGGCAGCCATGCTTCGTCGCATTTGGAGATTTCTAGCATCCCCACCCCGTGTATTGTTTTCTCTTTGCAGACGAGCGCGTCTTTGCCCAAGAGTTTCTTCTTGCTCCAGTGCTGGCTCGCTAGGCTTCGGTTCCTCCTTAGGGGCGTTTCCAGCTCGGGTATCGAACTCGGCCATGAGGCCACTGGTGAACTCACTATCCTCGGGGTTCTGTCCCTTCAATCGTCGCAGCCGCTCAGCTAGGGTTTCGGCTTCGTTGCCACTCTCATCCTCGGGTTCGGACTTGGGCTTCTCCGACTTAACTTCCATCGTGGAGTAGACAGTAACGGGCCGTTTCTCTGGGGCTGGCTCTCCCCGAAGGCGAGCGCGGCGAGTACTCAGGGGTTCATTTTCTTCAATCTGATGTTTCGCCATCAGACCGACTGGTCGGTTCTCGTCGTCCACATTGATTTGATCTGGATACAGCATTGCCAAGGGAACATCGTCATCATCGGCATTGTAGTTAGGATCCCATGCCAGAGTAACCGGCCGCCTGCGTCTCTTCTCACTTTGCTTTTGGGCCATTTCATCCATCTCCAACAAAGTAGCACCCATACCTTGGGCTTGAGAAGCGGTAGGAACGGCTGTACGAGTCCGCTGTTTCAATTCTTGCTTCCGTAACTGTAATTCCGCGAGAAGAGTGTTTGGTGGCCCGACATAGTCATCTTCTTCGTCTTCCTCCTCGTCTTCGCCGCTTTCTGGAGAAGATGAGCCGCTCTCAGATTCGGACCCACTGCCAGACTGGCCATCATGCGATCTATGGTGGTCGTGGTCGTGGTCATGGTCACCAGGTTGTTGAAGTTCTCCAACTTCTGAGTGAGCCGAACCTTCCTTGCTCTCTTTGCTCTGCGGTTGACCCATCAGGTATTGAGAATTACGGTCTGGCTTTTGACCAGGAAGAATCTTTGTAAGGGTCTTGCGCTTTGCATTCCCATACACATGGGAGCCAACCTGACCAGCAAAAGGGTGGTCGGTGAAGGCCGAGACCGGTGCATATGTCGAAGCGTCGAGAATGCTATCGAGTGTCGCGACGGCAGAGTCCTGTTTAACCTCGATATCGAGAGGGGCACTTGGCGGGTCGAAAAAGATGCTTGCGCGGAGTTGTTGGGGAACAGTCGATTGACGTTTGTCCTTCTGGCCGTCTTTCGTCGTTGTTTGCTCTGCTAAGTTGTCTTCGGCGGCAATCGAATTCATAAGCTGGGTGCGACGCTTTTCACGGTCCGAGACGGGCTTGTGTGACAGCTTCGGTGGCAGATTTAATATGCGAGGGACAGGTGCTGGATAATAAACCATTTGTTCCCCCGACTGCGGAACCTTGTACGATTCCGGCTTGCTTGCAAGGGGAGGCTGGATCAGGGAGAAACGCCGTCCGCTTTCCGCGCGCTCCAAGGGGTTGAAGTGAACACCATCAAAGTCATTAAACAGCGTGCGGGCCTGGTGGAAGGTATCACCCGATGCGGCTGATGCTGGCCGCTCAACATCCTCCGTGGCATCATGGCCACCGCCATCATGATTGTGTTGAACTTCACTTGTTTGGCTATAGATCTGGGGTTGTGGGGCGGATAGGATCGGCAACGGCGTAGGGAAATGGTCGGCATCGCGCCCGTTCTCGTCATGATCGGGTTCTGTGACCTGAGCCAGTCGCGAGGCGCCGGATACGGAGCGCTGGCGTGTGGAAAAGGTCGATCCATGAGCGGAGGCCACAGTCACCGGGGAGAATGCACCATTCCGCATAATGATTGAGTTTGAGGCGGAGCTGCATGAACGCCTCTTCTGCTCCTGATCCATCTTGCGTATTTCACTGCCGATATCTGCAGAACTCGAGCTCAGGCGCTCTGCGGTCATTTCCAATCGCTCTACATTGCCTACATAGGCACCTTGGAGCGATTGAAGGTCTGGGATCGGATGGCTGAGAGGGAGAGGAATGTCGCTGGAGGCGCTGTGCAAGGGGGGATCGGGGGAGGAATGTCGCGCGACAGCTGTATTGAGCGGAGGGATAGCGCGGGAGCTGCTGGATCGCTGATCGTGGGAAGGATCGGCATCGTAGTCATCATCTTCGACTACATCGTAGCTAGTTGAGGTCATCGAGCGGATCATCGAGGCAAGATCTAAGCCAGCCTTGTCGGACGTTTTGGCGGACTCCAGATGGCTTCCACCATCGAGGTGATCGGCATCGCGTAGTTGTTGGAAAGGTCCATGTGAGGGCGACGGGCTGCGCGACAGGTCGGAGCCGGAGTGAGAAGCGACCTCGTCAACTTGGGCGACGGCGTTGTAGGCCATGGTCTCAGAGTAGGTCATGCGACCGTGTAGATTTAGGCGTGAAGGTGGAGGTGGAGGTGGAGGTGGAGGTGGAGGAGATGGTGAGGGAGTTCAACAGTTGGCCTCCAGACACACCCCGAGGGTGGAGGATGAATGGGCTCAAAGGCTGGGGCAGCAGAGGGGAGAGGAGAGATTAAGAGTACTACTCGTACCATCTGCTAAAGGGTCAAAGCCAGGGACGAAAATGAAAGTGAAAGTGAAGTGAAACCCAGGAACCCAAAGGACCACTCGTGTGTCACTCGAGGTTGTGATTTTTTATTTTTTTTTATTTTTTTTTTCGCCTCTGAGGTTGGAGCTAAATTTGGAAGTACGGAGTAATACAAGGCACAATGTCTCTTCCCCCTCTGCCCCATATATATGGGCCCCTTGGAATGCTTCACAAAACAGGGTATTGAGGCCAAGACAACCGCCCCGTGGGTGGGGGACCCCAAAAGGGACGAGCGCGCGGTCTGGCCCGTGGGGAGCTCCTCCGTGGTTCGGAAGTATACATACGAGTTCGTATATAGTGGCGTGGTTCGCATGATCGCTGCTACGATAGATGCAGCCAGGTGGAATTTCAGTTCAAAATTAGTCCTACACTAGTATCTGGCTGCAGTTGAAATTTTGCGATAATAATAAATATAAATATAAGTACACCTCAAGTTTTACATAGTAGTACTAACTACTACTAGTATCATTATCTCTCCAATCCCGGAAGGGATCGACTCGATCTACAACAAACTTCTTCACCCAATCCCCTTTAAAAAAAGTCAATCGGAACTTCGATTTTGGTTCACCATTCTCACTGAACAAAGAGCCTGACAACAAAGTAGGAAAAAGGAAATATAGTAGTAGTAGTAGCAGTAGTATAGTGGAAGTATAACAAAGATCTAAGGATGCTGAATCAAGGCTTGACAAAAGTCAAAAAGTCCAGCGACAGATCGGTAAAGAAGCTGGCGCCACCCACGGTCTCGGGGTGATTAGACCCGGTCACATTGCAGTACTCAATGAAACTGCCTGCCTTCTGGCTCTTCTTCTTGAGAAGAGACACATACTTGGACAAGAGACAGCTCTTACCCGGCCCATCATGGCAGCTCGCAATAGGATAAACCGCATCATTGAACAGCACCCGAATATAAGGCTCAGTCGAAGAGCCGTGTTTATTTCCAGTGCTGCAATTCAATACCTCAAATGCGACAGTGCCGCGCATGGTAATCCAATGGGCAATATTATAAAGGTGATTCTTTGGAAGGCGCGTGGAAGAAAGGGGGGCTTCCTCGTCGAAAATCCCCATGGCTGCCGTCATCTCCGCAATTTGATTGTCGTTTAAAAACGCCATGATCAAATTGGGGACCGTAAATGGATTCCCGTCAGCATCGACGCCGGTCTGACTAGGTCCTTTGCTGAGCAGTTCCGTCAGACTCTCAAGGAACGGCAAGAAGAGCACCGGCGCAGGCCCATCTGCACCGGGGCCGACGCCATAATAGTAGCTCAAATCCTGGGAATACGCATAGTTGCGCAACTCATCCTCAGTGAACACCCCACACCAGGGACTGAGGTTGCCAGTGATCTGACTCTCGTACCCGCACAAGTAGGGGAAGAAGAGGATGTCAGTCTCATCAAAGGTGAGATTCCCTTTTACTAAAGAGTTGATACGTTTTAACGCTCTTGGGACCCATGTATCGTCGACTGTGAGCAGAGTTAGTGACATGGTCATCACAGATCACAAGGTCCGGGCTAGAATCCTCACGCACAGTCTGTCACATTGTTGCCTCCGCTGGAGGTAGACGCAAAGGTTGGACACGAGTCTGATGGCCCGAGCGAGTTACCAATGGCATTCACGGAGCCAGTTGAGTTGACGCTGATAACCGTTCCGTATGTATCGGCAAACTCATAGAGGTAACCATTGACGAAAGCACGAGCGGTTTGGACTACTCGGGACTCGTTGATGGGATTCTTGTATTGATTCGCCCAAACGTAAAACGGGCTACCATCCTCGTAAAAGTCGGGGTCTGCACAATAATTAGTAGACTTCGACAGATATTCATTGTAGTGAGAATCTTACACCGAGCTCGAAGCTGATAACCAAGATCACTAGCCTATAACTAATAAGCTTCGTTCTGCGTTGGAGGGCGCGGTCACCGTACCTCTTTCCATCCTGTCATAGACTCCTGGGCTATTTGAAGGGTTGGATTTGTCAACACCGGACTCCAATCCTCGATGAACGAAAGCGAGCCGCGAGCATTAAAACCCGTGCCATTGACGGCAATTTGAATCTTCATACCACGCCCTTGGGTAAGCCATTGTACAAATAAAATTTCTTGAAAAATCAAACCTTCTCTTGGAGTGCCACCCAGCTATTGTACGACCCTGTATCGGGGAATCTGAAGTAGAAATTTAGCCAATTATTTCAGGCTTCCCCTGTTATCGCTTACCTGCTCCCGTGTCTCACAACATAAGCAGCCTGTTGCACTGTGCACTTTTCAGGCGTCTCGTTGCTCACTCCATTGACATTCGGACCTGCAAAGTAAGGGCTATTTCCACCTGAATACTGAAGAGGACTCTGTGCTGTTTTGCTCGAGGGAAATAGAATATCATTGGCCGGGGCGAGCACTGCGGCGTTGCTCGTAGCTGTTAGCAGTAGTGAAGACACCGCAGCGGTTTTAAAGTAGTTTGCCATGGCCGTATTTATTCTCGAGAACGCATACTCCTGATTCTGGCGGCGAATTCATAACATTATATAGCTACCGAGGCCGGCGATGTTGCGGACCTGCGTTAGTTCGCCGGCTATTCCCTAGTAGCGCGAGGGAGGACTGATAGCCCCCGCGAGCCTATTACCGACGCACGTGCCGGAGTAATCACGCCGTGAGATTTAACCGAGATGAAACCGATAATTGAATTGCTTCCAATTTCATCTAGAAGTCCGATTTCTTGAATGGCTTTCTACTTTAAATAGGCTCCGCCTTCTCGGCTGCGACTAGAAACGTACCAAGCCCTAATGATTGCCTATCATTTATAGAACGTGCCCGGTGGGCTAATTAATACAAGTCTTATGTATGTAATTAGTCTATTTATGATGGAAGAATTGCATTTGTTGGTAATTATCTATGCAGCAATTGAGTTAAGCGAGCTATCCAAAAGGCCCTGCCCCAGCTTCCTCTTCTTCATGGATGACTTGAGCGCCGACACGCCTTTCTCAATGTCGGCAAAAATACCCGTCATGGTCGACTGGCCGCAGGCATGTTCTTGATGTTTGGCAGTATTGCCAATATCTCGCTTTTTGAAGTTGATACCAGGTGAAACAGTGACGCAATTGTATTGCGACTCGCCGGCCCTCAATTGGCAGATTTCCTCGGTTTTGCAGTCGCCCGAACATGACTCAACTTCCCACCCTCGAGTCTTGCGCGCAATGTAGTCCTGAAACACCGAATCCTCGTTTTCAAAGAGTGTAGTAACATTGTGCCAGAATGCAGGGGTGAGTTCTGCGGCATCGTCGGTCACGGCTGGCTCAAGAAGCGAGCCGTATGTTTCCTTTGCAGAGTAATATTTCTCCCAGACTGGATTCTTCTGGTACCCCGGATTTGACATATTTGTGATATAAACGGTGAAATCCAGCACGCCAAAGGTTACCGGGTCGACCGAATAAACGCGGAAGGTGGGATTGCCAGAAGTTGGGGTCAAGGCTGGGGCAATATAAGACATCATGTTTGCGGTTTCGGCCGATTTAGCGGTATAATTAGAGTAGGATAGCTCAAATTCATCCTTGTGGGTGTGGCCGTAAAAGGTCCCAGCAATAGTCGTGTCGTAACGCTGAATTATTTGGTTGAAGTAGTTCGATCCATCATGAAGGGTATCTCCAGAGCCCATCGGCATGTGTCCTAGAAGCCAAACTCGTTCACCAGCCACCTCCGCTGCACTAAGCTCCGTGACCAACCATCTCAATTGGCCATTGGGGTCCGTTTCCATGGTCTTTTCGTATAGCCAAAAGTTCTCTCTGTAATAAAAATTGGTGTTGAAGGAGATGATTCGTAGATTGCTACCAGGGTGTTTCACCGAATATGCACCATAGTTGTCTGCCGATGTCGCTGCCGTTAATCCAATCCACTTACTCCAGGCAGAGGAAATAGTATCGTAGACCCACTGGCTGGATAAAGTGGTATCAATAGCGGCAGTCGGGAAAGAGTTGACAGGCGCCGCGTCGTGGTTGCCAACAACACAGTACACCTTATTGAGATAGGATGGCATTCGTTTGTTGTAGGCATCGTTCAGGTCATTTGTCACTTCGGTTTCATTGACAAGCCAGACGGCACCTTCGACCACGTCACCGGTAAAAATGGTGAAGGATGCATCAGGAACGAATTGCTCAATGGCTTTGTACATGCTTTCCTCTAAGCTCAGGGGTGAATCGCAGTTTGAGTTTCCATATTCACCAGCAGGGTAGCTTGTATTTCCTGGGGCATCGGCATCGGTGTATGGCCGACAACAGATATTCTTTGTGCAATTATAGCTGGGATCATTAGCAAGAATCCTGAGAACCAGGAGTTCAGGGTGACATACTTTGCACCAACTTCATAAGAAAGATCGACATGGATGTCACTGATGTGAACGATTTGAAGAGGATTCTGACCGCTGGAAGATGGCCGAGACACATTGGATGGCTTAGCAGAAGGGAAGTCTACCGTATACTCGGTCACGTCTGGATAATCACAAAGACCAAAAACGGTCGAGCAGAAAAGAACTGCAGTTGTGGATGGGATGTCCATGTTGCGGAGATCGTGTGCCAAAATCGGCCCTTCAAGAGAGATCGCTCCCTCGCAGACATCCTTGTCCTCGACCTGAAACGCGATTAGATGTCGTTTTTAAACATAAAAAGAATTCAATTTACCCTAGCCAAGACACAAACATCGGTGATCACGTCCACAAATGCATCATTGCCCAGGTGGGCCAAACCCTGCAAGATACCAAGTAGAGCCTAGTATATTGCAGGTATGCGGTCAATGGATTGCACATTTAGGAGATTTTCTGACCCCTGACTTCTGACTTACCTCACAACTGCCGCAGGTCACTGCATTTTCGAAGTCGGAGATAATTTCTTTCGCAGTAGTCCTCTTGGCAACGTCGTCTCCCTCCGATAAGGCGAACGAGGCACCTAGCAGGCTTGCAGCTGTAATCCACTGACGAAGAAACATGTTCGATCCCAGTGCAGAATACCGAGAGCAGCAACTTTGAATTGTCCGACTTTTCAAGCTTTGAGCGACGACCTATTCAAAGTGTGCAATGTTGTACAGACCAACTTTTAAATCAACCCCACGACAGAATTCCACTGCCTTGCACTAACGCAAGTCCGATGAAATCGACTTCATCGCACGTTGGGCTCCTTTCAGTAGTGATTGACTACATACTGCTAAGCGAAGCGGAGTTTGTGCCACAAGTATCGCAAACCGTCAGTCTACCCACGCGAAGGGCGCTGATCGCTTGATGCCCATTGGTGCCTTCGGAGGTTCGCCATTAGGGGATAGTAATTACCAGCTTTCCATGTTTGAATGGTTTCTCCGAAAGTGCCGGTACACTATTAAGGCGCTAAAGGCAATCTATTCGCTGAAGAACACGCATCGGGCCCAACGGCTACGGGGAATTTACCCCTTTAAATGGCCCACCAATCCGTCTTATCTCCACTGGACACGGAATACTAGAACTGACAACGCCGATCATTATGGGCTTTAAATAGCTCGTGATTTTATATGTCCTGGAAGATATGGCCGTTCCTACCTATGGATACTAGTATAGATTCAAAGTTGCAGGTTGCCCATGACAGACCTCGGGCGCGCTGATCATACGTACTAGTAGGAGGCTATCAAGTTCGCCCAGGTGGTCTTGTTTCTGTACCACGGGCATTACCTAGATAGTATGGTTGAGATATTCAAGTTGATTCTTATTTCTCGGACTTGTGCCGAACGAAAATAAACCATGAGCGCGACGGTTCTTGCCCAGGTGCGGTGAACACTCCAAGGTTATATATCCTGGCATTCAAGGTACAAACTAGTACCCGAATTGTGTGACACCTGGGGGGGGTATGTACCACAATCAAGATTGTGATGACGGCGATAACGAGGGTGTCGACAATGGATGGATTGAAAGCCATCGTCGGCAAGTTATTATGACGTGTTTGGGGTCTGCCACAGCTTCAATATTGCATTGTCAATACTAGTAGATGACCTGAAATGGGAGTCACGGCCGAACAAATAGCATCCTGTGTGTACTGGGCGGAAGGAGATGTTTTCTAAAAGGAGAGTTAGGAAGCTCTATTCTCTAATTCGGATCAAGAACAAAAAAATGATAGGAGGATGGTGTTCAACATCTGACGGATGTGGGTGGGTCGGATTCCCGATTGGGACAAGTCATCGTTAAAATACACGTGATCACGCGGCGCGCCGGCCAAAACGGCGGGACGCGCTGGACTCGATTCCCCGACAGCGAGCGACGAGGCATCATTCGCCAGAATGTCGTACTATGACATTGATTCCATTTTGACAGATGCACAGGTGAGTTCAGACTGATTCATGGTCTGACTACTGAGCTCAAGAGCTAACAGCCGGAGCCAGAAACTGCCTTGTACGTTCGAACTAGAAGTTCCAGGACTGGGCATCCTGGAAGGAAATCCAGGCGAAGATGTACGTTTTTGAACACCCACGGCGCTGAAAAAATCATCGGCACTCATACATCCTAGATTAAACCGGGTACTCGCATCGATCTCCCACTATGGCTGGGCGAGATGCTTTCCATCGGGTAAGACTGCGGCCCCAGCTAGGCTATTTGCCAAGTTAAAAGGAAGGAATGGCAAGTCATTTCTGACATGTAATTGCTACAGTGCACGACTGGGGACATCCCGTTTGGTCACTCTTGATATGCCATCCGCTCTGTCTGAGCGAGTGATGAACGCACTGAAAGCAGACCCACGAACGGTTGACCTGCGTTCCTTGGCACCGCATTTCTACAGCCTGGGCGAGCGAATTCTCGAACTGTTTGAGGAAGAGGAGTTGGTCGACGTATTGATGGAGGTATGTCATTGGCGGTGTCTTCCAGAAACCCTTGAGTGGAAATTGGTATTTCTGACATGGATTCTAGACCTTCAAAAAACGGGCGGCCGAGGTCTCTGATCAAGCTCATAACCCACGTGGAGCCGTTGGAGACGGAGTGGATTTCCTCCGAGGTCTCGACGAGACAGAACGTCAGCGTAAGTTGCAGGGACTGTTGTTCCGCCCGGCAGGGGACAATGTGCACAATGTGCCTTATTGGATCGAACTGACAGATTGCAGTATTCCGAGCGGCTCATGATCGGGCTAAGGAGATGCGGGTCTGGAGCGGAGAGGCTAAGCGGAAATGATCAGTCAAGACCGACTCGAGACTCCGACTGAGCTGTGCTCGTTGAGAGATATCGGGGGCGGGAAAGTTGATCTATCACGTCAAATTTAACTACATGAACCATAATAATGACTGCATGCCCAAAGGAGATGTGATCCACAATCAGCGGCATTTTCGATGCCATGGTCAATCCAAATGAAAGTAATTTTGTATTCCAATTTGGAGGCAAGTTTCACGAAACCTCCAAAAGGGGCCAAGATAGGAGGTTACTATTTAGTATGCAGCACAACTAGGAGTAGGAATAGCTTCCAGCTTCCAGCTTATGACGTTTCACATGGATGATGCGGGCGCAAGTCAAGATGGCAGAGAAAATTGTTGATGCGACCTGTCCAGTCTCTATAGGGATATACTTTGTTTTTGTGCTTTGATACTCTTGTGTGCTTATACATGTACACAGTTTGGATGGTTGCATATAGTGGGGCGGGCCACGCGATTTCATCTTTACTTTTGCTTTGCATGAACTCTTGGACTGAGAATCTAGAATGTTGAAGTTCCTCTCTGTATCCGTACTAGTACTTTGTACTTTGTACTCCCAGCCCAAGTCAGAATGGTCCTGGTCCAGGCAAAGGGAGGCAAAGGGAATCCTTCGACCCGAGCGTAAGGATAGCTGAAACCGACCCCACGGGCGCCATCCGATTGGGTTGAACTGATGTCAGGCACAGCGATCGCCCGATGATCTCGTCCACAGAGCTAGCGGGGGCTGGTTAGTCTCTCAGCTAGGGGAAGGCCGAAAAAATAAAAATAAGTCGAGTCGAGTCAAGTCAAGACGAATCTTCCATTCTTCGCCTCATTCCAGTCGTCTCCATGGCGGGGGGTTCCTCTCTCTCTCTCTCACCACACTCATTCTTTTAGTCCTTTCTTTACTACTATCACAGGGTAGTAGGTATAGCCCAGTCGCTACTTCTTCGCCCCCCCCGCGTGACTCGTCACAATCTCTCTCGATCCCTCACCTCGATAACCTCGATCTCAATCTCGATACTTTATACCTTTTTCCCCCTGGTGGATTGCCCCTGCACAACCAGAAACCTTGTATTGGTCCCACAAGTTCCTCTATTCGCTTTCTCGTCGCCTTCAATCTGCATCCCTCGCTTCCTGCAGTCAAGTCTTCCTCTGCGCAACCTCGGATCATCCAATACATTGCCTAGCGATCGTCTCATTGTGGCACCGGGCCTTCCACATCCGCTAATTAATTATCCGATGAGAGTGGAGGGCTCCGCTCTGAATTACTTTCTCTGATTTCCGATTGCGCAGGTCGCACACGGAATCGCAAACGGGGGGGATCATCTCGTATGCACAGTAGCCATGGATGTAAACGACCGGAAAACGCAGCGCCGCAGCTCGGCCGCTCCCTCGCACTCGCCCTCGCACTCGCATTTACATTCACACCCACAGTCCCAACCGCGAGGCGCAGTATATCATTCTGAGACTACCCCATCCACCCGCAGTGCCTCCTCCAAGCGTTGTCCCAGCAGTGAGCCCTCCACCCCCTTCCGTCCTAACTGCCCAAAACAAAAAAAAAAAAACATCCGTCGAGCTAACCTTCGCTTTTCCTCTTTTCAGATCAATCTGATCGTCCACAACATCCGTCCCTGAACCGAGTGAAGGGTAGAGCCAATATGAATACTCCTCCCCGGATGAGCCCAGAGATGTCCTGGCTCAGTGATCAATCTCCTGTGCGTGGCACACGAACTCCGCCTCGCCCATGCAGTATGTCCCCTCTTCCCTGTATTGGAATCGTTGGGCGAATGCATCTAATGCTGGATTTGTGATTGCAACAGAAGCATCTGAGCCTGGTACTCCGACCACATTGGTGAATCCAGCCTCTAGTCTTCTCCAAGATCTATTGAAGGAGCAGCGTGCTCATCGTGGTTCTCGAGGAGCCGGATCTGAAGAATGGAATGATAGCCGCCCAAGGACCCCCGAGAACCGTTCCGCCCAGGAAGACACCGCCTCCGAGAAATCACGGAAGATGAAGGATACTTTTACCGCAAGCTCACGGGAACAGCCGAAGGAGATGGGCGTCCGAGAGATGGATCAGGTGGGTCCCTCGGTAGAACCGATCGATCGATCAACACAAATCTGACCCCTGGAACAGTATGTTTCGAAAATCACCAAGTTGAACTTTGACCTGAAGTTGGAGATCTTCCACCGCACCCAACAGCTGGGAACCATGGAGAAAAAAATGGAGCGAATGGAAGAGATGGAAGAGGAGCTGCAACAGATGCACAAACTCGAGGAGGAAGTGGTGGAGCTTCGTGTGGCTAAAAAGCAGAATCACAGCCTACAGGAGTCTAACGATCGGCTTCGGGAGGAACTTCACAAGCGAGACCAGGCTGTCGCTGAAGCCGTACAGTTCATCTGCCAGCTGGAGGCTAAGATCGACGAGATTGAATCGGGCGGACGCACTTCCCAGGCCTCTTTTAATCGTCTTGTGCTCGACGGACCCAATGCAACGCCGAGGACACAGACGGCCCTTGAAATTCCAGAGCGAACGTCATCCAAGCGAGCATCTTTGAAATCACCCGAACGCACTCTCAACAAAGTCCCCTCGTTCATGCGAGGAGACGGCGAAAGCACTTCGGTTCTGCGCAGCTTATACGCCCCAGAAGTGAATAAGTCATACTCAGCTATGAGTCAATTGACGAAATCGGAAAGCTATAACACCATGAACGACATCCTGGAACCGGGATCGCCCAGGCTCAGTGTACTCAGCGAGTGCAGCGAATTGCATCCATTAGATACCCCTACGAAATGGGACCAAGCTGACAAGCTGGATATTCCTGTGCGCAAGGTTTCATCTATGGATTCTTTTGACAGCTTCAACCCCCGGCTCGAACGAGAGGAGAGGATGGATTCCCAAATTGACGAATGGATGGAGCCGCGTCAAGATATGCAACAGACTATAATCAGACGGCGCATGAATCGAGTCACGTCAGATGCTTCCAAAATCCCAACAGCCCCATTCAGGATTTCGTCTAACCATCAAGGACGCGGGCGTCTGGACGAGTCGCTCTTTGTCGGTGTCAAACTTCCACCCACCCCCGATACTATGAGCACCGCTCATGTGGCAGGTCGCAACGGCTCAAATGGTAGTATGGCGGCCGCAGCGCAGAGAAGTCCCAGGCCTGAACGCGACCTTTGGCTTGCTGGTCGACCATTGGAACGTCATCGCTCTGCTGATGAGCTCACAACCAGAACTCGCCACAGCTACACTGGCAGCGACATCACGGACAGTATGCAAACAAACTGCAGCGATACTCCTCGCCTGGGCTTCATGAATGATAAAGAATCCCCCTCTATGTTCCCTTTCAACACCGTTGCCTCGAAAGCCAGTGAACTACTTGGGCCTGGAAGTCCTAACAACCCGGTCGTTGATTCATTTGGTGGTCTTCTCCGTCAAAACAGCAATGGTAGCCAAGATGAAGCAGTTCCTCCGGCGATTCCTGTGTACCGAACCCCAACCAAGACTGTTTCCAAGTCTCGGTCCATGGAAGATGAAGCGTCACCTCCGCTCACTCCCCAGGAGTGGATCGCCGCTGCAAGGCACGCTCCTCGGTCTCGCAAAGAGCTAGCTCATGGCCTTCGGGTTGAGAGAGGGGGGGCGTGATGACCTGCCACCTCGCAAAGTTATAAGCCAGGCTGCATTCCACGACGGGGATAGTGTTGACTCCTACCCAATGGAGCATGATGCGCCAGGGGTCCCGACCCTCGACATGGACACACTCAATATCCTTGAACAGCCCATTGCTGAGGTCCCTGAAGACCCCGTTCCGCAGCAGAAATCTGAGCCTGAACAGCGCCGACGCTTCAGCTTCCGGCCCCCATTCCTGAACCGTGCAAACCTCCCTCGCCGTCTCCAGCCCTCGCAGACTGTACCTGACCTGATGGATGACGATGAGGAGGACGGCGCGCCGTCGCCAATTATCCCGAAGACTCGTAATGTGGGCGGCGCAGGTCGTCGTCCTATGTCACAGATAATAGCCAACTCAACGGACTACTACTCATCCAGCGTCCCTGCTTCAAACGAGAGATTCGGAAACGAGAACTTCACAGTAAAATCCTTTCACCAATCGCTAATGGAGAGTCGCGACGAAAACCTTCCCCCTATCCAGAATGGATCCGCCACCATTTCTGGACGTCCCACAACATCCCACAGCGCAGATCACAAACGTCGCAGCTCACTTGGAATCTTTGGCTGGATGAAAGGCATGAGTGCTAAACGTTCAGAACCCGCAACCCCCGCCGATGCAGAGGATTTCCCCGAATCTGTGAAGGACTCGCGTCCAGTTTCGCGTCTAACACATGAGACCAGTCGGTTGACGTTGGGGCGACCATCCACTCCAGATTCAATGGACGCCCCTGTTGTTCGTCCGCGCTCGGAAATGACAATGTACTCCGACGACCAGACCCGTCGCCCACGTTATATGGGTCGTCGCGCTCGTCGGGGGTGATTTACCCCGATAGCAAACTTCCGATGCTTTCCCAACTCTCGCTTACCTCGCTCACCTCCTTGTACTTATGATACCCACGTCCATGTATAACAACAAAGAAGAGTGGGCAGCATCAGGAAAGGTGTTATCATCTCAAAACGACCGATTCCTTTCGTCCCTCGGGATGTGAATTTGCGATGGTTTTGTACACTCTCCTATGTATCCATATTTAAATTCTTCCTGCCGGACAGGAAGGGTGCTCATGTCTTAAATGATTCAAGTGCGCAGCATATCTCTATGGGAAGGCTACAATGAAAAATAGCGGATTTGGGTTTACAATATAACTTATTATATTATTCAGTCTCTGTGATGATTTCAAAAATTGAATCGAATCAAACTCTGCCCTCTCAGGCTCTCACCCAAAGATTATAGCCCTATACCGTAGATTACGCCTAGTCGCTTTTCATTGACATTCACCTTTCAAAGAATCCGTAATTTTGTGGCATCCAGGCCAGTTCGTCACCCGTAACTCCATTACCTGTCCTCGTCATCAAACGCCGTCCTCTAAAAAGCGTACCAAGAATAATAAAAAAATTCAAATAATACAAAAGGACCAATGAACCGCGGTCTTCAATGTTAATACCAATCATTGCCCTTTTCTCCTAATTTCTTCTTTTTCGGATTGAGAGAAATCACACGTTGACCCGGGAGCGCATCGGCAGTAAATGCCGCCTCAAAGATACTCGCGATTCCACGCTTAGCATAATGAGCGAAAGCGTCGTAATCATCGCGTTTCCCATTCACGGCTCCCCACTCCAGGCCCTGTGGAGACATGCCATCGCCTAGGTCACTCCACCGTGTCACAACGATAGCTTGTCTGAACACGCCGGGGCGCGAGTCACCGCGGTCTTCGGAAAGCTTCACTTCAATGAGATATTCGGTCGGGCACTCGGGGCACCGACGCATAGGCCTGCAGAACCCACAGAGCGTAGTCAGAGCATTAGGATCAAACCCTGATCCCGTCCAGCGATCCTTGACTTTATGTTCGAGGCCCTGTAGCCCGCCTGTCTCGCGTGCTCTGGGGATATGGCCTAGCGCGCACTTACAGGCAGGCATGAGTTCGCCGTCCCGCCAATGTGCGCAAGCAGAGAAATAGGGCCAGTAGTCTTCGCGTGAGAAGAGGAGCATTCGTTGTGCTGATGCAGGCAGGTCGGCCGGCGCAAATGCCTGGCTAGTTACCCGCATCATCAGCCGTCCTTCATGAATGTGGAATCGTGAGCTGAACGACCAGTCATCCCGTTTCCAACGTCTACCCATGTCCTCGACAGGGATTCCATATCTCGGCCCGAACCGATGTGCACGCATGACGAGCTGGACAAAGGAATATGGGAGCATTCGGCCGTGCGTAATGCGGTGTCGTGGCGCTGGATTAAGCGCGTTGAACGCATTGGCGCAGTTGAACAACGGGTTGATAACGTGGGCCGGCCTCATGCGTTCCTGTCCTTCCTGTATACGGCGATGATACCGAGCACAAGGGAAACAAAGTAAATGATGCGGCAGTGACTGATCAAGTCTCGCCAAGAAGTCAATTTTATAATGGAATTTCTGCGACGCATCCAGCGAGAGGAAGTACCGCGGTCCCAGACGGCGGTACAGTGTAATCGTCGCAATTGCCAAGCTAGCCGCATCAGCCGGATCCAAGTACCAAGCAATAAGCGCCCACAGTCGCGATGGCAACTTGGAAATATCCCCCTCTCCAGGTTCTCGACGGTCCTCAAGCTCCCCGGTAGGCCCATAGCTATCAACCGGATCCAACAAGCCAAGAGAGTGGATCATGGTCGTGAAATCGTGACGCTCGCCCAATTGCGTGTCGACATTCGCATGCATCTGCTTATATTTTTCCCGGTGCACCTGTAAGGGCGCGAGATCGGGCATCGGAGGTGGTTCATCGGCGCTGGGACATGCGGCCAGCCGCAGGTCGGTCGTAGAGCGACTGCCCTTCCGGAGGGTTTGGCGGGATTTCTTGGACCGCAGGGCGTTGGTGAATAGAGATCGAAAGCCCCCTTTCGGGCCCGGACTCTCTGCCGACATGTTGGATTGCGCGTGACTTGGAGGTCTGGGGTCTTGCGAGTGGATTTCGAGTGAATGTTTGTAGAGCCTTGAAGTTGCTCTTGAACTTGAACTTGAAGACCCTAGGCGGCCCCGGGGGCTTACGTGACGGCCCGCGTCGGCCCGGGTGAGCCACATCTGTGGCTGTTCTATATACTACTAGGTAGTGTCTGAGTCTGCGATTGTTGTCCGATATTCTGATGTATTGATAGGTTATTGTTTTTAGAATTCCTAGATAATTCACTGGGACATGTAGAAATTCTGCATCTGACTTGGCACGTACATGTGCCCTCCGAAGTATGGACGTGTTGAGGTATGCAGCCCTGTAGGGATAGGTTGTAGGACGTGAAACTGTTACCACTACAATTACTAGTAGTAGTACGACACTTTATCTTTGAATATCATGGAAACATGGTTTATTGATCTATCCCCGAAGTCGCTCGACCCGACATTTTCTCTTATATGTTCAAGTTTAACCCACTTGAAGTTTGAAACACTGAAATCTACAACAAGAAATTGGGATTTGGCTATCGCAACGCGCCAATTGCTCATACTAGTACTACTAGCAGCTGACGGCAACTATGACAACCTGCCAGTGTGCAACTGGTGGCCGAGAACCGCCCTTCCTCCCCCGCCTTTCCCCACCATCCAAAATATGGGGTCAGTACTAGTGTCTACCTGTAATATGGCATTCATTTTATAATGGTCATATCTGGTACTATATGATATGTCTATAGTTACATATCTAGCTAGAAGACTTCAACTTGATATTCTCTCAATGAGCAACTGGCGTATATAATCTCAAGACAATGGAGATAATATTACAAAATACTACAAATAGTAATACTACATATAGTACCATTCATGTTTTATACTACTAGTGATGGACATACACTGTCCACCAGGGGATATCCATATATACCAATATAAACAGAGTTACATCCCAACTTGAACCTTTGGAAATGCCTAGGTCAATGACAGCGTGCAACTTCTAAGTGCGAGGCTTCTCACGCTCAGGTTCGCATACAAGTAGTATTCGGCTTCTTTGAATAAAACCAGATTGCTATGTACCACCAATTGTATCCTCCCAACGTAGGATCATGTGGTATTTTCCACAATTCATCGATTGGCCTGTGAAGCATCCGGGTACGCCTGTTGAACCAACCTCGGATATTGATGATATTTGCATCAAGTTCGAGCAGGAAGTAGAGGAGCCAGCGGACCCTGAGCCTCCGAACAACCTTGGCCGTAAAACCAAGCACTTCTCGAATATGTTTTTCTATACACGCTCAGGCGAAAAAGGGTCTGACTGCAAAGTTGGCTTCTACGCCAGACACGTCGATGAGTGGCCATGGCTTCACTCATTTCTGTCAGTGGATCGTGTGAAGCTTCTGTTACAGAATGACTACAATGGCAAACGTATTGAGAGGTTTGAATTGCTGAATATTCTAGGTAAGATGAGGACCATTGCTTCGAAAACGCGACCGACTCTAATGCAGATTCTAGCGGTGCATTTTCTCTTGAAGAACCACCTGGATGGAGGTGTCTCACCCAGCTCGGCATATGATGTGCTGGAAAAGAATGTAGCCGAAAATCTACGAGCCAAAACATGTGCCGATTCCGACCCGGTTTTTCGAGTGTGGCAAGATCTGAGCATATGGCCGTGTCATTCGAAAACGATTTGGCGAATAATTAGGCAATGCATCGCAGTTATGGTATCAGATAGAAATACAAAATGCCACTAGGCATTGATTAAATATACGCATGCTACAATACATGGTAAATTTAAGCTATCCATATCAAGTCGCTTTCAAAAGGGTCACGGTACAGTCCGCTTAAGAGAAACGCTTCTCGACAGTCTTCCAGTTGATGACCTCCCAGATGGCCTTGAAGTACTCAGCCTTGCGGTTTTGGTAATCGAGGCTAAATGGAGGGTTAGCAAGTAGTTAGGTGGGGTACTTTTGGTGGTTATGCTTACTAGTAGGCGTGCTCCCAGGCGTCAATACCAAGGAGGGGCTCGAACTGACCGACAACGGGGTCCTGGTTCTTTTGGTGTGTTAGCATTTGTTATTCTACTCCTGACAGAAACTAGATTACTTACGGCGTAGGTGCGGATGCTGATCTGGCCAGTCTGCTTGTCCTTGACGAGCCAAGCCCAACCGCTGCCCTGGATACCAGCAAGAGCAGTGTTGACCTTGTTCTGGAACTCGCCGAGGCTACCGTAGGTCTCATCGATGGCCTTAGCAAGGGCGCCCGAGGGGGGCTCACCACCGCCAGCGCTCTTGGGGGCCAGGTTCTCCCAGAAGAGAGTGTGGTTAAGGTGACCACCGCCGTGGAAGTTGATGGCGGGCTTCAGAGAAATCTGGGTAGCAATGTCACCCTTGTGCTGAGCCTCCTGGAGCTGCTCAAGAGCGGTGTTGTAGCTGTTGACATAGGTGTTGTGGTGGTTCTTGTGGTGGAGCTCCATGATCTTGCCGGAGATCGACGGCTCAAGAGCGCCATAGTCGTCTTGGTGTCACGTTAGTTCATTGAATTCTTTCTACATATGCGATTCGATTCCGAGTTGAAGCAATTCCGGGTAGACCGAGGAAAGAACAACTTACAGGAGAGGTCGGGCAGAGTTGCCTTGCCGCGGGCGAAGGTCAAGCCCGCAGCTCCGGCCTTGAAGGAAGTCGACGCTCCTGAGCGCAGAGCGACGCGTGCAGAGTTTGCAAGAACAGCAGCCATTTTGAAGGACGTATTGTGGTATTAATGAAGATGGAGTGTGAGAAGAAGTATGGGGGAGGAGTAAGGATTTAATTGAAGAGGAAAAGAAAGGATAAGCGGGAGACTCTCATAGCTAATGAAGTAACCGAGCTTAACGTCATTCTTGTTTTCGCCGGTCGGCTGTGAGTTTCTCCGCCCCGACGTGAATTTCATATGACAACTTGAGCAACCAAATCATTGATTACATTAATCCCCCCTACTTCAAGTTGCGAGGGACCAGCTTGGAGCTATGGAGTCGCCATCTCCTCCATATGCCGGTCAAAAGCGCAAAGTTACCGACATGAGCTCCTCCGACGAGGAGGATGCGCGCCCGACTACCGGCTTCCGTGGCTTTGCTAGAGCCCGCGATCGTTCCGAATCTCCTGCCACCATGAGTGGTCTAGGTAGCACGTCACGCAATCCCCGGAACAACATGTCAAATTCAAATGCACCCCTGCGAGGGGGAGCAGCCGGTCGCGGTGGAAAGGGTGGAGGCGGCAGCTCGTTCGCCGCGCGCATGATGGCGAAGATGGGCTACAAAGAAGGACATGGTCTCAGGAACCACTGGACAGGGTATTATCAATCCGATTGAGGCTCAAGCGCGTCCGACAGGTGCCGGTTTAGGTGCGGTCCGCGAGAAAACCAAACAGGCTCGCGATGAAGAACGCCGGGAAGCCGAGCGCAAAGGCGAGACGGTCGAAGACAGCTCCGACGAAGAAAAACGAAGACGGAGAAAGAAGAAACAAGAACGCAAGACAGAAAGTCGGAGTGGTACGGGTACCCCGGTTGCGCGCGTCAAACCTCAATTCCGCACCGCAAGGGAAATGGAGACCGACATGGAAGGATTGGAGGTGCCAAACGTTCTTAAATCGCTTGTGGATGCTACGGGCAAGGAACAACGAGTCCTGACCTCGACGGCCGGCTTGATGACATCGCAAGAATTTGTGAGCCAAGGGGAAGGAGAAGCTCTAAAGATTGCTCGGCGTGCTCGGAATGACCTTGAAGCTTTCGCAGACGAGTGGAAGGGCTTGACGGAGCGGAAGAAGTTCATCGAGATTGAGGAAGCACAGGTTGTCGAAGAATTGGACGAATACCAATCTCGAGTCGACCATCTTACAGGATTGATTGCGGCTGTGCAGGAGCTGGACTTCTATGAACATGACGAAAGCATTATATCTAAGTTCGATGAGATGACTGGCAAGCTCGAAGCTATGGAATCGAAGTACCGCGATATTATGGATGAATACAAACTGGCGGAGGCCGCTGTGGCTGCCATACATCCTCTATTTCGGCAGGCCATGGAGGAGTGGGAGCCACTACAGAACCCTACGTTCCTCGTTTCAAACCTCAGTCGTCTCCAGCCACTTCTCACCAGCCAGAACAAGAAAGGGGAAATCCGACAACGTCAGTCAACTTCTCCATATGAGACTATGATATATACTCTATGGCTACCCCGAGTCCGCTCAGCACTCATGAATGACTGGGATGTCCATGAACCTTCTACTGCGACAAACCTGGCAATGGCCTGGAAACCGGTCATACCGCCTTTTGTATTCGCAAATTTACTGGATCAATTGGTGGTTCCCAAGCTCAGTGGTGCCTTGAAGCAATGGAAACCCCGAAGCAGCCGACGACATCCGTCTGAGCATGACGGACAGTTCCCGTGGTGGTTGTTCACATGGTTACAGTACTTGGACGATCGACACACCAACCCCAGGCAACCAACAGGTCTCATGTCGGATGCCAAGAGAAAGTTCCGTGTGGTGTTAGATTCCTGGAGCCTGCGCCGGGGCCTTGTGAACGGCATTGAGTTGTGGCGAGATGCATTAGGCCCAGAGTTTGATGTATGCTTGCGCAATCACCTACTGCCTCGCCTTGCACGTCATCTTCGTGAGGACTTTGTCGTGAACCCGCAAGACCAGGATTTGACCACATTAGAGGATGTTCTCCGCTGGAGAAGTTTCTTTAAGCCTAATGTTATGGGCATGTTGCTGGTGGCAGACTTCTTCCCGAAGTGGCATGAGATCTTGTATATCTGGCTCACCAACGATCCTAATCACGAAGAAGTCGGCGAATGGTTCTCATGGTGGCAGACTCAGATCCCGGCGGAGATCAATGATCTTGCGATGGTTCAGGATGAGTGGAATAAGGGTCTGCAGACTATGGATCATGCCTTGAATCTTGGAGATCGCGCCGCGGCCGAGTTGCCGCGCCCCGCACTTCCCATGCAGTCAGCGCTTCCCACGCGAGAAGATGCCGTGGCCGAGGCAGCAGCGGCAGCACCAGTTCCTTCGCACGCCAAGCCCCAGGCGAGCAAAGAAGAACCTGCATTCAAGGATATAGTGGAAAGTTGGTGCATGGATCAGGAACTCCTCATTCGTCCATTGCGGGAAGCGCACCCCAAGAATGGCCTGCCTCTGTTTCGGATCACGGCGAGCGTCACTGGAAGCGGTGGCGTGGTGGCATATTTACAAGGAGACGTCGTATGGGTTCAGAACAAAAAAGCCAAGGATGTTTGGGAACCGATGGGCTTGGAGGATCAATTGGTGGAGCGTGCCGAAGGCCGATAGGGCCTCCCACCTACCACATAGACTATGTACAGTTCCATGTTTACCAGATTTCATTACGAAGATATCCCCAAAATTGCATCACCCCATCTGCACTCCCAAGAACAATTGCTGCGATGTGACGTGGACCTCGCTGGCTTTCAAGGCTGATTCGACCCACTTGACCCACCGCACGTCCGGGGGCCATTCTTTCATCACATTATGCCAATCTTGCCCAAAGGGTATAGCTGGGCGCCATGGGGAACTGGTTGATACAGCCTTGATCATCGATGCAAACGCGTCCATGTACTGACATATGTTGGTCATCCCGCCACAAAGGACCAGGGTAGTGCCAGGGACCAGACAAGAAAGAGGAGCAGTTCTTGACGCCATACCTACAGGTCGACGCAAGCCAAGAAAGTCCCCAAGAAGCTCCAAGCAGCTGGGCACTCCGCCTTAACCGGATCTTCATTCAGTTTCCTTGTTTCGTCCTACCCCAGTCCTAGCAGTTCAACCACTGGCCCTGCGGCTCCTTGACCCCAGCCCCTCCCATTTCTTGGCTAAGGCACTGCCTGCTGGGCTGTCTGGGGGCCACGATGGTTTTATTGGTCGCATGAGCTCCATGGGGCGATGAGATCTCCACTGATGGCACGGCGTACAAATCACCTTTCAGCTTCGGTAGTAGCTATTCGTGAATCCCTCTCGAATATGGTGGGGGGGGCGCCGATAATTTTAGATAACTCAGGCGTGATCAAACTCTCGGCATATCATTGGCATGCCGTAGTATATAAAGGGTATCGCATCTCTCGGGAATATCGACCTCTTCCCCCCTGCAGAAATTTGAAGAAAGAGAAAGCCCCTCACTCCATCTTTCACAAACCCGACCCCGATCCTGATCCATAAGTTCCACAGCCACCATGCAGACCAAGATTGTCGTTTCTTTGCTCCTCGCTAGCTTGGCGGCGGCGGCTCCTCAGGCTACAGGCTCAAGCGACTCGGAAATAGATATTCCAGCCAGTATCCAGGGCGAACTTTTCTCCGCCCTACCTACCTCGGTGCAATCAGAGCTTCTGGCCGACCCCACTGGTGCTCTCCCCTCAATCTATAGCGAGTACGTGACTAAGACCGAGTGGATTTCGAGCCTGCCATCGGATGTCCAGAGCTGGATCAGCGGTGCCGAGTCCTCGATCTCTGATAGTGCGTCTGGCTCTGGCTCAGCCACGGCCACTTCCACTGTTACTGGCTCTGCTGCCACTGGCACTGCTACAGGCAGCGACAGCACCACCCTCACGGGCTCTTCGTCGGGGACGGCCACCGACTCGACCACTGGTTCCAGCAGCGTAGTTGCAACCACCACTGTCGAGTCGACCGCAAAGACCACTGGCTCCGAGACTGGCTCCTCAACCGCCGCCAGTAGCAGTGATGGGGCTTCAAGTAGCGCCGGATCGGAGACTTCGACTGCCGGTGCCCCCGCTGCCACTGGTATGGGAATGGGCCTGGCAGGTGCTGCCGGAGTTCTGGGCGTGGCGCTTTTCCTGTAAAGGAAAGACGGCGAGTGAAGATACAAATACTTGGTCTCCAGTTATGTCCAGTTTAGTCGAGGGTGGTCTCCATTCTTCTAAGCTGTTGGGACTTTGTGGCGGACTAGTTTTGGTTTCCTTTGTTTCCATGAATAACGGGAGTTGTGGTTGACTCCGCTGTATTTACAATAATTGAATCCCCATGCACTGATGTTAGTCTTGATGGGTTTTACCTTGTTATATCGTACTATAGGTAGTAGTCTTACTCCATACAACCCTTGAAGGTATATTTGTACTACTAGTAGGTATCTTGCAATTTAAGGTTCCCGCTGATCCGCAACGGTTCGTGTAATTGTGTGACCCTTAGGTGGTTGAAAGTACCCATGTACGGAGTACTGGTTGTAGTACAGTACACTTGATCCTATGATTCACATGTTCTTTTACCTTTCAGTCAAAGCAAAGCAAAAAATAATCATCAAAACCCCACCAAAAAGCCCACTCCAATAGTACCAAACCGTGTACGGTGTACATAGCTTCCAACAATGGTAAACTCCGAAGACATCAAGCCTCAGTGGATCCCATCCAAGGTAATTCCGAGCCCTAAAATCCGGGAATGTCTCCACCACCAATCAGCTCCAAACCATTGCTAGTCGATCCAGATTGATCGCCGAGTGCAGCCAATCACCTCATCAATAATGGTCAGCACGATCATCACCACCAATCGCACCTCAAGGATTTGTCGTCGCTTGCAGCTCTTGGAATTGATCTTGCACCTTTGGAGAACCTCAATACTGGACATATTACGGTCGCTGACCTTTCTGATGCCCCTGATTGGTGTACCGCCCCTCGAAATGGAATGCATCTCCAGTTTTTTTTTCTTCGACTTTCTCTGCGCTAATGAAGGTTTGCGTTTCCAGAGCGTTGAGAATCGGTGAGGACTGTGGCCAAAGAGTTTGCGCAGAGTTATAAGGGACGTGCGTGGTCTCTTCTAAGATTTATTGAGAGTTTTCTACTTCAAATCCCATCTGTTTCAGCTGCTTCTCCTCTGTACTTCAAACAGGAAGTATCATTGTTTTCGTTGTTGCTTTCTGATCCACCATCCGAGACGTGTTCCACGACGACTCCATTCAGGCCTGGCTGTGACGACCGATCCCCCTTTAAATCCCCCAGAGTCCTCTCGCCTTTTTTTTTTCTCTTTTCCTCTTGCTTCGCTCTTCAGAGTTCCTCTTGCATCCTCTTTGCCTTTCCCCGTAAACGTGAACCTTGACGTCAGAATCGCTTGCCATAGCTTGCATAGTTCGGGCAATCCTTTGAAAGTCAATAATCTCCCGGGTTTCAGGCCACTCAGGATCGACACTGGGCGGAAATTGTGTCAGATTCATTCCAATCGACGGAATTATAACAGTTTGGGAAGAATCAAAACATAGCATCACTCAGCATCATGGCCCTCCTCTTCATCAAACAGAAGCTGTTCCCTATACAGCAATCCAACACGTCTTCCAGTGAGTATTGTCCTGCAATAAGGTTTCACATTTGCCTTTTCAGAACAGAGCAAAAAGCAAAAACAAAACAACGGTTCGAAACTAACCCATTTTCACCTAGACAAGCCCCTCCTCGCTCGTGGAGATGACGACGAGACCCTCCGCGACAGCGACTCCGACCAGGACCTCGAGTCCCAGCGTTCGTACGATACCTTCGGACGATGCGTGAGCAATGATGATTCCACCGCTTCCGCAAGCAGCACACGGTCCCGCATCAACCCTCGCATCGTCTCAGATGCCATCCTCGGTCTTTCGGATGGATTGACTGTTCCTTTCGCCCTCAGCGCGGGTCTTTCTGCCCTGGGAAACACCAAGGTTGTTGTACTAGGTGGTCTGGCGGAGCTTGCTGCAGGTGCAATCTCTATGGGACTTGGAGGCTACGTTGGAGCTAAGAGTGAAGCGTGAGTTTAATAACCCTTTGGTCTATCGTCCTGTATGTGCGCATCGACTGACAAGGAACTTCCCTACAGAGAATCATATGATGCCACAGTTCGTGAGACACAGGCGTTAATTAAGAGCGACCCGCTCGAGACACAGTCCATGGTACGCCAGACGTTTGCTCCATACGGACTCTCGCCCACTGCCATTGAAGATATCACACGCGACTTGCATGCTTCGCAAGACCGATTGCTCGAGTTCTTGTTGGCCTTCCACCACCGCGAGTCTGCGCCTGATTGCAACCAGGCCTGGATCTCTGCCATCACCCTGGCTCTGGGATATTTCGTCGGTGGATTCATTCCTCTAATTCCCTACTTCATCCTGACTCAAGTCATCACCGCGTTATATTGGAGTATCGGCGTCATGGGTATCACCCTATTTGCCTTTGGATACACTAAGACTGCCGTTGTCCGTGGATGGTGCGGACGTGACAATGTCATGGCAGGCACCTGGGGAGGTGTACAAATGTGCCTTGTTGGCGGTATTGCGGCCGGCGCAGCGATTGGATTGGTGCAGCTGATTGACACCAATGGTGCTCAATAACCCTCTTCCCACAGGGATTTAAAAAACTGCTTCGGCGATTAACGATTACACGTCTGATTTTAAAAGCATTCTCGGAGTTTTATCTTTCTCTCGACTCTCATCATGACTCCTCATGGGTCTCATCAGCGAGCATTTATCTTTTTACATGATATATGATTAAACCATAATTCATCTTTTCCTCGTTGCTCCAATCGTATATACGTACTAGTAGTACTTTTATTAGATATGTTGAATTATACTAGTAGCGGAATAGAACTCATCCCAAGATGTGAGACAAACGTATATGTAGATACCACCTATTGAGATATCATTCACCCGGCCAAGGCCCTCTGGACCAAGGTCAGCGCTCGCTCCGATAAATTCAGCTTTAGCGCCTCGTCCCGACCAGCAGGGGACATCTTGCCCCAAGTCTTGCGCAATATATCAACCATCTTCTCCTCATCCCCGAGATCCTTTTCGAACTTGTCAAACTGGTCATCTAAAAAAACCAAGCAGGCCACATCCTCCAACGTCTGCGTATCGGGGTCACCGGCCTTCAAATCCGCCTTTTGCACCATTGCCCCGACGCGTGTCGCCTCCTCCTCGCTATATCCAGCCTCGACACACATCTCTTTCACCAGCGCGGCCTGTCGTCGCTGTAGCCCCGCACGCCAGGAGTGATATCCGATCTTCGTGGCGGGGTAGGAGCTGCGCGGGACTTCCCAGCGGCGGAGGTGCTGGGCACGAATGGCGAGACGGAGAAGCTCGGGGGCATTGGGATTTAGGCGCTCGAGATAGAATGTCATTTGCTCGGCGTAGTGGAGTTCGTAGGGTTTTGTGGTGTCGTTGGTGGTTATTGTGTTCGGGTCATCCTTGTGTGCGGCATCGATGCGCTCGAGGGCGCCGTCATATTTCGACATGGTAGATCGCAAGCGAGCTGTAGAGAAACAAGTTGGAGCAAAATCGTTGTCCTTTGATTGAGGTCTGGAGACTGTCTCTTATCAAGGAGGGTTCGCGAAGGAAAAGTGCTGAGGGTGCGGTGCGAATTAACTGCGTCCGGCCGATAAGGTTGATGGGGCTCCAATTTCCCAAGGTCGCAAATGGAATTGCGCCGTCGCTGATTGGCTCTGGCGAAGTATACCCGGCCTGCACGGCCATCCCAGCTTGGATACACCCGTCAGACATTCCCTGATTCTATAATTTGGAGGGTTTGACTATCCAGGTTCAGAACTAGGTCTAATCTGTACCCTACAAGCAAAAAGAGGAAAAATAAGCGTCCCAATCGTTGGCAATCAACCCATCACGCTTGTCATCGCCAAGATTATTGGCACAACACAGCCATCCTTGGCGTCGACACCCCTAACTGAGTCAGTTTTTATCTGATCTGATCTTTTCTCTCCGGGAGATTATCGGCCTAAACTTGAACTTTAACAAGCTTCAGAGAATACTCGGCATAAAAGTCATCCAAAATGGAGGCGGATCCCTTTAACCTCCAACAATACAAGGCTGAGATCATCTCGCAGAAGAAGAATTGGCTTCCCCTCCCCACGCAGCCAAGCGAAAAGGTCAACAATTTCTACATTGAGCAAAATGAGCTCATCGATGGCTTTCTCTTCAGTGGTGATGAAGAGCGCCGAAATGCTATGGACATCGCGCAGAACGGCGGCAAGGTGAAACTTGCCGTGCGAGCTAGCTTTGTGGTCAACTTCTTTCTCTTCGTCATTCAACTCTATGCAGCTATCTCCACCGGTTCCCTGGCTCTCTTCGCTACGGCTGCCGACGCCTTCATGGATCTCGTCTCTTCGATTGTTATGCTCGTTACCTCCCGCATGTCCACCCGCCCTAAACCATACAAGTACCCGGTTGGACGCCGTCGCATCGAAACAATGGGGATCATCATGTTCTGTGCGCTCATGACGGTTGTTGGAGTGGAGTTGATTATTGAGTCGGCCAAGGCGCTGGCTGATGGAGAGACAGAGTCAAGTCAGCTCAAGTTGATTCCGCTGATATGTGTTGGAGTCGCTATTTTCTCCAAATTCTGTCTGTTCCTGTTCTGTTATAGTCTGCGACGGTACCCCGCCGCCCGCATCTTCTATATCGACCATCGAAATGATCTTGCAGTTAATGGCTTCGGTCTGCTCATGTCGATTGTTGGAAATCGTCTTGTGTGGTACCTTGACCCCGTCGGTGCTTGCTGCATTGCTCTTCTCATCCTATTTTCGTGGGTGTCGACTGCATTCGAACACATGTGGCTTATTGTAGGCAAATGCGCGCCCAGATCATTCGTAAACAAGTGCATCTATGTGACGATGACACATGATCAGAGGATTCAGAAAGTGGATACAGTGAGTAATCCTCTGTGACAGAAGGAGATGAGGTCAAATGCTAATAGAAGTAGTGTCGCGCATACCACTCTGGCCAGCAATTATACGTGGAAGTCGACATTGTGATGGACCCGGAGACCAAACTGCGAGAGTCACACGATGTCAGTCAGGAGTTGCAGCGCAAACTGGAGGGACTGGCAGATGTCGAACGTGCCTTTGTGCATGTGGACTACGACTACCATCATGATGTCAACGAAGAGCATAGGCCTCTATATGATGCTGATGGGACGGGCTCATCGATCCGGGAACTGGTGAAACGACTCTGGACCCGAAATGATAAGAATGACCAGGGAAGTGCGGTGTAGACAGGAAAGCCTCTCTCTGTATTGCATAGAGAGGTCTGGCATGCCCGAATTATGGCTTATAGTAAAACAAGTAGACGAACTACGTCGATTGCATGTATATAGGGTACCGAAGTGGACTGGGTCGCCAAGGTCTTGTCTCCCATGCCAAGAAGGGCGCAGCAAATCCTCCCTTTTATAAAGCGAACATAATTCCTCCCAAACCCTGCAAGTGTATTTAGTATCATGCTTGATATGGACAGTAATATTACCCTCGAGAGTGGGAACCCGGCGGCGTTTTCGTCTGCCGCGGATCCCTTCGATCTGTCAAGCAAACTGCAATCCCCACCTGAGGCTAACACCTCTCGCAAGAGAGCTATGTATTACAGTCCATTCAACAAATCACAGAGAAAATCAAAGGACTTGAACGACTACTACGACACTCAAAATAAACATATTGTGCGTCTCCTCAAACCTGTCCACGAACATGTCCGTGAAGCCGCCGAGACAGAAGAATCCCAACAACTCCAATATCGGATCGCCGTGTACTCTTCCTTCGTCTGCAACATATTTCTCTCTGGGCTCCAGGTATATGGTGCCGTGGCTTCGGGCTCTCTTTCTCTCTTCACAACCATGGCAGACTCGGTTTTCGATCCACTCTCCAACGTGACCCTCATCATCTGCAATCGCCAAGCCAAAAAAGCCGTTAGTCAGAAGTTTCCGGTGGGGACATCACGCATTGAAACTGCGGGGAACATCTTCTTCTCTTTCATCATGATGGCGGTGTCCCTGATCCTTGTAGCATTTTCCTGTCAGGAACTTGCCGAAGGCGGATCAACAGCCTTCCATCTCCCCTCCGTGATCGCCGTATCCGTGGCATTCTTCGTAAAGCTATGCCTCTTCGTCTACTGTTTCGCCCTACGGGATAAGTATTCGCAAGTCCGAATTCTCTGGGAAGACCACCGAAACGATCTCATCATCAATGGCTTCGGTATTCTCACCTCAGTCGGTGGATCGAAGCTCAAATGGTGGATTGACCCAATGGGTGCAATCATCCTTTCTCTTCTTATCTTGGGCCTATGGCTTAATACTTCGATTGGAGAGTTCAAGCTGCTCATCGGTGTTTCGGCCGATGCCGATATGTTGAATCTTATCACCTATATTGCCATGACACATAGCGACCATGTTCAGGCGGTCGACACAGTTCGTGCCTATCATTGTGGTCCACGACTTATAATTGAGGTAGATGTTGTCATGCGTCCCCACGAGACACTGAAAACATGCCATGATATTGCAGAGGATCTTCAGACAAAGCTGGAAAGCTTGCCTGATGTTGAGCGCGCTTTTGTCCACATTGACTATGAAACAACGCATCAACCTGAGCATTCAAAGAAGGATATCTAGCTGGGGTTTCGGACAATTGTATAGATAGGCTTTCAAGTTTCAGGGTTATTTCGACAAAGATTGCGTGTTCCGACTGAGCGTCTGAACTTTTTTTTTCAACATCGTAGTTGGGCCTGACCTGACGACCTGATTTGGGGTGTTAGTTAACGCCACAGCAAATTTTATAGACCTGCAACAGCATTTTGCTTATCTTGTTTGGTCACATGACCGACCATCGAGGACACCGGGCCGTATCACACCTTTTACCATATGTAGTAGAGTAGTTCACTAATCCCCGCGTTCCCCCGAGATTTCGCCTCAGCTTATTCCAACGTGCCCAAATCTTTCGGAAAGGGTGAGGCTTGAGCGAAGCGGCATTGTCGATTCTTCTCACTGGCTGAGATCATGACGGCCTGGTTATGACGGCCTGACCACACAATACGTAGATGATGATTGATTCCCGTCAACATGGCGACAGTTGGCCTTGCTCGACGCTCCCATCGAAAGTCAAGAACAGGTTGTTTGCAATGCAAACAGAGAAAAGTCAAGGTATGCCACGAACTACTATGTATCTCTTGAAAATATTTTAATCTGATTCTAGTGCGATGAACACAAACCAAGTTGTCGTAACTGTACAAGACGCGAGGTGCCATGTGCCTTCGCTGAGATTCCACGTCCAATCCAATCCAGCCATGCAGTGCCTACTGTGGCTGCGACGCTTGATAATATACGCGAAAGTGACAGCCCAGCTACCTCTCTGGCACCTTTAGATCGCAAGCAAGAACCTGGCTCGCAGCTTCCCATGGAATCTAGCCGTGCAGGCTTGGACATATTTGACATGGAACTCTTGCATCATTATATGACGACCACTTCTTACACCTTGTCTCGGGCCCCGGCTGTCCAAGAAGTCTGGCGTGACGAGGTCCCTCGTATTGCATTCAATATGCCGGGTGTACTGCATGCCATGCTAGCCGTCTCGGCCCTACACCTTGCCTGTTCCGACCCATCTCGGACAACAAGCTGCATTGCCCGAGCGCATTCGCATCACAACGCCGCAGTCCAGGATGTGACGCCGAATGTACAATGTCTCGCCTCCGAAAATAGTGCCGGGTTGTTCATATTCTCGTCACTGACCTGCATATTTGCATGCGCCAACGCCCAATCCACCTTCCTTGTTTTGTTTGAACACGGGCATCTTTCTGAATGGGCTCTCCTTTTCCGCGGAGCCAAAACAGTCATGGACTATACTGGTCAAGATTTCCATGCGGGGCGGCTAGGTCCGATGTTCATGCACGGTACTAACATATCGATGACTCGCCGAAGCGTCGAAGCGCTCCAACAGGGTCAGATGTATGTCCGAGAGCTGAAACAAATGGTCTCCCGTGAGTGTTTGCACGACCTTGAACTTAGTCATGTGTATGAAGAGACTGTGGAGGGGTTAGCCAGGACATTAGCAGTGGCTATGAAACCCATTGAGGGGCGGATGCTCCAAACCTCTGATGTATTTGCTTGGTTGCTTGAGGTACCAAACACCTACCTGGAACTGCTGCGGCAAGAGGCACCTGTCGCAATCATCATCTTTGGATACTTCTGTGTGGCATTATGGAAGATTGAATCAATGTGGTGGATGAAAGGACTGAGCAGCCGGCTTATGACACAATTAAATTCTGTGTTGAGTGAAGATTACCGAGGCTGGTTGCAGTGGCCAAAAAATCAGATTGATTGGAACTTGCCCAGATCCGTATAATTACGGGAGAAGGGATAGATTATAGGTGAAATTATGCCAGTAGAGGTCTACGAGTTCTCTAGCAACTAAGCCCAAAGGAGGTAACAAAGAAAGCTCATTAATCAAATATCGCTTCGCTTCAAGTGGCTTCCCAAGCTACTCTCACTCGATTCAACGTGGTGGGGCGCACTGCATGACTCATTTTGGCCTTCAAACTTTCGAGCTAGTCTTGCCCGTTTCTCTGATTAACTGAACCTCGACAGTGACAACACATCATAATTCTTTAAGATGAGCGGATACACACACTCAGAGCCCTTCAATATAGGCCTACTTCCTGTGGGTGCAATTCATAGGATATACTACGAGCAATATGGCAGAGAGGATGGAAAGCCAGGTCCGCCTCTCAAAGACCCCACGTCGAGGTGGAAAGCTGCTAATTATCATACAGTCATTTTCTTGCACGGAGGGCCTGGGGGTTGCACTTCTAGAAACAACACGACCTATTTTGATCCGGCCGTCTATAGAGTGATCCTACTTGATCAGCGCGGCACGGGAAAATCCGAGCCCACTACTGAGCTACGTGAAAACACCACGCCGGACCTTGTTTCCGACATCGAAGCACTTCGTCAACATCTGGCAATCTCTAAGTGGCATCTTATCTTCGGTGGGTCCTGGGGCACGACGCTCGCTCTGCTGTATGCCCAAGCTTACCCGCAGTTCGTGGGGTCGATGATTCTGCGGGGGATTTTTACGGCAAGTAGGTTGGAGGTTGCGTGGTCAAGAGGATCATTGGGCGCAGCCAACGTCTACCCAGAAGCGTGGCATGTCTTCCAGCGCTATCTGCCCGAGGATGAACGTCATGATATTACCGCTGGCTATTATAAGCGGCTTACGTGCGATCATCATCCAACGCGTCTAGCAGCGGCCAAAGAATGGAATCGGTGGGAGTTGAGCATTGGAGAGTTGAGGGTTGACGAGGGCGGCTTCAAGAAGTTAGATGATTATGTGTGGTCTTGGGCGCATGCTCTCTTGGAGGCGCATTATGCGGTGCATGACTTTTGGTTGGAGGATAGACAGATTTTCAAGCCGAAGAACTTGGCAAAAATCCGGCATATTCCTGGTAAGCAGATAAGGTCTCCCTTCTGGATTTAACCCTCATTGATATTTTGTAGTCACCATCATCCAGGGCCGATATGACATGGTCTGCCCTCCGCAAACTGCTTGGGAGCTACATCGATGTTTGCCCATGTCACGACTTATTTGGATCCCTGACGCCGGTCATAGTGGAAGGGTATGGAATAATCTTCGTGCTGACATACCTGTTTTTGGACATATACTGATATCGAGCAGGAGCCTGGGACCCGCCTCGAGTTACTTCGGGCATGCGATGAGAACGCCGGCCTGGATTTCCATGCCCACAGCTAACTTCGAATAATAAAACGAGAGGAATCTTTCCAAGTTACTGACTTAGTCAAGGTCTGACGGCTTGAGAAGCTTCATAAGTAATTCAACAAATTTAACAAAGTCGTGACTCATAATGCCAGAGGCAGTTAGAAAACATAAAACCCTATGGACAAGCTCCCTTCAATCATTCTATGTCTCTGACGCTTTAGCGGAATCTGCAGCTGCCGTGTCTTCCATCTTTCCTTCCTCTTCCTTGGTTTGGGTTCCATCAAGAACAATGTCTCCGTCCTTATCGGCTGGGTTCGCTTCAGAAGTAGAGGCTTGAGGCTGAATGTCAGCAGGACCATCGGCTCCCGCACCCTGGGATTCTTGTTCACCAAGCGTCATCTCCACTCCTTGTCCATCCTGCAAACCTAGATCCTGAACGCCCAAAAGTGGGGGTCCGCGAGCGTGAGGAACCTCCTCAGATGAATCTGCAGGTGGGGAGCCAGCGGTCGTAGCACTGTCTTCAGGTTCAATGGGAGGTATAACACTATCCGGGGCGTGTGACCCTCCAGTTTCTATATTGTGAGCTTGAGCGGATGCCGAATCTTCTGTGGACGTAATTGTTAGCTCGAACCTCTAACGACTCTTCGGTAATTGAAGAGGGACGCAGAAAGCTAAAAGGTGATGGACATACCCTCTTCCATTTCTGATATACCCTCGGCTCCAAAGGAAGCATTGGTCAACCACGGAATTGGGGTGAGAAGCGCGCCACCCAAGGATTCGTCGCTCCCCAAACTATGCGCGTAGTCAGGAGTAAGATATGCCCCAGCGCTGTTGCTAGGTTGAACAAACCCATTCAGCTGGGCGTTCGTATTTGCTGGTGTGGTGAATGGGAAAATAGCCGCATCGCTGGTCACAGATATGACACGGTCCACGGCACGCAGATAAGCGGGTAATGTTCGGTAGTGAGCGGTCGGACGAAGGATAAGCTCAGAAAACCGCTGAATTGTGTGCGGCGGCTTGCTCGTGAAGAATGATTGGATCGACGAGCGGATAGAGCTTAACAGTTGTGCAAGCTGGGGAGGAAGGGCGTCGTTGGCTTGCGAAGACGATTGGGGTTGCGAATCTGGCACGCGCTCGGTGGACGCAAGTGGGGTAGTGTCCGCCTGCGGCTGTGAAGGACTCTGCGGGTCGCCTGGAGCTGCATTTTCTTTGTTGCTACTCTCAGGGGGGGGGCATTATTGGTGTCGGTTTGTTGGGATAGAAATTGAGTGTACGGCTGAGACCTCGGGGGCGCCTTGGGCATGGGAAACACATTGTAAACGATCTAGAAAAGCTCATTAGCGATCATTTATCTTGAATAACATCGCACGGTCAACACATACATATTCCAGCCGTTCTAGCAGTGGTTCGACCATAGCAGCCCATTTATCACTGAATTTAAACCATCAGTCTCGCATCGTCCATAGCACGCCTTACTTCATAACTGCACACGTACAGGTCAATCGAGCCGCCATTGGCGACGGTCTCCAAGGCATCTTCATCTGTCGCGACGACGTTAGCTTTGTCCACACCCCAGGATAGGCTAGCATCACCCACCCAAAGACATTGTGATGGTTGGAGCTACTCGGCGGCACAAGCTGCGATGGGTTGTCGACCATAGCTGGGGCGGTGGCGTAGAAAGCTTTTGATTGGTCAGGACTTGAATCTTATCGATAGCGATTATCGGGGCAAATCGCAACACGTGACTCTCTAATTTTCGGCGGGGCAGGAACGAATGAGTCGATGAGTCTTGCGCGCGCTCTTCCCCCCCCAGGTTTTGCCTGTTCCGACTGGAATCTCCCATCAGCCTCCCGAATCCCTTCTCTTTGATCCCTCAGATACAATGTGGAACTCTCCCAAGGTGGGAATTCTTGGCGGCGGCCAGCTGGGCCGCATGCTCGTCGAGTCTTGCAACAGGTTGAACATCCAGGCCAACGTCCTGGATGCTGAGAACTCCCCAGCCAAGCAGATCAGCTTCCACGATGGCCATGTGACAGGATCATTCAAGGAACGTGAAGCCGTTCGCCAATTGGCCAAATCTTGCGACGTTATGACCGCCGAAATCGAGCACGTCGATACCTACGCCCTCGAGGAAGTCGCCTCTGAGGTCCGAGTCGAGCCTAGCTGGCAAGCAATTCGCACAATCCAGAACAAGTTCAACCAGAAAGAGCATCTTCGCAAATACGGCATCCCCATGGCGGACCACCGTGAGTTGGTCGAGAATACCCCGGAGGAGTTGGCTCGGGTTGGAGAGCAGTTAGGCTATCCGATGATGTTGAAATCGAAGACAATGGCATACGATGGACGTGGTATGTGGCCTTGCACAAAAAACCTTTGATCTCCCAATATGATCCTGACGGTTCGTACTAGGTAACTTCCGCGTGAACTCCAAGGCCGATATCCCCGAGGCTCTCGAGACTCTCAAGGACCGGCCCTTGTACGCAGAGAAGTGGGCTTACTTCAAAATGGTGCGCTTTACCCAAACTCTACCTACACATTTATTATTTCAAAGAAATTGTACCTAATCATATATCAGGAATTGGCTGTCATGGTCATCAAGACCAAGGACGAGGTATTGTCATACCCCACCGTGGAGACGGTGCAGGAGGACTCAATATGCAAATTGGTCTACGCACCAGCTCGCAACGTACCCGAAGCCATCAACAAGGAGGCACAGGCTCTTGCAAGGAAGGCCGTTTCTGCCTTCGAGGGCAAGGGTGCCTTCGGCGTAGAGATGTTCCTTCTTGAAGACAACAGCCTCATGCTGTGCGAGCTTGCTAGCCGCATTCACAACTCAGGTCACTACACCATTGAGGGCTGTGCTCTGTCACAGTTTGACAGCCACATTCGCGCCATCATGGACCTCCCCATCCCCGCCAAGAGTCTTGAAATTCGTCAACCCTCTGTCATGCTCAACATCATCGGTGGTGCTACCCCGGACTCGCACCTGAAGGCGGCCGAGCATGCTCTCTCGATCCCTAATGCCAGCATCCATCTTTATAGCAAGGGAGCCGCCAAGCCTGGCCGGAAAATGGGACACATCACAGTAACTGCCGCTACCATGCACGAGGCCGAGAGCATGATTCAGCCTCTGGTCGACGTTGTGGATGAGATGCGGGCTCAGCGTACTGATATCAAGACCAAGGCACAAAAGTCAGGTCCTTCGAAGCCCGCGCCCCAAGTTGCAGTTGTTATGGGCTCCGACAGTGACCTTAAGACACTTGTGCCCGGTCTGAAGCTGCTGCAAAACTACTTTGGTATCGAACCCGCTGTCGAGATTACTTCTGCTCACCGTACCCCGGATTACATGGCGGAATACTCGGCTGAGGCCGCGTCGCGCGGGATCAAGGTCATCATCGCCGCTGCCGGTGGCGCCGCTCATCTTCCTGGCATGGCTGCCGCTCACACTGCTCTTCCAGTCATTGGAGTTCCCGTCAAGGGAAGCTCTCTGGATGGCGTCGACAGCCTCTACAGCATTGTCCAGATGCCTCGTGGTAAGTTTCCATGTTTCCTTTGACTTGATAGAAGCATACTAATGAGAGTTCTAATAGGTGTTCCCGTGGCAACCGTGGGAATCAATAACAGCATCAATGCGGCGCTTCTGGCAGCCCGCATCCTGGGCTCCTTCGACCCGGCCATCCAGCGCAAGGTCGAGGCCTATGCCGAAGAGGCACGCGCTGAGAACATGGAGAAGAAGGGCACCAAAATGCGCGAGTTGGGCTGGGAGAAGTACTTTGAGCAGATGTAGAGACTCTTCTTCTCTGCAATTTCTACTTTCAAACATGCTACAGCGTGAAAGCCCTGTGAGAGGGGAACAAAAGGAGGTGGAAGAAGAAAAAGGAAAGTGATTGCATTTTCCAAATTTCTCCATCTGCACATGATACAGATGCTATATTCCCGCGATTTATATGATAGAGAGGACACTTTTGATACGAGGTTTTAGACGACAATGAATGACATATCCCAATCGGTAAATTCAACATCAATTACATCACGTAATTGGGTCGTGATATGTAGGAGCCGCAAACGGAAAACTCAAGTAGTTTAGGTTTCATGGAAAATATTTGGGCTTCGATCAACCTTCTACGAAGTGATACCGTGGAATGGCCGAAAATTAAATGTCAGGAGTATATTAGATTTCGGCCGGAGTCCGAGTTCACGCCGTGTTAAACGGTTAGCCCATGGCCATCCCTACCGGATCCTATCAGCGGTACGTTGAGGGATTCTGGTCCAAGAAAGTCTAAGCCAAAGCTACCCCGGGCAGAAGATGTGCAGGATACATTGTACCGTGGCCCCCTTTATGGGATGTACAAGGTTGGCCCAATAGACGCCGGTATCTTTCACCGCTTTCACCGCCCTCACGTGCCCGTCGGGCGTCGGGCACAAAATTTGGAATTACTAAAATACTAAATTACTAAAGGACGACAATAATCTGGGCTATGGAAACATCCCTTATCTCTGTGAGCACTGGGTCCTTAGCTCATTGGTCAAAAATGACACCACTCAATGCTTTCACATGAGAACCACGAGTAGGAATTGAGAATGAGAGTGAGAACCCTGTCTACTCCGTACTCGTAATGGATTTGAATTGAATCCAGTCCCATACTCCGTACTGAATATCACGAACGCTTGGCCATCTAAAGGGATCGAGGACACGAGACATCTCCTCATTGCAGTCTCTCCCAATTGGACGACAGACGCCACCGTTATCGGGGCCAAAGCAATTAACCTTTCCAAATGGCTGGGTTCCCCTCACGCGGTTCACCTATCGCACTTCGTTCTCGGGTCGCCTCCATTGCTTGTCTCCACAAAATGCACTCTCTAGGCCAATGGTCTTCAGGGCATATCGACTACGGGGTTGGTTATTATCTCGCCTTCTCCGCCGCTCTCCTGTACCTTTTTCGCCTCACGTCTCACTTGCATATCTCTTTGCTTGATGCCTTCCTGGTCTTCTTCCCATACATATGCCCTCCCCGACTCCACATATATCTTATAAATCATATGGAACTCGTCTAATCCTATCCTAAGTATTCCGCTTACTCCGCCGTCGAAGCCGCCACTGGCATTGACTTGGGTACAAATCCGATGAATCTCCTGTAACCTCCAACCTCCCGACCAACGCTTCTCGACACTCGACCGCAGCCAGAGAATATGCCCTTATGTCCAGCAGCGACATCTCCGGCAGTAACTACGGCCTAGCCGCACGTTCATCTACTGGAAACATTGCTGAGCGTACCACCGTTGCATGTCTCACCGCAATCGCCTGGTACAACGCATTGGAACTTATCGTCCTTTGTTTCACCACCTTTAAACGCTATGGCGGCTGCTACTTTTGGTGCCTTCTCATCTCCTCATTCAGCATCATCCCCTTCGGCTTGGGATACCTCCTCATTATCTTCGATGTCTACGACAGCTATTTCTCAGTGGCGATGGAGCTCATTGCCTGGATTTGCATGGTAACCGGTCAATCGCTGGTTCTTTGGTCACGATTGCATCTAGTCGTACATAGCCCAACCGTCCTTCGCTGGACCCTCGCCATGATAATCGTCGATGCGATAATCTTCCACGTCCCTGCATCCGTCCTCGAACTCGGCAGCCACTCCAATAAAGCCGACCTCTTCACGCCAGGCTTCAATATTTTCGAGCGCATCCAATTGATCGCCTTCTCCGTCCAAGAAGCAATACTGTCTATGATATACTCTTGGGAAGCAGTGCGATTATTGAACCTCCGGCCCAGGGGTAATTACCGCGGCACTTTGGTCCAATTACTGGTGGTCAATCTTGCGATGATCTGCATGGACGCTGCAATTATCGGCGTCCAATACTCCGGTCTCTTCGATGTTCACGTTACTCTGAAAGCCTTCGCCTACAGTGTTAAACTCAAATTAGAATACGCCATCCTAGGCAAACTCGTCGACGCCACGACGCAAAAGTTCGGCAGCAGCGTTTCCGCCCCGACCGACCTGTCGGATTTCGTGGATCTTTCGCACCATACCAATAGCCAGCCACCAGCGGATAGCGACAGCCAGGCGCGAATATGGGACGATCCGGAAAATATTGCTCTGCAGCAGACGCGTGGGTCATCAAAGTTATCTTCGGATCCGCGAGTGAGTGAAACTGCAACGCCTGATTCGGATCGGAGCGTACTGCGATGATGAACTTAATGTAAATAATTCTCTATCACGACCTTGTATAAACTTGAAGCGAAATACATCATGTATATATTTAGATTTCTTTTCTTTTCTTTTCTTCCAGCTGCCGCGGGACTGGATACCGACCACTCATACACTATGCTAGTAGTAATGAACAAGCACATCCATTCGGGAAGGCAGCTTGAATAGAGCAACTCTACCCAGTAACCTCAAACCTACTAGGTACTATTAGTAACACTTGTATCCTATCAAAGCCTAATGTTCCATGTAGTTTGAGGACCTAGCCCATTGATAGGCTTCCATGATGTTGGTCTATCTACAGCTGGTTCCACATGAGCTTGGGCCCTGGCAAAGCCAATGGCGGGCTGACTTCTTGACAATGACGCTCCAAAGTGTTATTATCAGTCAATGGATCCCAAAATAAAGCTTATGAGAATGTCTCACGCTCACTAGCTCCCCGTGTAGTGTTGATTATCTCCATTCATTTGGCATATCTTGGCCTCCCTCTAGTGCCTTCATTGTCTGCGGCTAGTTGACCCTGTGTGGTTCTACATCATTCCCCCAGCTTATGGACAAAGTATAGGGGCTTTTGCACTATATAAAGATTCATGTTGCAAAGTCTCAAACTTTCTGCATGCTTCAGTTTCGTTTACTAGACTTGCCTAGATAACGACATTATAGGTGTGCCAATCTGAAGTGAGCACCTACAACTCGGAAGATTTTTATCAATTCGAGAGAGATCATTCAACATGGATATAGTACTATTCCAAGGCTCCGTTCAGTTGGCTAGAACGACAACTCCGTTGCAAATCTTCCTCATGCCTCAATTGAATACATCCTGGGCCAGCCTTGGAAGTCAACAAGCAAACCACAGATCACAACTCGCCCTGACTTCAACTTAAAGTTGAGTGTAGCCCTGGAGGCAAGCAGTCCTCTACTACTACTAATCCTCCATGGAGTGTAGTTAGAATTCCTCTGAGTTGTATTGATGTCTATCGGGCGAGGGGAAGCAATTCCCCCGCCCTTATCGTCGGATGCCGCCGCCTGCTTCAAGTTTGATGAGGGTTACGTGATATCAATATATCTTGCGCCCTGATCCAACAATCAGTACCCCTAAACTTCAAGTTCACTTGCCTCAGTCTCAGTCCTGGCCGTGACAGCAGATATCATGACAGCGCCCGTCACTCTTTCCCCATTGACCCCCTCACAGCTCGATGAGGGTGCATCTCGATGCTTGGCTCTCCAGCAATCTGGCCAAGATATACATGGCAAGAGACCCTTCGCGGCCATTCTCCTAGCCCCAGATAACACGACGCAGCTCATGTCATCGCTGTCGTTGTCGCACGTTCGCCATGCAGAATGCGAACTCGCCCGTAATGCTGCCGACAACTATTCCTGGGAGTATCTCGCCGGGTGTACCATGATATCCACCTGGGAGCCATGCGCCATGTGCGCGGGAACCGTTTACTGGGCGCATATCGGTCGACTGGTGTATCTTGCCTCGGAGAAAACACTACAAGGCTTGATAGGAGTAGGAAACCCGGAAAATCTCACATTGGACCTACCTTGTCGCGACGTGTTTGTGGCCGGGCAGACTAAGGTAGAGGTCATAGGGCCATTGACGAGCGAGGGATGGGAGAGACGCGTTGTCGATGACGCCGGGCGGTACTGGTCGAAGCACGGTCAGTAGTGAGGGATCACATGTCATGCAGGAAATCGCCTGCGAAGATGTTTTGAAGGAATTGGGGTGGAAGATAAATATGTAGTGTGTAAGGTTTCTGACCAATCAACATATGATAATCTATTTGTACAACGGAGTACTCCGTAGTCCCGAGAGTAAAGTTGTTTGCGGATCCCATGCAATTCTGTGGCCTGATTTCTTCGAGAATTGAAAATTGCAGAGAACGGCGATTTTGCTTCACGGAGCTCGTCATGCCCTGATCTCATAGAATGAAAGAGGCTAATGCCGAATCGGGAAATAGAAAAAAAAAAAAGGAGACATCGATCTTATGGAGGATGAAAGCACTCCACTGTGGATAATGGGAGCTTTACCCAAGCTTAACCCACATGGCAGAACCTTGGAGAGCAACATTGAAAAATTTGTCAACCAGGAACACTTAACCCTTCTAGTAAGGAATTTCATAGCGATCTCCGAAGAACGGACAACGCCGCCGAAGTATCTGCACAGCCCCCCGTAGCCACAGATGTTCTGCTCTCCTTACTATTTGGGCATTCCTCCCCTGGTGTTAAGGGACGAGAAGAGCCCAATTGGAGTGCCCACCTAGGTTTCTACGTGGCTGTATTCAAAGAACCAGAAAGTTCAGGAGCCCAGGAGCCCAGGAGCCCAGGAGCCCAGGAGCCCAGGAGTCGCATGTTGATCATTGGGAGGAGCAGCCGCAGCCGAAATCAATAGTTTGGGCGCAGGGGAGTCAAAAGGGAAGGGGGCAGATCCCAGAGATCCCATTGACGACACAACTATTGTTTTAGGTGGTACGCGGCTTTGATTGAAAACATCAGAGGGATGAATATTGGATGGAGGCCATGTCATCTCAAAACGACGCAGGATTGACGTCAAGTTGATGCGGAGGATCTCAGATCATCCAAGTTTCAGGACCACACATTGTCGAAGCTGGCTGGGACCCACCTGGACCGTGGAACCACGGAGAGAGCGCGTGCGTGCCAAGACTGGAGCTCAAGCAGGAATTTTGCAGATCAGGGAGCTCGATGTGGCTTAACGCAGAGGAGGTCAGACAGACTAGACAGACTAAACAGACTAGTGGCGTCTATGACTCGATCCCGGGAGCCTGGACATCCTAACAGCCTTATGGAGGTAGGCACCTCCACTGGGGACATCAATGCCGAATACATGGACCAGAGCCAGATCAATATGATTGAATATACTCCGTAATGGAGGGCAACAAGAATGAAAACGGAGGACAAGGGCAAAATCTGGACACAACGGGGTACAACTGGACACCAACTGGACAATTGAGGGAATCGCAGTCCGCGCCAGAACGACAACGTGACGTCATATGTTGCGTCAAGGAAGGAACCTGCGTTGCTCCTTCCTTCTTCCAGTAGGGATCGTTTGAAGTAGAGCTTGACTAGGAGCAGCAGCAGTACGGAGTAGTACTACTCGTACATAGTAGCACTGTAGTACACTATGTACTATGTAGCACCACCACCACCACCAAACCTACAGCTCATATTTAATCACTTCGTCACCCCTTCTTTCGCCTCCTCCCTCCCCTCTTCTTCCCCTCCCATATTTCCCCTTCATTCTTGTGATACCCCAACCCCTTGTTTTTTCTTATTCCAAGGGATCGTCTACCACCCCCCCCCCCAAATAATCCCTAATTTTTCAATCACTCTGGTAAGTAATTGATTGTTTGTTACTGCTGCAAACGAGCAACCCTGCAGTCCTGGTAGGCTCGATCTCGCTTGCTGACCGCGTGCCCAGTAATACTACTACTCTACTGCCGTTTGTCGGTGTTCGGTCTTTCTTATTACACGATTGTCACGACCCTTTCCATCATGTCTGTCAACAAACCCACCGACGTGAAGCAAAAGGAGCAGGTATGCAACATCTTCCTCTCGCCGAGTGTGGTGGTTACTAGAGGAGGTCACTGATAAGATGTCGCCCCCAGGATATCAACCAGAAGCTTCAATTGTTCGGAATCTACCATGGTAAGTTGATCTCCACAGTCCGCCATTTGTGAATCATCGCAGTCGCTCATGACCAACGTATAGCTTTCAAGAATAGCAAGCTCCCCTCGGTTAGTTTCGCTGGTATCCCATCCCGTCGCCGAACATCATACTAAACATGACTCCATCGCTCGCAATAGAACAAGCAGTGCGATGTCGCCCTCAACTCCGCCTTGAACTCCAAGGCTCTCTCTTCCCCGAACCAGCAGCTGTCTGCCGAAGGCAAGGTCCTTGTAAAGGACCTGCGCAATGTCATTGAGCAGACTAAGAAGCTGTTGCTGTCTAAGAACGACGGCGAGCTGCTTCAGGACTTCATCTGGCAAGCACAGCAGATCACTGCGGGTGATGTGAAGGCTCCCAATGCCCCTGTGACTAGGGAAGATGGAAAGCAAGATGCTAGCAAGGCTGCTGATGGTCTCAAGACTCTTGGCACGTTGCTCATTACGAATGGAGAGTTCCGCAAGATCTGTGAGTTCTGACACATTGGCAACTGGTCTCAGTTCTTCCTAACAATTCCCAGTGAGCGATGCCACAGTATTGATTCGCGACATCGCCGCGGACGCTTCTCAGAAGGCTGCTAACCAGGTTCGCCCATCCGAGGATAAGCTTGCCCAGATCGACGAGCCTGCGGAGGAGAACACTTGGCATGAGAAGCCCAACATCAATAAGGATGATCTCAAGGGCAAGTTCAAGAAGAATAAGACTGTAAGCTATGTTGAACTCGAGAGCGCCTTGGACAGGGCTAACACGTTTGATAGGACAAGTCGAGCGTCGGGTCGCCCTCGATTGCCGAATCCGAGACCGGTACTGCCGGTGATGCCTCCTCTGTTACCCCATCAGAGGCGAGCCGTCGCAAGAAGCTGGCGGGTCAGACCAAGGAGTATCTGGCCGATAAGATTCCGAAAGAGCGTCGCGAGCAGACTATTTGGCGTCTCAAGAAGATGATCATCGAGGTCCAGGGCCATGCCGACTGTAAGAATTTCCAAAGGAAATGTATATGTCTCACATTCAAGTACTTACCTATGATACAGACCAGCAAGCCATCGAGACCCTGTTGACCATGGCTGAAAAGTACGCCGGCCACACCAAGACCGTCACCGGCGAGAGCGGCACTGCCGTCCGCGATGTCCGTGCCACCGACAGCGTCAATGCCGTGGAGTATAACCTCCGTACTTTGATCGAGCGTTTCGCCAACAACACTTCGCTCGCCGACTTCTTTGACTCGCTCAACAACATTTACCGTGATGCCGATAAAGATCCTGAGCTCCGTGGCTGGTTCTCGAACATCGATACTTTCATTCGTAAGTGTCTGCGTGAGCAGGGCTTCATCATGGATGAAGAGTGCAACCGTGAGTGGAATGTGCTGTACGACAAGGGCCGCTACCTTCTTCGCGAGCGCTACCGTTCCCACACCGATCGCATTGTCGATGAAATCAAGTTCCTTGCCGAGCAATTTGATAAGGATCCCCAGAACCACGCTCTCGCTCAGTCGATCCAGAAGTTGTTCAAGGATCTTGGCCGTGACACTGAGGGCAAGGTTGTTTTCAAGAAGGACTTGCTCAAGGATATTCGTGATGTCATTCTGCCCGGTATCGTTGAAAACGTCCGCTACATCCCCATTCCTCGTATCGAGGTCTCTGACCCGATGGTGGATGTTGTTGTTGAGAACCTTGTCATTGAGAGTGACAACCTGATGCCAAACGTTGTCGAATTTGGTAGCGACAACTACTTCCGTTGGGGCCGCAAGAAGGTTTCCAACAAGCGGAACAACAAGATCATGATCGCTGCATCCGGGATCCAGGCCGATCTTCGTGATGTCAGCTACCACATCAAGAAGAAGCAAGGCTTCCCCTCGATCACTGATACTGGTGTGATGGACATCATCTTGGGTGGCGAAGGTCTGAGCTTCAAGATTGCGGCATCTACCGCCGACAAGAACGACAAGCAGAACTTCGTCAAGCTGGACAAGGTCTCCGTTAACATCAAGAACATGGATATCAAGTTGAAGAAATCGAAACACAAGGCTCTGTTTGCGACCTTTAAGCCTATGCTTTTCCGCGTGGTTCGCCCCGCTCTGCAGAAGGTCGTCGAGGCACAGATTCGCCAGGCATTTGCTGATGGCGATGCTTTTGCCAAGGAGATTCACGGCGAGGCCAAGAAGGCCCAGGAGGCTGCGCGTGAGGAACCTGAGAATGCTCCTAGCATCTTCTCGCGCTATGCCGATGCCATTCGTGCCCGCGCCCAGGCCAAGGCTAAGCAGGCCGAGGGAATTGTCAAGCGCGACACCAAGGTTCAAACCGTCATGACCATGCACGACTCCATCTTCCCCGACGTCAAACTGCCCGGTGGTATCTCAAGCAAGGCTACTGAATATGCCGAGCTTGCCAGCAAGGGAGACCGTTGGGAGTCACCCATTTTCAGCATCGGTGCGGCTTCTGAGTCTAGCGACATTCCCTCCCAGGGTCCAGTTACCCGCAAGACGCACACCACCGCGGATGGTGTTGCCTCTGCAGGTGCTGCTGTGGGTGGTGGTGGTGGTGCTGCTGGCACTGCTGCTGCTGCGGGTGTCTCTGGCGCCGCTGCCAATGCTACCAATGGCACCAAGGTGGACAGCTACCCATCCCGTGGGTTCTCTGATGAGGTTGATCAGGCTTTTGTCAACGGAAAGACCTCTCACATCAGCGATGGCGTTAAGACAACCACTAACGGTACCACTCACACCACCAACGGTACTACCCATGTCACGAACGGATCGACTCCAGTCGTTTAAAAATAGCAACGCAATGAAAGTACAGCGTGCGAAGATAAATTTGTCGTGGCATCCGCATATACGACATGTGCCATCGTTGGTATTACCTTCGTACATCGATTTCATTCTGACAGTATCTACTTAGTTTGACTTTTTTTTGATTTTGATTTTGTGGTTTATGATTTCCCCCTCTGCAGTTTGTCTTTGTATGAGTATGATTTATCCAGTCGGTAGCCTAATAAATAATGCAACTTACTGTCCTGCGAAACACTGTTATCCGTTCTAGATCCTAAGTAGCATTAGATCTTGGTATTGTAAAGTTTCATGGCGCCTTTTAAAGTTGTTTCATCTGTGGGCCAAGCTTCGGGAAGGCTTTGGTTCCATGGTTGAGTCTTGCTGGGAAACCCGCATACCTCAGTAATAATTATTCGTTAACGCATCCATTTATGTCCTCGATGTATGCAATAATGAATAACTCTAGGCTTTACCTGAATTCCATTTTAGATAAAATTGTGTACTACGTGGTGCTTGCTGGTGAAGAAAAAAGAAGGGTGATCAGGGGACGACGTCAGTCCAGTTTGGGAGCCACCATCCACCCCGTTTTCAGCTGAGCCGACTCCCGTCAAAGCTGAGCATACCAAGAGCATGACGATAGTACGGTCCATCAACCACGCCTCCGATCCGTGTCATGAGCCCATATGAACAGAACGCCAGTCTCCTCGACTGGTTGCAAGGGTCAGAGCATCGTGCACCTTCCAACGCGGTCCGTTCAAGTCGAAACAGACTCTCGATGACTGGGGAGCACAGCCCGGAGCCTGGCCTAGCAAGCGATGCTGCAATCTCGTTAAAAGATATGCTACGCAACGATCCATGGACTCACAATGAGGTTCCTGAGGCAATCCATTTACCAGACTCCCATGCATCGTCTTCTACAGTCAATGAGAACCCTTCTGGTCTCAACATGCCGAACGATTCTCTGGTGGCCTTTTTGCACTCTGATGGACCGGTGGTGCCATCTATGGTTCCACTTTTGGGACCGATACTATCGTCCACAAGTTCACCACAAGCAGAGGACATATTCTTTGACACAGGGAGGACAGGAAGGATAAGAAGGCCTCGTACTCGGAAGAAGAAACGAACAACCCGGTTTTCTTACGACAAAACCATCGAAAATGCGGGAAGATTTCTGGGTCACATCAAGCACGGGAACGTCGGCAAAGACTCGCGTCAGGATAAAGCCTCAGTTATCTATTACGATTATACCGATAGTTCCAGGTCCAGTGCAGTCCATATCATGTCTTCGGGACGCATAGCAAATCTGGGATATCCGCCGCCCAATTTCCGTCTCAGACTTCTTGTTGTGGAGGATTTAACGAACTCAACAATTAATGCACTTGGGGAGACATTTAGCATCAACCATGAATTTTTCGAAGAACACTTATTAAGCTCAGGATATGCAGGCGCAGATTATAACATGATGCCTTCTCGGTCATGGGCGACGGGCTCTTTGGAAAAGTCGTATTTCTCAATGAGGTGGATCAGGCCCGTTTTTCGACAGCCCATGTATTCTTCGAGTCGCAGCATGAAAGATCTTGTGAAGGCCAGTACTCGCATGACGAAAAGAGTTGGACCTGTCGTTGAAATAAGTGATGAAGATGACTCTGGCCAGGATGATAAAATAGGGGTGGAACATTTTACCACGACTGTTTCCACGAACATTTTTCGGTTGGATTGGCCATTATGGACAAACCCGGCAAAGACAGCTAATATGAAAAGAGAGAGTGCGGGTTGGAAGAAAGACTGACAACCTGGAAAGGGACCTTAATGGGGGCAGATTCTTAGAGTTCAATAACAGTAGCTCCCAAGGTTCCGACTGGCAGTAAGTGTGGCTCGGGCTGGGGTGTTCCTTTTTTTTTGTGGGAAAGTTTATGTAGCACATTCGTTATATGTACTAGTAGTCCATATTTGAGGGCTAAATACAATGTCATGACAGATACTGCTCTTGAAAAGTGCTGCGATGCATGTGATGTGTTGTCTTCACTTGATGAGGGGCTTTCCTCTCCTCTTCACATTTTGCGAGTGCATAATACTACTGGTACTGGGATTCTCCGCCATTCCTTTTCGCTACTACTAATCGGTTTCCAAGGTTTACATCGCGTTCAAATTACGCCATAATTGGGATTGCCAGAATCGTGGGCGTAAGAGTTTTAATGGCAATGAAATGCGATGATCGATGCTGAGTAAAATTGGTCTGAAGCAGAAGGTGGATTCCGCTGATAGGCTGTCATCACGTCCTGATGATTGCCCTGACATTCCCAATAACCGTACTTTGTGAGGTTTTTCCAACATACTACCTGGGTAGGACTAAGCCCAACTACTACTGTTCTTCCAGTCAGTTGATTAATACTATTAGTAACATGTTCTCAGCTGTTTTGTTATCCGGGTGCACGTCAAACGGAACCATGGAATGAGCAATATATATCTGCTTTCTTTGCAATCCAATGAGTTAGAATCTCCGGTAGTGACTGCCCCTGGGCTCACTTGCCCAGGTATTGCAAACGCTGTCTTCAATGTCTCACAAACGGGGAATGGAACGACTTTCGAAGTTCGTGCAGGTTACATGGGATTGTGTATAGGCAAAACAGGCCATGAGCTCGATGAGACGCGCATCTGCTCAAGTAGCGCCAAAGCATTGGCTGCCTTTGTCCAGGCAGAGAAAAAAAAACAACCAACCATGGGAATACGAGTATTACCATCATGCCAGACCCGCTCAATTTGATCATGATTGCGGAAAAATCGTGTTCGATGGGTTGATGTGAGTTTAGCTTCATTTTGACATACGCGCTATAGTATATTAAATAGGTCTGAGCTTGAACAGATATGTGGTTATCGTGGCCTACGTTGAAGCGTTTATCCTCTTGTCAACTTTCCCAGGGTGGTATGAAGAGAGAGATGAGAATGGCTCTGACGTCGAAGTCAAGCCGTTTCCTTCTCGCCCGGTATCACAGTGCGTTTTACTCGCATTGATGCTCGGGTTCAGCCTTGGTGTTATCTCTATCCTATGGCAGCATATCAATAGTAGCTCCATGGCCGAGACCCTCAATTATGGCGCGGTATCGGGCCATATTGGAGTTGGTTCAATGGCACTTGGCTGGGCTGCAGCGGCCATCATTGGAATAGTTGGCTCTGCAATGCAGGTCGTGATTTCGAGTATTTCTCTAATTCGAAGGTTGACCGACGAGGAGTAGGTGAGAGGCATCAGATTGAGCCATGGCAGAGGTAACTTGGTGAATATTGTGCTTATGTTCCCGGCGGGAAGTACTCAATATCATATCCAATTTGAACCAGCCCGTGTCTTCGTGTGATATGCGGCATCTCAAGATTCGTATGTAGACAAATAGAAAAGAGGGCAAAAAAAAAGAACTCCGGAATTTTGGTCGAATATGTGGACTGCAAGACCACTCCGAGTGTCCGGTAGGTGATATGAAATTTCCCGCCAGAAGAAGTATAGAGTATCTTTCAGACCCAAGATGCGGTGGCTGATGATAGGTATTCTTTCGTAGTAAGCTTTCTCAATATATAGCTAACCGAGCGGACATAAAGACAACTATTGACGAACCGGCGGAAATTAGAGCCTGAGATTTTGGCAAAGTAAAGCGTATAAATGTGGACGTACCTTGAATCCCATCTGGGTGAGCCAGTCCTTCATTTAATTGATTGATATGAAGTGGGTTTGAGTTAGCTCATGACCTCTCTCGCATCGAATGGTCAAGTATCTTGTAATTCACGACAGAGATGGTAAAACATGACTGCCATTTGATCACAATCAACGATCAGAGATTAGTTGAAAGCCATATCGCGGTCAAAGCGACTCATCAAATCTCACAAAGGGTATTAGCCCAGTTCCTGTCGGCCAATACGAGCTGGGGCTAGATAAGACTGGACCTGCTGGGGCTAAGAACACGAACGGGGGCGGCCCAACCTGAGATGGGTGCTAGTGAGCATAGTTTGTACCGTCCCGGAAATGGCTCATCCGCTAGCTTCAATTTGAGCTCTGGCCAGAGCCCTAGACATATTGCGGGGCATAGAGGTCGACATACTGGTGACCATTCCAGGTCGACGAGCAGCAGACCCAAAAGCTAGGAAGGGGATGGGCGACCTAATAAGGGTTCTCCTTTGGCCTGCTCCGTATGGATATGTACCAGATGGAAGGCATTTACCCATTAGGTCCTGATGAAAATACAGTTCACGCAAACCCTAATGAGACCAGCGGGAATTAGCAAGGAAATCGTAAGCCGCGCTGTGGCATTGGCTGAAAATGTACCCATCACCAACCGGCGGAGCCATACCATGTACGAGTAGCATGTATCTTCGACCCGCACTACGGAGTTCTCTTGAACATCTTAGAGCCATTTACCCGCTACGTAAATCTCATCCACCCTGCACGAAATGGTGCATTGCGTGATCCCAACAAACAGAGCACGCACAACTCGTTGCATGATTTTCGTCTTGAGCTGGCATGTGAAATGGGTCTTTGATAGAAATGCAACAAAGATGTTGCCATAAGCCTCGGGCCAGGCACGATGCAAATCGAGATCGAGCTCCATCCGGTGAGACGGCAAGCCCAGAGATATCGGGGTGATTCCCGCTCTGGGTCGGGATGGACTTTTCTCAGCCGTGCCGACCAAATTCAATGATCACCATCCAAACACTCCGTTTTCAGCGCAAGAATTTTCCAGAAATTGCGCACAGGGCTATATTTCGAACTAGTTGGTTTAATTGACCTCTATCGGTGCTTTAGTGAGTGTATAGCCTATAGTTTTTACGAATTTCAAGTTACTTGATCCGTAGCAATCTCCACCTTAGCCGAGTTGTAGTAACCATAAACTCAGGCTACGTACCAAGTACTCGTATATGTACACCATGCTACGCAAAGTGCGGGAAGTATTATCGCCCCAAACAAGAAAGCGTAGAGTTTCCAGGAACCAGAACGAGCTGTGGACACACAGGGTCGACCCCGATCCAAAGGGACAACAAAGGAAAATCCGCGGGCGAAGGCAAGGGAAGTGGAGCGGTTGTGATCAGATCTGGGAGGCGGAAGAGCTGGGATCGATGGATCGAACGAATTGGTCAGGATCCAGCTGATGGCGGCCATGGCACCAAACTCTATCGAGGAAATCTTTCTTATCCATGGGTGGCTTGTCGAAGACTATCGGGGAACTGTTGTCTAGCGGAGCCTAAGGAGATTAGGATGGTCTATTTAGTCTACAGACATGACGATCTTAGCACACTAGCGCACCCGGGGAATTTCCGGAGCACCCACCGGGGGATTTGTGTGTGCCTGGGGAAAACAGGGTCAATCGAATCTTCTATGCAGCCTAAGGGGGGCCATGTGGCTCGAAAAACGTGAACGTTAGAGGAAACGGGGTTGGTGATTTGCATGAGACGTTGAGTGAGGGCACTATTGAAAGCCTGGTGTTTATTGGAACCCAATTTCTTTTTTCAACCAAGCCCTACTCGAGATGATGCAGGTGGCTCATCTATTGATATTGTTCTCCTAATTGCCGGTGGCGCACCCTAAATTTGGGGTGGCGGATTCATCCGCTTGGCTTCTCCTTCTCATGGGTTCTTTCCAGTGGCTACAGGAGGAGCTAGTAGGTTCATTTGAAGTCGGTGTGCGGGATAGCCCCTGGCCTTCAGTGGAGACAGGGATCAAAGGGGTAGTGGAGCTCAGTCGACTGGGAGGGCAAGTGGAGGAGCCCAAGCCCCTAAGCCCCAAAGCTCACAGACAAATCAGGGTGGTGTTTTTCCAATGTCATCATTTGAGTTCGGCCTATGACGATTTTTTATTTGTTTTCTTCCATTATTATTTTTTGAACAACCCCTGGAGGGTAGGCCTAACCAGTTCTTTCAGGGCCGCGTGGGTCGATCGACATTGTCGAATACCGCACGCTGGTTGGTCTTCCTGGCGCCACATCTCTCGTACCTTTTTTCTAACTTCGCGCCTCTCGGCACTTTTCTCAGGCGGGCGATGCAGAGACGATCCCCGACCCGCTCCGGAGGACTCTTTTCTATTCTTCCGAAACATGCAGTGACAAGAAGAAGGATATCAACTTGAAGCTTCAACCCCTGAAAACCAATAGGTTAGGGTGTGCTGTCTTTTGAGACACGTCAAAGCCGTCAAAGGCATCAAGCTAGCCGCGATCGCCCTTTGTGTTGTTTACTTTCCATAATGCCGGATGAGCGGAGCTCCCGTCCTAGACACCCAAGCTCTTGATCGACGGCATTATTGATGGGTCCCCGGAGGTATTCGGCCCTAGCGGGTCCTTATAAGCTCATGCTGAGCCAGCCACAGCACACGATCCCGTATAGTGATGAACCTTTGACTCCATCGCCCCTCCAGCTACACATGCTGATCCCAATCTAGTCATTTGGAAGATGTATTTGCTCTCATCGACCTGCGGAATTCCGGTGATCTCCGGTTCGATCTTCCGAACGCAGACAAGGAGAGATACGAGACACCCAACGCATTCACTGACTGGTTGATGCATTTTGATTAGGGTTTGCCGGTGCCTGAACATCCCAGTATATCTCACATCCGTCCGTGCAACTATGATGTACATAGAGTTGCTGTACTATGTACATACGTTACGATATGTGCTTTTGCTTCGAAACTTGATATGTACATGACATCGGCACGAGCACCATGTCATAGGGACACAAATCCGGCGAGGCAATAATGGACCCAGCTTCATTTCCCATGTCTTCCAGACCCTGATAGAATATCCACAGGGGCTCCTCTGATCAGGGTTTCTATGGAGTCCCGATTTTCTGGATTAGGTTTGACACGCTGGAGACGACTGGCCCACCATGGTACATTTGTCAATAACCACCTCCACGGAGGATGGAGTAGTGTATGGGTATGGGCGAACAAGGTGCCCACTGCGGCCTTTCCGGGTCATCTGGGCTGATTGCAAGAGACCCGCTGCTTTGAAAATCGGGAGTTACTAGGGCATACCCAGCAACGGAAGATCCTGAGGCGAAAACCTGGTCGTATAAGAGTCCTGGTGCCGCATTGAGTTTCCTTTTTCTTTCCTCATCCCTCACAGTCATTCTTTTAGTCAACCCGACTCCAGTCACTCTTTAGACATCTTTTTAATCGCATCACCATGAAGGCCTCTTTCGTCACCCTCCTGGCCATGGCCTCCGCTGCCATCGCCGCCCCTACTCCCGCTGGTCTTTCCGACCTGACCTCTGGTCTGTCCGGTCTGACTGACCTCACCAAGCTTGCCGGTCTCGGTGGTATCACCAAGGACCTTAAGCTTGGCGATATCACCAAGGAGCTGAACCTCGACAACCTGCCCGTTGTCTCCAAGCTCGGTGACCTCACCAAGGTCCTGAACCTGCCCACTCCCTCCAACGCCGACCAGTCCGTTGGTGAGTCTGGTCACCTCGTCCAGGACCTCGGCCCCGAGCTCAACAACGTCCTGACCGTCACCGGTCCCAACCTGCAGACCCTGCTCATCCAGCTGAGCCCTGAGGTCACTGCTCTCGTCTCCGGCCTGGGTCTCCCCGGCCTCGGTGTTCCTCTCGGTGGCGTTGTTGCCTCCGCCAGCGGCCTTGGTGACCTTGTCACTGGCCTTGGTCCCAGCGTTGGCGGCCTCGTCACTGTTCTCGGCGCTGATGTCGGTGCTCTGCTCATCGGTCTGTCCCCTGAGGTCGCTGGCCTCGTCTCCGGTCTCGGTCTCCCCACCGTCGGTATCCCCGTCGGCACTGTCGTCGCTGTCCTCGGCAAGAACGTCAAGCGTGATCTCCCCACTGGCAAGATCGTCGGTGACCTCGCTCCCCAGGTCAAGAGCATCCTGACTGTCACCGGTGGCAACGCCAAGCAGCTCCTTGTTGAGCTCTCCGCTCCCGTCACTGCTCTTCTCACTGGCCTCGGTCTCCCCACCGTCGGTGTCCCCGCCGGCAAGATCGTCAAGACTGCCTCCAGCGTCGGTGACCTCGTCAAGGACATCTCCGGCCCCACTGAGGACCTCCTCACCGTCACCCAGAAGGATGGCTCTGCTCTGCTGATCAAGCTCTCCCCTGAGGTCGCTGCTCTCGTCGCCGGTCTTGGCCTGCCCTCCGTCGGTACCCCCGTCGGCAGCATCGTCAGCACCGTTGGCAGCAACCTGTAAATTCGGACATCTTCTTCGTCTGAATTAGGCCTTTTTTACGCCGCAATGGAATAGCGTTTTGGGAGCCGTTGCGAATACCCCGCAATTATCTTGTGCATATTTTTGGACACTTGAAAGGGTGGTTTCTTGTATGAACTTCTGAAGACAGCATGGGACTTCTTTTGTCCCGTCTTCCCACATTTACTACTTTTTATTTTCTGTCCGGTCAATGACATTAATCTAATGTTAAGAGATCACACTCTACTTTTATTCTACTTGGATACCCTTTTATAGAGTGCAATGATCGAAAATGTAATTTTATTCGAATTTCAGAGCTGTCGCTTGTCTATATCCTTTCCTTATCTACTGTATCTCGAACCAGTAATAGTACTGCTTTTACCGTTTCTCGTCATTTCTCATGAATGTGTACCGAATAAATCTTGCGGCAATAACTTTAACCGATCGCCATTTTGCACGTCATGTTGTTCCAAGGTTGCCCACCTGACTTCACTGATGTATAACGGGCCTAAATAGAATATACTACTCCGTAATGTGTTTAGTCAATGCTATGAGGATACTAGAAGGATCCATGTACAACTTCTAATAGTACTACTACTAGTAGTACTAGATGGAACCTATTTCAAAGGTCCTTCGACTAATCAACTTCAACCCGAAGTCGAAGAGATCTCTCAACCTCGAAATGGCTCGATATCAATATGTATATGTAGCTTAATTAGCGCTGATATTGCCATGTAAAACCTTCGATAGCCTTGGCAGTGATAAAAACGCACATCTCTCGCGAAATTCGCGCTCCACTATCCGATTTGATTTGAAGACTCACCTCCTACGTGCTATGCGACTAGATCTTGGTTTTGTATCACTGCCATTGACTCGGTTGCTTTGCAAATGCGATCGTGCCTGGCCCATTTCACTGTGCACTGCAAGTGCTAGTAGCATTTTCATTTCCATCATCCATCCACTTTGGGAGCCTCAGGTGCTCTGGGGAGGAGGGTCACTCCCAAACCGGGGTGAACATAGTAGTATTCAAGTTGACAAGTAGAATGCACCTTGTATCATACTAGTACGACATATCCTAATACTAGTAGTAATATTGAGACTTTAGATTTCTGACATACAGTCAGCTGATTTGCAATTACTGTACAAGGGCACTAGCTACTCTCAATGACCTACCTACCCTTTAAAGAATTTAATGACTTTAAATGGTGGATTAGAATTACGGCGATCCGCCGGTGGCACTTTTCGTTATATCAAAAGAGGTAGATGGGTTCGCGACGGAGAAGATACTATAGAGGATCCAACTACTAACGTTGGTACAGGTATAAGGTGATACAATCCAGCCAGGAATGACACATGGTAGCCAGGAAATATTACAGAGGCTTTGGCTGCGCATAGGTACAAGCAAAGCAAATAAGATAGATAATCGTGTATATCTTCTGACATGCAAAGTTTACCCCTAGTGGTATGCAGAATATCCAGTGCCGGCCAGCGGCAGCCTAGACGCTGGCGCTTGCGTTAACACGCCGTAATTCGTGGCATAATTGTCCGACAGCATCGTATTCAGATGGGCAGACTCCTGCTCAAAATTCTCCAGGGGAATCGGAGGTCCCATTTCCGTGCACAGAATTGGAGGATATCTCGGACATATGCGAGACAGCGAGTTGCCCGAGGACGACAATTGATGCGATCTTCTTCGCCTAGCATCGGTGGATCGGGAGTTCCTTCTGGGACCGGAGGTGGGCAAGGAATTGTGGGACTCAAGAGTAGATCAAAGTTCTCGGACAGCACTTGGACGAATCGTAGCCCTACCTGATGGACGCGCTGGATATCTAGGAATGTAAGGAAAGGCAGGACGCTCGGATTCTCCAGCACTTGGTGAATCTGGCTGATGAAGTCCATGCACCGGTCGAACAGGATTGCTTTGCTATAGTCGCAAAGCACAGGGTATCGATGAGATGGCGAAACAAGAATGATGATGGTGTATAATAGTTCAAGTCGGTATAGAAGGGAGAAATGGTTGGGGGCGTTCTTAGGGCATTCGTGGAACCATTGACGAGTTTTGTAGCAGAGATTCCACGTCTGGACAAGTGGTTGCTTGGACTGTTCCCGTGAAGCATAATACATATCTTGATACCCAGCAGACAATATTTGCCGTATCTTAACGATGTGAAGGGCTGGCGCTGGGCTTCGCAGGAATATGTGGCTTTGTTCTGCGGGCGACGACCCATTCGATGTACTGGGGGAGGGCATGGCGACATCGACGGAGGCGTCGGAAAAGGAAAATGTCCGTTGGGTCGCAGTACTCATTCCTCTAAGTGGAATTTTAGCAATCAGGTTCTATCATAAAACTAATGGAAGACTCGGGATGGGGACATACCTGTCGAGACAATAGAGACAATGGAATACTCGCCGACGAATTTCGAGTCGGTCTGCGTTCGAATATACCTCCGCCGGGGGATCTTGATGGAGGCCTAAGTCTACAGCGACTCGTATAGCCATTCCTACCAAATGCCAGCTGCGGAAGCGCCCCGGGTCGACCAGGGCATACTGAGCGAGAAGGATAATGGCTTGGATACAGGTGATTGATCCTGGTCGAAGAACCTCCTCAGCATAATTCAATGCATCGGAGACCAGAGACAAAGCTTTTTGATGGCTTTTGTCATTGTTTTGATAAGAAACTGCAGCCGAGGCGATTGCAAGAACCATTCGCAGCATCCAATGGTCGAACGGCTTCGCGAAGCGGCCGTCAGATTGATAAACGGCATCCACAGATGTCCAAAAGCTCGTTTCTACAAAGAAAGGTAGCTGGACAAAGACGTTGTCAAAATAATACTGTAAGAGGGGTGTTGCCTCATGGCGTGCGGGCAATGAGCGGGGGAGTGCGGTGGGGGATCCCCCACTGTTGCGACAGATAGAAGCAAGTTGGCAAAAGTGGTTTTGGAAGTGATCCCATGGAAGTCGCGTGATGTGGCATTGACGGATAAGAAGCCAAAATCGCCGACGAGATCATCAATATCAGAGACCTCACGGCGATGGGCGGGGGCTAAGGGGCCAGCGGAGGAGGTTGAGGTGATGGACATTTCCCGGGCGACGCCATTCCCTTCAAGCGAGAGGGAGGATTGGCGATCTCGCAAGTGGGAAATCTTCTTCTCCAGCTTCTCGCAGTAGCCCTCCAGAGAAGCCACATAGCTGCGCTCCTTACCTTTGGCAAATTCGTCGCTGGCGCCGGAGCAGGTACTCGCCTTGCCGACCTTATCACAGGCCGAACAGGCGGGGAGCTTGCCATCACACTTAATTTTGGCGGTGCGGCATCGCGAGCAAGCAGCGACAGGGCGGCTGACCTTGAGCAACGGGTTATCCAGGAAGGTGGTGGCTGTCGGCATCCTGGCTGTTCATGCTCTCGTATTTGCCTGAACGGAGTAGATGGGATGCCTCGAAGATTCCAGGATGGGACTGGGGGGTGTGGTGAGATGTGGATACTCAAATCGTACGGAGAGCCACTATGGGAATCCTTGGTTAGCGGGCAGATTCACATTTCTCTTCTGTCGTGACTGCTCTTGGGCCACTCTTGGGCCACCCTTTGACCCTTTGACCCTTTTTTGCGGGAAACCCCCACCGGATCGCCGTTAGAGACTCACATGATGAGGAGCAAGTCAGTTATCCTTTTTTATTATTTTCTTATGATTTTTCCTTAATTGTCTCTGGGGACCGTTGCGCTTGTTGTTTAGCCCCTCTTAGGACCTGCATAAGTCGCAAAGCGGTAAGCGAGGATTGCTGCAGGCCGATATTAGTTAACTAAGTAGGCAAGCCTTAACCGGAAGGCAAATAGAAATGAAAGTAGAAAATAGAAAAAAAAAAAAAAAAAAAAAAAAAGAGGCTTGGAATTGACACTGAAAGGATTCTTTGTGATCCACTCTTCTTTAGAAAAGGAAGAGAGAGAGAGAGAGGGAACGAAGAAGCTGGAGAGAGTGGTCATAGTCATAGTCGCAGTCACGTTTCCCGGGACACACTGGGACACGCAACTAGGAAGGTGCGATGGAATGTGAATGCTCCTGCTTTCACTGCTCCTGCTCCTGCCATCCGTACACTTCTACACTTCCAGTGAATCATCATAGCTCAACCTCTCTTCTTCTCTCTTTCTCTCTCTCCCTCTCTCCCTCTCTCCCTCTCTCTTCCCAATTTTAATTCCAGCTTGAATGGTTCCACCATTTCAGCTGCCACTGTCCATTTACAACCCACCTGGAGCCTCTAAGCTACAAATCGCATCGCATCATATCACCCGCCTATCTTTTTCCCCCACTCCCCGCCCTTCCGTCGCTTCCAAACTCCAGTCCCCGTCGATCTAGATCTGGACCGAGGCCACAACTCTCCCTCTGCCCTGCCCTGCCCTGGTGTCCCACCATGTCCTGTTGATAACCCCCCCCCCTTGAGACGTTTCCGACCGTTGGATTACCCGACTTTGAGGCGCTTTCACTTTACCTCTTTTCCACTCGGACCCCACACACCCCCCCCCCCCTTCTTCCCGACGGATCATGTCGACTCTGCCAAGAGCAACTGGTGGATCGATTAAACGTGCCGTGAACGGTCTCATTCTACACCATCTGTATCGCATGTGACCTGCTTTTCTTTCTTTTATTCTCGCTGCGGGCCCTGGGCTCAAAGGTCATCCACACGCCATGACCCAGAGCGCGCATCCTGCTTCAGCCGAGCTGTCGCCCGAATCCCCCCTCGTTTGAGCCGCCCGACGGTCGCATCGCGCACACTTTGACGGCCTGCACCAGGTGTCGACAGGTACGTTGTCGATACTACCTTCCAAGACCTTCCCGTGCAAACAAGCTCAACCCCCACGGTCCACATACTCGCGATCGAGACCGAGATCGAGCTCCAGATCCGGATCTGATCTGATCATGATCATGTTCGAACCCCATCCTACGAATCCTTGCTAACAATGCTCTGTCTCCCGTAGCGGAAATCCCGATGTGACCCTGGTATCCCACGATGCGCCCCTTGTGAACGAAGCAACGCCAAGTGTGTCTATTACGACTCAACGAGAGACACGACTATACCAAGAACCTATATCGTCTCGCTGAGAGAGAAAGCTCGAGCCCTCGAGAAGGAGCTTGCCCGGGCCGAGAAAGACATCCAGCATGCCGCCGACGCCGAGTTGATGGTGCGGGGCGCTGGTCGCATCCGTTTTAAAGACAATGACGAGCCACGATACTTGGGGGCCTCGAGCGGCATCGCCATCACTCGATTGGTCATGGAGATGGCCAAGCAGAACACCGACTCGAAAAGCATCAAAGACGTGGTGCCCGAATTGACTGCTCACGAAATCAAAGCGGCCTTCGCGCAGGAAGACTCGAAGCCGACATCCAAAGTCTATCCAATGATCAGCTCAATACCCCAAGCCAATCTGCCCCCACAAAACCTGACATACAAATTGATCGATCTCTTTGTGGCAAAAGGTACTGCAAGGCCGCAAGGCAAAATATTGGTATAATGCCATGGGTTGCGCTTGTAACTAACTTTTACTAGCACAAGCACTTCTCCCGACTTTACACGAACCGAGCTTTCGGCAGGAGGTTGAAGAGGTCTTTAGTGGCTCGACGGACCCGTGTCATAACTTTCAACTTCGAATGGTCATTGCGATCAGCATGCAAAAGCTTAGCCCCGACTATGCTGGTCTGGCGGACAGCTACTACCTGGCAGCTCTTCCGTATCTGGAGCCCACTCTCAAGCAAATGGATTTGAGAGCCCTACAATGTTTAGTGCTAATTGCTCAATACTCCATGCTGACCCCAACGCGCACAGCTGCATACTGGGTTGTCGGAACAGCCGTGAAACTATGCCAAGAGTTAGGGTTGACGGAAGAAGCTACAATTACCAAGTCCTCTTCTGGTCAAAGTTTCGATCCTTTGGAGATTGATATGCGGCGGAGATTGTTCTGGATCGTTACGTCCATGGAATTTGGGCTTTCTCATAGTCTGGGCCGTTCCAGTTGCTATAGCGTCACTCACGACAATCTCGACGTAAAATTCTTCGAACTGGTGGATGATCGATATATTACGAGCGAAGGAATCATCCCGGGGGCAAAGCCAATCATCCCAAAATGTCTTGCCGTTCATTTCTTCAAAATGCGATTGCTTCAGCTGGAAGGACGACGAGAACTCTACCTCAACCGGCGAGACACCCCTGTCGATGATCAAGATCCCTGGTTTGCCCAGATGAATACCAAGCTCGATCACTGGATGGCAACTTGTCCCAAACATGACGATGGCAGTGGCTTGAATATCAAATGGTATCACATGTCTTTTCTTCCATATGTATCCTTGGGATTTGACTAGCTAACAAGCATTTCTCTTCTGTTCTCCAGGTTTCAAGGGCGGCGGAACACAATTGTCATTCTCATGTACAGACCATCACCTCAAATCCCAGAGCCTTCCGTGAATGCAGCAAAGATCTGCTACGAAGCTGCCACCTTCAATATCGCTATGCACCGAGAGCAGATGCTTACCGGCTCGGTTGATCTTACTTGGATATTCACCCAATCACTTTTTATGGTCCTCAATACCGTTCTCTGGGCACTTTCATACCCTGAAATTCGAAAGGAGCACCCCGAAGATGAAGTACAAGGGTACCTGGATATGGCTCTGGAAGTCATTGTCTTTGCTGCTGAACGGTGGCCAGGTGTTCAGTCCGCTTTACTCCTCTATAAACGGCTTGTCGCCGCCTGCTTGAAAGCATACAACACGGAGGAGTCGTTCGTCGTGCATTCTCCTTCTAACCACCCAACTCCCACATCTTCCCAAGGTGTCATGACACCCCCAGCCATGTCCAGCCCATCCAGTACTACGACAGCATCCTTTTACTCTCATTCGACTTATCATCATAACAACCCTTCTATTGGCGACACTTCATCAACCGGTACCTTGTCAAGAGGCCATTCTGCCGATCCTTCGATACCATTCCAACAGCCGACACCTCCAACTTTCACCACCGACCCATTTAAGACTCCGCCGATTCCTGCCAATGCCTCGTCTTTTCGAATGCAGTCAATTTCTCATGACCCAGGAGAGGCTGAACAGCTCACAACTCAAGCCTATTGCGCACCAACGACTCACTATCCAGATGTGTCTATCGATCCCAACACCCCTTATAACACGATTCCTTCGGTGGTCCCTGGGCTACAAGGCTGGGATCCTCACTTCTCCCTTGCCTCTACGACCGCTGGTCACCTAGCTTACGTGGATGCCACTGTCGATCCGATGCAATGGACAACCTCTATTGGAGACCAGTATTCTCAGTATTTTAATGAGCCCTTCCCAATACCAGCATGGCGGGAACGCACTTTAAGTCAACAGGAGCAGATTGAATTGATGGCGTCATTGGAGCACGACATTCCAGACGTCTCTGCCCAGTTGGTTCGCGAGTCAAACGCATTTTACCAGTCATGATATCTCTGAACGTCTTTGGGATTCTCTGATTATCCTCCCATTTAAAGAGGCATTTGTGAGTTAATGGGGTATCGGCGATATGGTTCCGTGTTGGCTTTGTTTTGAACTCACTGGATTTTTCTTTCTTTGGACTGGCTGATCTCTTTGACATATACCTATTTTTATCAATGCTAATAGAACCCATGGCCAATTTGGTCTGTTCTAAATCCTAGAATCAATTCCTAGAATACCAGAAAATAGTCCTTTGTATTTGAATACTAGTATATAATGCCAAAAGGGGTGTTATTCCCTTCCTTGTATGCGTTCAAGCTAAGAAGCTGCGAGTCTGCATGATTCTCCTCTCTGCCGTTACACAGTTTGTCAAAGCTAATCAAATTATACTTGAATATGAACGATTTATCCTTCGTGAAGGTTACATTTGTCATTCAATGTATTATGCTCTGTTATGTGAAACTTTTACATCCAAGCGTTGGCGGGGATCGGGATCCCGATCCCGATCGCCAATCATTGGAAGGACTCATAGTTATGCGATACGACAGTGATCAGCCTAATGAAGTTCAAATCAACCTAGGCAGAGGTGTGTGGCATATCAAGAAATATTTCTACCGGGTGAAAGTAAATTGCCCTAAAAGAAAGAAGACATGAAAGGCATCAAAAGAATACTCCTACCCCTACTAGTACTGCTTTTGGCCAAAGAGAACCGGAACCGTCTCACCAGTTGTCTTGTATATTATTTTAGGGAGTATGGGATTCTTAAAAGACAAAAGAGGCATCTTTGAACCCCAATAAGATCCTATAAAGACCTCACGGGGCCAAAGGGCATTGTCGGGAGTACTGTACAGTGTAAATTACCTAAAGCCGCCTTTGGACGGTCAAGGCCCGAGGATGGTCACGTTACCTGTCGCCGGGCCGTTTGCCTCCATCTCAGCGCCGTCTTCGACCTGCATCTCGACCAACCCCTCCTCCTCCGCCCGCTATCCCATCAACCAACCACTCGATTCCCCCCGTGCGGAGTTTCTTCGGTTGTTTGGAATGCATATGACCTGACCAGGCCGTCGCACGACCTGCTCGCCTGTCGCCCGAGCGACCAACAGTTGACTGGCAGCCCCCTCCCAAGTACCAGCGCCAGCGCTCGTGTCGAAGCCTGCGATACGGGACTAACATCGGTGGATCGGAGTCCATCTCAGCTTGGAAGGCGCCTGTGGATTGATCATTCACCAGGATCTTCATGTCTGAGCGCGATCCCTCAACAACCTTCCGAGCCGGACCTCCTTCACCCTCTTCACCCGCTGCCGGGCTTCTCAAAGAGAACCGCCAGCTCCTCATCTCTTCGGATCACATCCCCCAGACCCCGGTATCACCTCCGTTGATGTCGGTCAGCGATTCAAACCATGTCTCCAACTTTACATCCTCCCAAACATCACCGAATCAGGCGCCCTCTCAACCTCCAAACACCTCATCTCCTCCTTCATCCGCGCCGATGTCAACCCAAGTTTCCCAGCAACCGACTATGAGCACTACAAACTCATTCCCCACCCCTGCGAGTAGTGTGAGTGGGCAACATGTGAATGCGACATCTGGGGAGGACGCAGATCACAAATCCTTCAACTCCATAGCGCAGGACTCAGCACGGACCGCGGAAACCTCAGATCAACAAAAAACAGAATACAGACGAACAGATCACCAACGGCAACCTTCAATGACAGGCACAGGAGCAAGTGTGAGGGACTTTGCCAAGGAACAACCCGACGGAGATGCTATGGACGTGGATAACGAACCTGTGGTACGGAGCGAGGCCCAGAACCTCGGCTTGGATTCCCTTCAGAACGATTTCACTTCGGCTTTCCATCTCTGCAAGAGCTGTAAGAATTCCCCAAGTTTGGTTATGACTGCCACAGGTGCAGTTGCGTGATTGCTCTGCCCTTTGCACATTCTTGAAATCAAACTTATTAACGCTATCTTTCTATTTGCTTAACAGTGCCTACTGTGACTGGACCCGATCCATCCTTGGATCTCGTTTCCCTCTATGGGCTCGGCTCGGTCGCGCAATCGGTAGCACGGATAGACCCCAACACGGGCGAGAAAATCAATCGGTTAAGAAAATCCTATGAAGGAAAGTTGAAAGGACTGGGACTGGCCGGACGAAACAAACCAGTCAAGCATGATGTTGCAGGAGCACCTGGCACTCTCAGACATCTCACAATGTGGCCGGAGGAAGAGTGGCAAAATCAAAAGGTCTTTGGAAAGCAGATCAAGGTCTCGGACATTGATAGCGCTCTGCAGGGTATCCAGTCCCGGGCAATGCAGCTGGAGCCAGGGATGGTACCAAACAATGATTTCTGGGAGGATATACTGGGCCATGAAAAGCCTGCCAAAAGCCAGGGCTCTGCCGACACTGGTAAAAAGATGGCCGCGCCCACCCCAGGCAGCCGCTCTGCCCTCCCGGCAAACTCGCCCGCATCGGGAATGCAGGATTCCGAGCGGCCCCGGGCCAGTCGTGGTCGAAAGAGACATTACGATGACAACAGCTTCGTTGGCTACGGCGAAGGCTACGCGGATGATGATGATGATACCGGATTCTACTCAAATGGCGAGGGAACCGGAAAGAAGAAACGAAAGAAGGTATGAGGCCTTTCGACTGAACTCTCGCCTGTTGTCATCAGAGCCTATGTACTAATTGAATGGATAACAGGATCATGTTTCCAAGGTCTCCACTCCTCTTTCCGAAAGAGGTGGGAGCTACGGCGTGGGCATGTTCGGAATCGGTGCAAGATGAAGACGTCTTTTGGTTCCAAAAAGCAGGTTTACTTTCATGTCATGTCTTTCTTCTCATATCGACGAGGGCGTGGGCGAGGGCGATCTGATGTCCCGACGAGCTCAAGACCCCCTTATTCTCTGTTTGATTGACCTTTTTTCTTTTGCTCTTCTCAGTACATGTTGCATCACGGTGCTGGATATACCCGGCTTCATCAATCGGACGGCGTTTTTCTTTTTGCTTTTGCTTTCTCTTTTCTCATTGGGGTGGGAAATGAGTATTCGAACAGGAATACGATTTATCAATGTTCTCTTTTCAGGTCTGTCTTCTCCCTGCTGTTCTCTATGTGTTGTTCCCTGAAATTTCCACCGCTGTAATGGTCGGCTTTTTACACTTTTTGCGCAACTGGTTCATAGTTATCCGAAACTTTTTGTTTGTTGTCTGCGTGATTCTGCCGATGAGTGTCCTAGGTATTATTGCCGCGCTAGCTCCGAGAGGGTCTAGGCTGGTTTGAATCAGTGAATTGATTGAATAGATAAAACCTATCTCTCCGCGTAGAACGCGTAAGCCGGGTAGAATCTAGCACTTTCCAGGTAGCCACTGCCAGCTTTTAGGCTGGTGTGTTGGGAGGTATTAGGCGTAAGAAAACCACCGCCTCGAGGCCGAGATGTCCTTATCCGCCCACACAATATCTCGGGGCCCGATCAGGTTGGATTAAGGCATCATACGTGGCGGAGGCTTTGTAGTCTTGGGTGTAGCTTGTAATTTGCTCGCTAGTTCCTCAATGGTTGACATTGCGCCGACATGCGTCCCCGAGCCCTAAGAGCCCAAAGTATGGTAAGCCATTTAAGCTACGGCCAACCCCCGGTGGCTTGAAGAAGCAAGATTGAGAATGAGAGACAAAATCCGAGGTAGCGCTAGCAAGCCGACAACCGGAATCTCCTCGTAGTGGGCAGCTGGAAGATTCGATGCTCGCTCTGAATTTCCTGGCGGTCGAGGCTCTCGGTCCGTGGCGCCACACACACTTGCGCCGAGTCGGCCAAAGATGCCTGTTTATTCGTCGGAGCGGAGAAAGACTAACTTGAATTTGGAATCACTGAACCACCAAATTACTCTAGACATCGGTAAACAGCATCATCATGCAGTGTCAGTGAGGTGTGCTATCTTTGTGGAGCAAAAACGTAGATTGATACAGTGGGAAGTCGGTCCGATTTGTATACTTTTGTACAAGAACCGGCCTCCTCCGAACAGATCAATCCATTGCATAGACTCCGAGTCCTTAGACGAATAAGACCTTCTTTACAGCGATTTTCATCATTACATGCCTGTCATTTGAGGCTCGGGAGCCGACAACTGACTCGGGTGTCCTATTTTAACGAAGTCGGCGATGCCGAGAGACTCTAAGCCAACTCAACGTGCGTGGCTGATTGTCTATCGAGCATCCGGCCAATGGAACATGTTCTTGCTCCGAGCTGCAGCAGTCCTGGAGGTGGGTGTTGGTACAGAAGGTGGAAACACAAAGGGAATCTGTCTCCTGAATCGTAACTCGGCACATTTCTTGAGGTCATATAGTTAGGATCGACATTTTCAAGAGCCATGATAGGTGGCTTACGATCGTACACAGATGCAAGATTGTCCACATTTGAGCCATGTTGAATACCATCTAGCTGATTTCGGTGATAGCTCCCGAGGTCGGTAAGATTCATAATATGCGCGGCTGGGATGCCTTATTCCTGGGGAGGGTTTAAACTTTTTAGCAGATTTATAAATTTGCTGATTGTCGCTATATATTCGCTCTCATTCACGTCTTGTCATATTTTACCAAGGTCTGTAACCTATGCCGCTTGCCGGACGGGCGCTATATCGTTGTCTACGTATGGCTGTATACAAGAAGGGAAGTTTGCCAGGAAGCTTAAGTAGATGGGAAGCGGGCTATACGCTCAAAAGCTTATATTGACAAAATGTGGCTACTAGATGCTCTGTACCGTTCTATGCTGAGTACCAATCATACTATCACGATGTGGGATACTGCTATTGTAAAAGTACCTGAAAAGATTACTGTAGGAGTGTATAAATACACGATATACAGCACAACGGTTAACTTATGGTGAATAGTCAGTGTGGTTTATTATTATTTTAAGTAGATGAAAGTAATTCTCGATATACAGCCGACGTAGTATGTCTTGCCTATCTTGAGAAGTCGGAGATGTCAGAATAAGAGGTACTGTTTCATTAATTCTAGAAAATAGGTTTTTATAAATATAGCATGACCTTTTTATTTACCTAAAAAATATCGATGTAATGATACATTGGGTATTAACTCTGAGTATATAGATAAATTAATCAAGCTCTGATCTTGAGTGGTTTATTAATGCTAACGGTAATTTACCGAGGACAGATACAGAATTTGAATATCCAACCCACACTTACGAGGTCTATCTAACTAGGGCGGCCAGACTTAAGGCCTTATCTCTTAATCATATATTTCAAAGGGAGGCCGGGTCGAGAGCGGATGTCGTTGACTTTTAATTCGGTGGTTATCACTAGTATTCTTCTTTAAAAGTTGAATATCCAAGGTAAGGCTTATTTTCTCTTTTTCAAATTATCAAAGAAGTTATGGCTATTTATTCACTGTCAGGTAATCCCCAAAAGCAATTTTTAGAAACAGTCTTCTAAAAGCTCTGAACCAAGTACAGTGTGTACGGTCTAGACTCTCAGGAATGTACAAATACACAGAGAGCCGACCTTCTTAGGCGAAAACTTCTCGATTCTTTGGCATTTGTTTGCGCGACACGCAAAGGTGGCGCCAATGTGTCTTCAGCTTGCATAGAAGAGAATTAGTCTGGGGGAACTATCGTCAGACTTACCTGCAGCATTTTGAACGATTTTACTGAAACTCATGTGGGTCAGATTGCCTAAGTTCTATTACAATATAATGGAAAGAAGAAAGAACCGAGGTTAGTGCGCAAAAGGGAATGCTCAAAAGAGAATGCTCAAAAGTTAGACAAAATGATTTACGCCCACCTTTGAATGTATGTATGCGAGAGACATTTCCATGCCTTACGCATTAACAACGTAAATTGAGACTCACTGATTCATGCGAAGATCCTTATACATGGTGTGCAGATACTCAGCATATACTCCAATCCTGAAATTTGGTGCTCAATTTTACATATAGAATATAGGGACCTGTGAAGATGACGCCGAAAATGACCACTTTTGACGCCAGAAACGGCTGCCTTTTCACCCGTCATCGAGAAGATTGGCCAGAACGCATACAAACTGAGGTTGCCGGATTCGACTCGCGTGCATCCGGTCTTTGCAGCTGAGAAATTGCGTCGCGCTGCACGCAGAGAGCCTCTGCTCAGGGCAGATCCAAGACCTGCCACCGCCAGTCGTCGTTGACGAGGAGAATGAATGGGAGTTCGACAGGATTATCGCTGTACGCCTGCGCTACCGCAAATCTCAGTATCGTGTGAGGTGGCTTGGTCAAGGAGATGAAGATGATGACGCATGGGATCCTGCAAGGAATTTCAAGAACGCGCCAGAGAAAATCATGGAATTCCATCGCTGTCACCCAGATCAACCAGGGCCGCAGAAACGGCTAGCTTTGTGGGCAGAAGCCGCGCTGAATGACCAGTTTGAACCCGATCATCCTGATGGTGATAGACCTGATGCCGTGTACAGACCTGGTGGGCCAGGTCCTCTTGAGGAAGAGGGCAATGTGACGGTCTGACAAGATGTGACTGAGAGAGCGGGCAATGGGAGGTTGAGGTTGATGCAAGATGGAAGTTTGGCGTAGAGACAAACAGGACAATCGTCGGCTGGGATAAACAGGAATCCCCCATGATTCCGATCTCTCCTTCTTTCTCTCTCTAGCTTCGATACTTTCGTCTTTGGTACCGAATTGATCTCCTTTCGCTTGACCTGTAACACATTCTTTCTCTAGCTCACACAGAATGATACATGTCACTAGCCTTACTGGCAGGATTCTGGAGGCGAGGAACGATGCGTAGCATCGTTCCAGTATCAAGTGTGAAGTGTGAAACTGTGCTAATCAGTAAGTCGCGTGATAAATCTAGGATAGAGTGACTCACCTCAAAACACAGTAGCTGACGGCCCATCAGGCCTCCCACTACTGAGACAATTAGGAGGGCGTTCGAGAGCATGAAAAGATAGCAGAAAATGTGTCGAAGTAACGATCGGGCTGGCGAGCGCCGGTCGATTCTCGCAGTTAACCTCCAGTAAGAAAATATGCAAAGGTTGTCGTTGGTAAGAAGAACGAGTATTGCCAGCCACAGCGGGAGATGGCGATCGGGGTTACAGTGGGTTAGGCAAGATTGTATATAGCCACCGAGAGCAAACAGAAACTCTACAGGCCAAATGATAAGGTTGTGGGAGGTTATAGGTGGATTCTGACTGCGATGTACGGCATAGATTGATCAGCGCAAGCTGAGAGCCAAGGCACCCACACCCACGCACTTCATAGACAGAGAACAAAACACAAATCAGTCCATCGAGAAATCGCCTCATATCCTCGTTGCTATCAAACAAGTGCAGCGCTGCCACCGTCACTTGGCTTGAGCCGGCCACCGCTATGACAGTATCATGCCAGGCGAACTAAAGTAAGCTGGATAGATCTTTATTTGGATGCTCGAGCAAGTGACCGAATGACTGGGCCGTAAGGACCCAGCACGCAGCGTCTCCCTTGTATATCGGTATAACAATGCAGGGGCCACCAGCCACTTTCGAAGTCAAGAAATTCATTTTCAAACTTATATACTTCCTCCCACGAGGCTAATCCACGATCACGGCCGGAACTTCTCAGAAATAACTTAGCGACCTTTAAGCCATAACTGTGTTAATAGCCGACAGTCTCCGTGGTTAATTACCACCCCTCAACAATGAATCTCAAGATATCAGTTGTACTTCATCACAAATTCAATCAGGGCCTTGTCTACTTCGTTCGGATGAGAGCCACTCAAGAAATGAGCCCCAGCTTCCACCGTCACTAACTGTGCATCCGGAGAGTTCACGAACATCTTGATCTCCTCTTGAGCGTTTGCGATCGAGTACACCACGTCTTTGGTACCCTATACATCGCAAGATGGATTTAGCCAAAGCCTTCTCTTGGCAAGTGGACATGAAGCTGTCCGACGGTAGAAACTTACGTGTAGCCACAGCACAGGACACCGAACATCGGACAGGCGGGAATGCAGTCCATCTCGTTCAGCAAGGTTAATGGCCGCCATCCGGATACGTCGACGACCGTCATCGCCACGATAGTTGGCCTTGATCGTCTTCCGCCAGAATTCGCGGAGCTCCGGGGCGCATTCATTGAAACCAATGTCAATAAGGAAGTCACAGTACCCGGTGTCCGGCTCAAAGTCTTGAGAAGGCTCGTTTGTAGTCCACTTCGTAATATTGGGGCGCAGGAGCCCGGGGCCATTCCAGCAATTAAGCTGGCGTGTGCGCTCAGATTCGTTGTCCAGCGAGGTTCCAAGCGGGATGATTCCTTGGATCTACTGGACGTTTGAGATGGGGCCATGTCATACTCGTGTGCCTATCTGGGATTCACGTACCTTCTCCGGTCGCATAAGCGCCATTCGAACAGTGATCCAACCACCTTGGCTCGTACCGAGCACAAAGGCCTTTTCAATGCCGAGGGCATCCAAGACCTGCAAATTCATCTCCGCGGTATCCCAATAGGTCCAATTCTCACGCTTGGTTCGTGTTTGGCCATGGCCAAGCAGTTCTATGGCCAGTAGATTCATGGAGTCCGTCAACGCTTTGTCATCATATTGTTTCTGGTAGAGATCCACGGAGGTGGTGAAGGAGTTGACGAGAACAAGCGTGGGCTTCTTTGCATCATACGGGTAGGGCATATGATAGGAAGCATCGATACCCCCCAAGTGAGGGACTCGTACAATTTGCGTAGGAGACATTATGCCTGTCAGTTGAGCCTTGCGTGGTCCGTATGATAAATATGATAAAGGAGAAGGCGTTGAAGTGGAGAGTCTACCGAATATTCAGTTTGCAAAGTTCAACTGGGCTCTATATACTCGCCCGGGAGCGGGCTTCTAATGGTCCAGTCAAGCGGAAACGCCACCCGGACAAATGGAATGGTTAAGATGTCGAACCGTCGAACCGTCGAACCGGGATTTGGTTGTGACCGGGGAGTTAGGCTGGTGTGGGGAAGTAGCTTAACTGAGCGTGCCAGTCGGATGCGATCGTCTCTTTCCTTCGCCGAAAAGAGCTGGGTTTCTGCGAAACTGCCAATCATTCCCGGAAAAGACAGCGGGAAATGCGAGTGGGGAGAATTGGAGTCTCCGGGGAAAGGCTTCCTTACCACGCATTACCCTCGGTTGGATCTGAAAGAGAATGCCTGGCGATTGCCCTTCGATAACTGCAGGGGATGCATGTATCCTAATTCCACGAGCGCCCATTCAAACCATGTCTCCGTCCGTGCCGCAGTCGAATAAACGGCGCAGGGCCACATTGGCCTGCCAATCTTGTCGGCACAGGAAATCCCGGGTGAGGACGCAGTCCGCCTCGATTCGAATGGTGCCTGAAAGCCAGCCGGGCTGACCGGAATCTCATCTAGTGTTCAGGTGATCGGCCATGTGCCCTATGCCGCGAACTGGAAATCGAATGTTTGTATTCCGAGGGTGCTGGTCCGAATAATTTGACCTTGAGAAAAAGGTGAAGAGCATTCAATTCCCCTCCACTGCCATCGACAGGTCTTTTGCGAGCGATCTGTAGGCGACGATGTTAACAAATGTCCAAGCTATATCCTGGAACTGGAGCAGCGACTAGAGAAGATGGAAGCATCAATACGGCAGCTCCAGGACCATAGTTCATCGGCGCCCATAGACGGCAAAGAATCGAGTGAAGGCCCGAGTAGGGGGTCAGAAGACCCATTGAAAGATGTACAGGACTCTTCAACTGCCTCAGCAGCAGCACCAGATCCCAGGGGCGAGAATACAACAGAGCCTCTGAGAGAAATTGATGTATCTGAGAGCTCGGTAGACGGAATGGGAGCGCTTCAGTTTACAGACGAAGAGAATTGCGGTTTCTTCGGTATGCTAATTGTCTACCTATATGGGATTGTTGGTGGCACCCCTGGGCGCTAATTGTGCAAGGGTCTTCTTCTAATATTGCATTTCTGCGGTGTATATCCCGAGCGATAGCAAAGACAAGTCCGCATAGGGGACCCGGCCCTGGTCCCGTCCTCGTCGCAGAGGACCTGTGGGACGGTCAACGGTGCCAAATCCCCATCTACGGGCCGCCCGGTGAGTGTTGAAAACATTAATTTGAGTGCGGCAGTCAACATCTACGCTCTACCAAGCGAGGAACGTACGTGGAGTCTTATTCAGCAGTACTTCCATAAGACCGGACAGCTTCTGCCTTTTATCCATGAAAAATCATTCTGCGAGACATACTTTCAGATGAAGAAGGAAAGATTTCGCAAGGTTCGTAGAACCTGGCTCGGTCTGCTCAACATCGTCCTTGCTATCGCAGCAAGTCTGTCAACCAAAGGTGACATGCCTGCGGAGAAACGAATACAGGAATCCGATGTGTATTATCAAAGAGCAAATGGCCTCTGTGATCGAGATTCCAAACGGAATGCCAGCTTAGAGATGGGTGAGTGTCGATGCAGGAGCTGACCTTGTTCTTCGCAGTATGTCAACGAGCTAATTCCGATGCAGTGCAATATCTCCTAATCCTGGGTCAGTACCTACAAGGTACCCAAAAGTCAGTGCAAGCTTGGACGGCACATGGGTTGGCAATATCTGCGGCGTATCAATTAGGTCTACACTCTCCAGATGCAAATCGGGGATTTCCTCCAGCGGAATGTGAGACTCGTAAACGCACCTGGTTTGGATGTGTCCTTCTTGACCGGTGAGGACAGCTCTTTATGAGGTCTTGCGCATTGCGTTGATTCGGTCATTCTAGTACTTTAAGCATGACTTTTGGTCGCCCGTGTACCATACCTGAATTTTACGTGAAGCTGGAAATGCCCTCCCAGGACTTGCAAATGTTGAGCTCGCCCGCGGAGTCTAATACTTATCGAATGTTGGACGGCTCTTTTTTTTACGGCTGCAGTGTGAGCTCTGACTTGATTTTCCATGTAAATTGGAAGACAGTGATCTTTCGCTAATAATATACAGAAAGCTATACGTTATACTTTATAACGTGCTCGAATCGTGCTACGGGGCCAATTTAGGGTTCGAAGTTTCCACGAGCCCTATAGACGCCATGTCCGGGATCCTCGAAGGGCAGCGCCAGCTCGATGAATGGCGACTTCAGCAGTTGCCCTCCCTGGGCCTGAAAGTATGCGACAGCCCCTTAAGTCTGGATGACGTTGAGAAGATGGATACTGGCTCGATAATCCGCCATCGATTCGAGGTAGTCCTCTCCGTGCGCTATAATAACCTTCGAATCCTGGTGCATCGCCGCTGCTTAGAGAGCCTCCTCGACCCAGTTCAGACACAAGGCGACACGCTGGCGACGTCTGAAACGCGGCTGCTTCAGCAAATGGGTCTGAGCAGCGTCATTAGCTGTGTTGAATCTGCTATGTCGATTATCTCGATTGTACACAATATGTCTGCCGGTAGTGGCTGGCGACGTGAGTTCTTGGGTGCATGGAATTATTCACTCTATTACAGTAGGTGGAGTTCTGTTATATTTGACTTCAAGGAAACTGAAGCTGATGTAACACAGCCTTCAATGCAGCACTAGTTATTTTCGGCTCCCTCATCGTGGCATCGAAGGAGCGTGACCGCAACCCGTCAGCCTGGATCATGGTTAGCCATTCCCGGCCCTGTATTGACACGGCGGCTGAAGCACTGCGTCAGCTTGACCCGGGAAACCCTGTTGTTGAGCGGTGTCAAGAATATCTTTCGCAGCTATCTGCAATATTGGATCCTCTCAGTTAGTTATCCCGCACAGATGCAAACTGCCTGCCATTCCAAGGCTGGCCCTGCCCACGCTTCAGCAATTGTCTCAAAAAACCGCTAACAGCTCTCACCTGCACAATGCACAGTTTCTGAAGAGCCATGTTTTGATAATAGGCTTGCTTTCGACTTTCCTACCGAATATTCAACCGGGCTCTTTTCTCTTCACAGCTCCGACTTGGTACCCCCCCGTGGACTTTGGCGAATTCATGATTGGTTAGGGTTGCAGCTTCTTGGTAGGGTCCTCGGAATAGTGAGGCATTAACTACGAGTTAGCTGTAGTGGAGCAAACAGAGAAGGGGCCATGTAGGTACAAGCTGGGCGGTTCGGCTGTTCGAGCCTTTCGAGATGGTTTCGCCGCGGAAGGAGCAATAGTCTCAGTATCCGGCATTGCCGTAGGAGTGAGAAAAATAAACTTAAGGCAGACAGCTTAGCGTACCTGCTGATAGATGATGTAGAGGATCTTTCACAGAGAAGGATAGTATAGTAAGAATTAGATCCGCTGGATAATAGTGCGGCACCGAACCCCTGACGGCCCGGCGGCCCAGCGGGTCAGGTAATGACAGTAAAATATCTAGCCAATGCTATGATCATTTGACAATCCCCGTGTGTCGGCATTATCGTTCGAATATTATTTAACACCTCAACTTTACCCCACATGCGCCACCAATTCCGTCTCGCGTGGGTTTAGAAGTCCCACAGGCGTACGTGCCGTCCAGCCTCAGTCAGCGGATGCGGGGAATCCGGGGTATCCTACCCCCCCACGGCTGGGCCGGAATGCCTAACTCCCCGAATGGGCAGCCCGGGGAGTGCGAAAATAGAGTAGTTGCAAGTATATATATATCCTTTCGGTATCCCCATGACTTGTTGTATCAAGTGCAATCCTAAGCTATTTTATTCTCTACCACAAGTTGCTCTATAAACCCGGAACGTGGAACATGGTGAGAAGGCTGCTTCTCGAATGCTTGACTTTGTACTAATATCTACAGGCGACTCAGCGTGTTCATGTTGGAATCATCGGCGCAGGAATAGGAGGGCTGGCAGCTGCCATTGCCTTTCGACGTGCAGGGGTGGATGTCACTGTCCTGGAAGCAGCGGATGAATTGCTCGAAGTAAGTTAACCTTAGCAGTCAGCAAATATTGTCGCATGCAGGAGCTCATAGAAAAAAGATCGGGGCCGGGATCCAGATGACGCCGAATGTATCGGTTCTGCTGCAGAAATGGGGCGTTGCGGATGTGATAGGAGACAACTTGGTTCAAATCGAAGAACTGAATATGCGCCGCAAAGATGGCACTCTTGTCGGACATACCGAAATACCAATTGTCGAAAGAGCATTGGGCAGACCGTGGTGGCTTGTTCATCGTGCTCATCTCCACCAAGGTCTCGCGGCCGTGGCCACGCGTCTGGGAGCAGCGATTCATATTAACAGTCGCGTCATCTCACTTGACTATCAGGAGAAGGATGAAGTCACGGTCGAAACACAAAAAGGGGATAAATATCATTTCGACCTCTGCGTGGGTGCTGATGGCGTAAACAGCATTGTCCGAAGTACGCTGTTTCCGAACATAAAGCCGGACGCCAAAACTACCAACTCTGCTTACCGGGCGATTATACCGTATGACCGTATCCGGCAGGACCCAATTGCAAAGGAGCTCATTCAAAAGTTGACGATGGAGGTCTGGATGGGACATAATGCCTATATTATCACTTATCCCATCAGTGGGGGCGAAACATTCAACCTGGTGCTCTCGCATCATCGTCCGGAGAAGGTCTATAGTACCCAACCGAATGTTCCTGTCGAGGAAATGCGGGATGCATACAAAGACTTTGATCCTCGGATTAAACGCATTGTCGATATGATCACCGAGACTGTTAGCTTTACTCCCTTTCGAGAAATTCTGGATTGCTGCTGACGTTCTGTATACTGGCAGTCACGCTGGCCGCTATTGGTGACCGGGCCCTTGCAATCATGGTCCTCCCCACAGAAGAATGTGGTTTTGATGGGGGATGCAGCGCACTCAATGGTAAACCATATGGCGCAAGGGGCTGCTACGTCCATGGAAGACGGAGCTTTCCTCGCAAAGTGCGTCGGGGCAGTTACTCGCGGAAAGCTGAGTCTTCGCGAAGCCATCAATATATACGAGCTCGAGCGGATGCCAAAAGCCTTTATGAAACAACAGGTCTCTTTTCTGAATGGTGCCATCTGGCACTTACCGGATGGCCCTAAGCAACAGGCTCGCGATGCGGCAATGGCACCGTCGCTTGAAGGGAAATATTTGGTTCGCAGCAGCAATCTCTACGATGACCCTCAGACGGTGCTGGATGTATATGGATATGACGCTGAAGCGCATGCAGAACAGGCGCTAGCGCGGTTTGCCCACGGGCGCGAGGCGGTGTATCCAGGTACTGGTATAGCACCTTACATCGAGGACAAATATATGGGGTGGTTTACAAAGTGTCAACCAAATGACCGCTACGCCGCAGCTGGGAAGCTTTAGATTATTCAGCCATCGACAATCACTTGTCTTTATTGAGCTCAATTCTGACCAATACATCGCCTTTTTCGTGTTACGCTCAGGTACGAGAGGAAGAAAATCAACCAATGTAGTAGCATTTCACGAAACAACTAAGCATGGAGTCAGAAGCCTTGTCAATGGACGACTTGACGATGGAATAGCTCCCGTGGTTCTTGATTATGTCGTTGATCTCAGCGTTGGAGATGTAGCCAGCAGTTGACGTGCAAGGAGCGGCATAGGCCATGGAGTGATTTCTATCTCCAGTAAAGGTGCAGAAGGGACCGGAGCAGGACGCGTCCTTCATCTGGAAACTTCTGCCATAATTGCTGACGCCAATGACTAGCTGTCGGGCTTCGACGCCTTGATCCCTGATGGTGTCAAGTCAATGTATACGAGTCACGTAAAAAAAAAGAAGACTCGTCCCTCCAAAAGTCCAATCACCTGCGAGTTGAAATTTATTATTGCTACAAGCACAAGAGTTTTCTTCATTATTGATGCACTTGATGAACGCTCAGTTTCCGACGGCCTCGTCAGTGTTCGTCAACCATTCCTTCACCAGCTTGTCAGTCTCAGTGTCCAAACAGGCATTAGTATACTGGCAATTTCTCGACCCAACACTTAAATTGCAGCTTACCTTCAGACTTACGTTTCTGTTGAGATTAAACCCAGGCGTGAAGACATCCAATCTTACTTGGACTCACGTATAGTTGAACTTCCGGATTTTGTGCAGCAAAGGCCGAATCTGAAGCAGTGCATCAAAGATGGTATCACGGAAGCTGCTCGTGGGATGTAAGCATATCTAGAGCCGGAAAAAAGTGCACTACTGACATAGCCAAGGTTTCTTCTCGTTCGACTCTACTTCAATTTACTCCTCGATCAGGGAAACGAGAAGAGGGTTCGAAATATGATAACTAAATTTAACTCTGGATCTCAGTACAACGTTTACGAGCATGCTTATAGCGAAACCGTCAAGAGGATTGAGCATCAAAGTGCAGATGTCGTAGAGCTTGCGAAGAGAACTATAGGATGGATCGCGAACGCAAAAGGTCCTCTCACTGTGGCTCAGCTTGAACATGCGCTTGCGATTGAGATCAGTTCTCACGAGTTCGATTAGTTGAATATCACAGACATTAAGCAGCTAAGCTCATACTGTGGTGGCTTGGTCTTCGTCGATGAGCTAACGGGTACCGTGAGACTTGTCCACTACACCACGCAGAAACACTTTGAGGACATATGGGAAGCCTGTTTCCCAAAATTTCATGAAGTAACCACTGATACTGTCTGACATATCTTTAATATGATGCATTTGAGGAGAATCGTCTTCAGTCCAAGGCCGAGCTTCAGGGATACTCAAGTAATGGCGATATTGCCGCTTCGGTTACACCTTTTGGTAAAGATTGGGTTGGAGTTGTTGGGCCGCATCCTGAGGCGGATGAGCTTTGGTGTGAGTATTCCTCTTTCGTACTCCAAGACATTTTACTAAAAAGCAGCATATTCTCCTAGACGAGGGGTTGAACTTCACAAACCCAGATGGCATACGGTTTGATATTGTCCATGACTTCATAGAGGCCATTATGGTTTAGTAAATCTGTACGTTGTTCATGGCTAGTATGGAGTAAAAAGTATGAGATACTATCCAAAGCCGTGAGTCGCATCCAGAGACTACGATCGAATCAGAATAAACTTGAGATGTTGAATGCATTTGTGCAGCAGAGGTATCGAACACGCAAACGAATAATTTCCACAGACGCCATTGTTTGTATCAACCAAAATCAAAGCCCAGGCCCGAATACCCAATAAACACGTTCAAGATCATACAGATATCAACATATGGAAAACATGCAAAGAATAAATATCATCAAATGTAGAGTCCCGATTAAACGGGAGAGTCTACGGTCTGAAGCGGGACATAACCCTCATCCTCACGGATAACGGTCCGCTTACCGGTAATCATCGACCATAGCGCGGAGGCAATGTCACCAACCCGACGCAGTACAGCTGGTTGGTCTGTTGAAAGAATCTTCGCAGGTGCCCACCAACTAGACTTACGGCTATGACGTGCGCCATTGATGGGAATGGAGCCGGAGCCCAGCTCCTTTTCGAGACGTTCGGTGTCCATCCATGACGGACGGCGCCAGAGTTTCAGAAGTAAGCTGCTGACAACTACCGAGACACTGGATAGGGCCATTGCGGCGCCTGCTGCCATTGGGGGAAGCATGAGTCCTGTGAAAGGTAGGAAAATGCCCATAGCGAATGGCAAGCCAATGATGTTGTACAAGCAAGCCCACATCAGGTTCAGCTTGATCCGCGTGAAAACTGCGCGCGAAAGAGAAAGACTGGCAGGGACGGAGAGGAGATCATCTGGACGCATGAGGACAATGTCTGCTGCCTCCACGGCCACATCGGTTCCCGACGCCAGGGCAATTCCCACGGATGCGGTTGCAAGAGCGGGAGAATCATTAATGCCATCACCGACCATTGCAACACGGTCTCCGTTTGATTGGAGAGAAGATATAATGACACGCTTGTCGGATGGTGAGGCGGATGCATGAACAGAGGCAGAGGGGATTCCGACAGCAGAGGCGATTGTCAGTGCTGTAGATAACGTGTCACCAGTCACCATTGATGTCGAAATTCCCATGCGATGTAGGGCTGCCACAGCTGCAACGGCTGTAATCTTGAGGCTGTCCAAGAGAGAGATAGTTCCTGCATATCGGTTGTCAATCGCGACATGAATCCGGGTGACACCGGAAACAACGTTGGGTTTAGGTACCGCCGCAGACGCTGCACTTTCTGGAGCATTGGAAGACTCCGGGTCCGCTGAAACAGGGACAGGAATGTCTTTTGACCGAAGGAACTCCGCATTTCCAATAAGAACTTGGTAGCGAACGCGCTCGACACTTGATGTAGGCTCGACGGTGGCAGATATACCCTTTCCTACACAGGCATCGAAGTCGCCGACACTTCCAGGCAATCCATCCTCTATCCCATTTCCAGATTGGGTTTTGGCCTCGGACATGATAGCATGACCGATGGGGTGCTCACTACCCATCTCTGCGAGACCAACGATGAGCCACCAGAGTCGACGCCGCCAATCATTGGCAGTCCAGTGAGACTCGATCTGTGCTTGAGACACGCTCATTTTGCCAGTTGTTAATGTGCCAGTCTTATCAAAGACAACATGGTTGACCTTAGTAGCAGCCTCTAGAACGGCGCCTCCCTTGACAAGAATGCCATGCTCGGCACCCACGCCAGTGCCGACCATGACTGCCGTAGGAGTGCTGAGGCCTAGAGCGCAAGGACAGGCAAAAACAATGACCGAGATGCAAAGCTTCAGGCAGACCATGACTCGACCACCACTATCTTTAGACTGGAATATCAGTGGCGGATTGTTCAAGACATGACTGAGGAACATCCAGCCAAAAAAGGTGATTAAACCCAGACCGATAATCGTGGGGACAAAATAGCCCGCCACAATATCCGCCATACGTTGGATGGGTGCTCGGCTTGTTTGCGCGTCCTGGACCAATTTGACGATTTGGCTGAGGTGGGTATCTTTACCGGCCCGAATGACTTTGAAATCGATGGAGCTGGTGCCATTTACAGTTCCGGCAATGACATGACTGCCTTTCTTCTTATGAATGGGTAAGGCCTCGCCAGTGATCATACTTTCGTCGACATAGCTTTCGCCTCGAATAATCAACCCATCGGCAGAGATCTTGTCACCAGGACGAAGGATGACAATGTCGCCGACTTGAATCAATTCAGTGGGGATGATTTTTTGGTTTACCGAGGCTTCGTCAGTCAGAGTCGAGTTGGAAGCATCTGGAGCGCCTTCGGGGGCCCAGCTAGCGGCCAATTTTTCGGCCGCGATAGAGTCCTCGTAAATACTGGTCATAGAGGGGGTCAACGACATTAACCGAGACAGGGCAGCAGATGTCTGTCCCTTGGCGCGGTTCTCTAGCCAGCGCCCCAGTGTGATAAATGTGATCAGCATAGTGCTCGTATCGAAAACAGTGCTTGGTCGCATATGTTGGTCGTCGAGTAGAGCCATGATCATGGTGAAGCAGCTGTAAAAAAATGCGGCAGAAGTTCCTAGAATGACCAGGACATCCATAGTAGGGGACTTATGCTTGAGAGATTTATAACTGGTGACATAGAATCGTCGCCCTATCCCGAATTGTACAGGAATCGTCAGGCAGAGGCAGAGTAGATCTCCCAAGTAGAGGCCTGGGAGGATTCTGAACTTGCCAAAGTCGAGGCCGGGCAGATACATGGGCAAGATCATGTTGATGATGAAGACGGGGACCGCAAAGGATAATGAGGTCATGAATGCCCGTCGCCATTCCTGAATCTCTTTTGTTTTGGCCAAAGACTCAAGCTGTGCATTGGTGTCATCCGTATCTGTAATTAGGGCATTATACCCAGCCGCCTCGATAATCTCAAATATAGACCGAACCCCGATGACGGATGTGTCGAAAGCCACAAGTAGCTGATTGTTGGCCATATTTATTGAGGCCGATTTGATCCCGGGACGACTTTGAAGATCGTCTTCCAACGCCACAGCGGAAGCGGCATCCCGCAGGCCATGCATACTTAGGTTGATTTGCTGGGTTTTCTTTGAGAGTGGTTCCTGGGCTTCAGATGATACGATCGACGCATCAAATCCAGAATCCTCCACTATTACCGCAAGATCTTTGGCCGACAGGATTGACGGATCATGCACAATGACAGCACGCTCGGCCAGGAGGCTGATATTGAATTGGAAAACACCATCCACGTTGTCAAAGGCATTCTGAACACTGGATGTACATGCGCCACAGGTCATACCTCCCACTGCAATGGTGGTAACAGCGTGGCCGGATTTATTTTCAGTGGTGTCGGCGAGGTTCGAATGACTTTCGGGGCCCGATAAAGGTTTTGTTTCCAGCACGCGTGCTCCAAAGCCTCGATCTTCGATGAGTTCTGCGATTTGGTCTGAAGAAATTTCTCCCGCATTATGTTCCACCACCGCGCGCTCCGATAAGAGCGATACATTCACAGAGGTCACACCGGTGACGTCCTTTAGCCCGCCTTCCACCGCGGATGTACATGCGCCGCAGGTCATGCCTTCGACAGCGAGGGTCGTCGCGGAGGGTCGCGCGGATGAGAGATCGGAGGAGCCGGTGTCTGTAGTCTGAATCCGTTCTTCCGTTGACAGAACGACGGCGTCAAAGCCGCAGTCTTCGATCATCTCCGCCACCTTGGCTGGGGCCAGTATGGAGGGATCGTGTTGAATGGCGGCGCGGCCCATGATGAGACTAACAGAGACATCGCCAGCACCGTCGATACCCCTGAATGCGCTTTCGACGGCCGAGGTGCATGCTCCGCAAGTCATTCCATCGATCTTGACAGTGGTTGTAGCCATGGCGGGGATTCGCTGGGCGGCTATCGCATCAGCCGCACCACTTTGTTCGGCGGACATGAGGAGGGGATGGAAGGAAGGGGAGGAAGTGGCGAGGCGATCGATTATTGCATGAGGGCGATAGTTCTTAAGACCGCGCAGGGCGAGAGACAGCGCCTAGAGGCGATGTGATGAGAGGATAGCGTGATAAAGGGTAAAGTGACGGATGGCGTCGGATCGACCAAGTCCGATCAGATCATTCCCGCATGGAGAGGGACAAGACAATAGCGGCCGAACGAGGCAAAGCAAAACAAAGGCCACGTCTCTGAAAGAGGGGGGAAAATGGAAGAAATGGGAAGTTCAAATACCTCGTCGGTTAAAGGGAGCCAGAAAGAAAGAAAAGAGGGAGATTACGCATGGGCATGGGGGGGTGGATCGGGATCGTCTCCGCCGCGTGAAGGAATGCGTCGCCTACTCCGCCCTTTCAAGCCAATCTATGCAAGTGCACAAGGGCGGGCCAGTTCCCAATTGTGGTCGCCGAGGAGCTTGGAATTCTTCAGATATATCAACACCGGAATTGAAGGGTCTACTGGGATGGAGGCATGAAACAGTAGTGTGTCAGAGGGCTGTCAAATGCTGTCAACCCACCCTTGAGCGTTTCAAAACAACCCTAGGAGTCCCTAGCATTGCGAAGGCAATCTAGCCAGGTGGAGCTGGACTCGATCGGAGAGGTCGGAACAGGGATTCCCTAGGAATATGGTTATGGGACTAGCAGGAAGCAATACGAACAGGTACCAGCATAATCCATGAACCAGTGCAGTGACACCATAGCGAACTATATCTACGTTATGGTGCTAGGAGATACCATGAGAGTTAAATCCTCAGATCAGGCTTGGCATGAGAACCTTCCTTAGGAGATTGTGATAAGATCACACTAGCCTTGAAACCAACTAATCAGATGGACTGAAGGACTGAATGGATCCATTCCCGAATCTGGTAAGGCGTGGTTTACATACCAGAGTACGAGAGTGATATGTGGGAATTGCCCCTACGAGCAGAGGCAATTTCTACATATCTTGATTTACTGTACTCCGTACCAGCCCTCACTTTTGACTTCTAGAATACTAAAATACTAGAATAGTACCCTGGAAACCCATTCATGTTGTTGACTTTACACTGTACTTCAAGACTACTAGTGCATACAATGCAAACAAGCTCCGCTCCGCTTCACGACACCAACTCTAACTCCATCTCCATCTCCATCTCCATCTCCAACTCATCACACTCTCTTGCTTCACAAGCCCACTACCCCCTCACTTACTCTCCTCGCTTACTCTTCACAATTCATTCTAATATCAAGGCGACCCAGGCCACTCAGGCCACCAGCCGATTTACCACACACCATGGACCAAACACATGGCCGAGCCCTGGAGGCTCTACAGCCATTCATCCACCTCGCCAACTCCAATAGTGCCACTTCCCCGCGCTTCATAGCCAACCTAATTACAAATGCCACATCGAGCCCCCAAACCTACGTCTTCGCCGAGCTCCTCGAAACCGAAACAGTTCAAGCCCTAGCCTCTCCAGACACCCCCGCCGAATACCAGGCCTACCTGAAGTTGCTACAGATCTTCGCCTGGGGCACATGGCAGGAATACCAGGGTACGATCACCTCAAACCCCTTAACTATTGTTCTGAAAATAATCCACCTTGTGTACGGTGAGAGCTAACTGCATCCCCTCCCCATCACAGAAACACCCAACCTCCCGAAACTGAGCAGCGAACAATCTCTCAAACTCCGCCTCCTCTCTCTCCTCTCTCTCGCTGCATCCGCCGAATCTCTAACCTACTCAGCCCTCATGAACGCACTCTCTTTCTCCTCAACCGCCGAGCTAGAGTCCCTGGTCACAACAGCCATCTACGCAAACTTGATATCCGCCCGTCTCTCCCCCGCAACGACCCCACCCAACGTGAACGTCACCGCCGTCGCGCCCCTCCGCGACGTCCAGCCACAGGCTCTCCCGAAAATGATCTCCCTCCTGACCGAATGGGAAGCCCGATGCGGAGAAGTAGTATCCGATTTGGAAGCCGAGATTGCGCGGGTTAAATCCAATGCGACGGCGCGCCATGCCAAGGACCAGGCATACCAAAAACGCATCGAGGAAGCCATGGAACGGCGAAAGGCAACGGGTGGCTCCTCTGTCGATGCCTCTTCGGGCGGTTCGTCGCGTGGGAAACTCGATGCCTTTGGGCGTCGGCCGGTTGGGCGGTGGGGTGCTGGCGGCGGGGTTCCGGGCAATAAGCGGGAAGCCGATGATATCGATCGTGATGATGGGTTCTGGGAATCTACTGAAGGTGCTGAGGCTGGTTCTCGGATGGATATTGATGAAGGGCCGTCTCGTGGTGGGAGCAGGCATTCAAAGCGCATTCTTGGAGGAAGGCCTAAGTGAAGAGCCTAGTAAACAATACGACGCAGATATACCAGCATATGGCTCTACATTTGGCATGCTGATGAATGCTATGACTCTCATACCTGACTAGATTTACCCCTCAAGGTGGTGAATTTTAATTGATATGATTCCGTATACATTGCTTCTGCTCTTCGACAACAAGAAATGTATTCGTGATGCCCTAGTGGCAAGACTCGTAGAGAACATAGATACAAAAGACAAAAGACAATAGATGGAATGTCAGAAGGGGTATTGGTAGAAGGGAAAAGACGGCAAAAGAGATGGCGAATATGGACACGGCAAGGAGAAGAGGCGTGGTCGCCAACGGTTGATGGTGAAAAGGGAGAGAGAGGGGGGTGGGGGTAAAGTCATACTCGGCGCAATTACACTGCCTTAGAAGGACAGACTGCGAAGCGAACTGAGAGTAATGGGGTTGAAATATTATGCTTCGCAGAAGCAAGCCAGAATAGTAGAATCCAGACGCCAGCTTGAGAAACATTCCACTAAAGCATACGGATGCAGACACTGAAAGGACCTGGGTCACGCCTCGGGCATTGCACGGGAATCAGAAAACAACAGAGCGGTGAGGTTGATCATTAGGGCAGGTAAAAACTGGTTTACAGCATAGTACCAGGGACGAAGATGAACAAAATACTCAAAGCAGCAGCGCTCAGGAAAGCGATTGCCGCAGTGACCAGAGCGCGCTTGTTGAGGAGCTTTCGGACGTATGGTTCGCGGATCGGGGCCCAGTTCATGAAAGTGTACTCGCTATAGCCAAAGAATGCCATGGCGGGATCTATCTTGTACTGATAGGAGACAATGAAGTAGGCCGCCACGGCAAATGGGAGAATAACCCAGCAGCGAATGCCGCGAGGCTTGTTGCGGAGCACCACATAAAAAGCACCCCAGAATCCACCTCCGAAACTGATAAGGGCGAAGGCCAAACGAGCGATAATGCTCAAAGGAACGAGATTTCCCAGTGCCTTGGCCTGCAAGAAGCCTGGGAATGCATCACGCTCCATAGCTTGGAAGACGTAATCCTTGGCGGGGTCGAATACCTCGGGATCGTCACGGTTGTCGTCTTCGATCAGGTTGATAATGGTGGAAACCATTGTTTCGGGAAGGATAATTTCTCGCTCAGAGCCAGGTAGAAGGTAGGTGTAAAGAATCTTTTCGGCACTTGCACGGATATCGTTACGAGCCACAGTGTGTCCAGGAGAGGTCGAGTCATCATTCCGGGTACCGTCGCTGGGGCGGGGTTGCACATCGTTGGATGGGGTGCGATATGCTGATTGAGATCCAATGCTGTTCTGGGGCGAATGTGAGGAAGGAGCGCCTTCAGAGCGCAAGAAAGCAGAGAGGCGGTGGTCGGCATCTCTGTCCTTCTCGTTGGTCTGTAATCGTGAAGGCCCAGCCTCCACTAAAGGGATATCACCCAGGTTTTCCAGGTTTTCCAACATCGCAGATGACCGCTTGCTGTCGGCCCTCTCCATATCAGGCGTTGCGACAAGGACGGACCGCCGAAGTTCCCGAACATAGTGGCGGCATAGGGACATGTGCTGTGAAACGTCCAACCTGTGTAATGAAAAGTCAATGATTAGAATCTGTATTGATTTGTCGGCGCGCGGCCAGCCTTACCAGAAGTCCAAGTAATCCACCGAGCGCTGCTGGTCTCGCATGTAAATGTAAAAGGAGAAGAGGTCGACGGGTGCTAGTGTGCGGCGACTGAGGACTTCGAAGAGAGTGGGCAGACGGTTTCGCTGCTCCACATCAAGAAAGGAATCTGGTGAGGCCATTTTGGGCAACTTGTCGATGATTCGTAACCGGTAAATTTCCACCACAAGTTCGAAAAGTCGAGGAGGGGCCGCAAAAGGGGGTAGAGAACGTGTTGGATCGGAAATCGCGTAGATAATGGGGTTTCAACACAACAATTGGTCGTAGGAAATTTCAAGAGGTTTGCCGAGAGTCGGGAAAAGAACGAGAGAGACCCTTGTGGGTATCCAAAAGAGGAGGTAGCGAAAAGAATCGAGTCTGGCGCCGCGGGACACGCAATGTTGACCGGATAGGAGAAGCCCCTGGGAACCACAGTATTGTCGCACAAATTTGGCCAACAGCCGCTCTACAGCAGCCAGGAACTCAGAGGAATGAAGAAGCAAGAAATCCCATGAACTAGGGGGGTAAAACGAACGAGACCAGGCTCAGTCAGGGCGAAGGTGAGGGCGAACAAGCAGATCGCCCAGCCACACTCGCAAACTGCCGTCGCCCAGGATTCTCGGAGATGAAACAACACCGCAACAACAATCATCCGGCCCCACCTGTCACTACGCGTGAGGAACATTGCATCATAGGGGGGTTCTTAATGTTTAATATGTACTCCGTACTCTTAATATTTAATATATTCTATCATCAACTTCAATTTCTTGATCATTCATATTTTCATAGCACCTTTCGGTTCTTATGCTCCTTAAAAACTATCCACAGGGTATTGCTAAACCGAGTCCCTCCGAACGCCATCCCATCTAAACACCGTCGCGAAAAAAAAAAAAAAAAAAAAAAAAAAAAAAAAAAAAAAAAAAAGAAGAGAAAGAAGACCACACTGTCCAAACGAGGGAGAACTAGCCGTCCTATTGCCCTTCGCCCAGATGCTAGAAAATCGGATGTTAGCATGCTACCTTGAAGACGGGCCCTTGTAACCTTTGCACTTACCGACCACTCAGGAATGTTTCGTATCTGCTGATACATAAACTTCTCAAGTTTGTTAGCACTCTTGGCGTAAGGAGTGCTCTCATTGTTATAACGTCGACAGTTCTCAAAGATTAATGTCGCATCCTTGATAAAATCCTGTGGAGTGGGGTACATGTCCTTCTCGTGTTTCTCCTCCATCGTGGACAAGTCCATCGGCTCCAGGATCACCTCGTAGTAATCGGGAACCTCGTCGCGATTCACAGGTTGGGTGAATGGCCAGGCTGCACTGTGGTTTTGCATATCATTGAGCAGATGCAAGAGTTGATTGTAGTTCGGCCCATGCCGGGGTTGGCGAGCTAGCTCATCCATGTCCGGAGACCATCCAGATTCCTTGACGGCAGTGATGGAGAGAGGATCGATTTTGCTGACGCCATTCTTCCAGTCCTTTGGTGCCTGATGAACAATATGCGACCGGCTGAATGCACGAATCTTCGCTTGGACAGCCTCTTTTTGTTTCAGAAGCATGCGACCCATTTCAAGGTACCGTATCTTTGGTAGCATGGTGCACTGCATAATAGTACCTCCCTCGTAGTCCTTGATGTAGCCCATCCAAATAGATTTGTCCAGCGTGATCTCCTTCGTAAACCCTTGTTTTTTGAAGTATCCAATGGCGTAATTGTCGGCATAGGTGAGAAAATGCATGATGGGAGAGGTGGCTTTCACGTAGTCCTGCGCAATAAACATTAGGCTTGAATAGCCTGGTGGCTGCAAGTTTTCGAACATACCTTCAAATGGGACATAAGATGCGCGCCGTAACCTTTGACCTGTTGGTCGGACGAAATGGCACAGAATACAATCTCGGCAAATTTGCGACTATTGAACGGGCGATATGTAATTCCTCTGGGGGTGTTCCCGTCAGCATCATCCATGTATGATCCCCATATTCATTTGACATACCCGACCACTTCCAACGGATGTTTCACAATCGCAATAGACAAATGCGATCGATCATACACGAGTCGGGCGATGTAGTCCTTTGGCATTTTGGGAAGTTGTTTTTGAAAGATACATTTCAAGCCAGTGAGGACAATGAAACTGTCGTGTGACCCGTCGTTATTGACTACGCGGAACTCGATATCTCCACGGCGTTCTTCTAGGACAGCAGGCTAATCCAACATGTTAAAAGGAGATCCATTATGGTTTTGGGCGTATGGAGCGTCGAGAGGCGATGAGGGGATAGGCAGCTCTCACCTTTTCGGGGAAAGGCACGATGCGCAACGGGGTTTTTTCCAGCGGACCATCCTCCTAGAAATTTAAAGTCAGCTGTGTCTTAGAACTAAAACAAACATCCAATCGCCGAACACACCTCTTTCTCGGGAGAATCGGTGCGCGCTTTCTTGCTAGCTTGCTGTTGTGAATCCGGGGAGGCGGCTTCCTCCGAGGCCTTCCTCTTGGAGCCTATAAATGAGATGATCAGTCAGTATATATCCCAGCTTCTGGATATAACTAGACTCACTCTTAGGTGAAACAACGGCCATGATAGGTGGATTGAGGGGACGATGACTGCGATCGCGTTCCTTGGGGGAGCACGTCGTCCCCGGAGTTTGAAGGGTTACGTAATCGGGCCAGATCAGCCAAGCGCTAAGACCAGCTATGTAACTATCCTCCCCCCGTACAACTCACCTTTGTTAACTAATTGATACTCTACTCTATTCCATTCCATCACCACCTATCACATCACTCATGTCTCTGAACGAAGTCTGGGAGGCAGCCTCCGCATCTCCATTCCAACCTCTTGTGCCCAAGGATAGCCAATTCTTTGTCGGCTTCTGTCTACTTCTGCTCGGTACGAACAACTGGCCTCATGTTGGTTGACATTACTGACTCAGTTCTAGCGGTCATTTTTACTGGTCTTTTCGGTCTGAGTGAGTTCCTTACCCACCAACGATGAAGCCAATTCCGAATTGCCTGACACTAACTCCAATCAGACCGTTCATTCCTGAGCCTCACCTCCGTGGGTCTGCCGGCTTCATTACTATTCGGGTAAGTAAATACGACATCACAGGTATAATCCGGTTTTTTTTGGAGGCTGACCTCGTTCCCATTGATAGTTTTGGATCTGTCTTCATGATCTGCGCTGTCGGAGTCTATGTTTAACGTGATACCCCCTACCAACTCTCTTCCCTCCATGTACGATAAGCGGGGAATCCAAAGGGACCTGTACTGCTAGAATCTCCCAAGTCATTACAAGCTCGTGACCTCAAAACTTCCTTCGCCACCTCACCCACGCCATTCAATATACCAGCACAGCTGCAACAATGGAGCCGTTGTTTACCTGTGTCTCCAATAATGCCCATCACCTCTATACCCTACTCTCTTGCATTGGCTTTGCCTCCAAGGCCACGGTCCAAATCACACCCGATGGCCTACGATTCTCGGTAGAGGAAGGCCGCGTCATCCAAGGCCTAGCTTTCCTCGATAAATCCCTTTTCAGCAGCTACACTTTCAACGAACAACCCGTCCCATATAACCAAGAATCAATCGAAAATGACGATTCCTCCGAGGACATTACCTATCCGCACTTCGTTGTTTCGCTCTCCGCTCTGCTCGAAACGTTGAAAATCTTCGGCATCAACGATCTCAACGAACCCAATGGCATTCGAGATACCAATCTTCCACAGACAAACCCTGCATCAAGTGCATTTAGCGCTCCCACATTGCTCATGGACCGCTCGTGTACCTTGCAATATGCACAGCACGGCAGCCCTCTGAGCATCGCGATCACCGAATCTGGCGTCAAAACTACCTGCGAACTAGTGACCTATGAGGCAGAAGGCGCGACTGACATCCCCCTTCAACGCGACGCCATCATCATGAAAATAATCATGCGCTCAGCCTGGCTACACAACGCCATTGCCGAACTCGATTCCTCAAATCCAACAATTCTAAAGCTATCCGCATCTGCCACGCGGGAACCCTTTTTCGCGCTTTCTGGTGCCGGTGGTCCCTTCAGTGAATCCACAGTCGAATTCTCAGTTGACCAGAATAATGAAATCGTCGGTGGTGCCAGTCAAGCCGGACCGCAGTCGCAGTCTCACAAGGTCTTGGCCGATGATGGCTCTTCACGCGTACGCGCAACGAGGGCAAAGTTGGCACCGACTGTTACAGAGACTTTCCTCGTGTCCCCACCGTCTTCAATGGGGGAGCGGATCGCGCAGAACTATCGGTTTGCTCTTATCAGGAAGGCGGCGCGTGCTATGTCTGTTGCGAACAAAGCGAGTATCCGAGGCGATCGACAGGGCGTGCTCAGCTTGCAGTTCATGATCGAATTGGACGATAATAATGCGGTTGGTAGGCCTGTCGGTGCTGGTGTGAAAGCCCCGGCAGGCCCAGTGTGCTTTGTGGATTTTCGTTTCGTGCCACTTCTTGATGAAGAGGATGCTGAATTGGATGTACCGGTTGATAATGAGTAGCTTGATCAAAACAAACAGAATTATCATTGTGAATGATAGTCCATTCCCTAGCATTTCATGTTTTTGGACGTAGACAGCCCTAGTGAACCTAAACCTAGAAACTACGAGCTTTCTCGTTTCACAGCTAAAGGAAAGATGTCTGGTTTGTGTGTTCAATCATTGTTTACTAGAAATCAGTTGCATTGATTGGCATGGCCTTGCTCGCCACCGAGGCCTGGATATGAGCAAGATGTTGTACTTCACGCTAAACGCACGGCTTTGAAATGAGAGTTAAGAAGCTTCGCCGAGATAGATCAAATTTACATAACCTGCAAGCACAATGTTAGTTAGGGTAGGCATCCCAAAAATGTATTACACTATAAGCATACCTCGGCAATTGATTGTCGTTCGATGATCGACTTTTGTCTCTCATTTCGTGACACACGGTAGTAGTAATCACTGAAGTCGCCACACTGCATATGGCGCAAGAACTCTTCGTCGTGTGTAATGACAATTAACTGGAAATTGGACTGCTGCTGTCGAGCACGGATGATATCATGGAGTGACTCAGCAAGCGAGCGAATGTTGTCACGATCCAAGTTCGTAGTTGGCTCATCAAGAGCAATGAGACCGCAATTGACGCCGAAACACTCTGCCAGTGCAAGACGGATAATAATACTGGCCAGGACCTTTTGGCCCGCACTGCAGCGGCCTCGCATATCCATTTCTGCGCCAGACTTGACCATGCAGACCCGGTAATTGTATGAGCGGTTGCCCTTGGCATTCTCATTGTCAGACCGAATGAGAACCATATCGATATCTGTTCCGCGGTATGTTTTTTGCCAGAGTTCTCCGATGATAGAGTTGATTTCTTCCATCTTCAGTCCGTGGTATGCCATGATTGCCTTGTCAAGGGCTCCTCCGTACCGTGCGAGATCCTCTACCGCGGCTTTCGTGGTTTCCACCTTGATATGGGATTCCTTGTATTTGGATGAAGCATCCTTGTAGTCTGTATTCCAGTCTGCCAGAAGTTGCATCAATTGATCATCCTTGGACTTCATCTCACCCATCTTGCTGGCTTGTTTGGCAGCAAGAGCATTGTGTTCACGGGTCCAACGTTCTGACTCTTGCTTGAATCGACTGCGGTCGACCTCGGCATTTTGCTCCTCGAGCTGTCCAACCTCTTCCATAACCGTGCCCAAAGACCGAGTGGCCTGGCGATATGTCAAGTTGTCCGAGTACTGCCGCTTTGTGTTCTCGCTGTCCTTGAGCTGGGCAGAGATCTTGTTGATCTCTCGTGTGATCTCGTTTTGCTCAGCCTCGAGCTTCGTAATCTCCGCTTCAATCTGCGTAAGCTCTCGACTACTCCGTTCAAGCTGACTTGGGCCACCTCGCTCGTTATATGAATTGATATCGTCATTCGCGAGATCGAGTTGGTGAATACTTTCCGAGATACGATTGATCTCATGCTGCAGATCCCGTTCACGTGTGTCAGCCCGTTGGCTGATATCATCATAGCGGGTCTGAGCTTGCAGCAGCTCCGGCGAAAGACTTTCAGTATCCTTTTCGGCCTTGTCGATAATTTCGCGCTGCTGGGAGTTGAGTTTCTTGTATTCTTCCACCCGGACAAGCAGATCCGCCTTCTTTTCCAGTTGGAACTTGGCATTGTTGAGCTGATCACGAACGTCTCTAAGCTGAAGTTCCAGCTTGTTAATCTCAGATTGCGTCTGCTCCTTCTCGGCTGTGAGGGCTGTGAGGGTTTTCTTTAGCTCACGAGACTTTTCGTTCGTAGTCTTGAGCTCATCCTGGATATCGTCCGAAGTACGACCCATGGAAATGTCTTGTTCCTTTGCCACAAGCTCTTCGATCTTCGACATGTTTGTCTTGATCTCAGTATCGTATTTGACGATTGTGCTGACTGTCTTGCTGAGGGCTTCAACGTCCCGCTTGCTTTCAGACATTTCGCTAACTGTTCGGTCATGTCCATCGAGCTTGTCAAGAAGTTGGTCTCGTTGTGTTTCGCATTCTTCCTCCTCCTTCTCTAACTCTGGGATTTCGGTCTCCTTGATACGAGTCCATGAATCATATGCTGCACTAGCCTCACGCGCAACCTTGAGTTCTTCTTCGAGGCTTTGAAGAGCCTCGTCTTCAGCATCAAGGCCTGCTTTTTTCACGAGGGCTTCCAATTTCTTGGTAAAGCGTTGAAGTTCTGATTCGGTTTTGAATGGTCGAGCGCAGGTTCGACACGTCTTGGCTTGTCTTGCTGCCTCGAGACAGTTGTTGAGGTATGTACCCATTCCAGCAAATTGGTCGGCATCTTTGCGGGCGAGGTCGAATTCGACTTGGCGTTTCTCGAGAGTTTCAAGATACTCCGTAGGCTCTGCCTCAATAGCCTCGCGAATTTCTTTTGCATAGTCATCGAGGTCTTTCTGGCGCTGCTTCAGGGCCTTTTTCGCATTCTTCAGCTTGAATTCTACTTGCTCCAGCTCCCGGCTCACGCCATCACGGTCTCGCTCAGCATCCACCAGCTGCTTGGTCTCGGTATCGACAACATGCTGAAAGTCCTGTTCAAGAGTGTGAGGTTGCCAGTCCGCACCGACGACTTTCGAAAGACGATCTCCATGGGCCCCCTTCATTGTCTGCAGGCTTCGCTCCTTCTCCTTGGCATCCTTTTTGAGATATTCTAATTGAGCAAGTTCCTTTGCCTTCTTTGAAGACTCAATCAGCTCGTTGTTCAGCTTCAGACCCTCGTCTTCTAAATGCTGGATTTGAGCATTGACATCCTGGATTTTTTGGTCCCAGGAAGCAGTAGCCGCTCGGTTCTTTGCATGATCAAGACTCGTGGTGATGTCCTCTGACTTGGCTTCCAAAGAGCTTTGTATGCCTTCGTCAACGTCAATGTCATTGAGCTTTCTCTGGTACGTGGCCGCCTCTCCGTCGTTTGCTGCAATTTGTCTCTTCGCGGCATTCTTGCTTTCTTGAAGAGCAGACTTCCTTTGACCAATGTCATTAAGAATATCTTGGACTTCGCGAAGTTCCTTTTGTGCCTCTCTTTTCAGACGGTCAAGAGACTGGTTCTGATCACGCAACAAACGTCGAATCTTCTGCATAAAAGCATCAACATCGCTTTGGTCCATGTTGTCGTCGACTCCGCGAATATTGTTCCCGCGAGCGATCTCGGTGATCATATTTTGGCGCCTCTGTAGCTGTCGCTCAAAATTCGCCTTGTCATTTTCGTATTTACCGTTCTCAGCCTGCTTCAAGCCTAGCCGGTGTCTGGTTTGTTCAATCTGCTCCTTGAGGTCCATATAGTTCTCTTTCTGAGCTTCTTCCTGTTGTTGATACTGAATTTGTTTTGTCTCGAATTGTTCGAGGGTAGATTCGAGCCATTCGTCGGAGTCATCCAGCTCCACCAGATGTCGTTTAAGGTTATCAATGGTCGTTTCGATGCTTTTCGCTTCAATTCGCTTTCCCTCAAGGGCGCCAAGAACCTGGGCATAACTCTCAGATTCCCTCCATGCCTTGTCAGCCAATTCCGCGACCCGGCGCATTTCTTTTGACATTTTCTGGGTCTCTTCGCGCAATGCCTCAATTTCGTCTTGAAGCTTGACGGATCGCTTCTCTGCTCGGTCGGCCTTGTCTTTGTCTTCTTTAGCATGTTGCTCCATGATCTTGAACTTGGCCAGCTCCTCATTCTGCCTTTTTCTCAGGACTTTGATGTTGTCAATCGCCTTGGTGTACTTCATGGCTTCAAATATCTCATCGAACCTTTTCTTGAGTACAGATGGCTCGCTCATTGGCCACAGGCTTTCATCCTGGTGGCAGAAAATGACGGAATCCAAGACCGCCTTGGAAACGCCTAGGTATTGGGGCATGATCTGGTCCAGCTCTGCAACTCGTGAAGAGATAGATGCACGTTCGCCGTTTTTTACCATGACCAACTGTCCCTCCAGTGTCTTCTGCTGCCTCGTGGTTTTCTTGACCGTGAGCTGCAGGCTGCGTGTGGCAACCATCTTTGCGCCAGAGGTGCCATTGAAGGAAAGTTTCACCTGGGCGAGAACTTCTTTCTCGCCGCATAACTTGGGATCGTGGATGAAAGCTCCACCTTTGCTATTCGGAGGGAGGTCGCCCGTTGTGGCATATTTCAGGCATTCGATGATGGTCTAGATGCTGTCAGCTCTGGGCTTGCTTGCGCCTGCCATGGGCCAACTCGTACCGTTTTCCCTGATCCGTTGTATCCAACGATCAGGGTTAAAGGGGTATGGAATTGGATGGTCTCGCTGCGCGTGTTATCGAAGGAGCGAACTCTAGAAACCAAGGTATACAAATTAGCGCATCGCCATCTAGCAGGTATATCAGCAGGGCCATACCCCAAAATCGAGAGTTTATCGATCTTCGCTATTCATCATCATGTCTCTGGTCAGATTCGGTCTGGGCGACTGGTGAATGGGCCACACTTACACCTGTTAGGCCCATTAGTACTGTCAAAAGTCCGCGGGGAAATGCTCCGCACTTACATTTTGGGTCGCGCGGCACAGTGGGCGCTTTCAGAATGTTCACAAACTGTGATGGTCGTAATCTTGCCACCCACGCATCCAGCGCTAGTGCTGTACCAGCCGTCCTGGGTGTGCTCGGTTCGTGGGCGAATTTGTGATGTATCGAGCTTTCTCCACTTGGAAGCGTCGCGCCTCTGCAACACGAAGTCACGTGTCTCAAATGGAACGTTATTAAGCAGTCTCGACCCCCACATAAGATCGGCGAGCGCAGGTTGACAGCAACTGGTTCGGCTCATATTTCCTACCTTTTCCCACTTCGCCCTCCCCAGAGTCCAGAATACCTGTGCAATTGGCACGGGAGAGTACTTAATCGAAGTTTTTGGTCGAGTTGACTTGACTTCGTGGATTCAGCAGCTTCTCCTCCACACCCGCCCGGCCAAGAATGGTCATTTCCGCCACACATCTATACCGGCTGTGGCTCCTGATACCTCTCCAGGGAATGCGCCCGTCGATCTCTCGTGATCCCTAAACTCTGTGGTCTCCTCTGAGCTCTGGATGCATGTTACGATAGCGATCCTACCACCAGCAATAATTTCAGTTTCTCGCTTTCCCTATCCTGATCCACACCCTTCTCCTTGCTCGATATGGCACTGAGCCAACAACAGTCCTACGACAACATGCCCTTGCCCGCCCCACCGTCCCGAACTGGCTCCAACGAGGGGAACCTGGGCTACCCTCCTTCTCAGCAATCAAATGTTCCAGGATCATATGGTCATTATGGCTTTCAGGACCAGCAACAGGGGGCATACTCCTCTCAAAATGACCCAGGTTGGATTCAGCGAGTCTTGGAGGAAATGAAGGACATGCTTGTCCTACTCAACGCAGACGGTCGCATCAACTATGCGTCACCATCAGCGAAACAAATTACCGGTTGCGTTGCGAAACAGTTTGAGGGCACCTTCCTTACCCAGTATATACACGACGATGACAAACATATCTTTATCCGGGACATGGCCGAGTCGGTCAAGTCCAACCAACCATTTCGGACTCATGTGAGACTCCAAAAGACCAACAGCACGCATGGCCTCGTCGAAATCTATGGGCATCCGCATATTGCAAACCAAAACCCATCCCAAGGCCGGAATGAGTCGAGTGAAGACCGTTGTGCGGGGTTCTTTCTCATGTGCCGGCCCTATCCCAACAAGACCTCACTGCTCCTCGACTCCTTTCTAGAACATAAAATCGAAAATGCGCGATTGGTCCAGCAAATCGCCAAACTCAAACAGGAGGAGGAGGAAGAGGCAAACATGACTCGCATTCCATACGGCAAGATCGATGAAGATAAATCTTTCAGCGAGAACCCACCTGCCACTCATCAAGTAGTCTTGAGCGACCAAGAATCTACCGAGACGGTCGCTCCCAACTCAGACTCATCCGACGAGAACCCTTCTATCGACTTTTACTCAGACGATCCACCACGACGTGCTCAACACCTGTCCCATATCGATGGCATTGAAGTCATGACCGGTCTCTATTATGGCGACGGTGAAAGATCGCATGGCCTCAGTACCGGTCTTAACCGGGGAAGACTGGTACATTGTGATATTGATATCACAACGGCAGCAGACCAAGCACGCAATGCTCAAGAAGGCGACCGACGAAAGAGACTGAAGGGTCAACATGTCTGCGGCGACTGTGGTACAGCTGACTCTCCTGAGTGGAGAAAGGGCCCTGGTGGCCCTAAGACTCTTTGCAATGCTTGTGGTCGTGAGTTGAGCAACAGTCCCCTTGATCTAACATACAAACTAATCAATATGCCTCCCTTCAGTGCGTTGGTCCAAAAAGGAGAAGAAACGCCAAGATGTCACATGAACCCTTCCTCATTAATTCTTAGCTACTGGTTTTCTGGTGGCCATATGGTGGTGAATTCTCTCTTTTTTTCTTGTTTTCTTTCTTCTTGCCTTCGGGCCCGCCATCTTAAAATGCGTGTCTCGACATTTGAAATCTGCTTTGAGTTCACTAGATTTTTTGATCGACTAGGTGCTCTCTGGAAATTCACACCTTTGCGTTGAAAGCACCGAGTCGGCGGTGGTCCTTAGGATGATTGGCATTATTTAATGAAGTCATGACTTGTTTTTATTCGAATCTGATTTGCAAGGTACATAGTTGTGGGCTTCTCGCTCAGGCTTTTAAGGCAGCTTTTCTTTGCACATGATTTATCGAAACACGGCGGGATCGGATCACTAGTATGAAATTTATTTTATATTCTTGTCATTGTCAATTGTTGATGGGTAGATAATTACGGTGCGAGGCTCCAGGTCTTAAAACTGGACTAGTAGTCTCATGTTGAAACGCCTTCAGCTGATATGTACTAAGCGTATTTTAATGCCTCAGAAGGCCATTCCTGTTCGACCAAGTGTCATGTGGGGGTCTCTTTGTGAAGAAATAAAAACCGGTCGAAGTCACTGGGAATCTTGACCAGGAAAGGAGGGAAGTGTGGGTGAAAATGAAAAGATGGTATCATGGGCAAGAGATGCAAGTTCAGAACGCATGAGCACGAATAGTTTAATTCTTTGTTGCCTTCTTCGGCGGTGGCGGGAAGTACATCGGTTGACTTGATGACCCCTGGGCCTCTGTTGTTGGCGGTTGATATGGTATTTGAGGGCTTGGCATGCTGCCATTGTCCCTTAATGGCAGATCGGACGATGTACTACCACTTCCGAGGCGATTGAAGGCCAAATGACGCGGTGTGAATGGCGATATCGGAGCCCCATGTCTCACGACGGGCGAAGAGGCGATCGGAGGAAACCCGGGGGTTCGAGGAATCATCCCAGGTGCCGACATAGGGACCATGCTTGGCGATTTCAAGATTTCTTCCTCAAACTCCTTTTCCACGCGCTTCTCCTCTCTTAACTCCAAGACCTTCTCTTTTTCTTCTTTTGTGATGAAACAGGAGTGAATGCTGATTCCGAAATCGACGGCATATAACACACTGCAGGAAATATTAGCCTTTTTGTCTATGGTGTTAAGACCGGGTTCACATACATGACAATCACAGTGATTGCAAAGAGCGACTTGGCTTGCATGCAATATCCAAGATTCGACTTGTGTGCAGCCACGCTACAGCTTTTCGTAATATACCATGGAGATCCTAGCTGTGGATGCTGTGGATCTGATGTGTCGCTCCCAGCTTGATATCGAGCTGCCACGATGTAGAGTACTAAGAGGGCACCGTGGGTCGCCGCTGCGATGGGGGGGAAGAACAGATGCAGAGCATGGAGGGGTAGCTTGACAATCAGCATGAATGTGCTTAGAACACCAATCACTAGATTGAAATTTGTGATGCTATTATCAAGTCAGTCGCGAATCATTCGCTGGTTGTCCGGCAGAACTAAAGAAGACATACAACGATGACCACACCATGGGCGCTGAATAGGGCCGGTGGTTAGCGGCGGCGTATAGCGCTTCATCAGGAGCGCTGTTGAAGCCGTTGTCGGCACCATCCTGCCAAAGTAATGTCCGGTACGTATTGTGCGATGCAATTCCCGTCAGAGTCAGAACAACGACCACAAAGGGAAATTCAACGGCCATCAACCAGTAGGCCAGCTTGTAGTGTCGATGCTGCCTGGGGAAGAAGAACTGCATGTTGGCGGTGACGAGCGAGCGCGATCAACTCCAGCTGAAACACTTCTACTCCAAAATGGCGGGCGACGACAATAATAATGGAGTTACAATGCGATTTGGCCAGGCCGGCTGGCTGAGACCTCCAGTGCTTCGCATGTAAAATTCAGAAGATGAAGCTCCTGCGCAGGAAGGTAATAAGATCAGAACGGCACGAGTTTGGGCGATCCGGACGATGGGCGTTAGATATGAGGTCGAGGGCCTCAGACGGCCAACCTTTCCGTCGCCCATGGCCGGACTGCAGAGAGGCGCACGAATCAACAGCGCGAACGCATGCAGCGAGCCCTGGCAATGTGTCTGGGAGATGCATCTGACCAATGCTTGCTGGCGGCAAAGCGCCAGCACCAACACCCCGACAGGGCTGTGGCACCAATGAGATGGCGGAATCGGGGGATGAGCTGCCGGTCGTCACACACTAGTGAGTGTGATGAGAAGACGGATCTGCACAATCACTCCGCAAAGAACTTCAGCACACAAACTCGGACTAGTTGCATGGCGATGGGCAGCGCTTGGCGAAACGCTGCGGTGGGGGAGGTCGAGTTCGTGCGTGATTTGATCTCGTTGCATGCATCCCGCCCCAAGTCCAAGTCCAAGTGCTTGTACAGAGTATGGAGTATGTACTTTCACATCGGTGGGGTGTTAAAGGTGGTCCCATCTCGATGGACCTGAAAATGACATGAGACCCTCCTCCGTAGAGCAATCAGACCATGCGAGAAAATAAGAATTTGGTGACAGGGTTGGCAGTTGATCACTGTAGAATCCAATCCAGTGGTACCTTTGAATGTGATGGGAGGAAGTCATGTGGTCTCCCATCACTTCACATCACAGCAAGAGCATTAGCATTAGCAACAATCTGCTACTCCACCACCCCATCACTCTATCACTCCATTGGACGTGACTTGAGTATCCATTTTCCGGCCACATTAGTATCCTTGTCCTCGGTTATACGTTGCATCCCCACTGCATTACGACGGGGTCTAATGAGAGCTTTCCGACCGTACTATCGGCCAATCCAGCGGCTAGCGCTTCACCGAGGCCAACCCCGACCTTCAAACAGGCAGTTCCATTCGGGAAGGCGTATCAAGATGAGCTCCCAACGTGAAGACTCCATCCCGCACGAGCTGCGCACGGCGGCAGAACCCCGGCAGAACCGACTGTATCCTGTGCGTCTATCACATGTGGAGCAAGTCAACCCCTCAGTTCGACTACTGCAGTTCGCCATTCCGCCCCAAGAGAGTAGTGTACGTCAACACCCACTCCAGTCTAGGAACCACTGTCCTAGTAGTCTCTCCAAGAAAAAAAAAGTACAGGGCCTAGCTTCAATTGAGGCACCTTCTGTATCATTGAGTGGTTGCACTTGACCAATGATGACCAAACTATATACCCCAACGTCAAAAGGGACTCGGAGTGTCAGGCTTATACATTGTACTTCTATAGGATACCCAACAACCTTTTTATTTTCTGCCTGGCCAATGGCTAGATGTTCACATCCCGTCCATTTCTCAGGCAGGTGGTTTCACTATTACTTCCACCCCTGCAGATGCTCAACTTTTACCGCCGCTTGATTCCCCACCAAGGTCGATGGCTAGCGAGGAAGCGGATATAACCACAGCGTCACAAGGTCGTGCTCCATACGTGGAGCTAGCCGTGCAGGAATCTCCTTCCAACCCATCTGCCGCGTGGCTTTGGAAACCGAAGGAGGATATCCTCGGTAAGGAAATCAACATTCGTGTCGGGGGAAGCTTTGTTTGGCCACCCACCGGGGTGGATCTCCGTGACGTTCAAAATGTTATTTTTGTTGCTGGAGGCGTTGGTATCAAGTACGATTTCCTACTATCCCTCCACAAGCAATGCCATTGGATTTATGCACATCCACTGGTATACATACAATCAAGTACATCGGGAACAGAAATTGTACTAACACAGTTTCTAGCCCTCTCATCTCCATCCTGTCACATCTTAATAGCCAATCTTTTAACGCCCATTCTATCAACGTTCATTTCCTCTATTCCAGCCGACTGACGACTGGGGTTGAAACCGCATCATCTCAGGCAGCCTTGGAACAGGTGTTGTTCCTATCACGGCTTCGGCAAATCATCCGTACCCAGTTGCATTTGCAAAAGTTCAACATCTCTCTACAACTTTTCCTTACTAATCTCAAGTCTTCTATACTTGAGCCCTCCAGCAGCCTTGCAGACCTCGCTATTCATTCACGGAGAATTGGCGAAGATGATCTCCGTGCAGCAATCAAAGATAGGGATGGGAAAAGAGACCCACAGAAGACGGTGTCTTATGTTTGCGGACCACCTGATATGACAGATGAGATGGTCGATCGCCTAAAGAAAGTTCTTGATGATCCAAAGGGACAGCGAATCTTCTACGAGAAATGGTGGTGAGTGTTGAAATCTAACGCCCAGAAGACTTATTCAGCACATGGTTGGTCTTCAGTCCCAGGTGCTGGACTTTCAAAACAGGAACTACAGATATTCACAAAACTTGAAAGATGGGAAATGTTGAAATATTCAATAAAAGATAGACACCTTACAGACTCCGACTTCTTCCAAGCCACGGGGGAAAAAAAAGAAGGATAGTATATGTACAGAGTAAAACGGACAAAGCCGTACGCACAGAAGCGACAGTATAACAAGAGCAGAGCTCATGTGGAGAAGTAGACAGATAAGAAAGGAAAAGAAGAGAGAGGGAAAGGAATATGCTTTCTGTTAATATGATTCGCTGGAACCTTTGACGGCGCCCCCGTCGACAATCATCATATCATCGAGTTTGGCCTCAGTCTGGCCCCATTCAAGACGTTTATAGGTCGTCACACGGCCGGGGCCAATGTCGAAGTCAAAGAAGCGGATTCGTCGAACGTAGTTGTCATAACCACCGTAGCCCCCCATGCCAGCACCACCGCCGTAGCACATCCAAAGGGAGGGTTTATCGTTTGAATCTTGATCCAACATGCAATAGTCATTGGCATGGTCGCTGAATAGATGTTAGTACCTGCAGAGAAGTAATCACAGAGGGAAAACGTATTTGACTTACTGCCCACCAGTGACAAATAGAACGCCCTCTTCTTCAAGAGCATTCTTGAATCCGGAATTGAATCCAGGTGCGGTTGGGGCTTCTTTCCATTGGCCCTTCCAATATCTGTCTGTGCTTCGGTACTCAGGGAGCGGAATGTGAATGAAAGCCACATTCATGTGGATGTGGGAGTATTCCCGGTGTTTCTTTTTTAAACTCTGGGCGGTGTTTTTGAACCAACGAATCTGACTTGGTTTAATCCAATCGTAGCCCCTGAACTGGCGTTCATCAGGCGAATAGGAATGTGTGTCAAGGAGATAAAAAGTGAGAGCAGAATGTTGGCTCTTTCCACGGTCGAGAACCTCGACAATATAGTTTCCGACCCCGTCAATGTCTTCGGGGCCTGCGGTTGCAAGGGAGTAGGGTAGGTCTTCGTAGATTGACATGAGTTGTGCTCGACTGAGGTCACCTTCGTCATCATGGTTACCAAAAATAGCTGCATAGGGAATTTTGCGGTCGACAAGAAGTTTCACGGATTTGAAAAGGGCACTCTGGGCATCAGGCGCAGTTTCGCCATTGACCTGATCACCGGTGAACACAACCATATCAGGCTTCTCCTCGTCGAGGAGACGTTCCACGAACTCCAAGGTTCGAGGATCGGCCTCACACTTCTGCCCTGGCGTAGTTTCAACTGGGACAGGGTCCCGGCAGTCACCAAGACCAGTGCTGAAATGAAGATCTGCCAGTTGCATCACCTTGAACTTTCCGTGTTCGTTGATCCTGGGAATAGGCCTCTTGCTTTTGGTGGGGTTTCCGCGTCGAATACTGAGACGAGTCTCCAATTTCTCCGTCCGACCATCCAACAATAGAGGAGTATCTTTTACTTCCCAATTTGGACGAGGATCCACAGCATCTGCACCAAAAAGTACGTCGATGTATGTCACTGCCTTTTCTGAATCACTGGCGTGGCGTGAAGAGGATCTCTTTAACCAAATACCGCCTGGCCGGGACTCCCAGGACTCAACTTCCCCTTTGGCGTTATTGGCGGCGCTATAATCGGTCGGTGGGGTGAGTCGACTGATTTTCATATCAACAACGACTCGGTCATCTGGGCCCAACTCCTCTTCCTTCTTCCGCTGGAATTGAATATAGGCAGTCGAGGTCCAGCCCGAGCGCAGGTAGAGATCTTTGTGAACGCGGTGCCAAAGATCGAGGTCCGTGTTGCAAGTTGAGAAAGGGTTGAGTGAGGAACATTTAATGATTGTGACATCGGTGATCACGTATCCGGAATAGTGCATAGGCAGGTGGCCATGGATGGACTCGGGAAGGACACGGAATCGATTATCGAGGAAGAGAACAACGAGGAGGACAAATGAAACGAGTAGGCCGAGCTGTACGCCCGTACGGACCTAAGAACAACAGTCAATTTTAACCAGAAACAGTGAGAACCGAGAAAGGAGGCCATACGAGCCGGCGAGCCATGATGAAGCTGGTATCACCCTGGCAAGGACTTGGTCAAGAGGTGGGAGACGCAGTGTCGCATGATGCCACCCACGTTGAAGGGGGATACTATGCAGGCCACGAGAAGACCGTTAGGTTCAGGTCAGCTCACAGAGCCATGGAGCCACCAAGAAAAAAGAGAAAGATGAACAAGCAGATAGTTGTTTTGGAACAACGAGACTCGAGGCTGGGCCACGCCTGGACCCGCAATCACAAGGCGGTCACCCCAACTCCTGAAGAGTCCCGTCTCCCGTCGCTCTCTCCGCTTTTTCCCAGTGGTACAAAGTGTGCAAATCGTACGTAGTATAATTAGTATAATTAGTATACTACATATCAGATCAAGATTGAAAATTGAACCCATTGGTTTCTATTTCTTTCTATTCAACCATTGGCTTTGTGCAATTATATCATCTAAGTCATCTAAATCCTGGTCATCGACCATCAAGGAATGGCCGGTTCATTTACAATTCTCTCAATTTTCTCAGATTCCGTCGAATCTATGCACTTTTGGTGGCGACATCAGCGGGTGACACCTTACCGGCAAGGATATCTTGGGTGGTCGACAGGATAGTAGACCAGTCCTGGAAGGTTGTGTAGGGCATGCCTCGGCGCTCGCAGAAAGTCACTAAATCTATAAACAAGCCTGTCAGTTCCCGATGCTCAACAATCGATGCTGGGGCATCTTTGAGCCAACTTACCTTTACCAGCCTTGGCGAACAGGAGGTTGGTCTCCGCGGCAGCCGACAAATCGGACACACCGTCACCGGCGTACAGGAGTACTGGGCGTTCGCTGTCAGGCAGAGCAGCGTAGGGCTTGATCTCGATGGACTTGTCGTGGCCGAAGTGGCTAGAAAAGGCAGGTGAGCACTACCATTCAATACAGCACTCATGTTGGAAAGTGCGTCAGAACACGTACCTCTCGTCGTGGTACTGGATTTGCCAGCCACCCTCGCTGTTGATATCCTTGCCGTCGCGGGGCACCACCTCGTTGCAGACGATGTGAAGGTGGTCTCCGGGCTTGTGGCCGAGGAACTTCTCGAGCAGCGCACTAATGATGGGCTTCATGCCGGAGGACAGAATGACGATAGGAACATTGTTGTCACGGGCCCAGTAGTAGAACTTCTCGAAGTATGGGTCCAGCTTCATGTTCTTCAAAAGTGTCGCGATACACTCGTCGTAAGGGGTCTTGATGCTTCCGAGCATCTCACGGAAGGCGTCACTAGCGCGGAGGGGTACAAAGTCAGAACAAGCGCCTTAACCAGTTAAGGGTCTCTTCATTCTTACCGGAACCCAAGGGTCTCATCGAGGACCTTCTCGTTCAATTGTTGGCGACGCTCGCGGCCAAATCCGAGGTTGTCAATCTATGCGAATACCGTCCGTCAGTCGAGGAATACGAATATGGGGCACGAGACACGGACCATGAAGTCATTGCCTGCAGTATTTATTAGTAGGCGCACTCAAACCCAGACCCAGGGTTGAAGAGTTCAGTACTCACTATCGTCGACGGTGATCGTTCCGTCGAAATCAGTGAAAAAGATCAACTTAGGCTGAGTTGCCATGTATGGCAGCGCGGTAGAACCCATTGTGAGAAGAATGAACAAGGAAGATCACAGGAGATGTGTAGCGGAGATCAAAAGGTGTAAGTTCGTGAGGTGAACAGGTTCAAGTTCAACAATTGCGTACGAGTAGAGGAGAGTCGAAAGATCTAAATGGAGGGGGTCCCCCGGTGAGCGGCGAGGGGAAGCCGGGGAGTGGAACTCGGTGGGTCACCGTCAACCGCGGGCTTTTGGGCGCCGCAGCGAGATTTTCCCATTCAGGATATCTTGAGCTCCAGCTATGGCCCGTCTCCTCCAGTCATTGCGGCAACTGCTAGGCGTGACGCCAGCTGTTGGTCCTGCTGGCCCCCGACCCCCGGTCTTTTGACCCTAATTTCTCCATCTTTCGAGGTACGTAGGCCCCGGATCGACTGCCCCCATTTCAGTGTGTGGACGTGGCTAACAGAGACGCGCAGAGGGTGATCGCATTGTGCTTCACAATAGGCAACCGGTGTTGACGAAACCATTGAAGAAGGGTGACAAGACAAATCTTCGTCGTGGACATCTGGACCATGATCGTGTTATTGGAAATCGTGTCTGGGATTCTGTGCAGGCTCACAAAGGTAAGACAGGTATACTTTCGCGATGGCGATCGACGTGACTTACCAGGGAACAGGCCCCGACGTTCGACCAAGCCTTCCAACGCTAGATGAATACGTTGCTTTAACACCTCGCCATGTGACACCGGTATGCGCTTCGCCTGATTGAACAATTGAAGGAATCAGAGTCGAGACGGCTGCTCACGCCAGTAGATCTACCCCCACGACGCCAATTTGATCGTCTCCCTCCTCGACCTCCACCCTAATACCCCGGCCGCAGGTGTGAACGAACCTCAGATAGAGATCCTTGAATCCGGCACCGGCCATGGCTCCTTGACTCTGCACCTTGCGCGTGCCATCCACGCCGCTAACTCGACTCCGCCGCCTCATCCATTGAAATCCCAAATCCGATTCCTCGAAGATAGAGCTACACGACCAGGAGAAGAGGACTCGGAACAAATTGAGGGTAGCCAGGCTCAGAATGCCGATGCCGATACAGTGCAGGAAGAGTGGGATACATGGCGAGCGCAGCGCAACGCAATCATTCATACCGTGGACGTCTCAGCCAAATTCTCCAAGCTTGCCGAGAAGAACGTGCAGGGGTTCCGTCGTGGAATGTATGGCGGAGATGTTGATTTCTATGTTGGCCCAGTTGAGGACTGGATTGCAGAGCAGAAGAAGCAGCGAACAAAGACCGGCGTGCTATCTTCGTTGACAGGACAGAGCTCGGTCGAGCCGTTCCTGTCACACGCGATCCTGGACATGCCGTCTGCACAACTTCGAATCCCGCATGTTGCGCCTATGCTGAAACGCGATGGCTTCCTCGCTGTCTTCGTGCCGAGTATTACTCAAATCGGCGATTGCGTGCGCCTGATTCGCCAGCACCATCTGTCTCTAGTCCAAGAGAGGGTGGTGGAGCTTGGCATGGGCATTTCTGGCGGCCGTCAATGGGATGTCCGACTCGCGACGAAGAAGTCGGGAGCCGATCCTGCCTCGTGGAGTCCATCTGCCGAAGCCGAATCGGACGATGCGTCGGCTGACCCCGCTGAAGACCTTACCGAGATCCCCGTTTCCGAAGTCCCATCCAAAGTGGATGAGATGGTTATGGTCTGTCGACCGAAGGTCGGACTACGGACCATGGGCGGCGGCTTTGTGGGGATCTGGAGACGCATTGAAGATCTCCCCATCCGGTGATTTCTGATATGCTATACCCTCGTCTCCATTGTACTATACCATTTGCATCAACATGTGTACCACTAACTCCAGTCGAAACCACCATGAACAATACATAATAGATACTAGCCACATATATAAAAGTGCGATCCCGAGAATATGTTCAATTTGCCCACCTATCATGTTCAAGTTTATGATAATCACAGCTTAGACTGGTTCTCCCCGGATTTACCAAGAATCCAATTCGAGACATCGCGGCAGAACTGCGCCCTGGTATCAGGCAATTCGGCCTGCAATTTATGATAAGCACCCTCGTAAGAAGCGAAAACGACATCCCCCTTCTCGGCCAGCAACCCAGCCAAGCGCTTCGTAGCCGGATGGCTCGTAATGTGATCCTGGTCGCCATGAGCGAGCCACATAGGCAGAATATCAACGCCCTCAAGCTGATTCTTCGACAAATTCTCCAGCCACAATCCACGATCCAGCATGCCAGCCAAACCGCCAAAAGTTCCAGTCTCGTGGCACAGATTATCGGCCTGGAAATCAGCTATCACCGATTTCTCTCGAGATACATGGGACGGGTCAAGAGGGGAGTGGCGTTGCATCCGAGGCAGAAGCTTCGCAACGACTCGGCCGGCCGTGACTATGAATCCCCAAGGGCGCGATGCTGGATCCAGTGCGATGAGCGGTGAAAGTACTAGCAACCCGGCGAGCTTGGGCTGAGAGCCTGGTTGGCGGTATGGCGAGTCTGGGTGCAGAACATAATTCAGTACTTGGCCGCCGCCCATACTATGGCCTGCTAGGAAGAGGGGTATGCTCTGGGCTTGAGCGTATGTGGCGACGCTGGCAATGAAAGAATGCATGTCGGCGAGGACGACTGTTGTGCTGCCACTGTTACCGCGGTCTTTGAGGCCGTTAAATGTGCGACCCCAGCCACTGGTTTTGAAGGTTAGTTGGGTTTTCGACTCTTTTCACATATGTATTATCAGATCGAGAGACCAGGGCATATGATAATGACTCTCCGTGGGATCTTTTGCGACACGTACCGTTGATCAAAGGCTCTCACCTCGATTCCAGATGCAGCAAGGGTTGGGAATAGGTCATAGTGGGTGTTACCTGATCAAGTCAGAGATTTGTTTCAAATTGGTAAATTCGGGGGGAAACTTACAGTGATCGCTGAAACCGTGAATAAAGACCAAGACTGCGCGAGGTGATTCGGTTGTCTTATTCCAAGTTGGTCAGACTGGTATCGTTTCAAGGGGTTACAACAAGGACCAACCTTCCAAGCCTTGGAGTAGGCTTTTAGCCCATCGGGCAGAGTATGAGTACCTTCTTCGGTGGACATCGTTCGGATGGATCGTGTTGGAAAGCTATTGGGAGTAACAAATGATGTTGGGGTGGATTGGAAGCTGTAGCGGGTCTGATACCTACCTGGGTAGGTATATTTACCGACTTGATTTGACATGTGATGCCCAGGTGTGGAGCCAGTGGGCAGTCAGCATCGGGCTTGAATGCGGGCGACCTCGACCTAAGAAGATCTAGTGCCGTCTTGCTATGTTACTACTCGTAGTTACTAGGAATTGTATGAAAACTTGAAGGCCATGCTCTATTCTCAACTGGATAGATAGTATGGCAGGACATGGACCAGACAACTCCCATCGCCGGTAAAGAAACGGACATAAACAAAAAGACATCAAAAGAGCAAACCCGCAAAGCCCTTCGGCCACCTGGTCCACCTGAACACCAACCCCCGCCCTAAGCGTCGTGAAACCGTTTCAGATGACGTTAGAGATTAGGTGAGATGAAACCGAGAGATATCAGGATAATACCCAACAGGAAGAGCAGTCGAGAAAGGGAAAAAGAAAACAGGGCGTGGGGAAGAGGAGGCAAGGAGGGAAGCAAAATACCTAGTCGAAGCGGCGACTTGAAAATAACCTCTTCGATGGGCGAGTCGGTACGACTGAGATATGCTTGAAAGCAAGAGGTTAGGGGAAAGCGAGACGGAGAGAGGGGAAGAAAAACATGAAAGGAGACGAGTTCATAATCACGGAAGGAGAGAAAAGAGAAATAGTGAAAGAGAAACGACAACAAGAAAGATAAGTAGAAGACAAGACGTAAGGCAATAAGAGAGCAGGCTAACTAACCCACCACCACCAAAGATTCCGAAATGACAAGCACTAAAGAGGAGAAAAGATGAAAATCCCGACTACACAAACACCCGTCTCGAAAGATCAATGCTCCGCATCAGTGCCGTTGTGGCCCAAAATCAGCCTCCACAACCTTACCCTTTTTCCCCTTAATGGTAAACTCCGCCAACAATGCGACATGATCAGAAGGAAAATGGAAATTGGGGAATCCAGGAACCCGTCGAAGGTAGTCCTTGTCCACCTCCCCAAGCAGCGCCGACACATGTAGTGTATTGGAGGAGTACCACACATAATCCAAAATGTCTTTGAAGTCGGGCGTGTAGTTGGTGAAACTGAGCTCCCCAATGGAACCGTATGCCGATTTCAGCTTGAACGGATGTGTCATACCAACCTTACTCAGGTTGCCGTATAGGCGCTTCTCCAGATCGGGGTGCGCCTCGATCAAACGTCCACTGGCAATTAAGGTGTATGCCGCGGACCCAGGTGAGGAGTTGAAGTCACCACACATGAGAAGTGGGATTTGATCGCCGCTGGAATACTCCATAGAGGGTGCAGGTTCCACGATGGGAGCTTTCTCCGAGCCAGTTTCAGCCTCAGAAAAGCGGAATGCAGTCTTGTCAGTGCAAGCAGGCCACTTGGCGTAGTTGTCGGAAAGCTTTGTGATTTCTTCCATCATGATGGCGGTTTGAATGAGCTTGACGTCCTTGAAAGCCGGGTCCCAGTACAGATGAGCATTCACAACCATAAATCGTGCGCCTGTCTGTCGGTTCTCCAGGAAGACGACAACTGCAATGTGATCCTTTTGCCACAGTCGATTGTAGATATCATCCTGTCCCTTAGCATCTGGTCGCCGCACAGCAGTTTGTCCAAAGTTAATCAACTGTTTGTCCAGAAGAATATACTTGCTTCCCTTGAAGAAGGTGGCACATCCATCGATGGTCTTTGCATCCTCTTCTTGCATGCCCATCGCACGTCCGCGTGGCCAATAGACACCCTTGTAATCGTTGTATGCAAGTTGTTCGCGGAAGAAATTGTTGTAGCTTCCTTGGTCAACCTCCTGCAGACAGACAATGTCCGAGTTATGGGATCGTAATTCGTTTAGAATGAGTTCCCGGCGAAACTCCCAGGAAAGTACACGGGCGGGGGCATAGCCATAGTGGGATGCGGTGGCAGAGGAATCGCAGAGAGTGTTATATGATAGGACCGTGATCTTCTCGGTGGGACTGTTGGTCGTGCTGGCGGTTTCATCGAGGATGACCCAATCACGATCAGGGGGTGGGATATGAACTGAGAAAGAAAAGAAAAAGAAATCAGTCGACCTGTATAAGAAAGCCTGACAGGCGATGGTTTAATGACTTACCAGGAGCCTCTTCCTTGAGGTATTTGATGAGGGCTTTCGTTCCATCCTTCATCAACTGAGATTTGAGAACCTCATTGAGTGGGTTGCCTTCGATTCCCAGTGTGTCCAGTCGGTAGAGATAGCCCACTTCGTAGGGGAGGGTGCGGATGTTGTTATCAAAGAGGAGGAGGTTCTTAAGGTTGGAGAGCATGCCGATCTCCTCGGGAATCTCGGTGAGGTCATTTCCGGACAGGTCAAGGTGGGTGAGTTTGCGCATCTGTCCGATCGCAGTGGGCAGGGCCTTCAACTTGTTGTGGTTGAGATACAGCTTCTCGAGGAAGTTGTAGTTGAATAGCGTGGGAGCCATGGCCCGAAGGCCCTGACCACCGAAATCGAGCGCATTCCAACCTTGTCGCGAAACTGCCTTCTTTGCAGGTGTCCCATTCCGAGCTTCGTTCCCATGTTCCGAGGAGTCGGGTTGGCTGGGCATGATTTGGATACCTTTAGACTGCTGTGCCATGATCCGGGCGTAGTAGTGAGGAGAATTGGCCTGTCGTGACTCGACGTGAAGCTGAAGTTGCCGGGCCCAATGCTCGCTGATTTGATCGTCCATATCGTCATCTACCGCGGTCGGCCCTCCATTCTGAAGGTGGGAAGTCGTGAAGTGAGGGGTCGTCGTGGCCAAGGCACCGCCGGAGAAGGTGTGCTGGGGGATATTGTGCTGGGGCTGGGCATGGTGAGGGTGGTGATGTTGCTGATTGTGGTGGGGGTGATGAGTTTGCGACTGATACTTGTTGTTCATCTGCATGGCAAACCGCTGATGGCTCTGACCGCCATTCATCATGACATGTTGTGGATGACTTTGTCCGTACATAGTGAGAGGGTTCAGCGCGGCTGATTGGTTTACAGGCGGGGATCGAGAAGGAGAAGGAGTGTCGTGGCTGAACTTCAGTCGACCCGGAGAGTTGGTCCCGTTTGGAATGGCGTGTCGTTGGTGCGAGTGTTGCTGCGGTTGTGTTTGGAAGTAGAACTGCCCGGCCCCAGGCTGCTGGAACCTGTAGGTACCATCTGCCATCTAACGGGGCAGACGAGACCGTGGTTTATTTCCCTGGTGAACGACCGGGGGGGGGCGGGCGAGTGGCAGAAGGTTCGGAGTGGAGCAGACGAGGAGAGGAGTTGGCGATCGGTTACGGTCTCTTCTCTTCTTCCACATAGGGGCCTGCAGCTGAGCCACTCCGTATGAGAAAGTAAAATTGGAGTTTGGCGGTCACAGCAGACCTTGCGCGGAGGTTTGAGTCGCAGACCGTCCCGGTTGGGATTCAGCGTTATCGAAAGGGCGGGAGGTGGGATGCGTCAGAAGGTAAAGAACACAATCTAATTCAATTGTCAGATGATGTTCAGATTGAAAGATCTTGTGTATTTGAAGCAGCACGGCCAGGGGAGGCAAGTACATACGATTGTCTTGTTGGGAGGGGCGTTGATAGCAGGGACCAGATGACCCAGCTGGGTTGGAGGTTTGAGAGGCGGGAGATCCAGTCACGTGATACATACCGGATATGACTGTGCCAAGAAAAACCCAAGCAGCAACCCTGTCGGCTCGCGTTTCCACGATGATTTCGCTGGGTTAGGGGTTGGTGCAGGATAGCTTTTCTGGTCGAGTATTTCTGGTGAATGGCATCGTCAAGTCATCATAGCAAGGTTTTTTTAGAGGGATCAGCATCGCTTGCGATTGACCATGGCCATGACCATGACCACGACCACGACCACGAAGTACTATCAATTAGGAAAATCAACATAGTTTCAAGAAAATTTCCCAAAAAATGAGAAATATCTTCTTTGTTTATAATCTGGCTGGGGCCTCGGAGTACTATATGTACCGACCAGGTACTACCAGTAGTACTAGGCAAACAATGGGCATAGTACCAGACGAGCAGTTGCTCGGATAGGTAACTACTACCAGTATTTCAAGAACCACTTGCACCCTGGGACAATGGCATCCATAAATGAACCTAGTAGGAATCTAGTGTCAAATATACATCACATCAGTATCAGTTCACCTTCATTTGAATTTCCAATTTTACTGCTCACTTACTAGTACTATCGAAATCATGGTCATTGACCTAACCCTCTATTCCGGCACTGTCGATCCCATATCCCAGTGCTACCGATTGGAGTAGTCGCCCTTCACATACTACTATATTATACAAATCTCTCTCATCGCTAACTTAGACATGTCATAGTCCTCAATTGATGTATAGTGCATATGCGGATTCACGTCATTTCTGATCGTGTACTCCGTAGTTGGATCTTTCTGTACAACACTTGCAAGGTTGTGTTTGGATGTTCTTGTCTTTAGAGCCTGCTATTCAAGGCATTAATCTTCTTCTCACCTTCCTTTATTATATAGCTAGTAGTTACTCCGTATTTAGTTAAGACTGACTATGTGCTGCTCCTCCTCCTGCTGCTCGTACTCCATACTGGCACCAACCCTCAATTAAGAAGCCTCTCTCTCTCTCTCTCTCTCTCTCTCTCTCTCTCTCTCTCTCTATCGGAGGTAATCGTGGCCCGTATCCCCCAATATTCTGCCGATGCACTAACAAGCGCTCGAAAGTATAAACGCAGCTAGTAGTATCTCCAAACTCATCCGCACTATCGATCTTGACTACCCCAAAACCCAAATGGAGAATCCAAAAAAGAGGCGGGTGTGAATGACTCTCTCCCATTATTGTCGATCACGCAGCCCCACCCCCTGCATTTCGCCTCTCCCACGGCCACCAACATCTATGGACGGCTGCCTGGGAAAAGTCGCCATCCTTGAGTTGGCAAGCCCAATGGTTACCTGCGACCACCTGCGACCCCCGCTAATTGCCGCCACCACCACTACTCCGATTCGTATTCGCGTCAAACTCAGCGAATCAAGTGGTGGCCAACACAAAAGCGAGCAGGTGAAGAATCTGACGAGTCCACACAGTGTGCAAGCAAAAGTACTGTCGATCAGCTACCTGGCTGGGCCTGCAGGTACCAAGTTGTGTTGGCAAGGACCCAGCAGGATGGTGGGATCGGTGGGGGAGAGTGTCAATAAGATGCCGTCCCACTGTGCTAACGTCAGAGCGCAGGGATAAGACAGCCGGACAAACACCGGCCGGACCTGAAGAACGGAGAAGAAAATCAACCGCCATCAGGGCACGGGGCAACCCGGTATCAGATAGAAAGGCGAGGCTAAACCTGGTCAGTCGCTAGTGATGCGCCGGGTACCTGAGAATTGGGACGACGGTGGACATGGCGGGCAGGGATCTCCGTCTGAGACAGTATGGATCCGTACTGTGACCACTCTACGTACAGTACTAAGGAGTACGAGTAATCCACAATGGAGTCTTCACCCAAGGTGCAAGTGCAACCTCCAGGGGTTCTCTCCATATGGCTTAGGGGGTACGAGTATACTAATAGACAATGTCGGATGGTAGGTCCATGCTGTACTTTTGGCAGTGATACATCGCATTGCATCCTCAATCTCTGCTATCCGAGCATCGCCCAATGCGTGAATGTGAACATCAGAGGCAGACAGGGCAAGCCAACAGAGAAATGCCGAAGACAGTTTCAGCCAGGATCTACCCCGATGCCGCACGTGTCAATAAACGCACGCACCGGACGGGGACCCCGGCGAGGATCCTTCGGGTCGTGGCGACCCCGCTAGAGGGGCAAAGATTGAAGATGAGGAGGCAAAAGTGTCAGCTGAACATGCAATTTTAGAGGGGAATAGGATGAAGCTTTCCGTGGTCCGTAGTCCGTAGTCCGTAGTCCGTAGTCCGTACGGAATACGTAGACGCTGTATTCCACTCAACATGTCAGATACTGGAGTCCCATACCATGCAGGAGTTTACATAGAGCTGCATACCTACACTATGTACTATGGATGTCCACGCATAGTCTATTCGATTCGTTTACCTATTGCGGCGACGGAATCTCTGGAACCGGGGGGCTCTAGCCGGGCCCAAAAGGATCCCCGTGTCGACTCGATGATGTCAACACTAGCTGCAGTAGATACGAGGGCATAGGGTACTCGGTACAGATGAACTTCTCAAGACATACTCGGTAAAGATGAATCCAATGGACCCCCCTTAGCCTGGGACTCAATAGTGACTAGTAGTCCGAAGTACCCGAGAATACCAGTCTACACAAATCACCAATACTCCATTACGTGAAGGAGCTAGCTCCCCTTCTGGCCTTGGAGTGGATACGGTTCAATGCCACTGCGATCCAGGGGCCCCAAGTCCACGACTTGTTCTTGTTCTTGTTCTTGTTTTTGCTCTTGCTCTTCTTTTCTTCTCTGTCCTTTCCCCCTCTCCTAGCTCTTCGTTCTCGTCCTTTTTAGTGAAACGGCGGCTCGAAGGGTTCTGCAGCCTACTAGTACTACTATTACTTCCCTTGCTCTTATCTTCATTTCGCCTATCCCGTCATCCCGTCTCTAACCCGTTTCTGGAAAAAAAATATCTTTTTTTTCCCTGTTCTTTTTCTTTCCCTCTTTTACCTTTCCAGAATTTTGGGGTCTGCGCCCCCGGTTGACACCAAGAAAGAATATTTTCCGAAAGCCGCTTGGATCGCTTCGGCTCTTCTACTTCCAATTTCTTTCACCAGTTGGCCCTTTACCCACCTCCTCGAACTTCTTCCGGCATAAACTTGGTGGCAGTCTTCAAAGGGTCCAAAGAAAGAAAAGAAGTCAAATCAAATCCAATCAAATTTCCAAGTGGCGTGAGACAAGGATGTCTTATCGTTCATGAACCCGCCCCAATTGCAACTGCGAGAATGCGAACGGAGATATTGAAGACGGGGACAAATCAATGCGCTTGAACCGGTGATGGACATGATGTCGGCAGGGACGGCCTCGTTTGCCGCGGCGTCCGGCTCTGACGTCCACTCTAACCTCAGTTCGACCTTCGCCGCCACCTCCTCCTCGTCCTTAAGTTCATTGACCGACTACTCCAACTACCCTTTGGCGCGCCAGGGGGACCGCACCTACCTTCGCGATCCCGAAAACCTCTACCCTCTCCCATGCGACCTCCCCGAAATCCACCGCCAGAGCTTGCGCACCGTGATGCTGTTGCGCGTCTTTGGCGGCCCGTTTTGCAACCCCCACCTGGCCAATCGCCCACCCAAGCGCGTCCTGGAGATCGCCTGCGGGTCCGCCTTGTGGTCTGGCCTGTGCCACGAATATTTTATCCGGCGTGGGCAACCGAACACCTGCTTCCACGGTATCGACTTTGTCTCTCTTGCCCCAGACCTACGCAAGCAGGGCATGAACTGGCAGTTTAAACGACATGACCTTCGCAAACCCCGTTTCCCTTTCCCGGACGACTACTTCGACTTGGTCTTCATTAAGGATGCGGGCATGTGCCCATCTAGTCCGGCGCAACAAGCTTCCGGGCTGAGCGAGCCCCTCCGAGTCTTGAAATCCGGAGGCGTTCTCGAGGTCTGGGACTCGGATTGGGTATTCCGTTCACTCCTGCCCAACCCAGCGCCCGCGCGGAAGACATCATCCAAGGAACAGGAGATCGCCGACCAAACCGCAACATATACATTTTCTTCCGCCACCCCGTTCACCAGGGCCCAGAACAAATATCTGGTAGACTACAATTCCTGGGTCGAGAAATCATTTGACCGTCGAAAGATTACAGCTTTGCCCTGCGCAACCATCGGGCTATCATTCAATTCGGAGGTAGATCTACTGGAAAACATCGACAGTCGTCGCATCGCCATTCCACTTGGGGAAGTACGATGGGAACGAGAAGGTCAAGGGAAAGATTCCAAGGGCCGCGCCCGGAAAGCCTTGACCCAGGAGCAGATTTCCATTCGGCGAACTGCTCTCTTGACTGTAATTCAAATGATCGAAGGGCTGGAGCCCATTCTCATGGAAGCCAGTGGGAAAGGACGTGACGAGTGGGACCGATGGTGGGCGGCTATGACCACCGACCTCTTCCAAAAAGGTGGCCTCGCCAGTGGCGAGTGTCTCGAAGTCAGTGCCTGGTGGGGTCAAAAGAAATGAATTGACCAGAGAAACCACGTTCAAGAATCGATTCCGGTGTTTTCGGTGGGCGCAAAACAAAAACAGTGATCAGTGATCGCGCTTCGTCTTGGTGATACCCCCAATTTGTGAATTTTTGTCTTTTTTTTAATCCTTATTTTTGTGACCTTTGTTTCTGTTTGGTCCTTTCCGGGGTTTCGGGGTGCATATACAAATGATTGGGGCATCTCATTTTGCAGAGAAAATGGCCCAAGAACAGGCAAGGTGTGTCATGAAGACTCATAACGCTTCTTCAGCGTTCGATACCGCTTTAGGTAGTACCTGTTGAGAGGTCTTGTCAGCGCCCATCAACACCAGGAGATGAATGTTGCGATCGCATGATGCTATGATGTATGATGAGAGAAATGTGTGCGAATCATGAACTGTGTCTAGCCCAGTGTTGTCCACAGGACAAATGTATAAAAGAATCAAAGAATGATCTCAAGTTCCATCTTTGAAGTAGAGAATGATTCCCAATAGCGAGACCTCGTGGGACTTTGGGGATCTGAATAGATATAAGGGGGATGGAGGGAATTCCCTTACAGTGCTTCGACCTCTGAGATTGATCGATGTTAGCATCCAGCTTGCCAAGGCTTCCAGAGATATAAAATAGCCTGAGATTGGGCTCACCTTTCTTCACGAACTCAGCGCGGGCAATACCCTTTCGAATTTCCTCCTCATCGGTAATATTTGATTGTTTCGAAAAGGCGCGATGAAGCCGATCGCGAAAATAGTGATAGCCGAGGGGGTACTCTCGGCCTAGAAAAAGGAGTTCTATTTCAAGTTCAGGTAAGCATCACTCTGTTGGGTCCCAGCGATGCGGATCAATGCATGATCGCAGGATTTATTGATGGCAACAGAGGACTCTCACCTTTGTAGACAGTAATTACCTGTCCGCGGAGCTCAGGTGCTACCATCGTCTTTCCAATCGTTGTGGATTTGTCTAGTGAACGCAGCAATGGCAATGGTTGATGCGGAGAAGTTGCTGGGCAAGGTTCGCCCCGCATATATCTAGCGTCTCCGCATCACGTGCAGTACAGTACACTGTATAGTGTTGAGTTGTTACAGATTGGAATTTTTACCATTCTTATCTCTTCTACATGTGCCCTCATGGGGAGGTTCTTTGTTATGCTCTTATGGATATACAAGTCCTACTCTACTGAAATGGTGGAAATTTGAAATTGGCAAAGAAAAACGTTAATTTATCTCAAAACTGGTTTGCAGGAGGCTACTTGAGCATTATCAAAGTAAAAAGGAAAAACAATACAAACAGCCAATCAAAGGCTATGTTAGCAGACATACCTAATTGTCAGCAGGCACAAAAACATCCAGATCAAATCGTATATTAGCACTGGATGCACACGGCCAGGTAGCGATTTTTCCAATTCGCCGAGTGCCTCGAGGGAACGCACTTAGCAAGATGGAGGCAACTGTCTTGCCGATTCTGGTGCCCATCAAGGCGTCAAACTGCGGGGTGCCATGATTCCACTCTTGTAAACCACTGCCACTCGGCCATCCTGCTGGTAAGTTATCATCCCCGTTGGCGCCGTAGAGATCATCTTTAATACAAGAAATTGTTTGCTTATTTATAACGCCCAATATAAAGATATATCTGAGGAACTGCAATGGATGGTAATTCTGATAAACAGCTTGAGATACTTCGGAAACATGCAAAGCAGCACTGTTCTCCTTCCTGTCAAAGAGGTCGATCATCATAACTCCTGGCCCGATTAGCCCAGTCCATATAAGGCCTGACTCATCGTAATTTGAAAGTATGATGCGATGAGATGTTCCAGGGGGAGTATTTTGAATCAGTGTTCGAAGGTCATCAGGAATTGCGGAGGCGTGGCCCTCCATGTCAGCGACTTCTCGCTTGATGCGGCTATCTGCATTCGCATACTCTATATTCGGTAAGACTGCCATCAGATCTTCGTAGGTTAGCGTGGATTGTTCAATCGGGCAGTTCGGCTCATCGGCATATTCTAACCATTGACGTCGCAACAACCCTTCTCCAACAAGCTCGTCAAATGGGCGAGCAGGATCTCTATCACTGCCAGAATACTCCACTTTATATGAAGACTCTGACCCAGAGGTCTCTGGCTCTGGCTGATATGCATAGAAAATCGGCCGTAGTCCACTCATGATGAGAAAAGGTGTGTAATATTGCTAAGTCCAGATCTGCTGGCGGTGGTGATGCTATGATTTGAGCTGGAGCTATCGGGCTTTTATATAATTATAAAATAATTCAGACACTAGTATTTTATCTCGAATATGGTCTGGCTTTGTGACTATCAGGAACAAAGAAAAGTTTGTATTCAAGTTCGTTCTTAATTTAGTTGTGAAATTGGCAATACAATCCATGGATTGTATGAAATTAGGTGAACAAAGCAAAGCAAATCTGAACAATCATTCTTAATTATCATTGTATTCCGTTCGAATATTGCAAACAAAGAGTTACAATGAAAACATCCGAGTCTCAGAAGCTTGGCCTTGTTAGACCATCACCGAGTATGTACATCCTTCATTAGTGCAGCGGGCCGACGGTAACCACGCGGGGTTCTCCCCGAGCCTGGCCCAAGCTTCCGAGGCCGCATTGCCATCCGCCCGATGGGCGATCGCATTAATCTGCTTCACGTTCCCCTTACAATTGCCCGTCATGATACCTCGATCAGCGCTGAGCAGGCAGTTGCCCTGCCCCATAATCTCGCCGTTTTCATGGCGCCATTTCTCTACGACCTCTCCCGCGCAAAACGCACGTGCCCCGACCTCGGCGAACACTCCTGCACGACCCCATGGGATTGATCCACGATGGCTCACCATGATGAAGCGACGAGTCGGCAAATGCATGATGTTTGGTCTCAAACCGACACAAGTGGATGATGCAGGTAAAATCCTGCAGCAATTGGCGCGTGACTGGAGGGAATTGATCGCGGGCAGCGAGGGATTCCTGACAGATGGGAAGCGACGGGGTTTGTATAGACACAACGTGGTCTGGGGAGAGATGGTAAGGAAATGAACCTGGAGCAATCTCAGTTAGCACATATTTACTGGATCTGCTAACGCTTAAGGTATTTACTGTCAAAATAGGATGTCATGGTAAGCTTGACCCCTTCCAACTGTAACTGGCGAATTGAATGCGCAGAGAATCGTTGGAAATTGGATTCATACTGACATATTAACAGGGTATGATTTGATCATGAATCCTCCTCCAAATTTGCTCATAGCTTTTCTAACTAATCTCGATCACAAACAGGTCATGTCAACAACGTCAACTATGTCAGATACGCCGAATCCGCTCGGGTAAACTGGACCCGTAATATCGGAAACCATATCGACGAAGCAAATAAAAAAAAGTGGCTTGCTTTGCTCAGCTCAACAGGTATTGGACTCATCTTGCGAAGCATCAAGGTGGACTACAAATTTGTACGTCTGGGATAAATTCCTGCTGAAATTTCGGTTGATTTAACAAAAATACCCTTGCAGCCTATGAAGTTTCCAGATAAGATCTCTGTCTATCACAAGCTAGTACAGGATCCGTCAGCATCGCTATCATCGCAATCGGCCTTTCAGCTGCAGGTTATGATCATGTCGGAAGCCCGGCAACGTCCTGCTGCTCGTTGCTACGAGGATATTGTCACTTATGACTACCAAAAGAACCGGAAGACGCCCGAACTACCGCCGTTCATCTTTGAACAGTTTAAGGATATTTGGGATCTGCAAGAGAAGGCACAGAAAGATTGGCAACAGTGTATTCTAGACATTGAGACCAAGGTCCGAACGCTCGAAGTGGAGAGTTGGGATCGTGCGGATGCAGTTGAGGATACAGGCTCGGCATCGCAATAGATTCCATCATGATACCATACTACTGCAGACTTTTGTCGACAGCCATTAGCTAATTATGCAATGAATGGGATGTACCTACATACTTGTGCTATCTAGTAACTACGATAGTGCATTGTAGATGACTCTTCATAAGATCAGAGCCATTAGTATACTACTAGTATAGAAACCACCACAGTAGCACTGCTGTATCTATTGCTCTATTTCACCAATCTATGTAATTAGCAGAAGCTATTGACCTATGCCAATAAGACAACATATCATAAAGTGCCAGTGAGGCCAATTACTTTGAGCCGCTCCCCCACTTTTTTTGCCGATAGGCCTCATTGGACCGGCTATATGGTTTGGTCTCCAGGCGCAAGTCCGGCATGTAAATGTCCCTCCACAACTAATGCCCCACCAAAGTCGCCTACTCGGCACTGCAGTTACCTCGGAAAGCGGACGATTCTCATTTGGTGCACACACGAGGCCCCTCACGTGTAACCTATTGAAGAGACCAGCATCACTCGATAGCGATTCACTGCTATTACACTTTACAGCCCAAATATCAATTTCATTATTCGCCATGGTCGATGGAACCCGAACCGAGCATCTCGCAACCTGGGCAGCTAACCTTCGGTATAGCGATATTCCCGACGATGTGGTCCAAAAGACGAAAGACTTCTTTTTGGACACGTTAGGATGCGCCATCGCTGGCCGCCATCATCCAGCTGTAAACGCCATGGCTCGGTTTGCGGTCCAAATGGGACCTTCTAATGGAAACAGCGAATTAATCGACAGTGCATTGAAATTCACAACTAGTCCGGCGTTTGCCAGTCTTGTGAATGGAGCCTCATCGCATGTAGTTGAGCAGGACGACCTTCATAACCGGAGTATCATGCACCCTGTAAGCTCTATCGTGTACCTCAGCATCACACCTGTCTTTTCTATTTGATCTTTGGGATGTAGCTTATTTGTGATAAGGCAACTGTTATTTTCCCCGCTGCTCTTGCGGTAGCTCAAGACCTTAAGTCTAGCGGAGAGGAATTCATTACAGCATGCGTCGTTGGATATGAAGTTGGCTGCAGGGTGGGCGAGTATCTCGGTAAAAGCCATTACGAGGTATAGTATAAATAAGCCCAGCAGATCCAGCCTTCTGCTCGAAAGATATAACTGACACTCAACAAGCGTTTCCATTCTACCGCAACAGGTGGTGTTATTGGCGTTGCAGCCACCACAGCACATCTTCTCAAGCTCAACGCAGAGCAAACTTTGTCCGCAATCGGGACAGCTGGAACACAAGCAGCAGGTCTGTGGCAGTTCCTAATGGACGCAACACATTCCAAGCAAGTTCACACAGGAAAAGCCTGTTTTGACGGAATATTCGCCGCCTATTCTAGCCGTGATGGTCTTCTCGGACCTCGAGATATCCTTGAAGGACCCAAGGCAATGGGTGTCGCCTTGGTCCCTGGAGACACAAACCCGGAAGCAATTGATCAAAATCTCGGAGTAGACTTCGAGGTGTCTCGTTCAAGTTTCAAATGGCATGCATCCTGTCGGCACACCCACCCCAGCGTCGATGCGTTGTTGAATCTGATGAAAAAGAACAATGTTGGTTTCGATGATATCGAATCGGTCGTGACTCGTACCTACCAAGCTGCTTTGAACGTATTGGGTCTTAGTGGAAAGGGAGAGACTGTTCATCAAAGCAAGTTCTCCATGGGCTTCGTTCTCGCTATCGCGGCAAAGAAAGGCCAAGCTATGATCACCGATTTCACCCAGGAAGACTTAGATGATGCCTCGCTAAGAGACTTCCAAAACCGGGTGACGATGGAATTAGACGCAGATATTGATAGGGCTTTCCCCGAGAAGTGGCAAGGAACTGTTATAGTAACTTGCAAGTCGGGTCAGAAATTCACGGAGTCCGTAGAATTTGCGAAAGGGGACCCTGAGCTCCCTTTGACGAGGTAAGAAATCCAAAGAATTATTTGCTCGCTATTACGACGCTAATACTTCACTTCACCGACAGAGAGGAGATCGAAAGGAAGACCAGGGCTCTTGCCAAATATGGAGGCTTCACCGATTCCCGCAAAGTTGACCAAATAATCAAAAGAGCGTGGAATTTGGAACATGAACGGGACACCAGGGGGGTTCGTGTTCTAATATACTTACTACTAGTACTACTACTAGCAAACATCATGGGCCCTCGCCAGGACACTGGCAGTTTATGCCCAGGTGTGATTGGACTCCGGGGCTTAACCTCGAATACACCAACTTGAACTGAAGTTTATCAAAGAATACAAGCCACGACAAAGACACGAAAGTAGTATATGTTTTGGGAGCAGCGATGTTCAAATGCGATTATGGATAGTGTAGTCATGCAAGAAAAATTCTCTAAAAAGTCAAGCTTCAAACGCCATTAATGCCAGGTGGAATAGACAAAGGGCTTGTCTATAATGCAGGATTTAACTCCGGATCTGCATGCAAATGTGTTGAACTGGGTATCTCATCTCCAAAGTTCGGCAAATTCAATGCATACATGATCGCAATGAGGATATGTTCAAGTTTGCTGTGACTTGGGACGAATGGGGAGAGTGGTGGAAGTTGTTGGTTCGGGGGGGACCTGAAACCTGAGAGGTAGCAGCGACTCTGTTTTCTTCATCCACTGCCTCCTCCAGCTCCTCTTCATCCCCCATAGATTCCGTGGAGCCCGCAGGGTGCGAAAGGGCCTCCGATGCTTGCGAAATCAAACTTGCACCAAGGTCAGCGCCTTCGCCTTCTAAATATTCGCTGCCCTCGCCATCACTTAAGTCCTCCTCGTAGTCTTCTTCGTCCGCATCTTCGTCCTCCTCAAGAATATCGTCCTCGGCAGCTTCCTCATCTTCTTCTTCGTCTTCCTCTCCCTCGTCCTCGTCCTCACTATCAGTGGTAGAAAAGGCATCCAAGTCCTGAGGCATGTCACGCCAATATGTGAAGTCTGTATATTCCTCGCCGCCAGATTGAACCAGGAGGCTGACGGGAGGGAAGAAGTGATCTAACAGCTCTTGCATAGTCACATAGCTGCTCTTGTATTTGTTCAGACTTAGCAAATCAAGTGAGACTTCGGCGTTCGAGTTGATCGTGAAAATCCGTGTCGAAGGGATATTGACGGATCGATAACTCAACGCATCGGTCAACCGATTTCCAAATCCGGCACAGAAAGGATTCTCTTTTCCGCAAAAAAGATTGAGAATGTCGCGAAGACATGCCATTTTGAAAACCTCTGGCTTTCTCAAGTAGATTTCTCGTCTCAGAGCAGCCATTGTTCGATCCGGACTGCAGATGACTGGGCCTTTGGGCAGCCGATAACCATCTTGACAGACACCGTAGAGATATGCACGAGTGGTGTCCGCTTGTCCGACAGATCGACTTGTGAGATACATAATGTTATAGCCATTATTGAGAATGTCAGTATATAATTTGGCCACACCTGCATGCGTCCAATCACGTCCGATCATGTTCAAAACATGACCCAAAGCGTCCGACCTGCGAGAGCCAGTTAGTACTATTTAAAAGTGATGTGGTATTCCTGGATTGTATGAACTTACTTCGTGATGGTCCCATCAATATCAGAAATAACGATAGGAGTATTGCCGCTCCACAGGTACATGGATGCAGTGCAAGTGGCTTTGTTTACACTGAAAGACATGGTATTCGGGCCCGGTTTCAACGCCAAGGCCTTCAGCTGGTCACTTGTCAAGCGCAGAGTCTTGGCATAATTGCGAGTCTCAACTGCGAATGAGTCGTGCATCGGTGAATGAGGAGGTGTAGGAAATCCAGGTTGGACATCGGACTTGGTTCGATGATGGCGTGCTGTCATCGATGGATCCAATGGGCTATGGTCACCCTCACTGTGATATCCGGGGTCTGAAATTGCATCTTCGCTCAATGCTGTGCCGGGTCGCATTGAGATTAAGGTGGCTCTTCGATCTGCCGCCTCCTTTGCTTCTTCACTGCCGTAAATCCATAAGTTACCATGTTCATCGGCACCGATGAGGGCCCCGATATCGTAGCTGCCTTCCAGTTCTTCTGCCAGAATCTTGCGAGCGAGAATCTCGGCCCGAAGAGCATCTTCTTCATTGCTCTTATAACCGGTCATGTCTAGCATCAGATCTCCGGTCTCATTGACATGGGATGGAATATTAGATCCCGATAATTTCTTGGACAGGGAGATCGCACGATCCATGGCTTCCTGAGGAGACACTGGAGGAGGACTGCGTGATCTATCTGTCTGCTCCACATCATCCTCAGATGCGGGGTCTGCGCTGACCATGGAAGTTCGGTCTCCTGGGGCAGATTGAGGGACACTACTTGAAAGTATGTCTTCCGACATGGAGTGATCGAGCGCGGGTTTGGCATTGAAATGAGCAGGACCGAGCTCCGAGTCCGCTGGAGATCGTGATAAGGGTGTGATTGTACCTGCGATGACACGTGTGTTAGAAACTTTCACTATGGAATGAAAATCGACCATCAATCATACCTAAATCCGTGGTTGCCCGCGACTGTCGCGAAAACGGCATGGTGGGCGGGGTTTTTGCACCTTCGGAGAGAGCATCGTTGCCCGACCTCTCCAGATCCAGATGCTCGGGTTCTTGGAGGGCCGATTCAAGATCGTCGGTTGGGACCTTTGGGCTGCTCGCGGGAGAAACCAACGGCGAAGTTTGCAAAGATGCGGGGATGTCATCCGTAGTTTCGAAGATGAAAAATGCTTCGCCTCCTTCCCCCAGTTTCATCGCATAATCTTGTTTGACACCATTGACCTTGAATTCCACCTTCTTTTCAAACGGACGCAAGAGTGAGAACTTGCCAAAGCGAACATGAAAGGGCGAGCAAGCGAGGGTTCCTTGGAACAGATATGTTAGCCTGGTCTCTCATCAAAAATAAAGACTGGTCTCTCGCTTACCATCTTCTTGTTCGATAACGATCACATCAATAGCTCCGCTCAATGTGGCTGGGTTGATCGAGTTCCACGTCTTGGAGACAGAACCGCTGATACTCCGAACGTACTGCATGGTACCGGTCGGCTTGGATGGCTTGGATGGCCCAGGGCACGGCTCCGATAAAGTCTCAATCAAGCTCAAAGACTCAAAACGAGTGTGGACGGCGTCGATGAGGCAGCCGATCAGCAGGAAGAGGGGAAGTGGCAGGTCCGTTGGGAGTCGCGGAACTTGACTCGCAAGTAAAGGCCGCCGCGCCGCCCATGTGACACTCAGCGAATAAGGACCAGGTGCATCACCGCCGCCACAAGACCTGTGCCGGAGATAAATAAGGGGGGGTGTAGAGAATGGAGATGATATAGACAAAGAATAAGATCTTCTTTTGTTTCTGCAACTAACCTACCGGGGTCTCCAAGATCTGTTGGTATTCATCAACATTTCAACCAGCCCAACGTTCTTAGATAAGCCGGCGAACCTGCCGAGGTCAGTTGCGTTGAGTCCATCCCCGTTTGGGTTTAGCGGCCGATCGGGACCCGTGATCGCACTAGCCCATTGAATGTGGTACACAATGGGATACACACAGGCATCCACAGGAGGGTGTACGAGCACGGAGTTGCAGGATTTGGTTGAGTTGATTATATCAAGTAGGGAAAAATCATCTAACTAATTCTGATCTTTCTTTCTTTTTTTATAAAAAAATAAAATTCGGAGATCTACTGTTGAATCATCTTCCAGATGTCTCATGTCCATCTATCTATATCTTCGATAAATCGGCGGCTACTACCATGATATCACCCAAGCACTTTTTAGAATACGTTTCTCCTGTACCCTGAGCAGTACCTCTTGAAAGGAATGGGCAGAAATTATCTTGATGCACCCTAAAAATGAGAAATGCAGTTTGACCATGATCTACATTTCCATGAGCGGGGGATATCAGGTGATGAGTCACGTGCACTCAGACATCCGCGCCAGCTAGGTGCGGCCGCCGGATTCAATAGCGTCTCCTCTCTCGCATATCAACCCCGTACACGCTGCCCGCGTCCGTGGGTGCTTGACACTGGGATGTACGAGCCACTGTATCTCGCCTTTGATGCTTATCCTACCGTCGTCCCACGAGTCAGGGTACGAGGCGTCATGGCTCTTTTTCTTGCGGTCTCGATCCTGTGGGCCTTGATCTGGTGAGCCTCGATTTTGTTTTGCGACAATCTTGCTGAACTGACTGTATCTCTTCTCGGAAAAGGCTTCTTTATCGCGCCTGGCAGGTTTGTCAGACCCCGAACGACATCTTAGTGGAGAAATTGGGATTGGATATCCCGCCACCGCCAGAGGTGACCCTCGAGGAGATCACAGCCCGTGAGATTCGCCTTGCTTGGAAGCAGCCAGATTTTCACAACTCCATACATAAGCACATCATTCAAGTGAACAATGTCAAGGGTACGTAGCATTTCCGTTCTCCCACCGATGAGGCCGCCTTTCCCCACGATCTAATGTACTAAATCTCCTCAGTGGGCGAATCGAAACGAGCGGAAACCGCCGTGGCAATCTTGAATCTCGTTCCAGGTAGCATCTATCATATATGTGTTCTTTCCGTCAGCGCTGCAAATTTCCAAACCCCGAGTGCGATCCTCCATGTGCGAACGAAATCTCTTCCATTGTCCCGAGCCCAACAAGATACCACCACCGGGGCTCCTACGATTCGGGCGTCTATTCCCAGATCCACAGTTGGACTGCCGACTCCTTCTGCCCCGGTCATGTCCCGCGAGCATAGTGCTGGTCAATTGCCTGGCAAGCGACCTTCCAGCGGTCGTAAATTATCGCCCGCGACTGGAACACCGGATATTGCTCATGTACATTCAGAAGAGCCGTATAGTAAGGGATCGGCGAGAAACAAGCGGGACCAAACTCTGGAACAACTCGCAGACCGGCTCAAGTCTCTACAGCAAGAGAACGATAACGTTGAAAAGCAAGCGACGGAGGAAGAAGACGAGCATAACGGCCTATTAAAGGATCTTGAGAAGCAACGTGATGACTTGAAGAAACGTGTGAAGGAAAAGGACGAGGTCAGCGGTGATCTCAAGAAGCATGTCTCGAAGCTTGAAAGCGTCAACCGCAGCGTGCAAGGCGAAAAGTCCAAGCGTCTGCGACTTCTTCAACAAAAGGAAGCCGAGCGCAAGAAGCGGAAGAACGATATTGTGCGATGGCAAGAGAAAGTAACTCGCATGGCCGATGACGCTACACAAGTCAAGGAAGAGAAATCTCGCTTGGAAGAAGACGGCAATACTCGGGCTGATGAAATCCGCCAGAAGATTTTGAAAGAGCAAACTGACATGAAAACCATTGACGACGAAATTCAAGATAAAGGCGGCAGAATCAAGAAACTCGAAGAGGAAAGACAAGGCGTCCAGGGCGATAGTGAGGATGGCAAGGAGTTGGACCGAATTGACAATGAGCGCGCCCGACAATGGGATGTCAAACTTGGAAACTTACATGCCCGTTATGCCACTCTCGTGAATCTTCATGCCCAGGCTCAGCAGCAGTATCAAGAGGCCCAGGAACGGCTGAAGTGGCTCACAACGCAGCGGACCAGTAACTCGGGACCGTTCTCTTTGCCGGCCTTGGATCTTGATATGTCGAATACTGCAACCATCCGACCTCGTCGCCACCGCAGCTCCCTGACCAGCAATGTCTCTTCCCCTATCAATTACCCTGGTATCGAATCAGCCTTCCCGGGAGGGATCAACTACAACCCACCTACCACGAGCTCGCCCACATTCCCTCCCATTTTCAATATCAATAATGGAATGACGCTTCCGGGCCTCTCGGATCCACCCGAAATTATGCGCTCTGATATGGAGGCCGCGTTCAGTAATCCGCAAATGAGTCCTCGTGCCGATGCCTTGCTACCATCAGATCTTCTCGGCGACGAGGAGTCGCCTGAATTCCCGCGACCTGTCACCCGACCACGATTTTCGACCTTGGATTCAGCACATAACCCTCTGGATGGCTTTGGCCATGGTCCCGTGTCGCCCGTTTCATCAGAAAGCAGGCCAGGTAGCATATTTGCCAGTCCTCTTGAAACACATAGTCGGCGAGATTCAGATTCTCAGGCAATGCACCTTTCTATTGCCGGAGAGGCTCCAAAGAGTGCATCTCGAAGGCTTTCTGGCCTTTTCGGTTTGCGACCTCGTGGAAAGACGCTGGCTGATGAACCTCCAATGCTGGGCACGTTGAAACCAGGACAAAGCCAGTCATTCCCTCGCAATGTTGATGAGCTGGACCCAATTGGCTCACGTCGCCGGAGGCTGAGCTACACGGGAAACTGGGCTAATGCGATGTCATTATTTCCCCGAAGCAATACAACTGGTGTGACTGCTGATAGTTCCTCCGACCACGCACCCTCTCGGCGTGCTGCTTTCTCAAGTATCTTTTCGTCAAGCAAATTTGGATTTGGCGGCGCTGCTAGCCGCGGAAATCCCGATATGAGTACTGGATATAACCAGTTCAGCCCTCGACACGATCCTATCGATCCGTCGTCTCTCCTTGGCGGTGTTCGTCGAGGATCCCTTTCTCCACGACCATCCTCGACCTTCTCATTTGACAATCAAAATCAGTTTCCCCACCCTTCTACAGACAATCGTCATTTTGGTTGGCCATCGACAGACCAAACTGGACATCGGAATAGTCCTCTCGGATTGGACTGGGCTTCCCCTTCTACGTGGTCTAGGGCACCATCTCGCCGCCCATCTATTCAATACGGATCTTCGGGTCATCTCCCCTTAGGGCTGACAGGCGAACCGGACTTCGTTGGTGATTCATATGATCGCCAGCTCCGCCCTCTTCAAGCCCCGATTGGCACTCGGCCATCATCATCCCATCGCCCGATCACCCCGAAGCTGAATCCTGCAGCTCCTTCTTTCAAGGGAATATTCTCGAGCAAGAAATCGGACCGAGGCAGGGAAAGGGATGTAGATGGTCCTTTTGATCTACACATGGACGATGGATCTCCTTCAGAGCCTCGTACATCACGCGACTCCCGCTCTCTTTCCCACTTCACCGGCGATTCCTATGAGTCTCTAGAACGTGTGCCATCTGGCACATCAATGGATAATGCGTCCAAAGAATCCTTCATCCGCAAGATCACCCGCAAGGGTAGCTCGAGCAAGTTCAGCTCTTGGAAGGACCGCTCCGGTTTGTTTTCCAAGAAGGGCGACTCATCGCAAGGAGATATTGACGAGGATACTGCAAGCGAGGCTCAGCTGGGGAAGAGTGTTGACAGCACTGTATCCAGTGCGCCCTCCGCCGACCGTTCAGCCCGCAGCAGTCTTGGCTTCTTTTCCCGCAAGTCGCGCCGGTCTGACAAGGCTAGTGAGACGAGTGAGCGAGCTGATGAAACTGGTGACGAAGAACTTTCTGAAGTCGCCGAGGCGTAATATAAACTGTGATTCTCATTCCTCCACTCTTTTCCATTTTCCTAGATTCTGGGGTAGCATACATACACATGCCGGATAACTTCTGGTTTTTTACACGTCCTTCTCTGGTTTCCCTTTCCAATGTTTTCTACCGTAAAGCCATTGAAAATTCATTTGTAAGAAAGAGACTGGGCTGGTAAGTGTATTCGACAAAACGTGGTTGAAGGACATTAATAACTACAGTGACTTGCGTACTGAACGTCAAATGAGAATAGTCTGAGATTCGCTTTACAGGGTGTTTACAAGTCAGCAGCTATCGCGTCTTGTCAGCGACACTACCCTACTACCCAATAGATATCGCAAGCAGAAAATGAGCCCTAAAGCCAATTAAATCCGAAAGAACTTCAGTAGGGAATTCGTCCTAATGATGCTAACAGACTACTGGCGACAAGCAATGGGTATCTAGTCGCGTACGACGCGGACAGGGTGCGCCTCAGTGTTGAACACAAAGGTGTTTTTGTCACCCTTCTGGACTTGCCATGCGGCATCTATATAAAGTTGAATCAGAGATTTGTCCACAAAAGAATAAGAGGGAGGGAGGAGATAACATACCTTCGGAGTGTGCAAGGTACGAGTACTTCAGGACCTCGGCGAAGAGGAAGCTCTCCTGGTTGTCATACTTGGAGCCGCCGTTGGCCTGGTTGACATCAGATACAGCAGCGAAGCCGGAGTCGGTGCGGCAGGTAGAGTTGATTGCGACGAATGCATTCCAGACCCAGTCACGGTACTAAATTTTCGTTAATGCCACCCACCGAGCTATGCCAAGCAAGAGCGATACGGATAACTTACGATTTCCTTGCCAGTAACGCGATGCGCATAGTAGAAGCTCTCAATTACCTCGGGGCGGAGGACATAGGCGCCACTGTTGATGTAGAAGCCAGCCTTCTCGTAGAAATCCTTCTGGTCATCTGGGACACGCTTCGGGTCCCAACCCCACGAGTCTGGCCCGATCTTAGAAAGAGTAGAGTTGTAGGTAGCCTCACATCCGTTCACCAGCTCAAGACCGAAGTCAATAAAGTCCTGGCGATCCAAAACCGTACCACCCAGAATGAAACTGCCGCCGTCGAAGCAGGTCAAGTGCTGCGAGCTGAGATCATAATTTCCGTTGTTGTACGAAGACAGGAACGTCAGGTCCGGCCGAGTCTCCGGGTGTGCCTTGAGATGCTTGATTGTCGACTCGGCCGCGAGTACCCAGCGGTCCTTGTACGTCGCGAACCGCTTAGGGTCGTACACGTACATCTTGATGAGGTACTCATAGAATGAGTCGTCGCCTCCGTTCCATGAGACTGACGCGTCTGCAAATTGGCCAGTCTTAATGTTGATTGAGCTGCCCACAAGGCCGGGGAACGGCTCGCTGCTTGACGGCTTCGGACTCAGCAGATATGACTCTGCCTTCTGGCTCAACTTGGCATACTCCTTGTCATCGGTCAAATCGGATAGGCGCGTCCATTCGAGGACCAGTGTTCCGGTCACAGCAAGGCCATTGGTTGTCGCGCCATCGTTGCCGTTCGATGTGATGTTGAGGTTGTTGTATGGAACACCTGACGGGGTATTGAAAGCAAATTTGAGCACATCAGCAAGATTTTTGGACTGTGTGAGCAATCCGTCAACGAGGCTCTGGTCGTCGACCAGGTCTTTTGCAGGTCCCTGCAGCAAGTCGTAGCCCGACAGCATACCCCCCCAGGTAACGAATGGTGGTTTCGAAAAGGCTGACGGTATCTGAGGTCTCGGAGAAGTCGATATTCTGAACGTGCTCGAGAATTGTATTTACAACGTCTCCTTTGCCCATAATCACGGCTGTGGAAAGCGCATCGACTGCGGAGGCTCCCCATCCATTTCTATGGAAAAGAAAAGTCTTAGCTTTACCAAGTCCCTTTTTTATATCGAGTATCTCAATATATGGATAAGCATTACTCACCTAGAGTCGGCGTGGCCATTGCTGACTGGAGTCAGCTCGTCGTGGGGAAAAGCATATTTCATGTATCCATCCCACGCGTGTTGGAAGGCATCCTTGACGGCGTTGGCCTTAGCTTGGTTGGTCTCTGGTTCGCGGAGCAAGACAGCCTCGGTCTCGCCATAGGGATAAGCAACCGTGGAGCTCAATAGGCTCAGGACGGTGATAGGGAGTGACAATGGAACGCGCATGATGGTCGAGTCGGCGCTGCGGGATCGCGTAAAGGAATGATAGTATCAATAAACAGGGCCGCGAGGGCAAGAGATTCTTCAATCGCAAACGAAAGACCACCCAGCAGTGTGGGTCAAGGCGATTTAATAAATGCTCGAGAGCCAAGCAGCAGTGGATCTGGGTCAAAAGAATGAGAATGGCGCATTGGAGGGAAGGGCACAAAAGGGGAAGTTGGAGTGTCACATCGATCGTGTTTACTTTCCGTCGGCCCTGCAGATTGCAGCATTGCACACATTGCACACATTGCACCACTGGACCTTGATTGCACCCACTCCACTCCACTCGTCCTGGGGGATCTGCAAGGGCGTACATTCTAATTGGCTGTCTCTCCGAAGTGGCTTGGGGAATGTGTCCCACTGCTCGCCTCTGCTGGACCTGCTGGACCGGCTGATCCGACTAGTCTCTGCACCTAACGATGAGCCCGATAGTCTCGTCGAAAGGAGAAAAGCCATGCCTCTGGATGAGCGAGCAACTATCCACACCCCAGGAAAAGGACGGATGACTCGTGCGGATGATCTAACTATGGTCACGGACTCACGGTTCCTGGAGCTTGGATCCCTGTGGCGGCCAAGTGGGATCCGACGCCCTCGTGCAGGACCCTGCAACTTACCCCTCAAATGTCTTTCTCGGGCATGACGCATGGCTGTCATGGCGTCACAATGCTTGTGGTAGCGTGGTCAATTTCCAAGTCGAACTGAGCCAAACCTCAGCCGGTCAATTCAATTCGGGAATCTCCTGCTCTCGCAGGTCTCCTTAAACAAGGCCGATGCTACGATGCATTACCACCGGCTATATGTGACCAATTGAGGAATCATCGGCAGAGTGCACAACGGAAATAATGATATTAGCGGCAGTGTACTAGTGGAGGCATACCCCTTACTATTGGTGGGTGGATCGTTGGAGAGCTTAGATCGGCGACGGTCCGAGATGATTGATTACTAGCGCTTATTCTCTGAGCTGGTGAGACTAAGGAATGAGTTTCATCTCCTTGCAGTGGCTCCTCAAGATTCGGCCTTGGGCCACATCAAGAGACGGACTTTTTAAACCAAAACTAGCCGGCTCAATGGATAAAGCGGCGAGGAATTCTTGGCCTTTCTTTATGCGGGTTGATAGCGTTTACATTCAAGTTTGTAATGGCCAAGCAATTCCATGCACATGAATATTTCAATCCAATCCTTACCCACCTGAGCAGGGATACTTTGCATATTTCACTCGGTGGGCGGGCTATGGCAAATCGTACTAGTATTCCTACTACTACTTCACAGCCCGAGAGCAATGTTTAAACATTCAAGTCCAACAGTTTCTTTGTGGTTGGAAAACAAAATCGGTAGTGATTATTTCGGGATGGAACTATTGAAAATATACTAAGAATATCAGGTCGGTCTGGAACTTGAACTTAGTACGTGTCGTGGTCCGATGTCTAGTTGATATGTGGCCATTATAGAATGAGGGAGTTGGGCTCTCACTAGGGCTCTCGAGAGGTAACCGACGAGATTGATACTTCTGCCATGGCAATTTGAGCGCATATACTAGTACTACTAGTAGTGCTAGTTTGCTAGCATGTGCAAACAGCTTGAAGTCCTTGGCAGTGCTACTAAAAGTCGTAACTACTAACTACTCGTAGTATACTCACACAATCTGTTATGTCGAGATTATATGCTCTACTAGTAAGTACTAGTCGGTAGTACCTGGCCACAATGTGCCTGGAAAGACCAATGCCGTCCACGGGTGTAAACAGTTTAACCTTAAATCTCAAGTGAAACCTTGGAAAGGCAAATGACGGCTCTCCGATACCGGCGTCACAAAAGCTAGCAGGCCAGCTTGAGAGTAGTATGCCAACAAGGGCCCTATCATTGCCAAAAAGAAAAGAAAGTATCACATTATTTTTTAGATAATCAAATAGGTATCTACAAGCGCAAGCGCTGTGGAAGGTGGAGCGAATTGGGCAAGCGGGTGGATTTATAAGCCCTCGGATACATAAGATGTAGTCTGGATGACGAAGTATAAGGCCTTCACCTTCACCTTCACTTATCCTTCCCTTGGTGCCATTTCACATAAAATCGTACTCATTATCACTCAATATAATGGCCACAGGAAATGCCCTTGTGATTCGTGTGCCCGAAGGGAAATCTCCTCAATTAGTCCAAGAACAGCTTCCCATTCCCTTTCCCGGCGCCGGCCAAGTGCAGGTCAAGGTGTCGCACGTGGCACAGAATCCGACAGATGGTGGGATCCTCTGCCCTATACAGAGGTCACACCCAACCTTCAACATGTTTTTGATACCATCGGAATTGCCAACTCCTCGTCTCTTTCCTCTCGGGCATTTTGGTGACCGCGAGGGGAATCTCTGCACCGTCAGACCCGGAAAGGCAAACACGGAGCACGTTACTACTAATACACGAGTGACTGACATGTTAGTATGGACTGCATTCCTGAAGGATCACCGTTATGCCCATTTCCATTGGCCGGTTAGATGCAACCCTCGCATAAAACTTGAAGGATGGAAGGATGATGGTTCAGGCCCCAATGAACTAAACTCAAAATTGTATCTAGGCTTCGAAGGAAGACCACGAGCTTGCTAGTGACTTATTCAATAGCTTGTCCACCTGGCTGGAACAGGGCAAAATCAAGCCGAACCGGCCAAAGGTACTCCATGGCTTGGGGTCTGTAACTCAAGGGTTTCAGGAATACCGGGATGGTACGATATCTGCGTATAAGATTGTGTATGAGCTGTGAGGTGCACAGATGGAGACCTACTACTAGTATCACTAGAATCATATATTCTAGATGCAAAAATTACATAGATTCGATGACACCATTCGATCAACTAAGATTATATCCAAAGTGGAGCGCGATATCAGATCCCGCGCCTCTTACGCCCGGCAGATGATTCAGCGGGGCGGACCAACCAAGGCCGTGGAAAATGAAAAGAGTCATCGCCCTTGCACATTTTCCCCTTCCAAGAAGCGCACCACAAACTCCTGCTGGGGATTTTAATACCCTAGTATCTTCTTGGATTCAATTCCTTTCTCTCTTCCTCCCCCCCCCCCATTGAGTCTTGGATCACGACCGCGCCATGGCTACCCCCATCCTTATCTCCTACCCCTCTACCCCCGCCTCCGGACTCTCCCTCAAGCAGATTGCCTACTTCGGCCGCGTGCTAGTGAAGGTCTCAAGTGCCACGGAGGCTGAAGATTTCTTGCGCAAGAACTTCCGCAATCTTGATGTATACATTGACGCGACTACTATCTCCTCGTCTGGAGACCTGGTCGACATCCTGAACGCCGGTGCCGCCAAGATCCTCATCTCCGTCGACCAATTGACCGCTCTCTCCCAAGAACAATCGGTCCCTTCCTCTAGATTGCTCGTTAACGCCCTCGTCGATGCCGAGCTGGATATCATCCAAAAGTGGATTGCCACCAATGTCGCCGAGCACAATGAGGCCAGCGTCTGCACCAGCCCCGCCAATGTTTCCGCCGCCGCCACGAAATTGAACATCAGCTCCGACTCACCCCGCCTATTCACAACCTATGGAAATGAGACCGTGACTGAGGATGCTATCGAGAAGGTCGCACAGCAGGGTGCAATTGCTATTGTCCCCTCTCAAGCTCTGACCGTTGAGCGGGATGCTGCCGGCCAGATCTCTGCCGCTAAGTTGATCGCTTCGCGGGCCGTCACCGATCAGGCCAATGGCCTGTATGCCACATCCGTCACAGATGAGCGGGGCACTTGCCTGGGCATGGTTTGGAGTAGCGATGAGAGTATCGCCGAGGCCCTCCGCACCGGCACTGGTGTCTACCAGAGCCGGAAGCGCGGTCTGTGGTACAAGGGTCAATCAAGCGGTGATGCCCAGGAGCTTATTCGGATAGGCTTCGACTGCGATTCCGACTGCCTCGTGTTTGTAGTCAAGCAGATTGGTCGCGGCTTCTGCCACCTCGGTACCGAGACATGCTTTGGTGCTTCCGCCGGTTTGTCCCGTCTCCAAAAGACTCTCCAAGCTCGCAAGGCAGATGCCCCTGCCGGATCGTACACAGCTCGCTTGTTCAACGAGCCCAAGCTTGTGGATGCTAAGGTGATGGAGGAGGCTGATGAGCTGTGCCGTGCTACTACCAAGGAGGATATTGCTTTTGAGGCTGCCGACCTCTTCTACTTTGCACTTACCAAGTGTACTGCGGCTGGTGTCTCTCTTGAGGACATTGAGCGCAACCTTGACCTGAAGAGCTTGAAGGTCAAGCGGAGAAAGGGGGATGCTAAGGGTCCCTGGGCCGAAAAGGCTGGCCTGGTTGCCCCTCAGTCGAAGCCTGCTCCTGCTCCTGCTGCGCCTGCCCCTGCACCCGTGGAGGATCGCACCACCCGTATTGAAATGAAGCGCGTTATCACGTCCTCGGTTCCCACCAAGGAGGTCAGTGATTACCTCAAGCGTCCTTCTCAGAAGTCCAACGATGCTATTGTTGGTCTTGTGAAGCCCATTATCCAGGATGTTCGCGAGGGCGGCGATGCCGGAGTTCTCAAATACACGCACAAGTTCGAGAAGGCCACCTCTTTGACTTCACCCGTCATCCATGCCCCATTCTCTCCCGAGCTCATGAAGTTAACCCCTGAGGTCCAAGAGGCTCTTGATGTGAGCATCGGTAATATTGAGCGGTTCCACACTGCCCAGAAGGGCAGCAATGATGCCCTTGTGATGGAGACCATGCCTGGTGTTGTTTGCTCTCGTTTCTCGCGTGCAATTGAGCGCGTCGGTTTGTATATTCCCGGCGGTACTGCTGTGCTTCCTTCCACGGCCATGATGTTGGGTGTGCCCGCCATGGTGGCAGGTTGCCAAAAGATCGTTCTTGCTTCGCCACCCCGTGCTGACGGCAGCATCTCCCCGGAGATTGTGTACGTTGCTCACAAGGTCGGTGCTGAAAGCATTGTTCTGGCCGGTGGTGCGCAAGCTGTCGCGGCTATGGCCTACGGTACCGAAAGCATTAGCAAGGTGGACAAGATTCTGGGCCCTGGAAACCAGTTCGTTACTGCAGCCAAGATGCTGGTGTCCAACGACACCTCCGCGGGTGTGAGCATCGACATGCCTGCTGGTCCCAGTGAGGTCCTTGTAATCGCCGACAAGACCGCCAACCCAGCTTTCGTGGCCTCCGACCTATTGAGTCAGGCCGAGCACGGTGTTGACTCCCAGGTCATTCTCATTGCCGTCGATCTGAGCGAGGAGCAATTGCGTGCCATCGAAGATGAAGTTGATGCACAGGCTAAGGCTCTTCCCCGTATGGATATCGTTCGCGGATCCTTGAATCACTCCGTCACCTTCGTGGTACGGGATATCAATGAGGCAATGACCCTCAGCAACGATTATGCCCCTGAGCACTTGATCCTGCAGGTCGATAGCCCTGAATCTGTGGTTGAGCAGGTCCAGAATGCCGGCAGTGTCTTCATTGGACCCTGGACCCCTGAGAGCGTGGGTGACTACTCGGCTGGTGTCAACCACTCTTTGCGTAAGTTGATAATACCTTTTTAGCTCCAAACGTTTGTTTCAATTACTAACGAGATTGCTAGCTACCTACGGCTATGCCAAGCAATACTCTGGTGTCAACTTGGGCTCTTTCCTGAAACACATCACCAGCTCGAATCTGACTGCCGAAGGCCTCCTCGGTCTCTCGAAGACTGTCGAGACCTTGGCTGCGGTGGAGGGACTCGAGGCTCATAAGCGGGCTGTTAGCATTCGTGTTGCACAGATGAAGCGCTCTTAGAACGGAATTGGGAAATTTATGGATATATGAAGTTCCTTATCACGAATGAATGCGCGATGATTTCAACATAAAGGGGAACAAACAGTCCTGGAGAACGGAAAAGAATTGATCTTTCGGGAATGATACAAAATATTACATAGCATATAGCAGAATCTGATCTGTCAATTATTTTTTCAAGATTTATGTCTCTCTGCTGGCTCCACTGGTTGTGTCATTCAGGTTGAGAGTTAACTACGCATTCATGTCAGCCATACCTGAATGCAAGGCGCAGTGGATTACCCTGCTGCCCAGTTTGCCAAGTGTTTGATACAACGGAATTGGTAAACAATAGCCGTGTAACCAATCGTGAGGTCGAATGCACTGCATCGTCATCATCACCGTGATCATCTGTATGTCGGTGTCGACACAGCCGACTAGAGGCGTAGAGGTGTGGGGCCAAACGCCGCTGAACAAATGCCGTGACGCTAAACCCATCCAGGTAGCATGCCGCGCTTCTTAACGAGTATGTATTCTATACGAAGCTTACGCTGATCGGTGGATATCTACAAGGATAAGATTTTCTAGACGTTGGGGGCGAGCGCCAGATATCGCCCCGATGAGATTAGCGTTGAACCCTGCCCCCCAGAGGCTGAGTTTCTGGGAAATGCCTTACGAAACACGATCCATTTAGAAGTATAAAGGGATACTATTCCGGTCATTAAATAATTCCTCTTGATTCCTATATTCTAACATCCTCACATCAAAAATAGGGCATCATGCGAGTCCTAACCTCCGCTCTTACTCTCCTCCCACTCTGCATTCCGGTAGTTCTGGGGGGCCACCTCCCAGGCCCGGCCTACCCAGCACCTCAAGATATCAGCAGTGATTCCAGCCGGGTGGCTGCCAGCTGGAACAATGTTACCGCAACTTTAGATCAAACTCTCAAGGGTGGCGGTCTGGGTAAACTAGCCTCTGCCATGCTGAAAAACACCACATTCTCAATGGGCATGTTCTCGCTACACGACCAGGACGCTAGTTCCTTGCAGTACCACCACACAGCTCCGTCTACTCTTAATGGTACATATGGAACCAAAAGTGTCGATGCCGACTCCATCTATCGTGTGGCCAGTATCTCAAAGCTTATCACCACCTATGCAGGCATGGTGGAGCTCCATGAGAATGATTGGAACACTCCGTTAACCAAGATCTATCCCACTTTCAAGAATTTCGTCGAAAAGGCTGCGATGGACTTCGATGCCACACGAGACATCGAATGGGACAAGATTACTGTCGGTGACATTGCGGCACAAATCGGCGGCATTCCTCGACTAGGCATCCCCGTCAGTACGGACCTTCTGCTACTCTCTGTCACCAATCCAGCTGTCCTGGACGCATGGGGCCTACCGCCTGTCAACCGGTCTGAGATCATGGCTCAATATCCTTGTCTTCAAAATTTCGACTCGGGGAAGATGGAGTGCGATATTGATGATTATGTCAAGGGAATTGCTTCGAACCTTCCCAGATATCAACCTGCAGCCAGTCCTCTTTACTCCGACAGCGGCTTCTTCCTTCTCGGTGGTGCACTGGCCAATCTTACCGGTATGTCATTGGATGACCTCTACAAAAAGGCACTATTCGAACCCCTCGGCTTGAATAACACCTTGTCCAAGCCTCCATCTGAGCCTAAGGACATCAAGCGCACTGTTATTGCCGGCACCGCGGAAGTAGCGCTTCAAGAAATCCCAATCACCACACCCTCTGGCGGTATCTACTCGACCATCAACGACCTCTCAAAGATCGGAATTAGCATCCTGAACTCGACTCTTATGTCAATCGATAGAACAAACCGATGGCTAAAGCCGGTGACTTTCACTGGAGATCTACACTATGCCTTGGGTCGACCATGGGAGATCTATCGGTACGAGCACAAGGATTCAGGTGTTATTACCGATATCTATACCAAGCTCGGCGACTCTGGAAGTTACTCGGGCTTGCTCGTTCTAGTGCCGGACTTTGAGATCGGTTTCAGCATTCTCGGTGCAAGCAACGGAACCGTTCAAGCGCAGGCAGTTCAACTCATCGCTGATACCCTTACGAATTCCCTTATGCCAGCTCTGGTGAACCAGGGCCGCCAAGAAACCCTCTCCAACCTGGCAGGAACCTACAAGTCGAAAGATAAGAAGCTGAACACGACCTTAACCGTCGCTGTCCCTTCATCATCCAAATCGGCCCCTGGTCTTGTCATCACCGAGTGGGTGAGCAACAGCACAGATCTTAAGAGTCTATTAGCCGAGACCCTGATCAATCAGGTCCCTCGACTGCCTCCCGTGAAAGCAAACCCTAACCTAGTGAGACTTGTGCCTACAATCCAGGATATTTCAGGCTCGGGTCAAATCGCTTTTCAGATGGAGACGGTTGATCCCACCGGTTCAATTCCTGGTCATCTATTTACCAAGATGTATTCTGCTGGGGACTGGGCGAGCACCATTGATCAGCTTAACTATCACGATATCCCGATCAACGAATTTGTTTTCAACGTCGACAAAAAGATCGGAAAAGCCCATTCGGTGACAGCCAGCGCTTACAATGTTGAACTGGAGCGTCAATGAACCAAAATGGTTCTAATTAACATTTGATTTGGCGTCCTTCTGGTTTTAGATTTTTGCAAATACCTACTCTTCAAATTCTTGTTTTAAGCCTAGTTCGGACCTAATTAGATGTCCAGGTGTACATACTATTATCTAGGCTTTTTCCCCGTCATATAAACTGGTGGCATAATAGTCGAATCCAATGAATGGCATTTCCCGGCTTAATCCAGCTTCCAACCTTGGCAGGTAGAACCCTTCCTCGTCTGCTGGCAGGCCCCCGGTAGGATTGAGTAGGTGGAGGTAAACTGGGGGAATACCCCAAATCGATTGTTCAGGATGGGAGTGAATTTTACATTCGGCGTCCGGGAAAAGCGCTTTTTGAAGGTGATTCGGGTTGGCTGGCCGTTATAGAAAAATGAGCATCTCAAGAATATCTGGCAACGTGGTAATTGAGCCTGGAGAGCTATCCAAAAGCCGATGGATATTCACCGATCTGAATTGTAGACTGATATTCACTGAGAAATGACTTCAGTTTTGATTTGATCTACATAGAAGATGGTCTGCCATATCTAGACACAGGCCAGTCATATTATATCGCCCAGAGTATGTACATACTCCATTCGGACGAACTAGTCACTATCAGCGATGCCCTATGATGTCAAGTATCCACATAGTCGCGAAGAAGAAGCCAATAAAGTAAAAGGACCTAACATAGTAGGATTTGTCTGGACTAAATCCAGTGCGGTATCATAGGTTATTGAGGAAAGACCAGTTTTCTTTTTTCCAAGACTCCAAAGCAATCAATAGCTTTAAGATTTCAAATGCATCCGAAATACCATGTTTCCACGCCAAAAAAAACTTCAAATCAACTACAATTGAGCAACGTCGTTCAAGATCGAGACCTCCTGACCAGGCTTGAAGGCAGGCAGGCCCATATAAGGACACCCGTCACAGCGGAATGCATCGCCGAGCGCACAGCTACCGCAGGAGCCTGTCTTGCCCTCGACAGTGAAGTCCACTTCGGCCAGGTCGTCCGTCTCCAGCTTCATAACATTCAAACTATTATCGGCGTTCGCCCGGCGCTCCTTATCCTCTGCTTCAAGTCGGTCTGCGAGACCGCAAGTACAGTCCTTGCAGGCTCGCCGCCTGCGGCCGGTCTTAGGTTGACACTCTGGGGCTAATAAACTCGTTAGTGGACATTGCAATAATAGAAAAATACATGTGCAAAAAGCAAGACGGTTAAAATAGATGTGGAACGTACGCGGCATGATCGGTCTCGTAAAATCCTCCTCGTCAATAAGAGAATCCTCATTAATCAACTCGTCATCGTCATCATCCCGGTCGTGATTGTTCCCATTTATATCATTCGCCGTAAATCCGGTGACTGCTAAGCCCGCCGGTGGGGCTGGAGCTGGAGCTGGCGCCGGAGTAGTAGTCTTCTTCTTTCTGTTCAGGCCGAACTTAAGCGGGATTGCAGTGGCTTGTTCAAGATTGGGCTTCTCGAAACCATTGCCAGTCTGCATTAATCCAGCCAGAATAGCTTCCATGGCCTCAGAAGCATCCAGCGCTTTATCTTGTGCTTGGAGCTGTGCACCGGCCTTCATGGCTGGGACGAGAGCGGTGTACACATCTCGGGTCAAAAGCTTCAAGGCCTCGGCGCGGCGTGAGCCATCGGAGTCGGTGACAACCAGGACGAGATCATATGTATTGGTGGGAAGAGTGACGAAACCGGCAGATAGACGGTCGAGCATTTGGAGGTCGGTAGTTGCGCGGGGTGGGTGGTAAAGAGGGCTCGTAATTTATCCTCTTGGGTAGCAATGGAGGGGGGAGCGAGGAGGAGAGTGCGTGAGGTCACGGTGTCGAACGATCGGGGCGCGGGGGCCATGTCGAAATCGCTATCGCCCGTGTCAATGGTCACGAAGGAGGGAGCCATTGTGGGAAATTCGGTATGAAGCAGGAACTTGAAGATCGAGGAAGAAGGAAAAGTGCGTCAAGTGAGGGGTGGCGACATTTCTGATAAAAGATAACTTAGTAAGCGCCCATTTATAATCGAGCGCGGCAGGTGGAGTTCGTAAGGAGAGTTAGTAAAGTTAGTACCCTCTGTTAGTCCTATCAGCGGGCAGCCATTAAGGATCTCCTACCCTAACTCGGTATACAATTACGCCGGTGATCGGACGTGGTCAACAGGCTCTGTCATGTCTCGGGGACTTGGGCGAACACTAGTTAGTGCGGGGGCCGATTATCAATGCACCCCGCGTGAATGGCTTGTAGTTGTTATCGTAATTGTAATTGTATTTAGGAAATGCTAAGTAACTGCAAGAAATATCAGATATCAGAGTCTACAGTTATATTGGTTCTAGTATATTTTAGATTTTAGATTTTAGATTTCCCAATGCGCCCAAACTCCTCGTCTATGCTGGTATCAATATCAATACAGGAAAATATGTGACAAGCTGTATGTAGATGTAGATGGAGCAGGCAGTCATCAACTCGTTAAAGCCCCGCGGGCCGCTAACGCTTGCGCTCGCGGATCTTCCACTTGACTCCATTCTTGTTTGTGCCTCCAATCATATTGTCCATCTTAGCTCGTTGCCAGTCGACTTCATTCTCAGCCGCCTGAATCTCGGCGAACTGCTTGCGTAACGCCGTCAATTTGTTGTCCCGGGCCTCGACGGCACGCTTGCGGAGCTTTCGTGCTCGGCGCGCCTCAACAAACGCTTGCCGTTCGGCGGTCAATTGCTTGGGAGTCTTGCGAGTGGATGTTTCCTTGTCAGAGTCCTCCTCCATGGCATCTGCAGCTTGATCACGCTTGCTCTTAAGTGTCCGCTGTTCCCCGCGATCGTCGGCAAAGACTACTTTGCGCGATTTCTTCTTCTGTGACGGGGCATCCAAGTCGAGATCATCCAGATCATCAAATCCACCGAACTCATCGTCGTCATCCTCGGCTTGTTCCTTTTCTTGCCTCTTTGTGCCCAGAGCATCGTTCATGCCATCCTGCAGCTGCACGTCGCGCTCCAGGCGCTCAATTTCGCGGCGAATGCGCTCTCCAGCGGTCCGAAGGTAGCCCTTGTCTTGGGTCTTGAGGAGTTTGATAGCATCGTGGCTCAGTCCGCGAGCCGCTGCCGAATCTCGCGAGACGCCAGTGCCTCGTCCATGTCGTCCCTGCACTTTGTTCCGGTCGCCCATCATACCGAAGTTGAACTCATCGGGGTTCCGATCGTGCGCCTTCTCTTCGAGACGCTTCAGCTTCGCCTTCTTGTCATTGTAGTCTTTCGCGCGGAGCGAGTAATCCTATCATACAACTGTTAGTTCTGTTTTCTGTTTTCGGGTTTTGATTTTGTTTATGCTAGGCAAAATGCAGATTAGAAGATAGGCACATACCTTGTGCTTCTCGAGAATACCCCATTTCTCACGGCCCTGGAGCTGACCACGCTCGCGGTGGTTTCGCCGCTGGACGGCGTTGCGCATCGAAGACATTTCGAGTGGTTATCACGTTTCCGGGCGAAGAGGGTTGGGAAAGACGAAGATAAAAAGTGAAAATGAAATATCGAGAAATTTCCAACAACCCTGAAAGCGAGGGGAAAAGTAGAGCTGGAAAAAGGGCCCACCTAGCGACTCAAGTGGTGTGAGAGTGAAGTTGTCTGGAGGCTTTTTTTTTTCTGCTTCCGCCTTGGCTCTCCGCCCGAACTTCGGTTGCTCGCGCTCCGCATCAACACACCTCTTCCCACCAGGCCCCCTCATCGTCCGTGGAACCCAATTGTTTTGAACACTCGAGTCGTTACATCCATCCGAACTCCCTTCTGGCTTTCGCTAGTCCTGGATCCGATCAATTGCTGCTGTCGCCCCGACCAGCCGATCAAGCACCCCGTCTCATAGACATCTGATCTGCAGCTGTCAACCTCACAATCTCCGCACGAACGAGCTCTAGGTTCCAATGGCCACACCATCGACATCCTCCGATGCCTCGTCATCCAATACCGCTCCCAAAAAGTTCAACCTGCGGAACCCACTTCCCCTCACAGCTCCTCAGGAGCAAGAAGTGAAAGCGCTCTACTACAAGCGTGTACGAGGCTACTGCGCCCCCGAGATCAAGGGTATGTGGTATCACTTTCTTGCTTTTAATTGGAATTCTTGAGGGCTTTGTTTGGCATCAATTCCACAAAACCCGAACTCGGCCGAGGTCGCGCCACGTGCCTTCATTCCCTCCAGCCAGATCACCGGGTGAATGAACAAGTTAGTTAACAATCTTTCTGCAGCTTTTGCTGAATGCGCCGTCAATCGCACCGTTACTGCCACTTGGGTCTGCCGTCAACAACGGCTAACCATGAACTCCTGCATGCTAGCCCACGCTACCCGAGAGGAGGAAGATCGCGCACGCGAGGAGTGGTTCTCAACGTATCCTGACCGACGCCGTGTCCGCGATGAAGAATTAGCACGCGTCGAGAAGCGCCGCGAGGAGGTGATTCGGATGATGCGGGAAGATGAGCGGAAACAAAAAGAAGCCAAAGAGAGGTGATGCTGCTTGGGCAATGTCTTCTGTTTTCATGGTTCACTTCTCTTATAACCGGACACATCTCTGGTGAGTGTATATTTTCATTACGGGTTTCGGCGTCTGGGCAGATCTTTGCTGCTTGCATTGCTTCTCCTATCAATTCAAAGCATCCTTGTGGGTATGAACCATCAAGCATGGAAAATCGAAAGGGGTCATCCGGATATCGGACCACCGCAATGCGGACGCTGGCGAGATATCATGTTTGGCAGTGGACGTTCCAGCTTTTCGAAACTTGCTAGAGCCGGGCCATCTCCCTCGCAAACAGCCAAGCGTGGATTTTGGGTCTCCGTGTTTTCTCTCTCCTCGCGGCGTACAAATGGGGTATTTCAGGCGTTTCTACGGGCATGTGTTGCATGATCTTCCCAATTTTGGAGCGATGGGATGTCATTTTATTATGTACATTATACATAGGATCCATTTCTTGTTCTCATTCACCAGATCATTCGCCAGAATATCTTCTCCTTGTTTTCTTTATGGCCGGCGCATCACTATTCCGATGACAACGTGATCTGGATAGCCATCGAATTCGTATGGAATCAAATGGTCCAACATATCCTCTCCCAACCCTGAATCCTGGCCTTCTGCCCAGGTCGAGACGGCTATAAATTTGAAAGAAAAGAAAAAACACCAAGCGCCAAAGAACACCGCCCAGCCCAAGATATAGTTGATGAAAGCCTGACATAGCCAGCAATAGAAAAAAGGGCAGCGATTTAAGCATCGTTCATCTTCTGATCCTCATCTCCATCGCCAGCCTCTCCCATGGCAGTATCCTCGCCAAAGATGTCCTCCATCTTTCCATCGCCATCGTCATCATCCCCCTCTCTTCGTCTTCCTCGCCCCCAGCAGCCGGCCCTGATCCAGCCTTCTGCGACGCATCGGGCATATCCTCTTCGCCTTCGCTATCCCACTCATCCTTCATATTCCACCCAGTACCCGTAAGACAGAATCGCTCGGGCGGTAAGCGCATACCTCCAACCAACACGCTCTGGTTGGAGGCACCGGGAGGCGCGCCGTTGGGGCCAGCCGCGGCAGGATCGAAGCCTCGGTTGACACCCGGAAGAGCAATACGGTTTCTCTCAGACGCAACCTCCATCAAGAACTCTTTGGGTAGACCGGTCTGGAACTGGTAATGCAAACGCGACGCAATGCTCAGTCGCAGAGCTGGCAATGACACACCGCTCGTCTCCGTGGACGCAGCTGCCTTCCCTGTAGCCCCGGTATCTCCCACGGCACCAGCATATCCTTCTGTGGCGAGGTGCACTGCATCTGTGAGCACATTGGAGGTGTAGCGGTATGCGAAATCGAGGAGTTGGAGGGGGACGCGGTCTTGATATGCTGTTACGCCGAGCGAGGCGAGGAGCATGTGCACGAGTCGCACATCACGCGGGCGTCGCGATTTGCCGCTATCTTGAAGAGATGTGCCGGGGGTTTGCGGTAGCTGTGTTGTTGAGGTAGTGGGTGCTGTTGCTGGCACGGTGCTAGATGCTTGAGCGGAGGTGGTCGCGGCGGGGGCAGATACGCCGTTGGCTGCTGAGGATGATTCAGCCGGTGGTGTGATGGGTTGAGTGGCTGGCGCAGAGCCTTGGGTTTGGCTGGGAGATGCCATCTTTGTGAGTGCTCGACTAGTGACGCTGCAATATGGGACAAGTCGCTAAGGGTGGGAGGATGGTTCGTCAGGATCGTGAGATGTGATTTAGAATGAGCAGGCGATAACTTAAATCTATCCAACTACCGATACTGCAGCATGCCTCCGGGGCCAGGGCGATTGGTAGTAGACGGCGTGAACCGGGGTTGATACTAGTAGTCGGGACTGCTGGGGAAGATCGCGACGGGGTTTCGCTGAGGCCGAAAAGACCTGGAAGGAGCTCCGATATTGCGCTAACCGCTTTAGGCAATCACTGGAGGTATCACTTTCGGTTTGAACTAGGGTCTTCATTTGATGAAAATATTGAGATCAGATGGTTTGATTGCGAGATTCCAGGGGTTCTCCGTGATAATAACAATATCAATAATGGTATTAATATTCTTCTTATATTCATTCATCACAATATCACAAACTAGTACTCTCAGTTATGACTACTGAATTTACAAGTACTAGTATTGTTGGGGGAAAAAAAGAATTTGAAATCAACTTAAAATTTAATAAATGTGTGGCGAGGCTATATGAGGTACCAAATTATTCTTCTAGATTTCCTTCCAAGGTTTTCCTAGGGCACAGCATAGATGTTATACTTCCAACGTGAAGGTATGGATTTCATGCAGAGCCTGAGATCCCGCCGCGGGCGGGCATTCCATGGGCGGGTCATGGACACCCACACAAAATGACTCTTCATCGGAGACTAGCCTTCCTCCACAACCCCAGGCTCTTTGGAGACAAAGGGAACCATGGCGAACTCCAAGTAAGCTCTGAAGCTAAGCAGTCGGTATGATAATATTTGCTGACCTGCCACAGGTACGAGTACGTCAAAGACTTCGAGCAAACAGACGTTCTGCTCCCCAGTACATGGATTGTCGTGCGCATCGATGGCAAAGGGTTTCACAAGTAAGATGCCCCAGTTTGAATACAATTGCCTGGAAAAATTCTTGGATCGGGGCTGGTATTGATCTATATAGGTTCTCAGACCACTATCAATTCACCAAGCCCAATGACCGCCGTGCCTTAGATCTGATGAATGCTGCCGCGGTCGAGGTCATGAAAGAACTACCGGATCTATGCATCGCCTATGGTGTTAGCGACGAGTTCAGGTGTGTCTATTTCTAAGTTTTATCTAATAGATTTGCTGACAAAATCCCAGCTTTGTCTTCCACCCTAACTGCCAACTCTTCGAGCGGCGGAGTGCGTAAGTTTATTCCAATTCTACATGTCTTTTTGCACATTCCTCTATGGGGTAACTTTGTTGATGAAACTATCTTTTGCCCAGGAAACTGGTGACAACTATTGTCTCAGCATTCACAGGATACTACATTTACAAGTGGTCAGAGTACTTCCCCTCAATGCCTCTTCAGCCACCCTATCTCCCTTCATTCGACGGCCGGGCAGTCATCTACCCATCAAATGGGCTCTTGCGGGACTACATGAGCTGGAGACAGGTTGACTGTGAGTTTCGCCTTGAGTTTGGCATTGGTATGTCAGGCATACTAAACTGACTTTTCTTTTCTAGGTCACATCAACAATCTCTATAACACAACATTTTGGATGATGGTTCTGAAAGGTGGTATGAGTAACACTGATGCTGAACAAGAGCTGAAGGTATGTAGTTTTTATCTAAAAGCGTTTTTCTTTTCTTTTCGGATCCTCGGCGAAGGACAGCCGGCTAACTTGGTGCAGGGAACTGTCTCCGGTGATAAGAATGAAATCCTCTTCAAGCGGTTTGGCATCAACTACAACAATGAAGAGGATATCTATAAGAAAGGAAGCGTTCTTTACCGCCAGGTACGAACATCTGCTTCTTTAATGAGTCCAATATCGCTAACCCATTGCCTCAGTTCGAATTTCAAGAGCCCGGGTTGGTCCAGGAAGGAGAGGTGGACGACACTGTTGTGCCAGAGGGAAAGCAATCAAGGTCACAGCAAGAGAGGCTCCGAAAACTGCGACGGAAAGCACAGGTCGTTGTCGACCACGTTGATATTATCAAGAATGATTTCTGGGAGAGACGGCCGTGGATCCTATCCGGCAAACCGGGCAAGCTACCAGCTTAGAGTTAAGGCTATATAAAAAAGGTAACGAGACATGACAAAATGACTTTTTGTTTGTATTCGTTATTATCACCAAACGAAATGGGTATCTTGATCGCGAGACGATGCGAGAAAAATGCACATGCAAGAAACTATGTATCCAACACTTCAAACAGCGTAGCACCAACTCCAATTCAATGTGCCGCTTTTGGTATCGTTGTATCATCATCAGACTTGCAAATCAAGCTGTGGTTAACGACTTTTTTTCTTTTTTTCTTTCTTGTCCTTCTTTTTCGAGTCTGATCCCCGACTTTCTTTCTTGGACTTCTTGCGCTCCCGCTTTTCCTCTTTCTTCTGTGAGTTCGAAGGCGCCTCGTCTGTTTCCGTGGTGTCTGCAGTTGATAGAGGTGTCGGATAATCTTCTTCGGGGGCCGATCGTTCGAGCTTCTTGGATTTCTTTAATTCCTTGCGGATCTCCTTCTCTTCCTTTTTGGCCTTGCGTCTAGCTCGACGCTCCTCTTTGCTTTCCTTGCGCTTTTCCGATCCAGATGTCTCACTCGACTCTGTCGTATCCTCACCAACCTTCCGTCGCTTGCGCTTTTCCTCTTTGCGCGCAGCCTTCTCTTCCTTTCTCGCGCGGCGGTCGGAACCTTCCTCGTCAGACTCGCGCTTTCTCTTAGACTTCGACTTGGATTTCTCTTTCGTTTCCAGCTTTGTGACCTCGGTGGTCTTCTTTTCGTTGATGGTTCCAGACAGGCCTGTCCCCCGCACGAAATGTCGATACAACTCGCTTGTCAAGGCGTTATTCGATCGAGCCGAATTGGCTTCATAACTGTCATCACCCACTCCTTTCAGAGCATCTTCGAATCCACGGAGCCACCATTGGTTTGTAGGGTCCTTGGTGGTCTTCTTTCCAACACCGTGATTGTTCTGCTTGCGCGCAACGAGGATCGGTCTCGTCAAGCCGAGACCACCGTGAGGGCCAGGGCGCTGGTTTGGGTTCAATGGGGTACCGGGTCCGGACCAGCCATGCCGCATAAGATAGGCTTGGGCATCCATGTTGAGGGAGGCCGGGGGAGAAGCGGCGAGGGGGAATTCGCGTTGGAGGGAGCGCGATTGCAGAATCTGCCGAGTTACGAGTATAGGGGAGGTTGGGCGTCGAACTCGTTGAATTTTGTATGGGTGCCGATAATTATTTTGCACAGGTCGGACTTTTCGTCAAGGGTTTGTCGTCCCTTGCGAGAGGTTTGGAGAGAAAAGTATTGGATAAAGCGAGAAAAAAATCCTTGGGTCCACCGGGCCGGGGCGGTTCCTGGCTGATAAGAATTTGTCAACGCCTGAAATTTGAGGCAGGAACAATTTTCCCGGTTACCCCAACTTTGGGCTTGAGCTAAGGTTTCCAGGTCTTTTTCCATGTTCTATGCGTTTCATGGGTAGAGAAGGGATACATCTAATAGCAGATATCTACTAGTAGTTTAGAATGGTAGTTTTACTTCTATACATTACCCCTCCGATCGGTTCCTCTGAGTCTTTGTGGCGCGAATATATATTTCACAGGCCGAGATGCTAAATACTACTACCTAGACAAATGTATGGTATACATAAGTACTAGGTATTAGGAGGTCAACTATTATAACAATTTCCCCTCAGGGCTCTCACTAGCAAACTTGATGTTCAAGTTTCAATGTTGAAATGTTCGCCTAGGTGATCACAGAACAACGCTGGAGGGCTTACAAGCCCATTGTAACTTGTACTTCACATTCCCCAACGACTGATACTAGTACTAAAACTGGTATTTATTTAGCATTTTAGTAATATTTAGTTGCTCTAGTATTCTGCCTGCTATTAGGCAGGTATAGAGGTAGTAGCCGTAATATATAGAACTACTAAAATACTATACTAGACTGATAGGATACGGTAGTACAACCATATTTTGGACCATATTTTCTAAAAATGCTGTAGCAGATGCCGTATTTTAGACCCAGGGCTGTCGCCATGAAAGGCACAGAAATGAGGAATCAGCATATCCATATTGAAGAGACATTGTTACCTATTTCTAACCACCACCAACTCCCAATGCTACACAACAGCAGACGACTGCACTCAGATGCGTCCACCCGCAACACACTAGTACGGCTTAAAGCGTCCTTGGTCCTTTTGTTGTTTCTTATCCTTCCGCGAAGGCTTCGCAGATCCAGCCTGAGACTGCGCATCTCCATCCTCGGTGGGCTTCCAGGCCCGTACGTATCCATCCTCTCCGCCAGTAAAGACGGACTGGCTCTGATATTGTATTCACAATCAATAACCCGCACGACCAATGGAGCAACCAAAGAGAGAAAACTTACCTGCTCATCGAGATAAACGGCGCGCACAACTTCATCACCATGCGCACCAGGAAGACGCCAGGTGTTATCCTTATCAAACTGCCACGCTGGACTAGATACCAATGGGACCAGATCCAGGCGCTGATCACTGCAGGCAAGAAAATATGGTCAGCCATCCCCAGGACGTTTCAAATGAACGGAGGTACACGTGCGGGGCGGGGAAACGCCTTGCAGGGGTACACATACATCTTATTTCCGGCCGCCATATATGGGCCCTGGCTACCGATGCACAGTTGAGCGACGTACTCGCAAGCCAGCGGCTCACGCACATCGCCAAACTGCACGGGCTCGGGCCCTTCCCCAGGATCGTCTGGGTCAGTAGCCGGGTGCACAGCGAAGTCTTCGTCGTGGCTGAGAGCGAAGATGGTGCGATCGGAAAGGAAGCCGGCATGATGTATGGAGCCGTGGTTGATGACCTGCACCAGGGCCTCATCCTCGTCTATCACTGTTGTATCGTAGATATTTACGAGCCCATCCGTGCTGCCGGATAGTAAGATATTGCTGCGACTCGGGTGATATTGGAGCTGTGTACCACCGGTCCCACGTAGGGTGCCGGCGTCAGATTAGCCTTTGCTATCCTCTTCATCGGGGACGAACGGATCCGCTAGATATTTGAGTAGGAAATGAGCTCACCTCTGTGATATCATCATTGTGGCTTTCTACGTATTGGAGACGAGGTGCTTGTGGCGATCTGATATCCCTGCGAACAAAAGGTTAGCGAATTGATGATTACTTTGGTCATACACGAGGGCCTGGATCGGTGTACAGCCATATCAATTGACGGCGGGGGATAATTAATTCAAGAGCAGACATACCAGAATGCAACAACTGCTTGCGATGAAACCAGTTCTGAACCGGCTACGATGGTGTTGGTCTCCGGGCTGCAAGCAAGCGAGAGGACAGCACTGTGTCTCGCTAGAGTAAACTTTAGTATTAGCCCAGCTGTACACGGTAGAGACAAGCCAGTTTCACATGGCAAGTCCGGGCTAGGATACCCTTGCATCATAGCGCAGAAACTCTCCGACGCCCGTTGAGCGGATCCCGGAAATGCAGCCCTCATCGAGGTCCAGGGTATTCCAAGACGTCATGGCGTGGGAGGAGGACAAGACAGAAGCAGAGGAAAGAGGAGGGAAAAATAAAACTTACACATCTCCATTTCCAATACCGCATTCCCGGCTCGGACATCCCATAGTTTGACTGTGCCCTCCCGACCTCCAGTGGCTAGGAGCTGGGAATCCCCCGCAGGATAGCTCCGCAGCGAGGTGACACCTCCATCGTGGGTTTTGTGCGAGACCACTGACACATGGTCGATATTGGCAGCATTAAACACGCGTAAAGAATCATCGGATGAGATGACAGCGAAGGAACCTGGCGCCGACGCAGTGATGGAGTAGATGTAATTCTCCGCGGGGAGAGATAGCGTCGACGCGGCTATCGCTTTGAGAGTGGGCATTTTGAATGGCTTCTCAAAGTCCTTTAAAGCGGGGCTTTTGTTTTAGTTCTTGATATTTTTTCTCCCTCTTTACCTGTCTTGTTTGGTTCCCTCACCGTCGAAAGATGATGATATCTCGGGGATGGAGGAGGGGCTTGAGCGTCACGATTCAGCAGGGCTGAAACTGAATGTCACCGTCGGCCGAACTCAGTCGATCTGCAATGAGTTTAATTACGAAGGGCGAAACAGTTGGACAAAGTGGACAAAGTATGAAGGATCACCCAAGAGTGTATACCCTGTAGGCCCTGACGAGGTCGGAGCCAAGAAAAAATTCCCTTTCGGCGGGACGTGGGGCTCCGCCCGCCTACTGCAAGAGGCAGTCTGTAGTTATCTAGTAATGGAGTATGTAGTTTTATAATAATCTAGAATCACTATGTACTGGATGGCTGATTTAAACTTCATGAAGCAGAGGGATTGACAAATCAACTGGATCACAGTTATTTCATTGCAGGTCCAGTACGGATTGAAAGCAGACCCTTTGGGAACGTAGAAATCGGTTCCAGTGACAACTTGAAGAGCTGGGAGACTTCCCGGAATTGAATATTATATTTTAATATTTTAATATTTTAATGAAATATTTCCGAGAGTACGGAGTACGCAGTGAATGTTTTCTAGAATGTGGACAGTCAAGTTCAGGGATCCAGTCACCAGAACAAAGGCCGAACAAGACCGCCCAAACCTTACAGGTAGGTGGAGCGAGTCGCAACCCTAATGTCCTCCGCGGAAGCGTCGGCGTCATGCCATGGAAGATCCGAGGCGAGAGTGGTCTGTGTTCTGTGGATGCAAGAAGGAGGGGCTTTGATCCACATCGACAGAGGTTGTTGCCCAGTGTCCTCGTACTCCGTACCTAAGTGGTCCTGGAAGCGCCGGATCGCCTTCACAAATTGTCTCAGCTGCAATATCAGGAGGAAATGAGTGGGGACTGGTAATGGGTTACCTCTGCTGAAACCGATCAACCTTCAGATGGGCAGTGCCAAGAGTGGGAGTGTAAGTATTATACTGTACTTCTGGTTGAGGACAGTGAGGGATGTGGTTTTCGACAGTCATTCCAGGCGATGGGATCCTGCCCCCCCCCCGGCCTTGGTCTTGGCCGTGGGGAGATCCATGGGCACAGGAAGCAAAGTTCCGACTAGGGGGGAGGGGGTGGGATAAAGTTGATACATTCGATGATTGCCCGATCGCAAGAACGCCGCACAGTCATTAGCGCGATGGGGGCGAAGGAGAGACTGGGGGGATGGCTGAGTCAGTTGGGCTGGGCAGCTGGCAACTGGGAGGGCCTGGATGGATACCCAGCGACCTGGTTAAGGGAAATGCTGACCAGTCTAAGCGAACCGAGCACGACCACGGGATGGGCGGTGTTTGGTGTTGGTGTTGTTGTGCAAACCCGAAGCTCTGGGTAGCCCTGGACAGGGAGGGAACAGGGATTGTAGCATCCAGCTGGGAGTCCTACCACACTGGTTGGCAGCTGGCATATGGGATACCAATGGATGTAGTACTAGTAGTACGAGTACTCTGTACTCATACGTCGCTGGGCACACTGATCATCCTCGTACTCTGCCCCGGTGTCCTCCGTACTGGATATCAGGATGCAAAGGATCCAGACGGACCGCCTCCCGCCCGCGTAAAGCAGTGGAGCCGTCGATCTTGGGACTAAAAAGGCTGACGCTAGGTCGTATTGTAAGAGTAGGGCTCAACATGGTTAATCTGGAGGATCTGGGTAAATACTCCGAAGTATAAGGAAATCGGTATTCTAGAGATAAACTACTTACTAGGATGACTGGTAGTGGTCCTAGTACTAGTACTAGTACTAGGACCAGTACTGACTACGGACTGACTACGGAGTATACCAGAGTATACCGTAACCCGGGGCTGTGGACTGATTAGACTTTCTTCCCAGCGACTAGAGACCACCGACCACCGACCACCGATCAAAAACCAGCTGGAGACCAACCGAACCACTCTAACAAAAGACGTATCAGACCGCTGCTCCCCCCCTGAGCTCGGTTCTTCTTGCTTCCTGTGCTGCACTTTCTGGGAGCTTCGGTTCCCACCTCCCTCTATCGTATACCCTCTATATCCTCCACTCTCCAAATTATCGAGATTCCTACCATTTCTACCGCCTGTTATATCCGCCCCCACGCCATCCCAGCTGTGGACTGTGTGGACTGTCGACTTGGACCGTGGACCCTCCCGAGCACAACACAGCGGCTACATAACCTTAAAACCCTCGCCCTGCTCGTCTTCCGTGGTTTCTCTTCCCCCCCCCCCTCCTCCTCATTCTTTCGCCCCCTCTCTCGAACCGTCCTTGGGATGTTTTTGGGATTGGTTGAGTGGTGACGAAGCTGTGTGTTCTCCCCCCGACGCAAATGCCACTGTTCATTCCTCTCGGCCCCCAATTTGTCTCAGCCGCCCCGTCCTCGACCTCACCTTCGCCCTCGCCCTGGTCCACTCGATCTCCATTTCAATCTCCATTCATTCTTCAGTTCCATCGCCTCGGGGCCTTTCGATTCTAAAGCCCAACGCCCACCCTTGCTGATCGGCTGTTTCATCACCTGCATAGCGTGCTTCGTTGCTTGCCCCTCGAGTGTTCTGTGTGGTGGCTGGGAAGCTCCGTCGATGCCCTGGCCTGGACCAATTCTCCCCGTGCGCGACCGGTGATCCCAGTCTTCCTTCCCTGAGCCTCCGAGGCTGTTCTCCTCCTCTCGCGTGCCTGCGATTCCGTCAGACTCGTCGACACCAACAACCTATACACGAGCTGCCAGCCTTGACGTAGGTTGCCGCCCACCATGACTTCTCCACCCCCCGCAAAGCGATACAAGTCCGAGTCGACACCCGCCAGTGATGCCGGCCGTTCGAGATATTATCACTCCCAATCGGTACCCACGAGCGAGCGGGCTCGCTCACGGCAGACATCGACGGCGATGGACATATATATGATCACCGACCGTGATCCTGCTGAGAGAGACCGGCGAGTCGCCGGTCGTTTCACCAGCAATGGCTCTGTCGCGTCTCATTCCTCGCAGATTTCCCAAGCTTCGCGCCCGTCTCCACCAATGCTCATCTCCAATCGCAAGTACGTCCCTGATAGCCTCGAGCTTTTCCCCTCCCTTGACCGCGATCGTACTCGAGGACCTGACTGACTGACGACTTTTTCTTTGTTCATAACAGAATCCCCGAAAAATACCCACCCTATCAAGAAAATGGTCGCATGTACCATAGCTACCGCAAGGGCATTTATATGCTCCCGTGCGATGACGACGAACAGGATCGTCTCGATATCTTCCACAAGCTTTTCACGGTCGCTCGAGTCTCCGATGGCTTGATCTATGCACCACACCCGCCTAATTCACGGATTTTGGATCTAGGATGTGGAACAGGAATCTGGAGCATGGAAGTCGCAAATAAGTACCCGGACTCATTCGTGGTCGGTGTCGACATCGCACCAATCCAGCCAGCCAATTGCCCCAAGAATTGCGACTTCTACGCTCCTTTCGACTTTGAGAGCCCTTGGACTCTCGGAGAAGACTCCTGGGACCTTGTTCACATGCAGATGGGTAGCGGCAGCGTTGTCAGCTGGCCAAGCCTTTATAAACGCATTTTCTCTCACCTTTGCCCCGGTGGTTGGTTTGAGCAAGTGGAGATTGACTTTGAACCTCGCTGCGATGACCGTTCGCTATCTGGGCTTGCTCTCCGCCATTGGTATTCCGCGTTGAAGAATGCGACCGAGTCCCGTACCCGCCCTCTGGCTCACAGCTCGCGCGAAACCGTCCGCAATCTGCAAGACGCGGGATTTACTGAGATTGATCATCAGATGGTGGGCCTTCCCCTGAACCCTTGGCACAACGATGAGCACGAGCAAAAAGTGGCTCGCTGGTATAACCTCGCAATCTCGGAGAGCATCGAGTCATTGAGTCTGGCCCCGTTCAGCCGTGTATATGGTTGGCCTGTCGACAAGATCCAGCGCATTGCGGCTGATGTCAAAGCGGAAGCCTTCAACAAGGACCTTCACTGTTACAACATCTTGCACATCTATCAAGCGCGTAAACCACTCGCGAATTAAACCGAAGAGGCCTGGAATACGATGACGATGACCGTGATGACCCTCATGACGGCTAGCGCGAAGATGAGATGAATGAATCGCAGAATGCTCTAATCTTGTTGCAAGCTCGACAGGCATTCTGCTGTGCGATGGCCCCAGGCCTCAGATGTGACCAGGCAATCCATGTCAATTCGCAGCTCTCCGTATCCGGTTGAATTTCGCCTCGGTGGAAGTAAGATCTTGCACAAACGAGATGATTTCGCAAAACTTGCAATGTCACACTAGCATACGGGCGGATGTCATACTCATGCAAATTCCCAATCCAACTAACTAGGCGGGGAAAATCGCATGCTTTTTTTCTTTTCTTTTTCCCAGAGACAACCCCAGAATCTCTTGCAACCCCGGCCTTAAGCCTTTACTTCTCCTTCATTGCAACACACGAGAGCTGCTCGTGATCGAAAACGCAGCAAATTGTGCCAGCTTCATTCGCAAAATTCGACTTGGCTATCGATGATCATGATTCGCTTTATATCCCTGGACTTTTCTTCATGTCTCTTTTGTTTTTGCATGCTATTGTTTAGCATATATGGCGTTCCGGACCGAGCCTCTTTTGTTTCGGCTTGGTGTATATACCCAGGTTGCTAATTGCACCTTAGCTCTCGTGGTTGAGTTTGCTAGCAGATAAATCAACTTGTCTCCGTTAAATTCACTCATACGGCCCTAGAGCTTCTAAAGTTGACGTCTTACAATATTATATGCTGTAGTAGAAACAGCATGCTTGTAGTAAGACTTAGTATTCATCCTATCCATCGTAAGGGTATCTAAATTCTTGAAGAATGAAATCATCATATATCAAATCCTACACCAAAAGGAATGGTTTCGTCTCCACATCCTTCAGGTTGACAGATTCCGAGTTTACAAAAAAAACGCCATTAACCGCCTTAACGCCATCGTCCAATGCAGAGTAGTGTGGCAACCGGGCAATACGCCGAATGATGAAACATAGCAAAGTCACTTTTACCGTCGGCGATTCCTCGCCGCACCACGCGACACACCTTGCGCAGTAGAGCCGGAGTCTTTACCGGTATCACCATTGACAGCTTCCCGACCAGTCCCGGGAGTCCGTCGTCGCATGGTACCAGGACCAACAGCAATGATGTCTTCGCCGCTTTCGCTGTCTTCAATATCGAGGAGGACAGGCACACCGAAGGTGCCAGCCGCATCCCCTTCAATATCACCTTTGACCCGGTCGAGAGTGACGACATCAGGCTCTTCATCTTCGAGATCAAGACGACGCTGGTGAACTTGCTCGGCGGGGTGCACGTCGAATTCGTCCTCGCGCTCCACGTACTCCACGTTCTCTTCAACCTCGCCGAAATCAGGCGCTAGTGCAGACCACTTCTGTGGACTGATAATTGACCAGATATATACACAGCCGGACTCCAGTCCACAGGCGACAACCAATGGTCGGGATGGGTGCCATTCTACCACGCCTAGTTCCTCGCGTGGTCCCTCGAGAATTTTCACTAGGGATCCATGCCCACGTTCCCAAACATAGACGTCGGGGTTCATGAATGTGGTGGCCGTGACAAATTCGCCGGTTGAAGAGAAGGTAACGTGGTTCCAGCTTAGTCGATTGACGACATCTTGGAACTTGTGCTCGACTTGGAGTTTGATATTGGAAGGCTCGAGATCGATACCGAGTTGGGAAAGGTCGGGCATGAGGACGGTGCGGATGACACGATCGGAGCTGTTGACCAGTAGATCTCGACCGTTACTAGCGAGACGGAGCAGAATGACGACTCCATTGCAGAGGCGCATGGAGTGAATAGTGGTGCAGGTTTCCGTCTCAATAATATTAATCCACCCTTTCGACGTTCCCGCAATGATGTGATTTCCAAATGCCGTGAATATGGTCACGCAGGTCGAATGCTTTGCATCTTGAGCTGCTTGTTTTGCTGCAACGGCCGGGTCAATATCTTCGCCATTTGTAGCCTGTGGACGGAGAGGTGCGGAAGGTAGGATTCGTTTGATAGGTTTTGGGGAGGAGACGTCGACTAAAATAGGCTGATCTTCGAAAAGTGAGGCGACAAAGAGAAGGCTAAATAGAGAGTCATCGTTAGTTTCTGTATTGGAGAATAGCTTAAGCGTGGGCGAGGAAAGACATACTGGTTGAATGGATGCAGCTCCGCTATGTACACAGGTGCCTCGAATCTGACTGTGCGCACACGTGAGCCGTCATCCAAGTCCCACAGAATGCATTTCCAGTCTTGTGATGAGGTGAGGAGATATCGGCCATCTCGAGACCAGCTGCCCATAGATATTAGCACCGTATGCCGGCTCAGTCTCCTTGCCCTATTACCAAAAGAGTGTACCTGAGAGATTGAATCTGGCGGGTGTGCCCTTGCAGCTTGCGAGCTATACCGTTCGTTTCGATATCGAAGATGACGACTGTTCCATCGACCTAGCATGCATGGTTAGCGTCTTGCCTGATCTCACGCCGTCCAAATGCAACATTGGGGAGGTGTATTCACTCTTCCAGAAGCTAGATAGTCACCGGTATGGTCGAATCGTAAACAGGTCGCATGTCCGCTCTCTGAAGGCAGTTAGTACTGATTCACTGGGAAGATATCACATGTGCATACGGAGTTTCTCTGTTAAAGTGTCAGGGTAGTCCTGTGCCAGGACGAAGGGGTCGATAAGAGAAAGGTTCATTGTGGTGGGCGCAGGCGATGATAGCTGATTTCAAGGTCCACAATTCCCAAGCGCCAGCAAAGTAGGCCCGTAATCTAGTGAAGAAGCATCCGCACTAGGAAAACAAGCTTGAATAATGTGATGTGCAGAGTAGGGAATGTTTGCCTGCTTGCTTGCGACTGACAGCCTGTGTGGATGCCAAGCCCCATCGGCCAAATGTCTATCTTGATGCCGCGATTCTGCCAACGTCACCGCCCACCCTTTTGGGTGCCCTCCGGCCCGTCGAAAACTCAAGCCCCATCAAACGGGTGAAGGTCGCCTTCTCCCTTTCAACCTCATCCGACACGACATCCATCACCTCCGCCATCTAAGAATATCGCGTTTCGCATCGCGATACTTCTTAAGGAGATTAACTCACGCGAATCCATTCTGCGCGCTACGCTTTCTCTCTTTTCTACGGCTTCGTGACGTTCAGGGACCTTAGGTCGCGGGCGCCCTCGTGGCAAGGGCTGCCAAAGGCCTCAGCCGGCCAGCTGCTTCCACCCTACCTTCGTTTCATCATCGCTTCGGCGCGTATTCGAATCTCGAATCTCGAGCAATCCCGTCACTTCACTTTTTGCGAATCATAACGACCTCACATCTCTCGTTTTCCCCAGGTTCGCGCCAGTGCTACTGGACCCGCTAAATCCATCCCCCGGCCTGTCATTTTCGCACCTTCAACCGCAACCGCCACGATGTCGAACGTTTTCTTTCCCTTCTCCAAGGCGCCTTTGCGCACCATTAAGGAGATTCAGTTTGGTCTTTTCTCTCCGGAAGAAACCAAGCGCATGAGTGTGGTTCACGTGGAATACCCGGAAACAATGGTAAGTAATTGCTGTTTCTTTCACACCGCGAAGAAATTTTGCTTCGAACACGAGCTCTGACATTATTGGGAACCATTAGGATGAGCAACGCCAACGACCGCGGACCAAAGGTGTTAATGACCCGCGCTTGGGTACTATCGATCGCCAGTACAACTGCGAGACTTGCGAAGAAGGCCCCAAGGAGTGTCCTGGTCACTTTGGCCATATCGAGCTGGCCGCCCCAGTGTTCCATATCGGTATGCGTTTGCCACGGACGAGCATGAAATTTGGATGGCTGCTGACTTGCAAATCCTTTCCTGCTAGGCTTTTTGACCAAGATTAAGAAGATCCTGGAGACTGTCTGCCACAACTGTGGAAAGATCAAGGCCAACGCGGTTAGTCATCCCTCACCGGGATGGCAAACTTTGATGGCATGTTTTGCTAACGTTGAAATCAGGCGGATCCTAAGTTTAGAGAAGCTGCGCGCATGCGAGACCCAAAGCGGCGTTTCGATCACATATGGAGACTTTCCAAAGATATCCTAGTTTGCGAAGCCGATCCGACACCCGACGATGACGATTATGAAAAGGGAGGCGAGAAGGAGGTAAACCGACACGGTGGTTGTGGTAATGCTCAACCCACTGTTCGCAAGGAGGGTATCACCCTTGTGGGCTCCTGGAAGCCTAGCAAGGCCATGATGGAAGACGAAATGGCTCAACCAGAGAAGAAGGTCATTTCACCTGCGATGGCTTTGAACATCTTCCGAAACATTTCCACTAGGGAGGTTGATGTCATGGGTCTGAGCAACGATTATGCTCGCCCCGAGTGGATGGTTCTCACAGTTCTTCCAGTCCCACCTCCGACCGTTCGCCCCAGTGTCATGATGGGTGCCACAAGTGGCTCTCGTGGTGAGGATGATCTGACTTACAAGCTGGCTGAAATTGTCCGCGCCAACCAGAATGTTCAACGCTGCGAGCAAGAAGGTGCTCCGGAGCACGTCATCCGCGAATTTGAGTCCCTCCTGCAATATCATATTGCCACTTACATGGATAATGACATTGCTGGTCAACCCAAGGCGATGCAGAAGGGCAATCGTCCAGTCAAGGCCTTGCGTAGCCGTTTGAAAGGAAAGGAAGGTCGTCTACGTCAGAACTTGATGGGAAAGCGTGTTGACTTCTCTGCACGTACCGTCATTACTGGCGACCCCAACTTGTCCCTTGATGAGGTTGGTGTGCCTATCTCGACAGCACGAATCCTGACCTATCCAGAAGTGGTAACTCCATACAACATTGAGAAGCTGCAAGCTTTGGTCTCGAGAGGTCCCAACATGCACCCTGGTGCCAGGTACATCGTTCGGGACAACGGCGAGCGTATTGATCTTCGTCACGCCAAGCGTGCTGGTGCGCAGCAGCTTCTCTACGGCTGGAAAGTCGAGCGCCACATTGACAACGGCGATGTCATTTTGTTCAATCGTCAGCCCTCTCTTCACAAGGAATCCATGATGGCTCACCGCGTCCGCGTTATGCCATTCTCGACTTTCCGTCTCAATTTGTCAGTCACCACTCCATACAACGCCGATTTCGACGGTGACGAGATGAACTTGCACGTTCCACAGAGCGAAGAAGCCCGAGCCGAGCTTTCTGAGCTTGCCCTTGTCCCGAAGAACATTGTGTCACCCCAGCGTAACGGCCCTCTTATGGGTATCGTGCAGGACACTTTGTGTGGTGTCTACAAGATTTGCCGTCGTGACACTTTCCTGACCAAGGACCAAGTCATGAACATTATGCTCTGGGTCCCTGACTGGGACGGAATCATCCCCGCCCCCGCCATTCTCAAGCCTCGCCCTCGCTGGACCGGAAAGCAGATGATCAGCATGGCCTTCCCCACTGGTCTCAACCTTCTCCGTATTGACAAGGACAGCTCGCCACTCTCCGAGAAATTTAGCCCTCTTAATGACGGTGGCCTGCTGATCCATGGCGGACAGTTGCTCTATGGTATGCTTTCCAAGAAGACCGTCGGTGCAAGCGGTGGTGGTGTGATTCATACCATCTTCAATGAGTATGGCTGTGATACTGCGGTTAATTTCTTCAACGGCTGCCAAACTATTGTCAACTACTGGTTGCTGCACCACGGATTCAGTATCGGTATCGGTGATACGATTCCCGATCAGAACACGATCAACAAGATCGAAGACGCTGTTCGTGAGCGCAAACAGGAAGTCGATACCATTACTGCCAGCGCTACCGAGAACACCCTCGAGGCTCTGCCCGGTATGAACGTCCGTGAAACCTTCGAGAGCAAGGTTTCCCGTGCTCTTAACAACGCTCGTGACGAGGCTGGTGCCGCTACCGAAAAGAGTCTAAAGGATATCAACAATGCCATCCAGATGTCTCGCTCTGGTTCCAAGGGTTCGATTATCAATATCTCCCAGATGACTGCAGTTGTGGGCCAACAATCCGTGGAAGGAAAGCGTATCCCATTCGGCTTCAAGTATCGCACATTGCCGCACTTTACCAAGGATGATTACTCTCCTGAGTCTCGTGGATTCGTCGAGAATTCCTATCTCCGTGGTCTCACTCCTACTGAGTTCTTCTTCCACGCCATGGCTGGTCGTGAAGGTCTCATTGATACTGCCGTCAAGACAGCCGAAACTGGTTATATCCAGCGTAAGTTGGTCAAGGCCCTGGAAGAAGTTATGGTCAAATACGATGGCACAGTTCGAAATTCATTGGGAGACATTATCCAGTTCATCTATGGTGAGGATGGTCTAGATGGAGCCCACATTGAGAACCAACGAGTTGACATCATTCGATGCTCCGACGAGAAAATGAGAGAGCGTTTCCGTGTTGATGTGATGGATCCCGAGCGTAGCCTCGGACCTGAAGTCTTGGAGCAAGCTAACGAAATTGCGGGTGATATGGAAGTTCAGAAGTACCTGGATGAGGAATGGGAGGCTCTTATCGAGTCTCGCAACTTCCTTCGCACTGTTGCCAAGGAAGACGAGGAGATGATGCAACTTCCCATCAACATCCAGCGAATCCTGGAAATGGCACGCACTACTTTCCGAATCCGCGAAGGTACAATCAGTGATTTGCACCCTGCCGAGGTCGTTCCTCAAGTGCAGGCGCTCCTCGACCGATTAATTGTTGTTCGCGGAGATGACGATATCTCTCGCGAGGCGCAGGACAATGCTACTCTGCTCTTCAAGGCTCAACTGCGCAGCCGTCTTGCCTTCCGCCGACTGGTGACGGACTACTCGCTCAACAAGCTTGCATTCCAACACGTTATCGGTGCCATTGAGAACAGATTTGCCCGTGCAGGCGCCAACCCCGGTGAAATGGTTGGAGTTCTTGCAGCTCAGTCCATTGGTGAGCCTGCCACCCAGATGACTCTCAACACCTTCCATTTCGCTGGTGTGTCATCTAAGAACGTCACTCTCGGTGTGCCTCGTCTCAAGGAGATTCTCAATGTTGCCACAAATATCAAGACGCCTTCCATGACTGTGTACCAAATCGGAGACAAGACATATGACAAGGAGGGAGCCAAGCAATTGCGAAGCGTTGTGGAGCACACTAGTCTACGGTCCGTTACCGAGGCCACTGAGATCTATTACGATCCTGATATTCAGTCCACTGTCATTGAGAACGATCGGGATATGGTGGAGTCCTACTTCATCATCCCAGAGGATGTTGGCGATGACACCAATCTCCAATCGAAGTGGCTGCTTCGTATCGTCCTCAGTCGTCCCAAGCTTCTTGACAAGGGTCTTACCGTGCAGGACGTCGCTACTAAGATCAAGCAGGCTTATCCTCGCGATATTGCAGTCCTTTTCAGTGACAACAACGCCGATGAGCAGGTCATCCGTATTCGTCAGATCCAGGATGGCAAGGATGATGAAGACGATGATGTCGAGTACGACGTCACATTGAAGAAGCTCGAGCAGCATCTTCTTGACACCTTGACTCTTCGTGGTGTTCCCGGCGTTGAGCGTGCTTTCATCAACGAGAAGAGCAAAGTTCGTATCTTGGATGATGGCACTCTGCACACGAGCAAGTCGGACCCTCTTTGCAAGGAGTGGGTTCTCGAGACCAGCGGCTCATCTCTTGCACCCGTCCTTTCTCTTCCGGGTGTTGACGCTACTCGTACCTACTCGAACCAGTTTATCGAAATTTTCGAAGTCTTCGGTATTGAGGCCGCTCGTACCGCTTTGCTCCGTGAGTTGACACAAGTGCTGGCTTTCGATGGTTCCTATGTCAACCACCGTCACTTGGCCCTGTTGGTCGATGTAATGACTGTTCGCGGCTACCTGACCCCTGTTACTCGTCACGGTATCAACCGTGCCGACAATGGTGCGCTCATGCGTTGTTCTTTCGAGGAGACTGTGGAAATTCTTCTTGAAGCTGCTGCCTTTGGAGAACTTGATGATTGCCGCGGTGTTTCCGAGAATCTGATTCTTGGACAGATGGCCCCCGCTGGAACGGGAGAGTTTGATGTCTACCTGGATCAGACCTTGCTCAACACAGTCGTGTCGAACAATGCCCGCTTCGGGCTCATGAACACTGGTGGTGCCAAGGACGCAATGATTCCGGATGGTGCTGCCACCCAGTATGACAGCGCCTCGCCTTTGTCTGGCACTCCTTACATGGTTGATGGCGATCCCGATGCCAGCTTCTCTCCTATCCGACAGCCTGGTTCGGAATCTCCTGGCTTCCACAACTACCAATCCGATCCCCTCAGTGGATTCACCAGTCCTGCGGCTCGCAGCCCCGCGGGCTACTCTCCCAGCAGCCCGTTCAACACCAGCCCAACGTCTCCTGGCTACTCTCCATCGTCAAGCTACTCCCCTACCTCCCCGGGTATGGGTATGGGTATGGGTATGACAAGCCCTGGATTCTCTGCGACCAGTCCCGGATTCTCGCCCACAAGTCCGTCGTTTGCTCCCACATCCCCAGCGTACTCGCCGACCTCGCCTGCTTATGGTCAAGCTTCGCCGACTTCGCCGTCGTACTCACCTACGTCGCCTGGGTTCTCGCCAACCTCGCCCAATTACAGCCCGACGTCACCTAGCTTTAGCCCGGCCTCTCCTGCCTTCAGCCCGACGTCTCCTAGCTACAGCCCTACCAGCCCTGCGCTTGGTGGTGGGCGACACCTGTCCCCCACCTCCCCAACATCCCCCAAGTACACACCCACCTCGCCTGGATGGTCTCCCACGAGCCCCCAGTCTTACTCGCCGACGTCCCCTAACTTCTCTGGCTCGCCGACGTCTCCGGGCTACAGCCCAACTTCTCCGGCTTACAGTCCAACGTAAGTCTCGAAATTCTTGAAAAGCATTTGGTGCTTCAGCTAACATGTCGAAAAGGTCTCCTCGCCAGTGAGTTTTGCTCCGACAAGGCACGCCCTTTCAGGGCCTCAGTACCCTTGTATCAACACCAAAACTTTCAAATAAACCACAAAAAGAATCATCTTGCACTTGAGATCTCGGACTTGGATGGTCATCTTTTTTAACGATCCGGGCCGTCTTTGCCCCTTTCGATTGTATCTGTTTTAGCAATGCTCGCGAGCTTTCGCTCGCCTTATCCATTTTTTGCCCCCCTGAAGATGCCCCAGCTCAGCCTTTGATTCGTTACCAAAATTGAGGACGAGATTTGTTGCCCCCCCCTTTTCATGAGTGGATGTGGATGGATTCGTGGGGAGGAACTGGGACGTTGTGTTCTTGGCTTTCGAACGCGACTCAGGTCAACTCGTACCTTGAGTTGTCTTCTTGAAGACCTCCCCAGCGCTTCGGAATCTTTCTCAGAACCTTCCACGGTTCTAGACTTTTCCTTTTTTCTTTTCTTTTTTTCTTTTCCTTTGCATGAAGAGCGCAATGGGGGCTGTGTATTTGTTTGATTTTCTCCCGTTCTGTACACAGACCGTAGGGAGCTGAATAAAAAGAATTTTAATGACATTCGTCCTTCAGAGGTTATCACTGGTCGTAGTGTATTGCTGTAGTTCATGAATTAACCAACTTTAAAAGTCCACCTCATCCATGTTGACGCAGTGTGAAGTCAATAGAATCGTGATTAGATCGGAGAGACCAAGGCCTTCCAAGTTTGGCTCCGTAATATTTCAGTTGCTACTAGCATCACACCTATTTTTCTATTTGGACACTGCCCGGTATGAAACTTGTTTACCACTCTTAGCCTACTCGCCATAATATTACGAGACTGGTGATTTTTCTACAGTCAAATCTAGTCTCTTACAAGCCCTACACACCCTGAAAGAAAAATCACCAGGACTGAATTTCGTCAGTCAGGATTAAATAGAGACAATGGCCCATAATAGTAGATCAACATCAGAGGGCGTATCTAAAATGCTTGGACTCCATGTCCGTCATATCCTTGAAACCATCTAAAATAGCCTGGGAAGCAACATCTTCTCCGGCAAGGTTCTCAGCGTTGGCCCTCTTCTCTCTCCGTGTATTGTCCCATCTCATCGAGATGTATACCATGACGGAGAGAAAGATTATTCCCGCATAGCAAACCAATAGCCCAGTAAGGGCAGAATAGTATCGCGGGGCTTCGCGAGCGAAAAAGATGTTGGCCCCTGCAACGTTTCCGGCAGCATACATCGTAAACCAAATGCCGTTGGCGACAGCTCTTTTGGTATGACCGGCCACATTCGTAGACAGGAGATTCCAAGAGACAATCACTGGCGCGCCAATGATATACTGGAGCCAGGTACATCCGACTAAAGTCCATCGGTGGTCGAGACTGGTAAATCGGATACCAAGTAGACCACCGAAAGGAATCAGACACACAATAGCAAGAACTATGCAGCGTGAATTGGGGACATAGGTGGCAACAATACCGCATATTGGGACTATGGCAGCCTCAAAAGCACCCGTGGGTAGTTGGAGAAGGGTGGCATAGATTCCACTGAATCCGAATCCTTTGATTAATGAAGAGGCAAAGTTCGACACGCCGCCATTAATCACACCACATGCGATGCCAATTCCCGCACAGCAAAGCACTTTCACATCGTAGATATTCTCTAATGCCTGTCGAGGTTTGATCTGTTTAGTCTTCACTCCGATCATGTTCTCTGCTACTCGCCGCACGGCTACAAGCTTTTGGCGATGGGTTAAGAATCGCGCAGAGCTGGGAGAGCCGGGCATTAGCACGAGGAAGACACCACCGCAAACGAAGTTGAGGAGTCCAATCGTTAGAAAGATTAGCTGCCAGCTATGAAGTGTCGTGTTGTGCGAGTGTCCGAGACCAAATCCTAAAAGGGCTCCAACCATAGTCGCCATGCCGTTGGCACTCAACCAAATAGCCATGCGCAGAGGCTGCTCGGAGCGCCGGTAAAACATCGATGTTATGACCATCACTGTTTTGGTCAACGCTTGGGCTGGATTATGCACGGTCCGTGGGTTTCTTACTGCAAGGGCTAACTCCGGCCTCGGCCATGCCTAACAAGAATCTGAGCACTAGGATCCCCGCATAGTTCTTTGCTCCGATATGGGCAATGACAAGTATGCTCCAGGTTAGAAGCATACCGCCCATATACTTTGCGACAGGGAGCTTTTGGATCAAAAGATTGGCAGGAATGGCCCAGAAGAGATATCCAAAATTAAAGATAGCAGCTACCCAAGAGTATTTCTGTCCTTCAAGTCCAAGATCGGGGATGAGAGAATAGGCGGAGGCATAGTTTAGAGATAGTTTGTCTGTGTTTTTATGTAGTATAACGTTAGCTGATATAGTATGCGAAGAATTGTGTGAGGGGCACCGTACCGAGAAATTGAATCACATAGGTGACATAGAGCTGAAGCACCAGGCCACTTTGGTCAGCAGGGGTTTAAAGTAACCCAAAGGATGTCCGAAGTAAAGGCCACTACGTACAATGGGCATGATCCTCCAGTCTAGAATACGAAGCACCTCAGCACCTTCTCGCTCCAACTCTTCGGCTGATAGCTGCTCGGCTTCCACATATAGATTGGCGCCGATATCATGGACCTCCCCGAGTGCAACATCCTTCTCCACAGTGGGTGCCTGATCCACTTTCGACTCTTTTAGATCCATGGTGAATGAGAATAAGTTCAGGAACAGCAGAAGTACGGAGAGAACGAACATACTTCGGGCAAGATCAAACTGCAGCTTTAAATACCTCGACAAGACAATCTCGAAGATCTTGAGTTCCTAAGGTTATCATTTGCCAAGTAGATAAGCTGTTATCTTGACTTTCTTAAGGGATCCTAGGATGTTCCCCTCCCAGTCCAGCGAAAGTGATAGGCGGACAGCTGTCCGCTGGGAAGAGCGGACAAGACTCCGCTGACTCCGCTGACTCCGCTTTCGCACGACGTCAATCGTAGTATAAACTTCAACCTTCTTTCTTTGGGCAAAGAAACTCAGTCGTGAGGACTTGCTCTTTTGGCGGGTTATCTCATATGATTCTGGAAGCTCAGTACAAATAAGTAATTGGTGATATCGCCTTTTTCTTCTTTCTTTTCAATCACAAAAATGCCTTCATCACCAGTCGGTCAACACCTGGATCTTCTCGACGCGAGTATCGCAGAATTACAGAATGTTCTCTCATCAGGCTCCCTGACGAGTGTAGATCTCGTATCGCGCTATCTGCGAAGAATCAGTGTTTATGATGCAAATGGATTGAAGCTGAGCGCTATTCCGATCCTCAATCCAACTGTCTTTGACGAAGCGGCGGCCTCAGATGCCAGGCGCATACAGGGACTTCCACCACGACCACTGGAGGGAATTCCCTATTTGGTGAAAGATAATATCAAAGTTCAAGGAATGGTCGTCGGGAATGGCTCGCCTGCCTTTGAAAAACTCATTGCCAATGAGGACGCGGCTTGCGTGCAGATTCTCCGCAATGCCGGCGCGGTACTTTTGGGCCGCACAAATATGCCAGCCATGGCGTACGGTGGAATGCAACGCGGCGTATGGGGACGCGCTGAAAGTCCATACAACTCTGATTATTTAGCCGCAGCTTATGCTTCGGGCTCATCCAACGGGTCCGCGGTTGCGACGAGTGCCAATCTGTGTGCATTCTCCCTGGGAACTGAGACTGTTTCCTCGGGGAGATCACCGGCTTCAAATAATGCCGTTGTAGCCTATACTCCGTCAAAGGGTCTATTGCCTCTCCGTGGCGTTTTCCCTCTATATCCTACATGCGATGTATTGGTCCCACATACCAAGACCGTGGCTGATCTCTTCTGTGTTCTTGATGTTCTGGCCGTCGCAGACCAGACCCCGGTTGGAGACTTTTACAATGAGCAGTCGGTTGTTGCCATCCCTTCAATAACCTCCATCCGACCAAAGTCTTTCTCCACGCTGGGGGATAAATCATCGCTGAAGGGTAAACGAATTGCCGTACCTTCGATGTACATCGGAGGCGATGACTCTTCCATTCCACAAGTCAGCAAAGTCAATACTCGTCCTTCAATCCTCAAGTTATGGAAGAAAGCGAAACAGGCTTTAGAAGCATGCGGTGCTGAAGTCATTGAGATTGACTTTCCCCTGGTGACTACATATGAGTCTAACGCATCAACAGGCCAACTCGTCACAGTCGCAAATCTTCCTGACGGTTGGGCTAGCAAGGAGCGATGTGAGGTGGTTTCCCATGCCTGGGACGACTTTCTCGCCACAAATGGCCAGAAAGGCCTTCAGTCTTTGACCTACGTCGACCCTGATACAATCTTTCCACTTGCACCCGGATCACTCTTGGGTACACCTGAAGCAGCTAATAAGCCCCGATGGGGTGAAATCGTGAAATACCCACGTACTAAGCCAGCATCGATATTCGAAATACCCGGAATGAAACAGGCAATTCAAGCGCTGGAGGATGCCCGAAAGAAAACCTTTGAGGAGTGGATGGACGAAAATGGCCTGGATGCAGTGGTCTTCCCAGCCAACGGAGACATCGGTGCTGCGAATGCTGATGTGAATAAAGATGCCTCTGATTTTGCTTGGACAAATGGTGTCAAGTACTCCAATGGAAACCGGCCGATTCGTCACCTCGGAGTTCCGACTATCTCGGTACCAATGGGAATCATGGACGACACAAATATGCCAGTCAATCTTACTTTCGCCGGAAAAGCGTACGAAGACAATGATATTCTGAGCTACGGCTTTGCGTTTGAGAAGGCCTCCAAATCCCGTGTTCCACCGTCCGGTACCCCAGCACTCGATTCAGACTATCTCCCAACTGGCAGTACATCTGGCGCAACTGCGGCTCGGGACAAATTGGAGCTTCTCGTGACCACCCAGCGCAAGGAAGTTCGCGACTCAAACGCTTTTGTTGAAGTCAAGGGCTCTGTCAGCTCTCCAGCGAAGAGTCTGTCTTGCTATGTCAATGGGGAGCATTGCGATGTTTCTTGGGAAGGAGAGAAGTGGACTATTACCTCCATCTACCCAATTTCTCACAGAGATAGTGAGTGGAAGTCCTGGGAAAGCCCAGCAGTGAAACAGACAATTGTTATTGTGGTAGCGCATTCTGAATCTGGGTCTTCATCTGGCAAGCTAATTTTGCTATGAGGACAAGAAAACTGGATTCTTTAACCTTCTATTTTGTCATATTGTTATTATAAATTTTACACCTCACAAGCTAGTTCAGTCATATAATCATCTGAAATCTCCTCGTATCGCACAAAACCTCCATACATTATATCTTCAATCATCCCAAGTATCGCTCGGTGAAGGTATTTATCCTTCAGCTGTTGTAGATATGATTCAGCCTCCGCTAAAGCGAGGGTTTTATTTGCCGTGCTGTTCCCACCGGTGTGCCAAAGAACCTTCTGGTGAAGGAATTCGAATACCTTCGAGTATGGCATAGCGTCATGCCAGCGATCTGCAAAGCACCTCAAATTCTTAGTGCATGCTTCTATGGCTTCAGGTGAGTCATAACTTCGGGGTCCTTGCTGAAAACTAGGACTGTCCACTATAGGCCTCGTTGCCCAAATCAGATAAAGGAGCATAATACCGGCCCGGAACTGGAAAACAAGCTAGACATAAGGTTAGTGAGAAGGTAGATAACATTATTCCGACATACTTACTGCAGACCAGGTAAAACACATTACATGCCCTTCCTCCTGGAAGTGACGGAATTTGAGGCAGACTTCAACAACTGCAGAGAATATGTCTTCCGTCCCATCTTGATCAAGGAAACTGCTCTTCTCTTCCATCAATATCAAGATGCTATAGTCGTAAAGTTTTGTCATCCAGCTGGGGTGATTATAGCCGCAGGAGACTTCGTCGGTGCCGTAGCGCGGAATATCCTGCCGCCAAAGATCCAAAGCTGATTTGAGTGAAGAGCTGAACGCATTTTTATCCTCGGAAAATTGCCAGCGAGAGGTTTCCAAGGACCGTCTGATATTTGTTTGGATTTTTCGTAGCCGGAACAGGTGACTTATAGCAGGATGTGTTTGGACGGGGGGGCTGAACCGAGTCCCCAAGCCTAGACAACTATTGAAAAGACAGTCAGTAAGTTTTGTCAATGATGAGTTGTTCATGGCACTAGTACTAACATCATCATCGACAGCCTGATATGCGGCGGACACAGGTCGATCCCAGCCGGAGGCCACGATTTCATTTAACATATAACAGGTGATGAACATATTCTCGACGGAGGCTTCCCCTGAAGCACTAAGCGTCTTGTCGCCCTGGTTAACCCGCATGTATTTTCGCATTTCTGTCATTGCAGTAATGCAAAATGGCATTATGGAGGAAACACTTGTTGCAATCTCCTCGGAGGATGGGCAATGGAAGGCATAGATAATTAAGAGCAAAGAGGCCTGGACCTGCAGAATCATAGACGTATTACCCACAACGTGAGGGTAATAATTCATCGCGGATGAGTAAAGTTCTTTTGCGCGAGTCAAATGTGTAGGGTCTCTGTGTATGGTGCTGCAGAGGGATGCGCCAATGGCATATACCATCCTCAAAAAGAAACATCTCCACTCTTCTTGGTCCTGCAGACCTTCTTCCCTGTGCCAATTTTTCCATGTGGATTCGTTAAGGAAAGGCCATTCGCGATGGGCTACTGAGAAATAGACATTCGTGTAGAGTTCCGTGAGCCAGAGTGTATCATCTCCAAGGATTGGATATGTCGGTCCTTTGCCGAGATGTAAAAAGTCAAGATTATCTTCATTGAGTTGGGTGAAGATATTTGCGAAATCGATCTGAGAAAAAGCGGATTCCCGGCATAGTGATTGTGGTGTTGGGGATGGGGATGGGACCACGGCTCTGTCTTCAATGGCATGAGTGGTGTATTCCTCCCCAGATAGCCCATCTTGGAAGTCAGTTTGGACGCTTGCATCGCGCAGTTCAACATGTGAGCCCGCCATTCGAGATGTATCTTCTAGTTCTGCGACTCGCCTCTCGAGTTCCTTGAGATAGGCGACCGGGATCGTAACGCTATCTCCCGATCTGCGAGATCGAGCAGGAAGACACTCAGCGCCTTTGCGGTAGCATTCCCCACATGTTGGTTTCGCGTGATCGCATTTCCGCTTCAAGCGGAAGCAGCGAGAGCAAGCAATATCTCTCTGCTTGAATGGGCGCGACATGAGTGGAAGAGGAAGAAAGAAGAAAGAAGAATGCGGGGGTGGAGCGGAGAAGGGCCGTTTGCCGTTGATATTGATAAGAAGGTTTTCCAGTTCGGGGCCCAGCCGAGGCTAGACTAACATATACGCTGCTAGTAGTAGTAGTCCTGGTAACCTGATAGGCTCAAATCGAGCAGATACCCAGGTAGGAACACAGTAAGGAACACAGTTTCGAACACAGTTTCAGTTATCACGGCCATTGTCATCCAGATTCACCCCCATTCCAGTCCATGACTCACTGCCGAATCCATTTGCCGACCACTGCATCGAAGCCGATCGTCCTGGGGTCGATGTTGAGCATCTTCAGCATGTACTTCATAGTGAATTCCTGTAGCCAATAGCGTCAGCCCCAAAGATAACTTCCCAGCCATAGGAACGAATTGGCGATAGTTGACTTGCCTCCTCTTGTTCATAGACGCCTGGAGTCTCATCAGTATCCTCCGAGTAGATTGGTCGCTCTTCATCTTCATCCGCGTGTTCGCGCTCATGATCCTCATTCTCGAAATCCCACCGAGATGTGTCTCGCTTGCTTTGCTCTCTCCAAGCTGCCATCCCACCCATGCGTTTCACTCGCTCCTGGGCACCTTCAAATACTTCATCGGCTGCTTTTTGGCTAACATGTCGCCATTTGATGATTAAAGCCGCCAGTTCAGAATCTTGGGTCGATGATTCAATGCGGAGGGCTTGGTTTGCTGCATCAAGTTCCGAACGAAGTAAAGCCAGACGTCCTCGTAGCACACTTTGCTGTCGCTGTAATGCCAATACCTCTGGATCTCCAAGGGGAGATCGTGTCGGTGTTGAGAGACCAGAGTGCCGGGGAATAGGTCGGCGTAGATGGTTGGCAGGGGAAGTAAACGGTGAGGACAAGAAGGATCCTGGGTTTGTTTTGGACTCTGGGCTTCCGGACATGAAACGTGCTTCATCGCTGGCCAGCGGAACTACCTCTGGAGTTTGGGGAGCGCGTTTCGGTGGCTGGCCGGTGGCGATAGGCTTGCGGAGTGGAGGCTTGAACGGTTTGGAAAGCGTGGACGGTTCGTCAAGGCGACGACGTTTAGGCTGAGGTAGACTACTCATGTTGGAGTCGATTAGAAGGGAGCAGGAATTTGATAATTTGATCGGGAAGAGGGGAGAGGAGAATGGATGGAGGTTGAAAGTAGAGAGTAGGCTGGGTAAGTGCATGCGCTCAATGTTTTCAAGATTATCTATTATCTACAGCTAGAACTCGGCATACAATACAGGTTCATCATCATTCAATGGCCAACGCCTCCTGCTACCCATTGCCCAAATTCCGGGTCGCCAGGACGTGGGAAGAAACCACGGTCATTCGCATTCGCATTCGCATTTGCATTCGCATTGTTCAAATTCCCATCTCCCTGGTTCGCGGCGTTTTGGTTCTGACGATTACGCTGCTGTTGCTGTCGGATGTAGACGAGCACCAAGAGAGTCGCCGCAAGTCCGACGATAAGAAGACCTTCTAGCATCCCCTCATCAAGATCAAATTCGAGGTCATCGTAGTACCCATCCTCGTGCTCTGCGTCCAGGCTTCGTGATCCAGCATATTCTTCATCGTTTTCCTGTCCCTCATAGAGTGCATCATAGTACTGCGCCTCGTTCTCGATAAAGGCCTGAATCCATTCCTTGAAGGTACGACGGGGTCGGACATCTACAGCAAAAGAGGAAAAGAAAATAGTCAGTAAGTGGCAGGCGCTGTATACTTGAGAGTTCTCACATACCTTCATCATCACGAATCGGATTGATGTCTCCGTTCGTAATGCGATTCCAGTAACCCCGGGCTCTCAATTTCATTAAGCTGAGCTTGACTGGAAGATACGCCTCAGAATTGGTCTCAAGAGCTAGGTCATAATACCGCTTGGCCATATGGAAATCCTGTTGCACCGCAACGCCATTCTCGTGCATCCAACCCAGATTCCAGTATGCCTGTGCGCTGTGGTATGCCTCGGCCGCATTGTGGTAACAGGTCGATGCCTTGTCAGCATCAAGCACTGTCCCCATGCCAGCCAGATAATAGTCACCCATCTTGATCAAGGAATCAATGTTGGCCTGCTTGGACGACCTGGTCCAGTATATCAGTGCGAGTGCAGTGTTACGCATCAATGATGTCCGGGTTTTCTTCACCCATGGCAGGATGGAATCCAGAGAGAAGAGAGAGCGCTGCTCGTCAAGTATAAATGCCACATTTGCTTGCGCATGTTCATATCCCTGCTCGGCAGCCATCATGGCCGGAATAAGAGCAGCTTCATTGTCTCCAGCCTCATAGGCAGTGTTCGACTCGACGAATGCCGAGTGAATTGCTTCGCCTTTCTCTGCGACCAATTTATAATAAGCCGCAGCGACACCGCAGTGTGGTTGCCGGCCAACACCAAAGTGCGCCATTTCAGCGAGATAATAGTAAGCCTCCATCCACCCCCAACGGGCGGCGAGATCGAAATATCGTGTCGCGGTCGCTACATCTCCTTGATCCAAAAATAGGGCACCGAGTCGTGTTTCCGATGCCGGAAGATCCTGATCGGCAGCAACCTTGAAGTATGAGGCCGCTTTATAGGCGTCCTGGGGGACTCCATAGCCATGGAGGTACATCAACCCCATCTGGTGCTGGCAAAGAGCGTCTCCATTTTCGATGCCACGTCGGAACCAAGCGAGAGCAGTTGGAAAGCTTTGATCAACCCCTTCGCCACGAAGAAACATGAGACCCATATGTCCTGCCGCCTTGGCAGCAAGCTTGTCAAGTCCTGCTGGTGGGTTAGGACTGATAGATCCATCCTTTGCCCAATATTTCTTCGTCACAATATTGAAATACTTCATAGCTCGTCGGAAACTGCGAGGAAGTCCACGGGCACCTTCGTAGTGCATCTTTCCCAAACTGAAGGTTGCTTTCAAGTCACCCTTGTGAGACAGAAGGTTCAGATATTCCATCAGGTCCTCAACACTTGCTTCAGCGGAATGGGCAGCGTCCCGCGCGTTATGCCCCGAGCTCGAGAAGCTAGCGCCTTCTCCGTAAACACCACCCTCCTCCTCCGCCCAGCGATAGGATTCCCTGATCATGGCATGGCCCCCGGGCGGCCCAGAGCGATAGTGCTTAATGGCCTTGTCGGCCACTCTCTTATAGTAAAGAATCGCGTGATCGCAATTCTTGGGTGTACCAATTCCTGTATGGTAGCGGTATGCAAGGGTCATTTCAGATCGTGTGTTTCCCCCCTCGGCGGCAAATTCATGGTACATCAACGCCTTTGCCTGGTCACGTTCGACCGCATTGCCAATGCCCGTCGCATACATAAAACCAACCATGGATTGTGCCGTGCTGTTTCCAGTCAGCCATGCCAGCTCGTTGTACCACAGGAAGGCTTCGCTGAAGTTGCGCGGGTATGTGAAATTGCCGTGGAAGTTCATCTCGGCCAATAGAAACATTGCGTCCGGGTCCTCCTCTTCTTCCACGGCGGCTCTGAGCTCATCGACTGCACGTAAAACATTTGAATTGACTTTGCGTTCTGTTCCATCGGAAGCGGGCCCATTGAGAAACAGCATCCGGAAGGCCTCACGACCATAGTGTAAGGTGTATGCGAGCAGCCCCGTTGGCCTATCGGTGTGAAGATTGGTAGGTTTAATGGCTCGAAGGATATCCCAGGCATTTACAACTCGTTCTGCGGTCAAAAGCGAATACTTGTTAGCCAAGTTGGTGTTTTGAAGCCCGTCACGCGATAAGGCCGGGGATTGACTTATGACTTACGACTGACCGGCCGAGGTTCTGGCTCTGCGGCTTGAAATAAGTATTGTTGGTTATCCACATTGCTGGCGATAGCGGTCATTGGATCATCGTTGATGGGAGCTTGTGTTGACCCTACTGCATATACCTGTGATAGCACTAGAAAGAGGAGTCAGCTGGCTGTCGCGCGACTTCCAGGCAAAGCAAAGGGTGAGGGGCATACGCAGAGCCGGCAGAAAACAGGGGAGTGACGCCTTCATGATGCCTTCGATTAGTGAGATTTGTTGAGGTGTAAGAGTCGCATCGCGACCTGTCGAAGGGCACAAGTCAGAGAGCGTCAGCGAGCACCGGTGATGTAGTTGGATCCAACGGGCCACTTGGCTTGACGGAGCTTCATTTTGCCGAGGGCGAATCACCGCTCTGGTTGTATACCTGGCTTGGCATGCACAAACACGCTCAATTTAATTCTAGTTACATTCCATTCTTCAGAACTAATTGATTCCATTATTAACTTAATAGAGCTGTCGACCTGGCGGTCATTTAGCTGACAACTACTTACTCCTCAACTGGACGCAAAATCAACCCAACCCAACCCTCAGTGCCAACGCGCCTTGTACATAGGCTTGTGCTCTTATAGAAATACTATTTACAAATGGGTTAAGTCTGAAGTGGAACAACTTGAGTAATCAAGCCCCATGTATTGTTGACCGTGTCAAAGTGATTTCTTGAAAATTCCAAGAAAAGCTGCTCAGGGCCGCAGCCATACCTAGCACAATCCTCCTCAACAATACCTGGGGGGAGACCATCCTGGGGCCTGAAAACACCATACTGGCATATGCGAGCTTCTTCTGGTATATCAACCGAATTATCTCCTGTCAATTCTCTGATTGATATGCCGTAGCTTTCTTCAAGTTTCATGAAGTTCTCGGACAGGTGAGCAACAGGTGTGCATTTGAAAAACCCTTGCATTGGTGGTGCTTGCCGTAACAAATCCAAAGCTCGCAGCCGTAGACTCGAGTCTCGGCATTTCATGACGGTCAAAAAGAGTGGCATACCAACGCCCATCTCAAATGTGAAAGGCGGTTGGGCTCCATTTGGTCCTACCGTGCTAGCAAGGGTCAAGCTAGCCTGCTCAACAATGGTTGTAAATCCAGCAAGATGATTGTCATAGACTATTTCACGGCGCGTGAGGCACTCAGAGACGAAGATAACCAATGCCGCGTGATAAGTCAACAATATTGGCTCGGCATTGGTTGGCATCGCTACTCTTGTATGGAGGTTCTGGCACATACCGACATACGCACGATACCAATTATTGAGTCGATCTTTGATAGATTGCTGTCGATTAAGCATCTCTTGACTGATGGCGGCGTCTCTGCCGACCGCCCGGATATGTTTTGTTGCCTCATTTTCAAAAAGCTGGGCCTCGGTGTAAAGATTAGCGATAACAAACCGCGCGGAATCAACAGATAAAAAGACAGCGGGCATGTCAATATTGGCGAGTGTGTAAAGTTCGCATGGCTGGACACCCGATATCGAGAGAGAAACAGCACACAGACGCAAAAACAATGGGACGATGGTGTCCTCCAGGAGAGCAATCTTGCTAGTGGAGACCATTCCATGGCTTACTTGAATACGTAGGTCAAGAATCAGACTTACGCCTTGTCGGTACAGCTGAAGTGCCTCTTCCACGCGTCCCTGGATCGTCTCTATGCATATGAATAGTATGCAGCTGATAAGTGCGATGTATGGATCTGCTCCTCTCCCAGCGATCTGCGAACTAATGCTCGATATCGAACGCGAGTACCAGGATAAAGCATCTTGTTGTACTTGATTGAGCGGTTCGGACCTCTTGTGACATTTCCGAAGATAAGTGAAATCCAGGCATTGATCTGGGTATTCGAATAGTGCGCTGATTGCTATCATGGCATCCCACACTGCTGGCTCACTGCGGCAGATTTGGGGCACGACGGTTGTCCAAAAGTCAATGCTCATACCACCAGCTAGTTGCGGAGCCGCTAATAGAAAGTAAAACTCGAATGCTCGGCGTTCTCGGCGTCCTGGGTTTGGCGATAGCGGCAGCGTGTGGCAAGGAGCCATGGCCGATGTAGCAATGTAGACCTGAGGGGGCGTATCGCCGACATAATCGCACTTTCTTCCCGTGCTAGAACAACGAATGCAGGTCGGTCTTTCTTCGCCACATTTAACTTTCCGAATTCTATCAGCAGTCAGTGGGAAACACAAAGAGGGGCTGGGGAAGAGCGTACTTGCAGGTCTTGCAACCGGCTCGGGATTTAGGTGCTCCAACCCGGCGGTCGATCAATGTTTCAGACATCATGCCTTTTGAGAGTCATTGTAGATGGCCACAAAGTGATTATGGCCACCTATTTGTTGAAAAAAAAAAGTCGACACTGGACGGCGACAAGGATGAGTGAGAAAAGTGAATTGGATGCCGGAGAGCGGGGAAGATCCGCTTGGTGCCTTCGTGCCTGGGGCAGCAACTGTACTGTGTATGCAGGACTAGATACTATCACTGTGCAATTTCCAGGCAACGGGATCTGCCCATCTAGAGGCTAATACTATGGATAAATTATTGGTCTCGGGGCCTGAAGATTCCTTCGGATACAATGAAGTCTCTCTCGAACTCTATATGCCGGTTGTCCAATGCCTCGCCCCTCATAAACCTCGTCCATATCTCTTGAATTTGGAATCCAAGGTCGGAAATTACCTTCTCTGTGTCTTTTCCAGCCAACATGGGCGCCAACTTCCAAGCCTCGTAATTTCCGAGTACGAAAGGAATATCAATACAGTGACAGGCCCCTAAGTTACTGTTCTGACCGGCCCATCCAAACGAGTAGCTAGTTGAGGAGCCGCCGGCATCCAAAATCTGTTGGTGGAAACATTGCGATGGCCATTTAAAATAGCTTTGAGTAATATACCAGGTGCCAATGGTCTCCAACAACGATCCTATTATCGGCAATTGGAGTAAATTCGACGGACCCATCATACTTGCAAAGGGACGACCGTCATGAGCGGTCCAGCCTATTAAAATAGGAACTTTGGATGCTGCTTCCGATATCTTTTTATCAAAATCCTTTTCTTCGGGCAAAGGATCGAACCCAAAACTTGGGGCGAATAGCATCACCCTGACCTGGACAGGATCTAGAAGAAGCTTCCTTTGCAGAGCTAACAAGCCATCCACAGTCATTTCCCGGGGATCTTGAGTTAAAAGATGTTCCACTTTCTGAGACATAAGAGCCCCTGTGAATTTCCGCTCCTTTAAATCTCGCAGTGGAGGGCTAAGCAAAATAGCACGATGGAAAAGGCGGCCTGCCGTCTCCTCCGCAGCCATCAGACAAATGATTGAATCGGCCCCGGCTGACTGGCCAACCATGGTGACATTGTTCGAATTACCGCCAAATGCTGAGATATTTCTCTGTACCCATAACAGCGCAGCACGCTGATCGAGCAGCCCAAGATTGGCGGGCGCAATACCTTCTAATCGGAGATACCCGAAAACGCCGAGCCGATACGTGACGTTAACACAGACAATGCCTCTCCTAGCGAGTTCAATCGGCTGATAGCAATCAAGATCTCCACCACCGGAAATATAGGCTCCACCATGTAGCCAGATCATCACGGGGGCATCTTTGGCATCTCTAGGTGCGGTGATGGATAGATGTAGGCAATCCTCGTTCAGGGCGTGCCCTTTGGTCAATGGTCCCATCACGGACTCTAGTCGTGATGGAAGTTGGGGACATATTGTCGCACGCCCGGTACAGTCCAGAACTTTGGTCCAACTGTCGGTATCTTGTGGGGGCTCAAATCTCGAAGCCTTCGCGTAAGGAACTCCCCGAGCATGAACGAGATCGTCGAGCACCCGCGCCTTGATAGGACCAGCAGGCAGAGTGATGGTTGCTCTTTTTTCCATGATGGGCGTATCATTCAAATTTGTTCCCATTCTCAGGATGTAGAGAGCGAAATGAGCTGAAGAAGAGCTTCGGTCTTGTTATCGTACGATTATTCATGGGGCCTAGAGGTTGTTGCTAGGGCGATGTGGGGAAGCGGGGAAAGGCGATATGAAAATCTGACTCCATCCATTCCAGTTCCACATATGGTTTCAGGTCACTACTCGTACTAGGGCTGTCTCACCAAGGCATATTTGTGATATCGATATCTATTCTTCTACGATCTCTCGTCGTTATAACGGCACAGTTATTATTCAAAAGTAACTTGAAAGTATTAGATGGATGTCTAGAGGTTCGAGTCCAAATAAATAATCCTAAAAACAGCCAATCAACATTATTTCTACAACTTGAAGGCTGTAAAAATGTAAAATACTATTAATGACTCGTTCTCAGTGATACTGAGTCAATGCTGATATATCCGTCTCAACCTCTATCCGAAAGGGTTCCAGCCGTTCTCGACCATCTCCACTGTTCTCTTTGTTGCTTCGTCGAGATCTTCCTGGGGAAGCCCCAGGGAAATATTCTCCGAGCCCTTGGCCGCAAAGTCACTCATTTCGGTGGAATCCAGAAAGACCTTTCCATACATTGTTTTGACAAAACCAGTGATTTGACCCTTAGAAGACTCCTCGGCACCTTCTTTGATGCGCTTCTCGACCGACTCGTATGTAATCTCCCAATCGGAGTCAGTTGTGCCCAAGACTCGGTGGAGGCTGTCCAAAATATCTCGCTGGGACACTCGGAAGCTATAGATGGAGCAATTTCCATTCTTATAATCGGCGAGTGAAGGGCTTGAGCCAGACTCCGGAAGACTTAGGAGGGCAGCCAGAGCCCGGCCACATTGGTCCCAAGTGCTAACAGTGATAGTCCGCTTTCCCTCATCGAAGAAGGTGACCTTGCGATTCTTGATCGTAAAGCCGAACCATTGCTCGCCTGTAGCCAAGCTCCACTCATACCAGAAACCACAAGATAGCTTGATTGAAGAAGAGATACCATTTTTGGTTTCGTTGACCCGGTCAATGGCTACCTTTCCATACGCATCCCCCTCCTGGGGGCCTCCAGCAGCGATTGGGTAGCCATAGGCATTCGGCATAATAAGAGAAACGCCGGCCTTGCCTGCTGCATCTGCAATCCTCTTATGCAGATCTTGGGGGGGCTCTGACGCTGAGAGTGATTATGAGAAATTGCTGACCCTTGAGAGCGTTGGTAATAGAAGCTTCGTCGTCGTAGTTCACCTTAGCAACATGAACACCCCCAGGGAGCTTTCCGCCTCCGTCCTCGCGAGTCAATGCTGTGACAGTGTGCTTGCCACCCTCCACAAGTGCTTTAGCAAATGCACCCCCGATGCGGCCAGTAGCCTGTATATAAAGTTTAGAAAAGCTTCCTAGATATAATGGCAACTTGGCAACTTACACCAACAATGGCAACTTTTTGGATGGCCTGCGCAGACATCTTATAGTTCGAAAGGTTAAAAGTGCCTTTTTTCTCAAGTGGAATGTGATTGAATCTAAGAAAGGATATCCTTAGAGCGTCTCTACATTGCTTATATAGGTATCATGATCACCGAAGCTATTTAGATGGGGAATGACGGAGAACGGCCTTAAGAATCGGACTTAGTGATGGGTCCATTATTCCAAAGCTTAGTTGAGCTAACCTCCGCTCGTATTCATCGAAGATCTCACTGGCCCTCTTTTGCACCCTCCACTAGAATCCTGTTCCCACTTGAGCGACATGATGTCTTATTCGGAGCTAAGGGAATGCCGATGGGATCGGGGCGGGTTTCGGGATGGGGCCGGTAGAAGCAACTCGGGGTTACCCATTAGGCAAAGTCTCGGGGAATTGGCTATGGCCGTAAAATCCAACCACCATCTCGAAATTTCTAAAATTAATACCCAAGAATAACTGATGAACATGAAAATGCATTTACAAGAGTCAGAGCTGGAACAAACTAGCGTATAGTATTCGCAAAATGAAGTCCTCGGCCAAGGCTATCTGAACGCACGCCCCCCCCAATATCGCCTGGAAACGTTCCACTATTCAATCATTATACGAGGAAATATGCACACACTAGTGCGTGAAAACGCCCTCAACTTAAATTAAGCCTTCTCAATATAACGATCAAATATCTGGCCAATGCTCTTGGCACTCTTCTTTGGAAGGCGCTTCTGGTCATGATCATAGTCCACATAGGTGACTCCAAAACGGGTTTCATAACCCTCTGCCCACTCGAAGTTACTGCAAATTGAGAAGTCAGTATTAATTCCAAGGAAGGGGGTAACAGGGTACGATACTCCATAAGACTCCATGCCATGTAAGCCCGCACGTTCACTCCATCCAGCGTATACGCATCGGCCATGGCACCGATGTAATCGCGGAAATATTGCACACGGAATTCATCCTCCAGTAGTTCATCTAGAGGCATGTCATTCTCACCAAGTACGCTGGTGCCGTTTTCTGTCACGTAGATCTTAGGGTAACCATAACGATCACTTAACCACTTGAGCAGTTTCCGGAATCCAATTGCACAAGGTCGCAGCCATGGTGACTGTGTTATTGGGCCAACACTCTTGCCATTCTTATCCTCGAGCAGCAGCTCCAAATTTCCTGCGATGTCGTCGAGTTCGGGTTCGCCAGTCTTCGCACGGATATAGTTTGCACAATAGTGATTCATTCCGTAAAAGTCATTGCTGCCTTTCACGAGAGCAATGTCTTCCGCAGTCCAAGTTGGCAACCTGTCGCCTAGCTGCTTGATCATACTGTCGGGATATTTTCCGAGGTAGATAGGATCAGCGAACCACGAAATTGCAAATTCGATTTTGCGATCGCAGGCTTCGACATCAGCGGGATTTTCTGGGTCCCAGGGATCGGCCCAATCGCCTGTATTCAATTTTGGTAAAATTAGCAAGTGTACGAATATACCAGTATAGAGTACATACCGTTCAATGTGATTCCGATCTCGCCTCCATTCTGATCTTTGAATTCATCTCGGTATATCTTCACAGCAGCTCCATGGGCCACGAGGAGACTGTGTCCCACAATCCATGGCTCTGTCGAGCCGTCACCGACAGAGCTCTTGGTGCGATCACTTGTATGACCGGGTGCAAAAGACCCAGTGTTGTAGCCCAGGACACTACTGCACCAAGGCTCATTGAAGGTGATCCAGTGCTTGACCTTGGAGCCAAAGGCGTTGAATACAACTCGGGCATAACGAGCGAAGTCGGCAACAAATTCCTCCTTGTTTAGGAATCCGCCATATCGTTTGTTCAATTCATCGGGAAGATCCCAATGGAAAAGGGTCACCATTGGCGTGATGCCTGCGGCATGAAGGTCGTCAATGAATTTGAGATAGAACTGAAGACCTTTCTCGTTGATGGGGTCATTGCGACCGCCTAGAGGAATGATACGAGACCTGGTAGTCTTATTAATTAAATATTCGGGAAGCGGAGTGCAGATAGTGGAGGTATCCGAACCATGAAATTGAGAAACGATAGGCCTGGGCACCACACGTTTTCAATAAAGCGATGTCTTCATGAGTTCTATGGTATGAGTCGCACGCGATCTCACCTGACCCGCCTCCAGCAATCTTACCGGGGATCTTGCAAAAAGTATCCCAGATGGATGGACCACGACCATCTTCATTTGCACCACCTTCGATCTGGTAGGCGGCCGTCGCAAAGCCCCAGACAAAATCGGATGGTAGAGTGGACTGGGTGATGGAACCCATCGTGATACTACCTAGTACTACTTACTAACGAGTAGTCAATCAATTCACGGTTGGGGAGGGTGATTACTACTAAACGGCTCAGGCTTTTTGCTACACATAGTTGACTTATATATGCAACGCAGGGTCCTGAATCTGAAACTATAGGGGCAGTCAAGGCGAGACACACGCTAAAGCTTCCTTATCGTGCTAGGAATGAACTCCGCGCGGAGCAGATCCCGTTCCCAGAGCGTCGGCGTGTGGAGCCGCGCAACCGCGCCTGAGTGGCTTCTGGTGTTACCAGGCTGACCGGTCCGTTCACCGCAGTTCTACAAATTCTCGATGCAGATGGGTTAAGTAAAGAAAAATGCTAATACATGTTTTGCCCTTGCCAAGCCTAAACTCCGGAAGACTATGCGTGTCCGATTCGTTTCATGAAATTTCCATTCCTTCGTCATCACCATCCATCTCAGATAGCTCGTCCGCCGCGGAACCTAGCCGAAGTCGCGAGCTCTTGTCGCGTTCACATTGGGACTCTCCTCCGAATGAGCTGACCATCTCAAGCTCTGGCCCTGCCACAATACGACCTTCTGTATCCACCACCTCGCACAGTTCAATCAAACTTGTGTGACTGAGCGACTTGAATCCGTCGGTTCGTACCACGCGACCCCAGTGTGTCAGGCAGAACTGTGCGGCTCGACGCATCAGCCAGTGCTCGTTGGTTCTACCGGCACGCTCCCAGACAATTGCGGCGTTCTCCACATCGATCTCACGACTTAGTCGATTCACGCATAGTAGACGCAGCTTCGGCATGTCGTAAAGGTTAGCCATGACCAACATGCCTGCCACATCGACCACGGTCGAGCAATATTCAGGATGACCTGCGATACTATCTGTATACAGATAGTAGAGAAATGCACGGACTACCGAATATGGTTCCGGGATGTGCATGCGCTTGGTATGATATTCCGCCATCTGCGCTGAGTACAAGCGCTTAAAGTGTGGCCAGCGCAGTTGCAGAATTATCTTGTGGACATGAATAGGGACTGATGTTGATGAGTCGGGCTCCACGAAAGTCGGTTTCGATTGTGTGGGTGAGGTGGAGAGGGTATGTTCAGAGTCATCTGCAACCATGAAGTCGAGATCATCGCGCGTCGCCGTGATGACAAAATCAGCACCACTTCCCGACTCTGGGATCTGATCAAACACGGCAGAGAGGTCAGCCCCGAGCCCAGAAACAGGCGTGTGCCCTGCCGTGTCAACTGGCCAGGGGACATCTTGTTGGGGGACCTCCGCTGACAACTCGTTGCCGAGAAGTCCGTATCTTTCCAAATCGATCGAGAGTACTTCACTCATGTGATTTTCATCACTTGCTCCTGGTGTATTCGAAACGTCAAGGCTGCAACCCAACAACCATGCCTTAGTGCCCGCTTCATTGACTGTACAATAGTGCCATCGGTATCCAGGCCGGAAGATCTCTTGGCCGTCTGCTAGTCGCTGCCAGCGCAGTGAATTGAGCTCTAGAGCGGACAAGTTGCAGTCGTGAGACCGTACTGTTTCCGATGGAGTAATCAAGTCCAATAAGACCCCGGATGCGAATGACTGGAAATGAGTACCTGAAAAGAGAGCGGGCACATGGGGACCAGAATGGAACCTAAGGCAAGAGATGGCGCCAGGGGCGAGTGGTTTACGACGACCAAAGCTGCGCACTTGTACGCTGGCGGAGTTGGCGGCGTAGATCCCAGAGCGCGGAGACATCTGCTGCGGCGTACTAGACATAGATTCTGGGAGATGAGCAAAGGTGATTGGTGCATCCGGGGTGTCCACGGTACCTTGGGAGGAGACAATTCCAGTAAGCGACGGTGAGCCTTTGAGGTCAAGCCACCAGATATCGGTCGTTCGTTCCATATTGGGTCCCAACCCACCAAATATCCACAGGCGATTTCCCCAGACCCACGCCGTATGATCGAAGCGAGCGGTGAAACTCCAGGTACGTGACCAAGTCCAGGTTTGTAGGTCCAGGTAGGTGAGATCATCCAATATGACATTGTTCTCCCCCGTCACTCCCCCGACAATAAAGAGTTTATCATCATGGATGACCGCAGCATGGCGTGCTCTTCCCCGAGGAGGAATTCCATGTATTTCTGGCCCCGTCCATGTGAAGGACTGAAGATCGAGGATAACCACGTCCGCAAGATAATCGCGATGTTCATTCTCGCCACCAAATACGATCAATTTGTCGCCTTGGTATAAGGTCGCGGTGTGTCCTAGCGGAAGAAGAATTCGTGGATTAGAAGGGTCGAAACAGAACAACTGCAAGGACAAAGGCGACTTACCCATGCGTACACCGGGTATGTCCCCATAGTTATCTACCAACTCCCACCGCAAAGTATTGAGATTTAGACGGAGTACATGGTTGTAAACTGCGAATCCTTCGTTAGCGAAATTATGGGTTGCGGCGGTGTGGATGGGAGCGGAGAGGGCATGATTGATCGCGGGGAAAGATCCAACCTTCATCGGTGAATTGATCGAAGCCGCCGAAGGCGTAGATGTGATCGTTATTACAGAACGTCACCGAGGCATTGACCAGACATGCGGGGACATGGCCCAGCGCCTTCTTGACACCAGGCCTATAATCTGCCACTGGTTGACGGCCTGCCGCCGGACTGGCGGGAAGTAGGTATGCGTCCTGCTGCTGCATCGGAAATGCAGGAGAGCGAAGACTGCCAGGTGTGATGGGATTGGAGGCTCTCGAAGATCCAGCCCAGGATGACGGAAGTCGTGCGGGTGGGTCCTGGTGGAACGGGTTGAAGTGGGGAGTCGCCGGGTCCGCCATGAGACAGGAGGAAGGGAGGAAAGGAGGAAAGGAGGGTGAAAGAAGAGTTTGGTAATGATGGGACTTTGCTTACTCACTCTTTGTTCACAAGTTGCATGATGCCTCCCGGGGGTGGGCCAGTGTATGGCTTTTCCTGGGCAGATCAGAATCACTGATCCATTCATTGATTGTACAAGAGTAGGGCACGCCACCATTCAAAAGGGAATCCGGGGGAACCTTTTTCCGAAGTTGCCTAAAATTCCAGGGAGGTTGCGCTAAGGCCCAATTGGGGATAGCGTTCCCGTACCTGAGGTAACGGTTGCCGGGGGGAAGAAGTGCTCCATACTCAGATGGGCAGTCTATTTAGTCGCTCATACTTCTTGCCCTCTTCTTTTCCTCACCCACTCCTCCGTTTTCTTATGACCTGAACCTCTCTCCAAATTCCTAATTGATCCCTCTACCTTTGTCTTGTTTAGTGGCTGGTTCCACTGTATTTGTTTAACTCCGCTGGGGAAACTATCTTCGTCATGGCAACTGCTCAACTGTCGACTCCCAAGAAGAGCCACCATGGGCTCTTCTCCTCCAAAACTGCCGGCAGCCGCATGCCTCTGACTCCCTCCCCTCACACTCGAGCAACCGTCGCAACTCCTCAAGCCTCCGATCAATCCTCGCCGTTCACTCCGGCTCGACCCGCCGACGCTGGAAACGATAAGTCAAAGTCTGTCTATGGTGGAAATCTGTCGTCCTACTTCTCCAAGCCCTCGGTTTCGAAGTCTTCTTCGGCAGTTCCCAAACAACCGCGAACTCATCGCGATTCTCCCAAGTCCAACATTGCTCGTCGTTCGCGGAAATCCCCCAAGCATCTGGAACTGGGTCTATCTGACTGGTCTCTGACCGGTACCGGACCTTCCTCATCTGGCCAGACTCCCTCAAAAGAGCGTCCTCGCCGAGAAGTTCCCACTCGCTCCCGGGCCGGCAAGACTACGGTTCGGATCTCTCACAATGCCGGGGACCGCTTCATTCCTAACCGGGCTGCCAGCGAGGGATTGGTCACCACTGGAACCGCCAAGCCCGAGGACAGCCAACGCCCCAAGACTAGTGGAAATGAAGGATCTTCTGTCCTAGCTTCGGCTGCTAGTGCTTTTGATATCAACGGACGCGGATCCGAGGAAGATCTCACAGCTGCTCTCGAGAACATGGGTCTCGAAGATAACGAACCTTCCACCTACACCCGCCCCGCACCAGACGCCGTTGCTTACGAGTCATCTCTGGCGAATGCCTGTGGAGTGAATCTGAATACTCGCATTCTGGCATTCAAGCCACCGCCCCCTGAATCTTCCAAGCCAATCGATCTCCGAGCGCAGTACAACCGTCCTCTTCGTCCCGCCAAGTCCCAGTCAGCCCAGTTCCGCCGTCGTGTTCAAACGGCCCCCGAGCGGGTCCTCGACGCACCTGGCTTGCTTGATGACTACTACCTCAACTTGTTGGACTGGAGCTCTGGCAACCAAGTCGCCATCGGCCTGGAGCGCAACGTTTACGTCTGGTCTGCTGAGTCGGGCACAGTGAACTGCCTTCTCGAGACTTCTCCTGATACATATGTTAGCAGTGTCAAATGGAGTGGCGATGGCGCCTATGTCGGCGTCGGTCTCGGAACCGGCGAGATTCAGATCTGGGATGTTGAGGAAGGCTCCAAGCTCCGCAGCATGTACGGCCATGACTCCCGTGTCGGTGTGATGGGCTGGTCTAAGCACACTCTGTCCACCGGTGCCCGTAGTGGTCTTGTTTACAACCATGACGTCCGCATTGCCCAGCACAAGGTTGCCGAGCTGGTCTCCCACACATCTGAGGTTTGCGGTCTGGAGTGGCGCTCCGATGGCGCACAGCTTGCTACTGGTGGAAACGACAATCTTGTCAACATTTGGGACGCTCGCTCTCTCAGCGCACCCAAGTTCACCAAGACCAACCATCGTGCGGCCGTCAAGGCCCTTAGCTGGTGCCCCTGGCAACTGAACCTCTTGGCTACCGGAGGTGGCTCGTACGATCGTCACATTCATTTCTGGAACACCACCACTGGTGCTCGTACCAACAGCATCGACACCGGATCTCAAGTCACCAGTCTCCGTTGGAGCAACCACTACCGCGAGATTGTTAGCTCAAGTGGCTTCCCGGATAACTCTCTTAGCATCTGGAGCTACCCGACCCTGGTGCGCAACGTTGAGATCCCCGCCCACGAGACCCGCGTCCTTCACAGCAGTCTTAGCCCCGATGGACAGATGCTCGCGACCGCCGCGGCCGATGAGAGCTTGAAGTTCTGGAAAGTATTTGAGCGCAAGCCTGGCAGCAGTGCTTCTGCCTCTCGCGAGGGTGGCGTCGGAAGCAAGGCACAGCTGAGCAAGTCGATGACTATCCGGTAAACAGGCAAACCGGCAAACTAATACTAACCCTGTTTGTGTTTCCTGTTTTCCGAGCTCTATACCCGGTTCATGGTGATCTCTAGCATTGATGGGCTGGGATGTGTTTTCAATGGAGTTATTGGTGTTCATGGTGTTTTATGGAGTTGTAATCTATTTCTCTAGGCTGATTGTACAAAATGCCAATCCTTAACGTCATCTCTCAAAAAAATTCACATAAGTGGTAAGTTTATTTTCTACCAAAACTGTAGCCCAAATCCCCCGAAAGAAACTTGTCTACGTCGACCTAAAATCTAGGCGCACTGACATTATGTTGGGTGGGCGGCTCTTTATGACTAAGCTCCCGGAAATGGAGTCAGGATCGACCGCGGAGGTTCGACTTTCACCTTTCTTTAACTCATCGGCAACTCCCCACCCTTCGTCCCTTGCCCCTCGATTCTTCGCCAACATCGAATATATCTAGCTGCTACATAAATCATTGTCTCCGGTTTGAGCGTTACGACCAGGCCGAATATTTCAACCTCACGTGTCTCCGTGGAGGCTTGATCGATCAGTCCTCCGACGGCCTCATCCGTTGCGGCGGAAGGCTATATCCCTCCTTCGAGCTACTGAGCTTTCAATCTCAGTTCTCTCTCGGTTCACTTTCGCATTATCGGTATATCTGACACGCCGTCAATCAATATTTCAATCCATTCAACACTTCAACCCACCTCCTCGCCAACATGTCCAACCAGCAAGTGGTAAGTTCCGTTTCGCGGCAGCACACCCTGTACAGTCGATCAAGCATCAAACCATGGTTCTTTTCACTTTGTATTCTGCTGTCTTGATAAGAAACTGGCCAAGGTCGATGTGAAGTATCCATAGCTGACAGTCCTCCCTTCAAAGGGTACGGTGTTCGAGAAGGTGATCCAGGAGGTCTGCGATTCCTCCCAGGTTGACTTTGAGGAGAGCGGTGTTGATCAGAAGACACTGCATGATCTGCGCGATGTAAGTTTATCCTCTTTTATTCTCATTGTGTGGGCTTTGATGGCTGTTGGCGTGCTGGGTCCGGGCTGGTCGGCGAAAAGCGGGGGAGCCCGAAGTGCGAGGGAGGCGGTGCTTATGGGGGAACACCGGCATTTGAGGTTCCCTTTATACGTGGCCGCCGCTACCCGCTTTTGGGGCTTAGGCCGCCAAGCCATCATTCGTCCAGCATCACTGCCTATTTCCCCCGCATCTCATACTAACTAAATATCTCCAACAGCACTGGCAGCAAAAGCTCTCTTCTGTCAACGTCGCCCATTTCCCCTGGGATCCTGCTCCCCAACCTACTCCCCAAGCTCATGTTCTTCCCCCTCAATCCACTGTTCCCTCCAATGCGCCACGACCACCCCCGCAACAACATGTCCCTCCCCCTGTCTCTCTACCTCAGGCGCCCCCGGTGCAGGCTGCCGTCCAACAACCCGCGACGATGGCTGGCCCTCGTATCAAGACTGAGCCTGGCACCAACGGACAAGCTATGCCGCCGAACATGACTAACTCGATGGCTTCTAATGCGCCTCTTCATTCCGCACGAGAGCGGGCTATGAACAACGTGCTTCACAAGTACGGCCCAGCTGCGGCTCAGACTGTCAGTCAACTCCAACAACCTGGCCAGGCCTATCAGCCGCAGCCGCAGCCGCAAATGCATGCCCCAAATGGTCAGATGCCTCAGATCAAACAGGAGCCCGGCTATCCCCAGATGGGCCCGGGTCAGACCGATGGTGCTGGTGATTCATTGTCCGACTGGAAAGCAGAGGTCGCCCGTCGCAGAGAAGCTGCGCAAAATGGAGAAGGTGACCGGCTTCTTCGTGACCACTTCAAGCAGCAGATGCTCGGCCTTGAGGCCGGTGGTCTTCTCCAGCCTTCCCCTGGAGCCGGATCATCGAGATCGGCTGCCAGACGCGCCGCCCTGGTCGCCCCTTTGAACCAAGGTAGCACCGAGAATACAGCATCCACCTATCGAATTCCTGCCCAGTTCGATGGCGCTGAGGACGAACCCAAGGAGGAAGCTGATGAAGATGCTATAAACTCCGACCTTGATGATCCTGATGACTTGGTCGCTGATGATCACGATGCCGATGAAATGGATGGTCAGGTCATGCTTTGCACCTACGACAAGGTCCAAAGGGTCAAGAACAAGTGGAAGTGCACCTTGAAGGATGGAATCCTAACCACAGGTGGCAAGGAGTAAGTCTTGATTTTCTAGGTCCGGTCAGGCTCTCCACTAATCTTTCAACTTCTAGATATGTCTTCCATAAAGGCCAGGGAGAGTTTGAGTGGTAATCAGAACTGGCCAACTTCTCACTCCTCCTTTTCATATTCGCTCCTCACATGTACGAATCTCCTCCGATCTGTAATACTCCTTCCACCACCAACATCCTCTTTGGCCCAAATGAAACTTAAAACTCAACCCACCCACCTCTTATGCCTTTCACGCGGCTTCTACAAGCGCTACCTTTTTCGACCGTTTACGATTCTCCTCCTACTGCCTCGAAACAAGATCATATCCCAGGGGTTAGCTTCGCACTTGTTGTCTTTTTTTACTTTGTTTCTTTTCCATCTTCAATATGAGCCTCGAGAAGCTCACGATATTTAAAAGTGAAATAAATGGTCCTTTTTTTCACTAAACAAAGCTTTGGAATTTACGATGCCTCTGTTCACGCACTAGAATGGTAAATCCAGCTAGGTTACCCAAATAACAATTCAAATGGATCTACGCGTAAAATATTGGGCAATTCATTCTCAGCTAAGCGGCGCAGAGCTGCGATTTGCTTGTAGCATAAGAATAAACTTAGGGAGAAGAAAGTCAAGTAATCAGTTAATAGACAAAAGCCAAAGTGTATAAACCCGTATCTACAGGATCCGACGCCAAAGAACCACACTTTTATAACTTCAATTCCACTCCTCTCTCCAAAATCAGCGTTGCTGAGAAGAAAGCAAATAACAGGGCCATAGAGAGGCGGGAGGATTGAGCAGCAACAAGCCATATTCCCCTCACCTTGCATAAGATCCTAGACCTCTGATCGGCCCTCTTCACGCTTCTCCTGCTTTTCATGAGTGCGGTGAGGCGAAGCCCGTGATGGTCCATTTGCCTGCCTTTTCCAGGCTAGACATGGAGGTCGCAGGTCATATGGGGGGATTGAGTGGGCCAGCTGAAGCCCAACAAAATGGAAGGCGAAAAAAAAAGCAATACAAACAGCAAAAGCCAACCCGTGCAGAACGCAGGATAACATGCAAAAAGAAGAACAGAACGATATAAACACGTTTCCCTTGTTCCATTGCTGCCTCAACTCCCAGCAATCAAGTGGAGGGAAACATAACCACGAACTTCTAGGCAGGTCTTTCTGAGATCTTGATCGCTCAGGTGGCTCTATTGCCAAGCCCGACTGGGTGCGTCGGAGGATTTGGAAACGGCGAGGGATATCAATCAAAAACACAACAAAAAAAAGACACGAATGCCAGCGAACAGCGAAAGGAATCGATATATCAGAGTATGTGAAAGGATAAGACACCCCGTGAGAAAGCAGTGAAAAAGACAACCGTAAGAACTCCAAAGTTACCGGGCCAGTCATGACATCATGTGGGAGCGCAGTTAGCTCCAAAAGACCGTCGAGATTCATTCGCATAATAACTGGGTATTATGTTATGGACAAGCAAAGGAGGGAGCTTCACAGGAGGCCTTCTTCGCCAATTCCGGGGAGTCCAGCTCCAGCGACGTTGATGTTCTGTCCCTGCATGACTCCACCGCCGAGATTCAGATTGCGACCTGCTGCAATCTGGAAATCAGGGTTGCATGGTGGAGAGTGTGATTTGTGATATTTAAGACCGTTGAGGTTCTTATACCGCTTACCACACACTTCACAGCGATAAGGCTTTTCTTTCTCCATGCCTAGGGTTCCAGGGTAAGGTGCTGATGTTTCCGGGTTGACGATTGAGAATGTTCCGTCTGCGTTGTCGTGAAGTTGTTGATTATTATGGCCATGCTATGAGAAAGAGAAAGAAACAACGTTAGATAAAACTGTCTTGGAGCGTATAGTGAAAGAAAAGGTCAGCACTGGGACACTCACAGCCTTGTGGTATTTGAGTCCATTTTGGTTCTTATAGGCCTTCTCACAACCAATGACAGGGCAACGGAACGGCTTTGGCTCCTCGTTCGGAAGGATTGAAGTGGTATCCGGGACGCCCGCCAGGAGCTGCTGTTCACGAATCCGGCGTGCAATGTCGCTATTGGGGCCATATTGGGCTCCGCTGAGTTTGAAGTGGGCATTCGGGGTCCCCATGCCTCCGTTAGGGCTAAAAAGTCGCTTGGCCGGCTCGTCGATACATAAGTCAACCATATCGTTATTTCCGGTAAACCGTCCATACTGGCTTTGATTCTGACCCATGTTGTGCTGCATATTGAGATCGCCAAAACCGCCCATCATGCTTTCGTCGATTTCCGCGGGTGTTCCAGGTGCTGATGAATCGGGAGTATTTCGAAATTGTGAAGTTTGGAGAGGATTTGCCATTAAAGTGGGGGTGTTGACGGAGGACACAGTAGGATTATTTTGCAGGGAGAGCGGGCGTCCAGATCCGATCGGCGTTCCGGGCTGCGAGGGTGTGCTGAAGCCTTGGTGACTTGGAAGCATGCCCAAATTTAATTGCGGGCCCTGGTTGGAGCTGCCGAATCCCCCCTGGCCACCTTCGCGTAACTGGGGGGAGAAGAGCTGCGAGGTTGTGCCATCATCATCTCCCATAGGCTCGTCCAACTCCATGTCGTCGATCGTGTCTAAATCCGCGTGCTGGATAATGGACGAGTTCTGGCCCATTTTACGCTGCATGTCCAGGGTTCGGTCGGGCTGTAATCCGCGCCCTTGGTTGCCATGCTGTTGGTTCTGTTGCTGTGCGATCGCGGCCGCGGCCAAGGCAGCCCGATTTTCACCCTGGCTTGGACGATGCCCTTGGTTGGGCGACTTGGTCGCATGGGCTTCTTCGTAGTGTTGTAATAGGTCATGGAGTGTCGGTAACGTCACACCGCAGCACGAAAAGTCTCGCATGAAGTTGGCCTCCAGCTTCGGCAGATATGAGGATGAATGAAACGAAGGCGACTGGAAGGTAAATGGTGAGGTGCCGGTCATAATAATGCTGTGTGGTAATTTTCCTGGTCAGTCTCTGATGCGGTGCAACAACCAACAGGCGCACAGGTTTTCCCCGCGGCCTCATGGAGGAAGGTTTTTTTTTTTCCCGGCAACTCACTCATCGCGTATCCAACTTCCGACAGACACACCACCCCAGCTCATACCGCCCACTAAACTACCTGCGAGGGATTCTCGCCGACCTTTGTCGCGGTTAGACCCCGACATTGAAATGGGCTTCGTTCCATTTCCCCATTGTGCTGTGGCAGCGCCAATCGAGTCCTTGCGAGGCGGCGGCGCCTTGAACCCCCCCGAGTCCTCCACTGGGGTGATGCGATATGCTACCTGTGCGTTCACCTGTGCCAGCCTTTTGCAATGCCGACGTGAGATTCGATGCTTGTTGCCCAGGTGGTGAGACCGAGGTCGAGTTCCGGGTGGCGATGTCGATAGGAGCTGCACCCGCCATCCTGATAAGGTGACGTGACCGTCAAATCAACCGGTTGGTGGGGGGAGGGAAGAAGTAGGAGGAAAGGCAGGCAAGCAACTAAGAGAATCAAGGGAGGGAAGAAAAACAAATGATAATGCGGGTTTGCGGAGCCTGCTCTTGGGAAAGATCAAAGATTCGAGTTTCCCTAGTCTGCGCAAAGGGCACGCCAAACTCCGGGGACTTCTTGAGAGAGAGGGGGGGGTGTTTTAGGAGGGTAACAGGATAACAAAGTCCCGCGTTGAGGCGTGATCGTGGTCCCCAGGAAAGAGGTGAAGAATATGAGAATACGACTGGAGACGGTGCGATATGAATGCCCCTCTTGATGGAAGTGGACTTTCTGGGTGGATGGCGGTCTTAGGCGGGTTCAAGGAGTCCACCCTCGGATGGTGTCCCGCTCTGGCTTGGGCCCGGCGGAACGCGGTGCCAAAGGTCGAGTGGCGATGACTCAACGAGATACCGTGGTTTAAAAATAATAATAATCCGGTGCTGGGGGGGGGAAGGGGGAGCAGACAAAGTAGAATAAACAGAGGATGAAGTCCAGGGGAAGGGGAAGTCTACAAGGAACAAGGAAGAAGAGAGTCTCCAGTTTGGCAAGTCGGACGTTGGAGTCGAGTCAAGTCGGATCGAGGGAAGGTACGATGGAGGCAACCCTTCCGTTTTAGGAAAGGCGCCATTACGATACGGTTGTATTACCATTTCATGCGTCCTACACAGGGGGGCGCAAACGGGCCGGGAATTTCAAGACAAAGCTTTTGGTCGCTTTCCACTCGATTCTCAATACACCGGATCAACCGCCTCCGTTCCTGGCTGAGGAGACAAGGTTCACGATGCGATGAGAGCAGATGAGATCCCGGAATGTGTCGATGGTGGGTTTGTTGTCGATCACCAAAGTTGATGACACGACACACACCGCTTGCAGGACGTCATGATTGGTAAAGTACTTTGTGGTACGGAGTACTTACACTGAAACCCTGGGCTCGGAAACTAGTCTACAATCCATGACTAAAGTTCTCTTGGCTTGATTTCATGTCATTCAGGTTTCAACATTGCTCTTCTCTACTCCCTATAATGTACACAGTACACAGGAGAGGAGGGAGAAAACCGTCTCGACTCGAATTGCCACTCTCATATTGAACTCCGCTAGTACTACTAATACAATTTCCCTCTGTGGACCGGACCCATCCGATGGGGATATTCATTATACATAGTCGTACGGAGTACGGAGTATTGTTTTTTTTTGCCGACCATCACCAGGTGGGGGCAATTGAGCTCATCTGTCTCTCCCTCTTGCTTCGTCCATGGTTCCTTGTGAAGAGGCCGGGTATCTCCACTGTTCCCTTCTGCCGATGCATACATCCTCCCAAGAGTTGGGTGAGATGATCGCCACTCATATACATACTACATAGATGTATGTATCCTGCAGGAATTCAAGCTCGAGCAGATCTGGGGTTATATGCAAGGGTCAAGATGATCGCGGTGGCGGGTTTTCATCTTACCGCGGCCAATGCCCAATGGATTTCCGGAGCTCTTCCGACGCCGTCCTTTACCGTCCTTCCTCCGCCCTCTTGATACTTCGTGTCCTATGTCTTCAAGTTGCGAACGAGAAGCGTGCGATCGGATTTCCGTTCTCGTGAGGACAGTTGTTCATTCCTTATTGATGTGAGGCACCCTTTTGCTGGCACCCCCTGCCCCAGAGGACCCAGCGATCGGCAACGCCTCCAACCCAAACAACCTTTCAAGGTTTCATACTACGTAGGGTACACGTTGTGAGGCAATGGGACTCTTGGCGTTGGCGCTAGAAACACGGCAGAAGCATTCGGACAGCCTTCGATCAATTAGCGTCATCCGAACTCTTCAAGCCTTACCCGGTGGTACGAATACACCGCCCTAGTGAGACCCTCCGAGGAGCTCAATTGCTGCCATGTACCTCCGTACGGAGTACTGTACATATCGTACGAGTAGTCTTTGTGGGCTTCCGATCTTCCCTGATCTCTCTTGCCGAATATGTACTCGTAGTGGCTGTGAACGAGCCCCGTAACCCGATCGGCTCAACGCCCTCGCCGAACAACCTGGTCCGCCACCCTTCCGAGAGACTGAAATACTAGTCGTAGAATGACCTGCAACCTCACCTAGTCTCACATCACATATCCCCCCCCCCAAGAAGGTCTCTTGCTACGGGGTTTCCTCAAGGCAAATTCCTCGACCATTTCTCGTTTAGGCAATGTGGATGTTTTCACTCGGCCGACTTGCCAATGGAGGGACGCATTGTCACTGGCTGGGACAGACAACCATCCTATGTAGATCGGGCTCGATAGCAACCTTCTGTTGGCTTAAAATTGCCTGAATTGGATGATTCAACATTGCGTAACTTCCTCAAATCAGTTAACACGTTTTAGTCGGTCCATGTACCGCCAGATCCGCAATTAACCTGCTGCCAGCCCGTGTTACATATACCAACACCCACAACGTAGCTGCATAATACGCGTAATAATCCGGCCTGGGTGGTAGTATGTAGCTGCAATTTGTCGGGGTCGCTGGCTCCTGAAATGTACGAACTAACGGTCGAACTATCAAAATGAAGAACGGTTAATGAATGGAGATGTGGGAACAGATGGTAACGGTCGCTCTTGGGGAGGCGGTGCGTGCTGGTGCGTGCATCGCACATAATCATCCTCTTGGTGGGGAACATCACCATGTGATCATGGCGATCACTGTTTCAATAGTCCCAAAACTCGACTTGAAACTAGCCACCCCCCTTTTAGACTTAATCGATTAGTTCACTCTGGAGAGACTGGTACGCAATACCCCATACTGTACGGAGTATGAAGCACCAAAGATACGATGCCCAGGTAGTAACGAGCACACTGTGCAGACCGCCAACTCCCACTAGTTAGCCTCTGTCCATATACTCGTCTCAGCTTCACATGTCTACCTAGCGGTGAGCATAGCGGCTAGATCGCGTGATCAATAAACACATGCGTATACACACACTAAGTTCAAGTTGTAGAGATTAAATGTATTTCCACGTCATAGCGGGCTTGATACATGTAGCTGCAACGAGAAGGGCGGGTAGTAAATATGCACCGATCGAAGCATCAGCAGGTTGGAATGACCCTTTCCCCGCACTTATCTCCAACCTTGATATTTATCTGGATCGGAAAATAACCATCAATGCAAGAAATGAATAGGCTCTAGTCGCCGAGTTCGCCCGAGGTGCGTCTGATTCTTGTCTCCCCGCACTGAGCTCGGATATTACTCGGGAATTTGCGGGTGATGCGGAGTCAAATGTACAAGGATTGAAAGCGATATTGTCGATGAGCACATGGCAGGGTAGCCAAGCAATTTTAACCTCGTAGCTTATCTTGAATATGGGTATAAATGCGGGGAAGCGAGGTAGTCACTCCTTCTTGTTTGGTGCACCTCAGTCCCCCCCAGGGAGGTGACTTTAGGTCATTTCAGTGAACTCAGAACTTTAGAGTGTATAAGACCGTTTAGTATTACTAAAAAAGTAAACATATGAATTGTTAGTGAAACCGTACACCAAACAACTTGAACGCTAGGGCTCCAGTTGTTTGAAAAGCAAAGCCACTGTTGAGACACGCCCAACTTCTTTTCGGTATAATTAATAATTGGTTTCATTTGAAACTTGTTGTATAGATCTCCTGGGCTCGGTAAGAATATTGTCGCTCGGTTACTGCCCACCACGTCGTCACAACTGGTATGAGAAAGCTATCTTCAACGTTATTTCAAGGCAGTCACTTTGGGGGGGGGGGTTGAAATTCTCGATAGGCAAAAGGTTTTATGGGCACCAAGATGGAATTTCACTAGAACGACTTTATCAGGGCTAGTATGCATGATGGATGTGCTTTAACAAAGGCTTGAACCTATCCATTATCCACGAACTACAACCTGCAGGGGTACCCAAAAATGTCACCACATATCTCGGAGCAGTATTGCCCCTCTTAATGCGACCAAGCCCTACAAAAACCACTACTTATTGAAGCCATAGGTAGTATGCTAAAACTTCTAGTAGTACGGTTATAATTCAGTTTCAGAATGCTCTACGCTCAACATATTGATTCACTGAGCTCTTGCTCGACCATCAGTTGAAATGAGTCAGATGTAGACAGTAGGAATTATAGGAGCTTCTTGATACAGGGGGTGAAACTATGGCGTGATGGGTCCTTGTGTTGCGACTCAGCTTTGTTGATGCCATAACAAAGAGGGAATATTCCTGGAAGTCCAGTCCTATCCTAATGCAAAAGGGTGAAAACTACCCGCGAACAACGCCACTGCTGAGAGATCTTTATCTTTATTATTATTCATGCGGTTAACTAAGACTTTTCCCTCACTGAGCCCTACACGAATAAAGATGAGACATGTCAGCGTCGCACGCGTCGCAGAGGATACAGTCAACCATGTGACTAGAATATTACAACCTTATTGGATGTGCATAACGTGCTAATCACCAAAGAATACACCGAAAAAATGTAACAAGTAACCAAAGCATATCATGCCGCCAGATCTTCACCGAGGATGCGGGTGGAAATGGGGCGAGATTCATGAGGGGGGTTACGGGGGAGCCGGGCCCCCACCGACATTCTCACCGGGGAGACCAACACAGCATTTCCAGGAAGCCCAGAACGGAAGTAATGTGGTTTCATAAGCCAATGCTATCGGGCAAGTGCCCAACGTGTTATCGGCAAGATTGGTGAACAGAGGGGACAGTAGAAAAGGGGTGGACTGAATTGAAGTATTGCACAAGGGAGGGTTGCCAACAGGGAGCCTTGGCATCAGTGGCGAGGCCCCAAGATGGGACTGTGGAGATCTTCACGGCGCATCGGATGACCTACCTTGTGGAACATACCTGCTATCCGCAAGAAGCGGTAGCCCCCAGCCTCATAATGCTGCACAGCCAAGACTGGAATATCAAACCTGTGAAGGCTTGGCAGATAATCATTGACACTTGGCGCACTTGGCAAGTATTCAGGATGGAACCTCCCTCGCATCAAGAGTGCTTACTATTGTCTGGGCATTGAAGATAAGGATGGCTGTGCTAGGCAACTTCCTTTGGTTTACTGTATGTATGGAAATAGAACGGAGGTTGGTTGATGTTCGAAAGAGATTCAATCTTGATTGCAAACTTGCCCGCTAGGCTTGGTATGTAGTCCCAAAAAAACAAAAACAAATAGAAAACAAATATGGCTCTGATGTAGACCTGATCAGATAGCGCCGCCAACACCCTTTCTGCTTTTCCACCTTTTGTCGTTAGAGGTGGCCTCGTTGTCGAGGTGTTTCTTATCCTTGTCCTCCGGGCTGAATCTGACATTTGGTCATCGTAGCGAAGGGACCGCTGGGTACACAAAATAGAAAATGCATCGGTCGCTGATGTCGTGATAATAAATTGCATGAACTTTAAAGAAATAATGAACTGGGCTCGATGATAAATGAAATCACTGGGAAGGTCGTCGGGAAGGGTGGCCCAGGAAGAGGAAGCCTGCGGGGAGCGTAGCAGCAACATCATCGGGTTGGGAGTCCTCTGACGATGAAGAGGATGTGCTGTTAGAACGGTGCAATACTGCCTCCGAGTCAGAGGTTTGCTCGATGGAATCGGTCAAGGCTTGCTCATAGGCCGCAAGGTCTGGACCAGATTCGGTGGGTGACAGGACAAGAAACTTCTTGGAAGGGTCAAATGGCGCCGAGCTGCTGGCAGACAGGACGAGGAAGTTGCGAGGAGGTGGGATGGAATGCATTTTGAAATGGACTTTTTGGAATTGGCTTTTATGTGGGTGGTAGTAATTTGGAAGGTTGGCAGGAGTTTCAGAGTCAAGTTCGGGATGATGGTTTGAGAGATACTCAGGACGGGTGGAATCGACCAGACTTTATAACCACGAGCTGGGCTAAGGACCTTGGAGAATGAGGGGCATTTTTTATTTTTTTATTTTATCAAGGTGAGCGCCATTGGCGTCGATCTAGCACATCATTCATCTCAGCCGGAGGCAAGTGGATACCCGACAGTCATGCAGGCCCGGGCTCTCCCCCGCGATTGTCACTGATAGTACATAATAATATTAACGGAAAATCCTAAACATACCGACACTCACATGTCTTGGCTCTGCTCTGTGAAAAAAAGGGGGAGCACTCCCTTGAAAGCCAAGACTTCACTATTGGATTTCCAATTCTTCGACTTCGCCTCTCTCTTGGCTTTGGTATTCAGTCGTCTCTGAAAGGAGAGTCGGTCTGGGTCTGGGTTCACTGTCATTCCCAGGTTCCCTTCCGCCGGAAAAATAATAATATTGGCAGGTAACTACTATGCGGGAAACCTGTGTGTGTACAAGTCAGCAAAGGTCCAACTCCGCCTAATTCCGCAATTCTTTCCGGGAAGGCAGGCCGATCCTACCCCCGTTGCCAACCGAAGGCCAAAGAAAGCCAGAGAGAGCCCAAGAAGAGATCCGCAGCCAGGATGAGGGGCCAAGACGTTTCCCCAGCGTGGGAAAGCCGTGGATTTTCACAGGCTGCGTGCTGCCTGGACCACGCCATCGTTTCGTTTCATGTGTGGCTGGTCTCTGCTCCGATCATCCCGACTGCGTCCGCGTCAGTCCCCCTATCGTGACGGTTGATCGACCCCGATTTGTTTTCTCTTTTCCTTCCTTCTTCTCGTAGGGGTGCACTTCATTGCCGTTTGTAGAAACATGCACCATCCATGACATCATGTTCATCTCTCACGACGCGAACGATATCCTCTTTAACCGAGGGCCCTGATCGATTTTGGGAGAGTGGGTGCTGCGTAATGTGGGGGAGATTGTTTTTGCCCGCATGTGAGGTCTGGACTTGAGTCAACGATTTTGATGATATACCCCTGCGTAACGGAGATGAGTTGGAAACTCGAGGGCCTTGGCTTGGCTGCTTCTGCAAACCACAAACATTCAAGCTGTGCCAGGGCGCAGTTGCATTAGATAATCACGTGGTAGACTGTTACTGCGAGCAAAAAGCAGACTTGAATCCTTTTCCTTCTTTCCCGAGGATCCGCAAGATCACTGTCACAGCAATGGTGCTGTGCTCAAAATCCAACGGCGCCAAATCCAATGGCTGAGGTTGAAAGTTAAGCCTGTGCTCTCTTTGGCGCCCAGAATCTCGGCGTGTTACTTGTTCGGAGTCGATCTCCCGGCCGCGGCGGCTGAGAGAGCCTCAGACCATGAACTGCCCCATCATGAGCGGGGAGCCCCCAAGCACAGCCTTTTCTTCCTCTCCGCCAGTCAGGGAATCCCTGGGCTTGGTTCATTGGAGGAGAGCAAATCTTTTTTGGAATTTCTTCAGCGGGCCGAATGCAGACCCTCAATAGATTGAGAAGCATATCACCTATTAGGGTACCGCCCTTATGTGATCATAGACATCCAACACTAATGGCCACTGCCCACCAGCACGACCATCGCCAGGATTTCACCTTCGGAGTTGCGTTCGTAATAGCCCAACTTATCCGAGTGCCCATCCAACGAAGAATAGCGATTAGGATGTCTCATCACCTTGCAGCGCTGCCAGGTCCATGCCGCTATCACCAACTATCACCAACTGCGGCAGCGTAGCGAGACTTGGTCCGGCTGCAAAATTGAGCCTTGGGGCTAGAATATGGAGATCATCATGTCGGCTTTTGTTCTTGGCGTACAACTCGGATATTGTCTCTTTTTGTGGGAGCTGGTGGCCCACCTTCGGCTTCCCCGGCATCATGGTATGTAGTACTATGGCACTACGGAGGGCTGAATTCTCTCTCCTTTTCGGTTCAAATGTCTGTTCATCTAAGGGTCAAACAGAGTTACAAGCTCTCGAAATATCCCACTGTCATCTGACAAACCTTACCAAAAGCCAACAGGAGCAGCCGGTATCAGATTATGGCCTCTCCGGCCCCGCCTCGGCCCTTGACTTCTGCTGTGCCGGCCCCCGAATGTGCACCCCCACCACGAGGACTATGGCAGGTGCCTTGTCCTAGAACAGATAAATGATTGAAGAATCACTCGCCCCATTTGTCATATGAGCTACAACCTGTACCTGACGGCTTGTGTTGGTTTGATCTAATTTGCCGGAGGGGAAGACCTGTTGGTGTCTGCAATACGATTTATATGGAATGATGTCAAGCGCAATATGCAACACCTAAACTCTATTTGGGGATGGGGATGGTCGATTCGATCAACGGTTCGATGGCCGAGGGAATCTCCGTGTTCGCCATTGGCGTGCGCAGAAGGATCACCAGGCGCAACCCACTGGCCTCCACCTTCTGGTGGCCCACCTAACCGCCAAAGAGTGTCTTTTGTTGGTGCAGAATGATGTACGGGCCAAGGACTTTTGGCACATGCCTCTTGTTTACAACCTGCAATGTGGTGGGAAGATACCCTGCGAGTGACGACTATTCCATTAGGTGCATAGGGCGTTGACACTCCATTCCTTACAGCACCCGTGCAAAGACTGGTCCATTCGCTTCGGACCATCAGCATGTCTTTGTACAGACTGTGCTGCAACTCGGCGCAGTCATGCTTCCCGGGTAACAGCACGATTTTCTATAAAGCTGGTTCAAGCTCTCCTTCTTTTCTCCATCAAATAGCACAAATCCATCTCCACGACTGTGCCCTCGCCCAAGCCCATTTTTTGGCCTTTTTAATTAAGTCCATTACACGAGACACTCTTCATTACAAGAATGTGCTCGGTCTACATCTTTCTCTATGACTGCGGCTGCTGCCTTAAAGAAGGAGGAGAGGTACCATGTGCCAAAAAAGGCACCCCGTTGTGTCACGGCATCAAGGAGCACTTCCGCCGCCGACACGGCTACAACTGCTCTAAGCATGGTGGCTAGAAGCTTTGACAAGGTTAGTGGGGTTGTAATTCGCTGCTTCTGGCTTGGACCGAACAAGCTTTTGCTCACACGACAATTCCTAGTGAGCGAAATGATCAGACGAATTCCGAAGCCTCTCGGACATTACCACTCAACGTCGACTCGGTATGATCATCAAGACAACACCATTCTCTCGCGTACACAAAAAAAGAGGCCGACATTGAACATATTTTTATTTCTATTCTTCTGCATGTATTCGGAGGCGGTCCTACAGATTTTTGTTTCTGTGCTGTTCAATTTTGTCCTATAGTCCACATGTTGCTGAAATTTCGGCGTGGTCTTTTTTCCCTTCTGGGCTCTTTCATTCTATGCTTTTCTCAATCCTTCTCCGCGGCTTGGCTCTCCCCATGCGCCGCGGAGATCTGTCAGATTTGCTTCTCGAATTAGCTTGTTATTTTCATTTCATCCATGGATCTGCCAAACCCTTGTCTTCCAATTTTGTGAACCTATGGCTGTTGCCATCTTCGTCCAAGTTTTGAATATCATGATATTTCACCATTTGCTACCACTACTGTGATACAAAGAACACATCATCCTGACAGTGCTTGAATATTATTTGGCTAACACTATACTAACTTGAGGTAAAGTGCAGTCAATAAATGCCACTCATGATGACGAGTACGTCTATGCGGATCCGCACTGGACCCCTTCCATGGGGACCTAGTTGATTTGGAATTGCACCTAGCCAAGGCCCTAGAAGCGCACTCAGATCCTTTACGCTTATCATGGCTTTGGGTGGGGAAATTACAACAAACTGGGATTTGCCGCCCCGCAAGACCTGTCCACAATTACGCGAATAATGGTTAGCGCTATTATTGTCAACGAGAAAGGATCTTAAATCTCTGGCGGGGAAGAGGTGCTAGGTGAAGGACTAGACATTGGAAGATGCCCATACTCTCGACAATGTGGCCCGCAAGCCAAGCCAAGCCTATACATCTTGAAGCTCGTGTTCAAGTACAAAACCAACACGTATCAGCGACGAAATAATGATTGACATTCTGTTGTGCGTGTTGGAATCTTTCCCATGCAGGTTTGGCTGCCAGCACCGGTGATGATCTGCCATCGCCCCGAACATCGAGGGCAACAGACCAAAGCCGAGCGGACAACATCATTTTGGGTTTCGGTAATCGAGTAGCTCCGCATCTGCGCCTAAGAGATTGGCGGTGCGCGGTTCTCTCAAAAGACGATGGATAGAACCCGATACTCTCTTAGGGACGTTAGACGAGAGTATGCGAATTAGTCGAGTGTGGTGATGAAATGATAAGTACGGATATCTCCGACCAGCAAGAACGCGAGCCTTGCGATGTCTCAATCAGGAAAATGCACAGCTTTGCAAGCCCGCCAAAGCACCGCAAAGGGAGGAAAAGAAAGGTTGTGTGGAGGGGAACTACTTGGTCATTGGTTCTTTCCCTGGGCCACCAGCATACTAGGGACCCTTGAATCAACGAATTACCCGGGTTTGATAACCGCGGAGTATGGTCACCAGTGCCAGCGATAGGTTCTCATCCGCGAACAGATCCTTATGGGCTGCATTACCCTAGGGTAGACCCCGCAGGTGGTTCGTATCATCTGATTGTGGCGTTAGAAGTAAATCACCAGCTACTAGCCAGGCTTTTCTCTCGAGATTGCCTTCCGTGTGCATTCCATAAGGTATTAAGCACTGCCACTATTAGTATGGGCATGGGGGTGGGGTTTGACTGCGCACTAATCCACGGAGCATACGTGTATATTGAGGCAAGTTCGCACGCCATGTACTGTTTCAACACAGAGTACCAAGCCTTGGTTCATTCATGCTACCCCATCAGCAGTGCCTCTATGCATGTTGATCACACTCTTGTCTCAGAGCCACGGTTTCTGGACCCCTACTTAGATGAAGGGAGTGGGGATACCGCAATGATGGGGGGTCATGGATTGGTGCCGGGCTCCCTCGGGGACCATAGCTCGACGCGAGGCGACATTGTGGTAAGAGTCTAGGTGGGTTGGATAATTTATGGCAAGGGGATCTGAAATCCAGGCGCCGCATTGGGCGATTCGAGGGGCCTGGTGGCTAGGTATTTGAGATACATATCACTCGCAATTTCCTTGACTTTTGGGGGCCAGAATTGCGCGTCCCTGTGTGATTCGGTAGATCAACACTAGCGCCCATGGCCGAGCGATCACTATAATCGGGAGTGGTATGCCAGAATTGGATGGTGGAAGTCATTTGTCATGGAGATCAGACCAAGTCCTCGAGCAAGAATCATGGTGGGCAATGATGCTGCAATCCTTCTGTGAATGATCTTGGCTGGAAATCTCCACAGGAACAATCAGAGCGATCTTCAAGTCCAGTCCAATGCGTCCCAGTTCCATAAGTGGGATGGCCCCGGTTGAGCGCCGATCTTATCTCCATATCACGTGTCCCATGGGATCGCGCGTCGGCGACCTTTCCAACCACTGGAATCCCCTTTGACAAATAATCCCACCCGTGACCGTGACTATCACCGAGCCAGTCTTTCGCGTTTTATGGGCCCGTGATTGTCGCGTCGCATATGTGATGTCCATCGAAGTCGATTGGGCAACTGCCACCTCCGGCCCAGATGGAGAGGCTCTGGCAGAGCGCATCCGCTCATTCGTGCACGACAAGTTCCAGCAGGTAGCTCTGCCGCGCTTTATTCGCTCCGTGCAGGTCCATGCCTTTGAATTTGGAACAATTGCCCCGGATCTCGAGATAAAGGACTTTTGCGAACCATTTTCGGATTTTTACGAGGAGGATGATGATGATGATGATGACGATACTTCAACTACCTCCGAGGACCTCCTTGACGAGCATGGCCACCCATGGTCAGGACAACATTCGGAGCTGCACGAGTCGCCCTACGAAGATGAACTGCTTGGACACAGCCCCGGAAACTTCACTCACCACCCATACCCAGGTGAGGGGTACCAACCCTCTGCTCTTCGGTCCCCGCTGCCTATGGGTGACCACTTGAACCCGCATTTCCTTCCTCGCGCAGGTACCCCAGGTATCCCGGGAGGCACATCGACTCTCGGTTACCATCTCATGTCACTGGGCGGTTTATCGGGAACACAAACTCCCCTGGCAGCTGTAGCAGGTGGCACGTCTTTCGCGAGTGGATGGTCAGATTCGGGCCTGGCACATGGCAGATCGCGCCTGCAACGCCCTTCCACACAACTACACCACCGCATGGACGCTGACTTAGATACGACCAATTCCGCCTCACGACCTTCAACCGCGAATACACACCCTTCCCACCCCTCTATAGGACATACCGGCAGCAGTGGGTCGAGGAATAGTACCGATCCCGCCGATATACCCCAACCCTCAATAGAACCCGCCATCGATCCCTCCGCCCCGCTTCCACCGCGGATGCGCGAGCGCCGACCGGAAGACTTCCAGATCCTTTGCCATGCTAGATATGCAGGTGACGTTCGCATGTCTCTGACCGCCGAAATCCTGCTTGACTATCCAATGCCCAGCTTCGCGGGTCTTCCTCTGAAACTCAATGTCACCGGCATCACCTTTGACGGGGTTGCGGTTATTGCATATATTCGAAAACGTGTGCATTTCTGCTTCCTTTCGCCCGAAGACGCAGACGCTCTTCTCGGTTCTGAGCAGGAGGCCGGGCAAGGAAGCCATAATCCTAGTGATGATGGCCGGCCCCGGTCTGGAGACCAAAAACGCCAAGGAGGCTTGTTGCAGGAGATCCGAGTCGATAGTGAGATTGGCCGAAAGGAAGATGGGAAACAAGTCTTGAAGAATGTTGGCAAGGTGGAGCGATTTGTGCTCGCGCAGGTACGCCGGATCTTCGAGGAAGAATTAGTGTATCCTAGTTTCTGGACT